CAGAATGATTTAGCAATATTAATCTGTTGTTAATAATATAGAATATTATCTATTTAGAAAAGCTGCTATAGAAAATATTAGTTTCAAGAACTTTAATAAGTATTATATCTAATCCATTGTATATATATAAGATAATATTTAATATTAGCATATAAGATAAGCATATACTTAAATATAGAGAGAAAGCTACTAAGCTTATTTCAGCATCTGTATTTAGCATTGCTTATATAGATTTATTCTCTTTACTTTCCAGCTGCAGAAGAATATATGCTACTGAAGCGATGCTTCTATCTCGAATGCTGCTAAAAGCAGTTATGAAAGCTATTATAAGAGAAAATAAGGATTTGTTAAAAGCTTGAATTATATTAACAGTAAGCTTAATATAGCTAGGTTCAGCAATAAGAAACAAAGCTTAAATTGCAAGTAGTTAAGCTAGTCTCGAAAGATACTCAGTAATATTCCGAGTATTAATAATCTGATTATTAATAAGCTTTTCAAGCTAGGAAAGCATCAAGATTCCGGATTTATGCTGCAATAAATTAGCTGATTCAGCAATATCTATCTTATATAGGTTTGAGCTGATTTGATTATTAAGATTAATAACTTTTCGAGCTTCAGAGCTAATTCCTTGAAAACTGTAAATCAGACAAGCTCTTCATTCTAGTAATATAACTATTATTTCTCAGCCTGAAATCTTTAACAAGTAATCTAGGAACTAATTCAGAAGCTTATTACTAATAGCTTGAACTATTAGCTTTCTATCTAAACTATTGAATTGCTTATTAGATTTCTCTAATCCAATATTCTTAAAATATATAGAAATCTCAACAGTTCTTATACTTGCATCTTCTCTAATCTCACTATTATCATATCCAGTCTTCTCAATATAGCACTTCTTTGCTTTATCTGCATTTATCTAAGCTTGAACAGGCTCAATACTTATAGTATTAATGCTGAAAAGCTTTGATAAATATAGTTCAGCTTAAGCTGAAATAAGATATAACTTCCCTACTTGAATCTTATCAGCATTGCTAAGAATCTCAATATTATTAGTTCTATACTAATTATTGCATTTGGAAACAGAATTAGTCTCTTCTCATAGTATCTTATTCTTAGCTATCTTAGAATCTTCATGCTATTTCTCATTCTCTTGAACTAAGCTAATATATTAAGAGATTCAAGAATTCTTAATACTCTTCAGCTGCTGATTCTTATAGAGATCAAAAATTAGATGAATTATATTGCTTTTGGAGTTATCTCGAGCAGATATAATCTAGCTATATAATACTAGTTTTAATCTAGAATTCAGAAACTCCAAATAATTGCTAAAATACTACTTTAGCTTTGCTAATGCTAGAGTATAGCAAATGCTACAGTTTATAATAATACAGAGTTTTATATACTTATAAGCTTTATAGGATTTCAATCTACAGCTGTAGCATCTGCATAGAGTTCTGTTCTTCTTCAGGATTTTATTAATCTCTGCTTGCTATGCTTCAGAGTACTGCTCCCTCTCGTTCTCCGAACTTATATAGATAATACTTATTTGCAAGGAATTTGCATTTCTCTGGAAAGAATTCCTTGCAGAAATAGTTTGGGAATACTTGATTAGTTGTAAGATCTTCTGTAGAGCCTTAGTTTGGTTATATAAAATATTCTATATTTGTTTGAAAGTATTAGTTTGCAGCTTTAAGGATTTTGCTATTGCAATTTGGTTAATATAGAGTTGCTTTATTATTGAAGCTAACTAATTATATTCTTAGTTGCTCTTTTGAGCAGATTTAGCTTTTAAGATTTGCTTAGTTAATTCAGGCTAAGCTTGCTAATTATAAATTGATTATTGAAACAGTTAATAGTATAATAGCTCTATTGCTTATTCCAATGAATTCATTGATTGATTGGAAGCATTATGTATTAGATATAAAACAGGAATAAGCTGTGTTTAGTTAAGAACTAGCTAAGATGAAAGTATAGAAGAATCTTGGAATTAAGCTTGTTAATGAAATTGAAGATTAGTAGCATCAGAAGCAAGTTAGTCTTGAGTTTTCTTCTGAAGTGCTTTATAATAAATCTCTAATAGCTTTTCCATAAGATAAAGCTACTTCTTGTTGCTAACGCTTTCAGCAGTAATACTATAATTAGCTCGGAAGCACTTAATTCAGATTGAAGAAAGCTTTATTCATGCTTCTGCTATAAATTAATTATTTCTAATCTTAAGATAAATAAGAGCATTATTATAGTTTACAATGAATAATCAGAAGCTAGCAGCATTAATAATAAAACAATTATTAATAATATTCAGATACTTCTGCTTGGAAGTATATGCCTAAAGATGATTCCAAGAGCAATAAGCAACTAACAATCACTCCTTCTATTCATTTCAAGTTTTAGCACTTGTAGTAAATCTCTTCACTTCTCTAGCAACAATTATATCTGCATAGAAGCTTTTCATAAAATTAAATACTTAAATATCATTAATTCCTTTAATCTAATACTACTAATCGAATTGCTTCAGCTATAAGAAGACTTTCATACAAGCAAATAATATCAACCCATCATCAGCAAGCTCACTATAGAAAGGAAATCTGAAGTTCTAATCATAGTGATTATTAGCTAAATAGTTAGCTAAACTGAATATCTGATTGAAAGAGCTTTCAGATATAGAAGCTATCTTCCTTCTTAATTATTGCTTCCTCCGATATTTCTTTGCCTTCCTAGTTCGAAATCCTTGAATTAAGAGCGCTACAGCTGGAATGCTTTCCATATCCTGCAGAAGATAATACTGTAGAAATTGAGAGAGTTCAGATGCTTGAAAGAGATTCAGTCTGTAAATAAAGCATATATAAAGTCTGTCTTGTAATAAATAACAAGAGATTGAATTAGTTATTCTATATTATACTGAGATTTTCTTTATTAATAATTCTACTAATCAATAGAAGTATTTCTGATTAGATATAAAGCATTGATTAAAGTTTAATATTGGATGATATTATTATAATTTTCAATCTTTATTTCTTATATATACTAATAGTTTCTTATCTTTATCTTCTTATATTCTTTACTTTTGAAATAATATAATTAATAAGCTTTTAATTCAAAAGATCAATATAGTTAAACATATTCAGATAAAGCATACTAATTGGATTATTGCAAGAAGCACAAACCTTATTAATCATACTACTTTTCTCTGCAGAATACTATTCATCAAAAGCATTCTACTCTATAATTTAATTATAAATTCACATCTAATATAATTAAACTTTCCGCTGCAGCTTGTACAGATCTAAGCTGTATTAGCTTCTATATAGAATTATTAATTAATATAGGAAATGTTGGAAAAAGAAATTCGTTTCTTTATAATATTAGCTTACAAGCTTAGCATATCATTCACCAGCTTACAACCAGAACTCATATTACTCCTCCTCTATCCACCCATCTTTTCTCTACAAGAGATCTCAGGCATAATCCAGAGTTCAGACATAATATACAGCCTATTGTATAAGCATAATAGATAAAGGAAATAAAAGAGCTCAGCAGAGAAAAAGAATGCATCCATCCATAGAATAAACTTGCTGCTCTTACTAATCCTCACAAACTATAACGCAAACAGCTCTAAGCTACCAGCCTGAACAGCTAAGTCCGCACACACTGCACCATTGAACCAGAACTAGGGCGCTATCACTCTCGAAAGAAAAAGGAACAAACAGCTGCTGAAGCAATGAGCAAGAGCTCATGCAACCCAAGCGTGCCTGTACAGATGAGAACAGCAAACTAAGGCCACACGGGCACAAGAACAGGGTGAAAAACCTGTCTTAGACCTGTTCAAAGGGTTCAAAATTGAAAAGAAGAGAAAGGATGCTTTATTGTTTTTTTATAGCTAAAGAATTTGAAAAGTGGGTGGTATCCTTTATATGTATGAGGACCCTTGACCCACTGTACTCCACGTCCCACGGACTACCACCCTGGCCACCACAACAACATCTTACTCTGATAGCTTCAAAAGCAGTGAATACTTGCACGAATTACTCAGTTACATTTCCGTATTCAAGAATTAATACTTGACATTGCTTTTATTAGCATAAACTCTTTGTGTACTTAGGAATCTTCGGATTACTGCAGCGCTCATTACATCAGAACTGAAAAGCTAAATATATTATCTCACATTTATTACTAATAGATAAACTATTGTATATAGCTCTTTAGTTATCAATCTAAATATCGGATTATCTATATACTCTGATAGCTCTAAAGATAGTGAATACTTGCATTCAGACTTCAACCCGTTCCGGTATTCAAGGTCTTATACTTAGCACTGCTCTTGTTAGCATAAACCCCCTCAGTGCTTAGAAATCTTTGGATTACTGCAGTGCTTATTACACAGTGCTCATTATACTTATTTAGCAACACTTGTTACTGTACATTTGATAGGAGCTTCTAGATTTTGCTGAGTTACAGTGTAGGTGCTTAAAGCTGCATTTTGGCTAGTATAGTTAATCTGATAATATCTTACTGCTTGAAAATCCTTCTTTCTGCATATAAGGAGTTATACCTTCATCACAAATCACATGCATGTTTTCTCGGTGAGTGAGTACCTGAGTAAGCCTCCCTCCCCTTTCTATTTTTGTCCTGTTATAACGCTAGCTAGGTACCTGCCTTCGCAGCAGATTTGCAGATTGTTCAGTCATTTCCAATTTATGGAATGCCGAGGAATTGTCACCAGTGACTACAGTAGCAGTTGCAATCTTCATTGACTTCCTGTGCAGTACTCACACCGCACCTAGGTGATGAGAAGGGGTTGAATCTCATCGACTTCATTCTCGGCCCCGCTTTTCTTTCCTGCTAGGGCTGCTGCCTAAATCCTTCGCGATGAGACAATCAAACGGAGGAACTTTTCCATAAGAGTTTAATGCACCGCTGCGCTTGCTTCAAGATACAGCGCCAAGATCAACAGCCGAGTTGCCGAAAACCAGCCGTAAACATTGCGCCAACAGAGGTTTATCATGTATGAGAATCCGCTGATGGAGAGCTCGGAGTGCAACAGCGAGTGCAGAAGCCACGAACACGTGGCCAGCCTCACTCTCGGGATCCACCGTGTTTGCGAGGCTCTGAGCCCGGCGTCAAAGCTCAAATTTTGTCAGGTATTAGCGGACGGGGAGAACCAGGCCGCTGGGTTGAAGACGCTTCCATACGAGTCGAAGCAGGCAATCGAGGCCTTCAAGGAAGTTGTTGGAGTACGCCAGTGGGATGAGCATCTGAACACAATGGCAGCGCTCGATCATGTGCAGACGACGGTGTGGGTCGGCAGCGCCATGAGACTATTGGTTATGAATAACCGCACGATTGACCAGGACCAAGGGGAGATGGACGAGCAGCTGGCACAGGAATGTCACCAGACGGGAGTGTGGACTGCGAAGGCGGGTACTCGCGTTTTGGCAGGCTGGCTGGTGATAAGAACGAACCAGGAAAGATGGGAGCTTTTTCGACGGACTAGTCCACCTCCGCGCGGAATGTTAGTCACAGACAAGTTGGAACTCGATCTGACGACGCGGGAGTGTCTCGTCCTGCGGCGATCAAAGTTGCCCAAGATGACAATCGACGTCCGCACAGGGCAGCTGGAAGTTTCGACGCCCGGTCAAGAAGGTGAATATGCAGCCGTGTCTTATCGTTGGGCCGACGTTAGTGGCAACCTGGATTCTATGCTGTCGACGCTCAGGAAACTTTTGACGGGAGTGGTGGAAAGATTTTGGGTTGATCAGCTTTGCATCAAGCAAGACGACGAGGTCGAGAAGGCCGAGGAGGTGGCCAGATTTGCCGAATACTACACCGGGGCCTCCCTCGTATTGGCATACGTGCCTGAGTTCCGACCATCCGTGGTCTTACCGGCCAACGTCCTACTTGCTCCAGAGCAGACGGAGCAGATGTGGAGCCTCGCGCAGGTAGTTAAGGGAAGCAAGTGGAACTCGAGGATGTGGACGTTGCAAGAAGCAATGCTAGCTCACAACGTCTGTGTCTGTTCCGAACATGGAACGACGAACCTCTGCAGTCTCCTTGCTGTTGGAGGCTTTGAGGAGGCAGAATTGTCGAGAAGGAGGACGGTACAGGTCGGGACCACAGTGGCCGCTGCGAACGGCAGGATCGTTACTTGCACCACGTCAAGTCTTACCAACATTAACAAGACGTTGTTGCCGAGCACCAGACCATTTGTTTGTGCAGCCAGAGCAAAAGCCCGCGTATATCCTCCGCTGCGAATATGGCGATTGGCTGCGACGCGGCAGTGCAGCATCCCACTGGACAGAATCTTTGCGACGCGGGCGCTTGTCGTACGCGGAATGGAGATAGTGGTCGACTACAAAAAGACGGAGGGCGAGGTCATGGACGAGGTAGCGGCCAAGGGAATACTGGGTGCTGGAATTATGTCTGGCAATACCGTGCGAGCAGATCACGGCAAGGGATGGCAGAACAAGAGTTTCAGGGACCTGATCAACGGGATAGAAACTAGAGGTCCGCCGGTGGAAGTAGGGGTACACGGCGAGTTGGTGGTGCAGGCTGCCGAGGTGGAAGTGGTGGCTTTGAAGGGTGAGCATTCCGCCGTGGTGCGTAATATGGCAACCGGCGAGGAATGGTCAGTACGCTGCCCAGGTGGTTGGGTAAAACCCGGGCGACATCTGCTTACGATCCTGGAGGGAACATCTGCTGTACTGGTGGGAGGGAGACAGTGCCGGGAAGGAGTATGGTCAAGACAGTATGCAGGCGGAGTAGAAGCAGAACATGTCAAAGTGCTATACAAGGAGTGGAAGATTGGATAGATACTAGATATCTTGAATACCCAGATGCTACTAATAAACTCCCATTATATCGCGCTTATAGAAAGGCTATAAGATAGTTATAGTAAATAGATTATTGTATATAGCTCTTTAGTTATCAATCTCAGTATCAGATTATATATATACTCTGATGGCTCTAAAAGCAGTAAATACTTACATTCAAACTTCAGTTACATTTCCATATTCAAGGCTTATACTTGATACTACTCTTATTAGCATAAACTCCTGAGTTACTTAGGAATCTTTGGATTACTGCAGTGCTCATTACATCTAGCTATTTCGACTGCTGCCAAGCTGCCTCCCATTAGCTCCAGCGCGCAGGTAATAGCGGGTTCGTCAGTGCTCTGATTTCTACGATTACACACGTATTAGGCGAGAAATGGTGAATGTTCACGGAGATTCATCTCTAGAAGAGTACTGTCTGACCCCCCCTTGCCGGACACCCGTACCCGCCGGACACTAAAATGCGAAATGGCCCACACAATTGCCACCTTTTCAAGTATATAGAAATAATTCACTTCAAATCGTATAATAATAATAAATATATCATCGAAATGATCTAAATTTCCTCATTCCAAATATCTAGTTGGCATACGGCTAGTCCGCCCAGAAGATCGACGAATTGGTGGTGAATCCTTACGTGGAATGTCTGCATTATCGTCCTCAGAGTCCTCCTCGTTAACCTCGTCTTGAACCTCCACAATATCCTCAGCAGGCAAACTATCCTCTTCCTGGGCTGTGTTGGCTTCTTCTCCAGCCGAAAGTGCCTCTGAAATAGTTATAAAGCGTTTGTTAGGATTGGGGATCTTCTTGCGCTTTCGGGTCTTCGAAATGGCCTTGTTCTGAGCCTTAAGGGAGGCATTTCGCTGTCGGAGCAAGATAATCTCAGCTTGGAGGTCTTCAAGGTGATTTGCAATCCTCCTCAACTTGCTGCGTTCGTTGTAGCTTCGGTCTCGGCCTATAGCAGTAATAAACTCATGGGAAATGGGCTTATTCTCCTCGTTCTCCTCCAACTCATCTGCTCCTTGTTTTTGCTTATCCTCCTGGATTTCCTCATGAGATAGGGCTTTATGGCGATTAATTGGATAGTTGCCACTATGTCTCCATCCTCCTTTTACTACTTTAGGAGTGATTGCTGCTCTGGCTGTGATGAGACACTGTAGAAAGTTGATCTTGTTAATAGGGGCTGAGTCTGTGAGATCTTGCAACTTTTGAAGTTCTTTCTGATAGGCTGCTTTTAGTATAGCAAATATGCTGTTATCTAGTGGCTGGAGGCTGTGGGAGGTGTGTGCGGGGAGAAAGCAAAGGAAAACGTTATTCAAGTAGCAAGAAGCTATGAACTCCGGCTGTTTTATATCAGCACATTATCCTCGAGAAATACCACCTTGAGCTTCAAAAGATCTTAACTTACTGATGTATGGCTATTATGGCTATCTAGGATGAGGAGGATAGCCCGAGATATATCATTCTCACGGAGATTATTCATCTGAAGAAGGAAAAGATCCTCAAGCCACGCTACCGCGATTTCATTGCTTGTTCAGCCGTTTTGACCGGTAATCACGCGCCAGGTTGGCACAGACTGCTCCATGTCTTCAGAAAACCACTGTTTTTGAAGATCTTTGCCCTTGAAGATGATGCCTGAGTCGAGAAGCTGGCCTGTGGCTGTACAGCTTTCAATGAGAGTAACCCAGCTTCTGTCCTGGCTGCTTTTGAGGAATGCCTTCTTTTTTTCAGAGGATCCAAGAACCAGCGAGTTCAGGCCTATCAAAAGTATCAGTTCAGGAGCTCTGAGATGAGGATTCCATAGAAATTTACCATATCCAGTCATAATGCCACCCTCATCCACATTCACTGTAAGCTGTGGCTCGATCCACCCATATTCCTTCTCGCGAATGTCGAAATACTAGTTAACAGCTTTCGGGATGAAGGCATCGTATCTGGTGGCTTCCTGGCGAGTGCCTATTTTATGGCGAATTTGAGGATTTCTCTTCTTGAAGCCCTCTATCCATTTGCGGCCAAGGGCATTGAGATCTCCCTTCTGCTTGAGGAGGGCTCCTACAACATCACGTACAGCAGAAGCTGATGGAGCATATCCTAGGCTCTCCTGCTTGATGATTCATCTCGATATCTTCTTTTCCTCAGTAGTAGAAAGGCGTTGTTGAGGTTGCTTTGCTTCTTGAACTGAGGACCCTGCATGCAGCCGATCTAACAGCATTTGGGGGGCGATTCCGTGTTTCTTAGCTGATTTTCGTAAAGATAAATGGTTATCTATAATATCGAAGAGAGCATCAGCCATATTCTCCTCATTCCAGGCGTGGGAAGGCATTGTAGCTTGCTTGAGGTAGAAGATTGTTGAAGGAAAAGGATCATGGATATGAAGACAGGAAGGAACAGATATTAGCTTCCGGCATTGCCAGAATTGCGTCATAAGGCGTCCAGGCATAGATATAAGTATATCAATAGATTCGTCAATTAAAGGGCTATCTATCTATCAAAACAGTTTCTGAATAGCTTCAATATTGAGGAAATAATATGTAAGTGAGGATGTTGGTATTTGTATGGCGCTGTCGGAAATTAGCTGTCCGGCGGGTACGGGTGTCTGGCAAGGGGGGGTCAGACAGTAGCTACAGTCAGTGAATCGCTGCCCCAGCCCTCCAATCGCAAATGGCTCTGAGAAGGATTAGGGTTGTGTGTATAGCCATAGCTAGCAAAATGAAGGATTTTGGAGTTTGGCAGATGCATTATAACATCTTGCTTGCATTATCCCAGCTTTACGGGTTTGAAGCCCATTTTAACATAAAGTTCATAGACTTTATCTATCTCCTTCGTTGGAGAAAGGAGACTAGAAGAGTCTGGTGTGTGCTCTACAACAATTAAGAGCGCTTGGGATGAGGTTAATATCGTGACAGGTTTTCGGCGGCTATGTAGAATCGCTTTGACAGAGGAGTGTAGGACGATACAGCTCTATCAAACATTGTCGCAGAGGAATACGCGTTGTGGTATCCGGCTGCGTGGAGGGGAAATTTGCTGAAAACCCTGTCGGAATCCACCAGATATGTGGCCAGTCGTCCTCAGGCGAACGCTGGACAAACCCAAGAGCGTCCATGATTGGCTTTGCAATGACATCCCACAGCCATTCTAGAGTTCTAGGGTTTCCAAGACCACCTTCTTCTGCCTTTTCTTCGATCTCCATGCAATGCAAACCTGTTGAAGCAAGGAAATGTAATACTATTATCAAGTCGAGCTAGCTAAAATGCGCGAAAACAGCCAGTTGCGGAAACGATGTTTCACTGCATATCCCTGAGTCCACGAATAGCGTGTTATTACCCATTCGTGAAGCAATTCGGCAGGGGATGGTGGAATTGAGACCATTTTCCGGGACTCTGAAGTCATTTGGGTGTACGAAGGGACATCCTACACGAGCTACCGCTGATCGTCTGTGTTCGCATAATCTGGATGTATTTGGATTTGGCGGTGCAACTATTTGTCAATCTGCGATCAATACTCTCCTTTCTTCACTTCCTCTCCTTGGCAGATGAACATTACACTCGCGGACTAGGTCTACTGGCATACTCGACGTCCTCTTGGCACAAATTTCTTATCCTTCGTAGCTCATGGTCGAGTTGTTCGCAACTCACCCGCCCTGTACCTGGCGCATCGTTTCTGGCGGTATCCTGAGGCAATACCACTAGTAGGCGATGCTGTATGATGTCCAGGAAATCGTGCACAAAGTCAGAGCAGAAAGTGTGCCCGTGGAGCTGCTCGATGAACTATACATGTTTACGTTAGTAATGGCTCATCCATACCAAGATTGAATACTTGACAAACCTTAGTCACCGCAGGTTTGACACGAGCTCCCATCTCGTGCCCATCATCACTCTTGACGAGGTCGAAGAAAGTGTCGATTTGCATTTCATACCACGTTGCATCGACAGACATTCTCAACTTTGCAAACTGCTGGACCATTTCCCAGCCTCCCAGCAGCCAGGTCACGAACTCCAGATACAAACAGCCCAGGGACCACATGTCGTATGCTCGGCTAATTCGGAAGCCTCTTTGGTCCGACTCGGGTGCACGATAAGTGGGGGAGACTACTAACGTCTCCGTCGCATCGGCCGCCCACCCAGTCGTCCCAAAGTTAGACAGCTTAAGTGTGCCACCGATCTTGCCGGACTCGGTGGCAGCGAACCATAGAATATTTTGCGGTATGACGTTTCCATGATGCCCGAATACATATTGATCGTCTTTGTACACAGAGGAGTAGTCACTCTCCGCGTAGCGATGGATCCGAACTAGGCCATTGGCGATTCCATAGCACTGTTCGGCGACCCAAGTCACTGTAGCCTGCTCGAAACGAGGCCGGGGATTGGTTGTGCGCCAGTATTCCTCCAAATCAGCGGTAGCCCATGGGAGGATGATATTGAATTTTTCCGACTGCTGATATGTCGCTAAGAGTGATAACAGATGCGGGTGGGCATCGTGGCTGAATCTCCGAAGCACTGATACTTCTTTTTCGAAGGCCTCTTTGTTTGCAGTCAGCAATTGCTTGATCGCAAATGGCATAAACTTCTGCGTCAGCCATGTTAGCATTTTTACCTCGGTATACGTGTATCTCATATTGAACATGGGTAAGCGGGGGATTTCAGTACCTGAGAACCATCTCCGAAGTTATGGTGGTCCGGATGGATATAGACCTTGAATACAACGCTGTGACCTCCCATCGTTTCCTCCAAAGCGGTTCGCCGGAACAAGTCTTGCTTGACAAAAGGGAGTATAATTTGGTCCTGTAGAGCGTAATGGTTCGTCTGACTGCGCATTTCGCTTTTGCTAAAGAATGGAGAGAGCGTTGCCCACTGCAACCTTTCGAAATGTTCTATAGCTACAGGACCCCATTTCCGAGTGAATTCAAGGGCGGTTCCACGGTCTCCAAGAACAAATTCTCCGTCCTGGGAGTCCAGAGACTGCGTCAGCCTGGTTAGAGGAAGGTGGGAGTCCCGAACATCGTGTGTAATGAACTCAAGAATCTCGTTCGTTTTATCGATCATAGCTAGCGTGGCAAACACCCTGCGGAAGGATGGAAACCCACGCTGGTCTGCATGTATTTCGAGAGGAGCCCGCCCTGCGTTGCCTTCACATATAGTCCTCGCGAGCTGGGGGATGTTGAAAGCGGATTGGTAACGCTTTATAGATATAGAGAGCTCATTCCTCACACGACTCTCGGTGATTAGGGAGGTAAGTAGACCATTTGGTAGGAACCGATCCTCTCCAGACCTCGTTGTCACAAGTGCCGAGAACAACTGATCTCTGAGGTCTCTTTGTCGATGCTCTAAGCCGTCGTCTAGATGTTCGTCAACGTCTTCACTAGACGTGAACTCCGGAATACCGCCTTGAGAAATTGTCGAGGCCTGCGGTCTTTTCCCTCCTGATGGAGCCGAGCGAAGGCTCTCGCTAACTGACCACGTTGGGAGCTGTTCTGGACCTACTCCCAAGGACAAGCTGGTGCCGGCTCGACTTGTCCTGGTGAACCAGTAGTTTTCGCTTACATTCCCTCGGCGAATGATTGTCTCCAGAGCATCTCGTAGTTCTCCGGCATCGGCTCGAGCGATTCCATTGTCCGGCGGCACAGCTTCGAAATCCGGGGCAGACTGCCGCTCGGAAGGACCAGTAGGATCGCTGATAATTATAGAAGGGAGTTGTTCAGATTTGCTTGCGGAGAGAAGTGACTGCTGCAAGCTTAGGTTAACTACCAAAAGCCTGTCTCTGACCAGGCGAAGCAGATCTCCGAGGGCGGTGTGACCTCGGCACTCCCTGTCGGCTGCTATGACATTCATGATGGTATTCACTTCTGGGTGGAGTCTGGCAGTGTTGGCAAATCCCGTCCTGTCGATAACATAGAGGGGACTCGGTCTACCGAAATCTCCAGCAATCCGGGAATCCATTACTTCCAGGCCATCGTGGCCATACAAGGCCCAGGCGATAAACTCAAGGATGACACAGCCCATAGACCAGATATCATACCGCCTAGACCTTGGCTGATTGAAGCTAGTGGCGGCCCCCGGGGCTTCGTACATTCTAGGGCTACTCATCGTGGTAGTAGCAGAATGTCGCACTGCGGTTACTTCTTCGTGATATCTGGCAATGCCGAATCCAGACAGTTTCAGAACCCCTAAATCAGCTTGGGCCTCGGCCAGACCCTCGCCTCTGAGACGGAGGATATTCTCCGGCTTTATATCTCCATGTCGGTAGGAGCCCCCTTCAGAATTGTGGAGGGTTTCGAGAGCATCAGCAAGGCCTCGAAGTTGTTCTACCATGAGCTTGATGAACCTCGGGGTGAGGTCGGGTCTTCTGTTACTACGCCAGTAGTCTCGGAGATTTCCACCGTCTGCCCACTCATACATCAAGTATGCGGTGGGGTTTCTCACAATTGCAGCCAGGGGGCGAATGATGTTCGGATGGTTGAAGCTTCTAGCCTGCCGATGTGCGGCGAGGCTTCGTTGCCAGTCGGGTTCCAACGACATTGCCAGCTGAGCATCGCCGGTGCGGCGACGTTTTATCTCTTTCAACGCCACCTTCAGGCTTCCATCGGCAGCCTTTTTGGTTCAGTCAGTTGTGAGAAAACACAAAGGTCGGAGATTGTTTGCGGCTTACCGTGGGACTATTATATCGGCAATGGGCAGGATGAATGGTTGCCTGATACAGAATAGAGCTTGTACCGTCATTCAAAATATCGCTGATAAATGTAAAAGGCAGTATGTAGCCAGGTTGTAGATCTAGCTCGTATGTGACGGACGGAAAGATGGGTGCCAAAAATACCCACTGCTGCTTGCAGAAATTGAGAATGCTTGAGCTGTCCCACGGCCACGTGTATTCGGACATCTTAGATCCAAAGAAGGGAATCCTGGGCATGATCTCGTCGGTGATGGGCAGCGATAAATCATTGAAACCGAGCTGCCTGAACTGAGACATTGCTCTGTGCAAGCTCTTACCTCCAAGGCCCGCGAGGACACATGTGGCGAATAATTTTTTGGCTTCATAGATGACATAGCCAACGAGCTCCTGTTGCTCTGACGTCGATGGCACAACCATGGCTTTCTTCGTCTTGGTGAACCAGCCCGCTGGGTTTGGCTTAGCATATTCGCTGCTGAATTGGTAGTAGTAGTTCCCATCTCTGAACTGATGCCGCCTTTCGACATGTATGAAGAGGCCATCGCTCTCTTTCTTGGCTTTCTTGGTCGCCTCGTTCCCCTCGCCTTCTGGCTCGTCATCCTCCGGGACCATCAGGCGGTTGCCTAAAGCCTCTGCCTCTCTTCGATCTTCCAAGTCTACGAAGTTTTCGAGAAGCCAGGTAGTCATGTCCGACCCGATGAAGCAATTCATGTACAGGCGTAGATGCCATCGGCGGTTCTGTAATTGAATTCCTCCATTCTCGACTGGCTGCTGCATGGCTTCGGCCAGAGAGGCGAGAGAAAAGTTCTGCTTCGTGAACCGATTTGTACTTGTCGCAAGCTGTCTTTTACGATACGAGCCTTCGATTCTCTCGGGGAGAGTCTGGGATTCCGGGGCAGCAGCAAGGGGACTAGAACCCTGGTATAGCTGCCGTTCGGCATAGCTATGAGACAGGTCGTCAAATCCCAGATGACGAGTGACTACCTCATAAGAGACAAGTTTGTCGATAAGTCCCGCAGGCAAGAACTCTAGATTGTCAAGCGCGCTGGGGACTAGTCTCTCGAGGATACTCTTCTTGAGGTCGTGCTGATCCTCCTCATCCGATTGGTTGTCTTCATCTAACCACTGAGGACTATGCGGAGCAATTGTAGACGCCGGGGTCTCGTCGGCTCCTAATGCTGGTGCTTCCTGAGCAAGCTCGCTATCAGTGGTTGCTAACAAAGCTAACTCTGAGAAAGCGTTGGCTGTCGGATCCTCAATAGGCTGCCCTGGACCAAACTCCTCATCATCCTTGGATGGATCAGCAAGGTGATCGATGGAACCCTGGAGGGAGAGTTGATCCAGAGGATTGTAAGTAGATAGCTGCGCAAGAGCCCTCTTGAAATCGCTGGCCCCTTCGAGGTCGACCCGGTCGTTTTCGTCCTCGGCCAAGTCGTCTCTCGGTGGCAACGACATGAGAGCCAAGGCCAGTAGATGCTCTCCGATGTGCTGATAGATGTTGACGCCATCCGGAAGATGCTGCGTCTCCCCAGGCCCCCGCCGATCCTCGAGATCGCAGAATGGACATGATACTACAGCTCGCAATGTTCGATGACTTCGGCGCTTCAGAGCATTGATCTGCTTCTCAGAGAAAGCACCGACGTGATGAGTGTCCATATGTGCCTGGAAAGCCTCCTCGCTGCGGAAGACCCCGGCCAGGTCTTCCCCTTGCTCTGCTCCAGACATGTTGGCTCCGGTATCAGGGTGCAGAGGGCATACCCACTCAGACTTGTGAGGCTTGCGTAAGTGCCCGCGCCACGCCCTGGAAGAGCTGAAGAGCTCCTCCGGGAATGGGCAGTCTTCGTGAACACAAACATAGGGCCACAGATCCTTTACGATATGTCGCCGCCACCTCTCATCATCGGTGAAAACGTCGGCCGGTAGCGTCAGACAGCAGTACGGGCATCGGTACTCCTTCGAACCCTCGATGTCTGGTGCTCGGGGGATTTCGACCGCCCCAGTGTAGCCTAGCCAGCTGGACGCATCAGTTGGCGGCGGCTGGGGTGCTGCATCATCCACGTAAGCGCCGTCTTCCAGCACGTCAGTTACTTCGGTCTTCGAATCTGCGTGGGTGGACGATACGTTTCTAGCTGATATCGGATTGCCAGAGCTGCCCGCCGCAGCTTGGGGAGACTGGGCGTCTTCGCGTGGCTGGGGTTCCGAATCTGGCTCTTCTGCCTGCTCCGACATCCCAGGCTCCTCTTGGTGGTGGGATTCTTCCAGCCGACGTGAGAGTCTCTCCTGGTGTGCGCGACAGTGCAGAAAATATTTTCGACGGAGAACCACAGCATTCGCTATGCGGTCAGCTAAGCTGCTGCAGAGGGGAAATCTGTCTAAAATGTCGCGCACGGCGCTTTCGAGTGCATCGACCGCCTCCCTCTCTTCCTTTTTCAGTTTAAATCTCGCAGCGCGAGACAGAGGGTCTCTGACGCCAGAACCCCTGACTATGTATGAGAAATTATGGAGCCATCCGATGGTATTGTTCATACTGTCCAGTTCATGGAGCGGCTGGTAATCGGCGGCGGGTTTGTCCGGCTCGTCTAGAGCATAGGCCTCAGCCCCCTTGCTTACTGGGCGTGCAAGTGGTCAGCCACAAATTACGCTGAGACTGGCTCCGGCCGGAAAAGGAAGACTAACCGCGAGTGATCTGAAGTTCAAGGATCTGCAGCATGTCCAGCAAGGCTCCGGCGAGCCTCGGAGCTTCTCGTAGACGATAATCCAGAGAAACATGATATTCCGCAAGCACACCGATGCCGCTTATCCAGCTGTCGAACCTCTTGCACAGAGATTGTGCCATCTGGAGGCCGTGTCCTCCGAGCCGGGGCACACATTGCTGCAGGGCGGCGAGGCACCTCAGCGTCCATGCTCGGACGTCCAACTCCTTTTCCATGGGTATGACGCCAAACCATCGAGGCACGATACAGTGAACAACCAAGCACCCAGGGGGGCGGCCAGCTCAGACCAGATCAGACGGGGCGAGCGCGAGGCGAAAGAAGCGACGATGTAAATTGCTGCACGAGGCGTCGATGACGAGACGTTGCGGACTGCCGGTGGAATTATTGCCGAGCGGCTGATGGAAAGAGGAGTCGTTCTGGTGATTGCCCGAAGCAGTTAAAGCATGCAGACTTACTGTATGTCACGTGGCGGGCTGAGCAACCGTACTGAGCTGAACTGGGAGGTCAGGCGCAGGCGATGGGGAAATGCGCAATTCTTCATTCAGCGCCGACAGCAAGCGCGATCTGCAAGGGATCTGGCGCGGCATGCGATTGCTTATTATATGTGGTGTAGTCTTGACTGCTTCTCTCCATGGAGACGTCCAAGAACCTTCTCGATCGGCTCGCGGACGTGCTACCTGTCTTCGAGGCCGCAGCCGAAGCCTCGGCAGTCGAAGCTCAGAGGCAGGGCGAATCATGGGAGTTTCCTAAGCGTCTCAAATCCAACATCACTCTCTTGATGTATGCCATCGAGAGCTTGCGGCCGCATTTTGGGACCAAGCACCTCAAGTCGGAGACGGGCTGCCGGAACACCCTTACCAGCATCTCCAAGGCCCTGAATTCTCTGATAGCGGACAAAACCCAAGCCAAGGTGAGTTCTCTCCATCCCCTAATTCGGATATCTTGCGGACTGACATCCTCCTCTCAGTTCCCTAAGGTGGCGTTCCCGGGTCTCGCGGCCCTCCGTGACCATGATGACCCGGTTGCTCTCCTGCCCCATTTCGAGGAGAGGATCCACAGCGCCTGGATCGAGACGACCGACGGCTGGATCTCGGAGCTGAAACATATGCTTCCGAGACGCTCCTCGAACCAACGACCTTCGCATAGCGTTTACGATCTTGCTACCACGCTCTACCGTGCGCTCGAGAAGGCACTCAAGTCGAAATGCGCTTGCTCTCGGCCGCATCATAGCCTGCTCTTCATGGCGAACCACCGCGGCTTCTCGGAGGGGAGGGACGCGACCATCGTCTTCGACATGCTTATCAGCACTCCCGAGTCGATGGAGCGTCGATGGTGCGACACCCAGGTCAAAGTGCCAGTATTAGCCGAAGGGAACGTCGACCGGTTCCAAAGAAAGGCTGCAAGGAAAACCTTGGACTCGATATGTTCTTCCTTCAACTTTCTGGCAGGGGTCCCTGTCCGTCGGGCAACCTTGTTTGCCCAGGAGGGCAGCCTCGTAGAAGACAGAGCCAACAAGCGAGTGCGACTCGGGACGCAGAGCCTCTTTTCACCGACAATCGTCACTCTGAATCATCTATTGGAAACACTAAGTGGCGGTCCGAAGCTGTCCTTCAGGTACCTCACGCAACTGGCTATCCACCTGGCGACATCGTTTCTCCACCTTTACGGGGGTCCGTGGATGCCTCATCGCTTAGGCGCGGACATGGTGCAGTTTATCTGCACCCCAGACGGGCTCTTGCTCATCCCATTTCTGCCATTTGTTCCCAGCCAGCTCTCCCCGCCTGGGACGGAAGACCTCGAGGGCAAAAAACCCCTCCCGCGGATGGACTTTGATCTCAGCCGGCCGGCAAGAGTTGGTCTGGGTGTCTTGCTGTTCGAATTATTCACCCAGACTGTCTATCCGACAAAGCTGCCGGATGATGGCAGCGCCATAGCGAAGGAGGACTTGTGGAACATCATCTTCGATATCGATGATACTCTAGAGGAATGGAAGGACGAAGAGAATTTCGGGCTCGTAGTAGATGCCATCAACGCCTGCTTCGATATGGGGACTAATTCGCTGCCTGGAGAGTTCGAAGAATGTGAATCATTCTACGAGACCGTGATAAGCCCTCTCGAAGAGCAACTAATACGAGAAAACTCTCTCAGTGACCAAAGGACGGAGAATATCAGCCCCGACAAACTGGATACCTTGACCTTCCAAGAAGTCCTCGTTCCAATCGCACTCCCACAGGCAATTGTGCCCATCTCTACACCAGCGATATCACCTCTCTCAGCACCCATCGGTTCTCTTAAGCGGCCAACTCGGCAGCAAGAATCTGATTCCAATCTGGCGAATGGCTCTACTGTCCGCACAAGGACGGTGCCCAAGTCAGTCGACTCGCGCCTCGATGCAGCTCCAACAGCAGCAGATACGGCCACGAAGACGAATACCCCAAGCCATGTGTCTCCGGCCGCTGCAGAGGTGAACCATAGCGAAGAATCCGAGGCTGTCTTGGACAAGATTAGCCCACAGGGGACTAGTCTACCACCTGAGAGCCGCGGAGCAGTCGATACAGCCGCATCCCAAAGAGAGGAGCACGCTTCCGACAGTCCATCCCGAGCTGTGACCAAGGTTGTCCAGGAAACTGATACAGCGGTAGAGAGGACTGCCAGGAAAGGGCGGATAAAGTACAAATACACCAAATATCTTGACTATCTGGCCGGCATGACGTGAGTCAACGAAATCACATAACATCGGCAGAGGTCAGCTAATAACGCGATTACGAACAGCAAAAGCGCAGACGTCAAGGATGCGGCGAGTTGGCTGAAAGACTTTGTGGAGATCGAAGAGCTGGTATTCCGCTTCCTAGAAGCACCGAAAGTGCCACCCAGACCCATAAAACTAGCTATACTCGATACGGGATGCAGCTTGGATACCGGCTTCTTCGACAAGGAGTGGCACCACGGCGATAAAGACCGCGTCGCGGGCGAACACTGGAAAGATTGCTTGGGCGACCACCCCGACGGTCCCATCGATGAGGATCCAAATCGCCATGGAACCAAGATAACCACGCTTCTCCTGATGCTGCTCCCCCGCGTCGAGCTTTTCATCGCCAGAGTCGCTAGAACAACATCCGACTTCGAGTCACCCAAGGCCCAGCAGGCTGTCGCAGAGGCAAGTGTTCTCGTCGTCTCAATTTGTGCCGCGGATGGAGGAATCCCCTGTTGCATTGCAGCAGAGGCTAACGTTGAATATACTGTGTCCTAGGGTATTTTGGCCGCCGCCAGATGGGGGGCTGATATAGTCTCGCTCTCCTTCGGGTATCTGAATCGGCCAACCTGCATAGAAGATGCCATCGACGAAGCTCTGGGCCGGGAGGGAAAGAATAAGAAGCTAATCTTCTTCGCCGCTGCGAATAACATCGGGAAGAGGGAACCAGAAAGATTCCCAGCTTCGTATCGACACCGCGTCGTCTCGGTGCGCGGGACCAATGCGAGCGGGGCTTTTCATAACTACTACAATCCCACTATCCACGACAGCCACGCCTTCGGCACGCTAGGGTACAAGGTCCCCTGCACCCACCAATGGAACGAGAACTCGATCGTGGTGAAGCCGCTCACGATATCGGGCTGCTCCGCCGCTGCACCCATCATGGCCGCCATCGCAGCTACGTACCTGCAGTACGCGTCCTGGAAGCTAGCTATGGGAAGCGACGAGATCGATTTCCAAAGCGTCGAGATGCTTTTCGAACTAGAAGGCATGGTGAGGCTCTTCTCCGCGACAACTGAGGGGATGGGCAAAGAACGCTATGTAGAACCCACCCAGCTCTTCTGTAGTTATAAGCCGAAAGGGATCATGATGGAGAAAAAGTGGTGCGCCTCCCTCGTGCATTCTGTCCGGAACCTGCTCCCGCGGACCACAGCGGAGGACGTCGAGAGGATTGAGTAGATTTCGTACCTGAGCTAGCTAGACTCTCTCAATAACTCCTTTTCAGCTCAAACTACATAAACAAATTCCTCGTCTGAGGCCAAAACCGAAATCCCTCTCTCCTTCGCCACATCTTCAAAGTCCTTGAAAAGCTCGCACTCGATCTCGGGTATCTCTGCTGCTGCTGCTTCTTCTCTATCCGCCGCCGCTGCCTCTTCCTCCTCCTCCTCCTCCTCCTGCTCCTCCTCCTCCTCATCGGGCTCATCGCTCAGCCCCACGCCTGCACGGTTCAGCTTCGACTCCAGCGTTTTTGTGAGGAGGCCTCGGTACCAGAGGCGGTGCACTTGGTAAGCAAAGACGGCCTCCACGGGGACGCTGCCGCTCTGGAGGTTAGTCCAGTCGCTCGCAGCCCAGGCTTGAATGCCGGCCTGAAGATCTTCCTTCAGCTTTGCTTGAATCTTCCCGTCTGCGGAACTCTTCTTAGCGAGCAGAACGCTCCACTCGAGACCGGTTGAATACTTGATCCCGGTTACCATGTATACCGGCCCCTTGCGTAGCCATCGGCGCAGATCCTCCTCGTCCCGCTCTCTTTTCGTAAAGTATGCGCGCAGACCCTCTCCAGTGAACGCATCCGTTTCGAGGCTCTCAACAACGTATGATACGAGGGTATTCTTGGCCTGCTCGGCGCCGAGCCGGGCCCCGAATGTGCTCAGATATTCGACCCAGGCCTGGAGCCCGGAATGAGAGCTGTAGTCCTTGATGATGACCCTGCGCCCTTCCGTCGCCGGAGGGTCAACTTTGGGCGGCAGAGTTTTGGCGTCCCGGAAGGAGATAGGGATCTCGTCCAGCTTCAGGGGGTCCTCGAAGACGTTGCCTAGGGCGATAGGAGGTCCTCGGCGGAACGAGAATCCCATGCCCGGGGAGATAACATACGATTTGGTCGTCATGTTGGCGCAATCAAGCTGAGGATTAGCCTAAGAAGATGCTTGCTCTCCAGCCTATCGTGATTATCTTGAATAACTGGGAAAGTTATGAATTCGGTCAGAAATGGCAGCCTGATGAGATAATAATATAGCTTAGCTCGGCTGCAGTGCTGTTGATCTCGGAGACAACAGTTTAAAACCCGCGCAGTACAGCTGAGATCTTGCGTCATACTCAGCCAGGCAATCAGTTATCCGAACTAGTGCGGGGTTGCACCGCTATCGGAACTGCCTCCTACAGGGGAAACGAGGTTTTAATTTATATATAAATGTTATGACCCATCCAACGCGCAGGTCACGAAACAGGCCCCGCCAACGGAAGACCAGTAACCACAACCCAACACCAGACAAGCTTACAGAAGGATTAGGTAATCCAGGGTTAGGGTACAGGCTCCACAATGGCAAGGATGGACCGCGAGGACCGCGAGCGGTCCTGTCGATACAACGCAACTATCGCCATTGACTCTGGCGGTCCACACTGAAGAGCTGGATATATAAGGACACGTTCATTACCATTAGATAGACCAGACATAGCTCTTCAGTCGTCAATCTAAGTATTCATTTGTCATACACTTGAATAGCCCCAAAGGCAGTTGAAGCACTTGCACAGATTACTTGTTTATATTTCCGTATTCAGGGATTGACACTTTGACACCGCTCTTGCTAGCATAAACCCTTTGTGTACTTCAGGATCTTCGGATATTGCAGTGCATCATCACAATAAATATAAAACTAAATTTTTTTTTATATATTTATAAGAAATTTTAAGTAAATATTTTAGCATATATTCAGCATATGCTAAGTATATATTACTTTTTTATTTACTGAAAAATGAAAATATAGATCTTTACTGTATTTGGTACTGTTTGTAAGATCCCCGAGGTTTTCTACTCCCCACCAACTTCTTGTACCCCCCATCAACTTTTTTGTACCCCCCATGAGCTACAAGCCCGTAGCAAAGCGCTACCATCTGAGATGTAAGGGAATTCCACTCTAACTGAATCTGATTGTAACTAGGAAATTCTCTACCATTACCTATAATTTCGAGAGATTATAGATTCAAATCAGGGTTTAAACAGAGGATTGATTGCTTATATAAGGCAGAGAGATCTGCTGTAATGAAATATGTAATATTTGCTTTGAAGTTCATTTTCCAAAGCTGAGTCTTTGAAAACTTAGGGGGTGTATGGGAAAATATATAAGTACATCCAGTTCTGAGAGACTGGCGATCGCTTTTTTCCTCGATAGCAAGCACCAACAGTCTTCTACCTAAGGGAGTGAAGAGCGGCCGCAGGATGCTTTTCGTACATGTATATCCTGTTTTTTACTATGATGCAGTCAAGAAGAGCACTCGGAATTTGCTCCTAGGTTCGGCTATGCAATGCCTACCGCCTGTGATGAGTATCTGCATGTCCTCTTCTCGTCCCATCACTAGTAGTGACTTAGTGTTGCTCCTGCTGAGCTACTCATAGCTGCGCTTGCAGTGCTTACATAGATGGCACACTGCTGCATTGATCTGACGATATAGGGTGGGCCCAGAGTCTTACCAGAGGAAAGACAGTAGGAAATATTTACAAAGTTATAGCAACATTCAGCGATCTTATAGGAATCCAGAGGTTCTTTAGATGTCCGTGGAGATAAGTAAAATCCGTTGACGTGAATGAAATGGTTGCAACAATGTACTCGTGCTATCTTGCAAAAGAAAATCATACGGTCGGAGCTGCTTTGGGTGCTACCTGAGGGATACGGGGCATTTCTTATGCTTACCGCACGTACGTACCTGTGTATGGATTGAGTAAGGAGCCTGCTTTTCAGGTACTTTATCTATGCGAGGGCAAAAGGGGCTCGTATTGCTGGCGCTGAAGAAAAGAGAAAGGAAGAGAAAAGCCACAGGGGCAACTATCTGAGGCTATCAACAGGCTTGGCTGTTGGCTGGCTGGCTAGGCTGTGCACGGCCTAGGGCCAGTGACTCACTGGCCCTCGCACATTATCTGAATATTGACAATACCAAGAAGTCACTCAACGGCGCAGAGTTTTTTTCTTCTTTCCTTTGGGCTTTTATTATCTAGAGCTGCCTTTATATACTCCTGGAGGTCAGTTCAGAAATCTATAAACGAGTCCTCGCGTTCTTCTCCCTCTATCTTGCGTTGTAGAGCCTTCTGTTCAAGTCCTAAATCCACTTCCGATTTGCAGCTTCGTGCTGTTACAGACACCCAGCCCTCCACCTTCTGCGCGTCTGTACCACAGCGATAACATCAAATGGAGTCTACTGAGCATCAAATGCCGCAGGGCGGCATCAATGAGATTGTCGTCAGCACGGCCTTTCTCTTCTTGGCCATCCTAGCAGTGATTGCCCATTTCTATACCCGACATCTTCAAGGCAAAATTATTTCCATCGATGACTACTTAACAGTTGCCGGACTTGTGAGTCAGAGTCTCGAGGATGTTCTCAACTGAAATGATTGTTCGACCTTTGCTGATATTCTGATCCCTCACATCAGGTAGTTACGGCTGCCACTGTTGGCGCGAGCTATGTGCTTCCTATTGATTATGGTAGCAGGAGTGTTATGCAGCGAACTGTGGGTAAAGGCCAGGAGCGCATAATCAAGGGAATAGATTGAACCCTTAACTCTGAGCCTATCAAGATGGGTCGTCACGATTAAGAACAGATGAAATGATAGCTGCAGCAGTCTCCAGAGCCTCGCAGATGCGAGCTGCATAACCAAGCCGGGCCGAGACAGCGAACCGGGCCCGGTGCGGGTCCACGTTGCAGTGGATGTAGACGCCGCGCTCACCCTGCATGAGGAAGCCGCCCTCGTCCCACTCGTTATTACTGCTGCCCTCCTCCCCCTCGGCAGCCATGAAGCCGATCTTGAGGTCCTGGCCCGGGCCCCCGCGGCGCGTCGCTTGCCAGGCCTGGGAGCGGAACAGGGCGAGAAGTTGGGCGTCACCGTTGTCGTCGTCGTCGCCGTGCTTGCTGGTGGATGGGCCGCTCGTGGCTGCGAGGAGCGAGTACATATGCTTCACGTACCCGCGCCCGCTCGCAGCAGTGGATATCAAGCGGGTGTGCCCAGCGGCGGCGGCATAGAACAAGGCCCGCAGCTGTGCCACCCGGGGATGAACACCCAGCATTGCATCTCTGGCACCAGAAGTTGTCGTCGTCACCGCCGCCTCGAGAAAAGCCCTCACTGCCGGTGTAACGGTCTGCACCCAGTCGATCCGCCCGCATGAGAAGGGAGCCAGCGAGACGATCTCCCACGCCGGGCGCAGCACCTCACGGCTGCCGTCGCAGCTGTCGACGATGCGCACCGCCAGCAGCGCGGCCAGGTGTGCCGTCGCATTGGGCGCGGCGCGGTGGGTGCGGAGGCGTTCGAAGCCCATGGCCTCGATCTCGACGCTGCGGTGGTCGACGGTGCCGTAGGAGGACGGGCCGCGGAGGCGGATGCGGTCGATCTGCTGGAGAAGGGTCTGATCGGTTGGCGTCCAGGCCAGCTCACGGACCTGGCAATGTGCTGGCTGAGGTTCTGGGCCGGCGAGGTCGGGCTGGACCTCCTCATGAGTCTGGTGGGCGAGAACAGACTCTGTCAGATGGTGGTGTAGCAGGCGAGCATCCATGCCGTCGAGCTTGGAATGCTCATAGACACCAGCTGAGCAGCCATTGGCGGCCACGACCAGCTGCAGCGGCTTGTCTAGCCACCGATTCGACAGGTGCGCCTTGGGGCCGTTTAGCAGGAACTGCATATGCCGCTCTCCGCTCGTCGACGGCGCCTCGTCATCCAGGCAGACGACAAAGGCGCACCTGTCGATGGCCGCCAGAGCGTCTGCCCGGGTCGAGTCGAGCTCGAGCTGGGCGCGGGCGCGCGCCCATGACGGGCGGTCGTCTGCAGTGAGTGCGCCGACGGCCGGCGTGGGCTCGTTCGAAGCGTCAATGATAGCCTCGTAGGCTGCTCGGACAGCAGAGGGCTGCAGCGCTTCTTCGACCCCAGGCAAGGTCATCTGAAAGGCGTGTCCGCGCCGGAGGACGACGATGCTGTAGCTCGGAGGGTGGCGCTCCATGTGGTCCACCTCGAGGCCAGGCCGTCGGGTGGCGTGGAACAGCCAGCGGCGAGCCTCAGGGTCCAGCGGCGCGCCGTGCAGCTCGTCGGGTGGTAGCTCGCCGAGGGCAAGGCGACGTGCGAAGCTTGTGGCTGCGGTGGTCAGAAGCGTGGCGCGGTCGACCTGAGTGTGGGGTGTGGTGGCGACCGGGTGGGCCAGGTAGAAGGTGCTGTAGTCCTGAAGGGGCTCACGGCGCGCAAGGTAGATCTGTCGCTCGTAGGCCTCGTCGAGGAGGTTTTCTGGGGTATCATGCAGAGCACGCTGGATGGACTCGCCGTGCTCGTTGATGAGCTGGCGTATGGCGTCGTTGGTGATGGCTTGTTCTTCTGGGGAGTCGACAGCTGCTCTAGATGCGGCGAAGGAGCTCAGCAGATCTTGCAGCGATGGTCGAGGGAGACTTGGCAGCTGCACCGGTGGATCATCCTGCTGTGACTTTCCGTCGGCCAACTTTGTCGAGGGTGATGTGGTGCCAGACAGCGTCGTAACAAATGACCTCTTCTCGTCGGTGTCCTGGGTGCTCTCCAGACCTGTAGACGGAGACGCCGCCGCCGCCAACGCGGTGCGGGCCACAATCCTCTCAGCCAGTCCATGCATGGTCTGCTCCATCAGGATCTCTGACGACTGCAGAGTCGCATCAAACTCCCGCATGACCCAGTTGCGCAGCTCGATGGAGATGAGCGAGTCCACGCCCAGGTCTAGCACCGAGGTCTTGTGGACATCGATGCGCCTGGCGTCCACAGAGATCAGGCGCGCGAGCTGGCCCGCCACGGCCGCGGCGGCGATGTCCGCGGCCAGGCTCGGGTCGCCACTGGCGAGCGCCTGTGTGAAGGAGGGCGCCGGGTCGGTAGGAGAGGATACGGATATTTGCCCGGCCGCTGTGGACGGAGGCGGACCACGGACGTGGCTGAATAGGGGAGAGTGCAGGGTGCCGTTGTGGGTGGTAGCCGTCGAGAGGGAGGCGGCGTCGAACCCGATGACGGCTTGTGTCGGGCGCGGTTCGCCGTCAGCGGCGCTGAGGGCGTGGTCTAGATAGCGGGATAGCTCGTCATGGGAGATGGGCCTGAGACCGGCTCGGCGAAGACCACTGCAGCGCTTGATATCAGCACGGAATGCTCTATTCTTCTTTTCATAAGAGCGCCACGTCGTATGAGACCGCCATGTGCAATACGCCCAGGCAGGATGTTCTCATCGGAGCATGCAGCATCTCACACAATAGAGAGGCTACAACACTCTCGGGATCAGGAGGCGACTGGGCAGGGCATCTGGCAGTATGATGAGAGAGAATCGACTTACTTTATTCGAGATTCGACATCGACAGTGAACGCAGCATCTTCGATCCACCCGGGACTCAGTGACATGTACCGACATCTCCGTCCCCGCCGGGCATAGGCCAGAGCATCCTGGACACTGTTACCGGCGTTGTAGTTAGCCTGTCCGCTGGAGCCGAGGATGTTGACCGCCGAGGACAGCATGATGAAGAAATCCAAGTGGGGCGACTCGAAGGTCCTCTCAAGCGCGATCGTGCCCTGGACCTTGACGCAGGTGGCCAGCAGGAAGTCCTCGTACGTCATCGAGTCGAGTGTCAGGTCCTGCAGTATCCGGGTCAGCGTACAGCTTGGGGTATGCGTGCGGCCTGTATCGCTTAGAGGCTCTAGTAGAAACGCACCTGAAGCACAGCGGCGGACTGAATGACACCTCTGACGGGAGGTATTCCGAGCTGGTTTATACGAGCAGCGGCCTGTCCAAGGCTGTCATAGTCAGTGATATCGCAAGTCACGCAATACAGGTTGCAGTCTTTGCTGATGTTCCTGAGCTCAGCCTGTAGCCGGCTGTGGTCTTCGACGCCGATAGACCTCCTTGAAAGTGTTATCAGGTGCTTTGCACCACGCCGAGCCATCAAAAACAACAGCCGTCGACCCAAGTCGCCCAGCCCCCCGGAGACAAGGTAAGATGCGCCTCTTGTGCTCCAGGCCGAAGCCTGCGTCTCGTGACACATCGCCACCGGTATGACTGCGTCTGCATCTGCTGTTACAGCAACTGTGGCACAAGTGCCTGCCTCGATGAGGCGGAGAGCTTTGGCCATGTGTTTGACGGGGCGCACGCAGTAATCGAAGCCTGTGACGGGCAGATAGCACAGGGCGGCGGCAGCCTGTGCCACAAGGTCGGAATCTAGGACCTCTGGACACTCGCGCAGGAGCTCTAGGACGTTACAGAAGAATACCGTAAAGTTTTGTGGAATATCCCAGCGTGAATGATCTTCCTGCTTCTTCGGACGAGAGTCTTGGGATCCAAGGACCGCGACGGAACCAAAGGGCCTCAGGTGGCCCAGGATCTGGGTAGGAACCTGGCCCTCTTGGGCCTGTACAATGATATCAACGCTTCTGACAGAGACATTCTTGGGTGATCTCGACCGGTGGATCACCACGACGCGGTCGACTGCGACGCCGAGCTCATCCACCATACGGCGAGCTTCCTGAGAGCTGGCGGCGCTGACGCTGACTATTGCCTCCAAGTGGCGGGCGACGGCCACTGTTGCCCTACCCACAGCGGTGAGTGCGCCGTGGATCAGGACATTTCCTTTGCGTGGCAAACGTGCTAGTTGTCTTAGAGCGTGGGACGCCGCTATGGCGTGGAGGATCATGGTTGACCCCAATGATGGGGAAATGCCTGGCGGCAATCGTCCGGCCTTTGTGCGCGGAACGACCAGCCGGTTGGCACCGATCCTTTCCCCGACGGCGACGATACGGTCTCCTGGGGCCAAGCCATGGACTGTGGCGCCTGTTCGGGTGATGATGCCTGCGTATGTGTTGTGGTGAGATGCCCTGAGCCCGTCTTCAGACAAGGCAAAAGCTTCCGTCTCGAATTCGACCTGGTTGTCGGCAAGTTGAAGCGGCCTCCTTTCGATTTCTTGGAAGACATGTGACTGAGTTGCATGAGGCGCATGTAGAGTTGGAGCTGCATCGCCTCCCGACAGGATGGCAAAGGTCCGGGAATCGTCGAGGAACCGCCGAGACGCAACGCCAGTGAGTGCTGTGGCGTCTTCGCGAACAGCCCGGTTAAGTGAATATTCAGGAAGAAGGCGTGGCACCAGAACTGTCCCAGCCTTGTTCACCCGGTACTCTCGCTCCTGATCAGCGCCCTCAGAGACAAGGACGCGGGCCAGCACATCAAGCAACCGGCTGCATATGCTCTCGTGGTCCGCGTACAACAGGTCCGGTGCGACGTGGAGGGTCGTGAGGCGCAGCATTTCGAGCTCGGCGTGAGCCGTGCGTGCCACGCCGGTGATTTGATGCATGGGCAGAGGCTCGTCTGGGCTGAGCCAGATGATAGTACGTCCCGGCTGCTTTAACAAGGAGACAACAGCACCGAAGCAGTCTGGATCTGAGAGGATGGGTTTCATCGGATCCTCAACCACAACAAAGCACTGTGAGGTGCTCTGCTCGTCAGAGTTGGCTGTGGGCCATGTTGTCCTCGCATGGAGGCTCTCCTGTGATACCGGACCAAAACGCTCACGCAACTGGCCCGCTAGATCGACCAACCATTTCTGCTCTGCATCGTCGTGGCGGCGGGTGAGGAGTCTAATCCCTAGTGGCCACTTCAGCAACTCTTGGCCCGTGGCCCTGGGCCGTGCGACAACGACCAAGCTGTCAAGAGCATCGGCGTGGACTGACAGCTGGGTAACAAGATTAGCTGCATGAAAGCGTGTGGCCAGGTCTTCATCTGAAATTCTTGTTCTCAGTTCCACAATCACAATCCCATCTGGCTTGGCGAGAAGATGAGCCCATTCTAACGACTGCGGCGTCGAGATGAGAACCACATCATAAGAATGCATCTCCAACCCTTGTTCAGAGATGTCTAGCCCAGGAGCCAGTGTACGGAAGCGCACAGAGTATCCAGCGAGCTGGCTACGCACTCTCTCGAGCGACTCGGGAGTCTCGCCCACGTATTCATGCGAGGGCCAGGTGCTTTCGTCGCCGCCGAGACAATTCAGAAAGGTAAGGGACAGCTCGGCCCGGCTGCTGCCAAATTCAATCACTGATGGGCTTTTCTTCTTGTACTGGACGTGACTAAACAGTTCTGTCAGCTTCGAAGCCGTCTTGAAGTCCTGGATACGGAGGAAAGACACATCCGGGCGCCAGTCGAGCTCGTGACAGATACCAGAGCCGCCCGCGTCCTCAACGCCCCGGTCTGATCGAGATGCGAGGCTTCGCAACTCGATCCCTGAGGCCGACAGCACCGCCTCACCATGTGCCGTGACAGAGATGTCGGAAACGGCGGTGTGAAATCGGCTGGACCTCATCGCCGTCAACACGTCCAGCGTGGAGCCCGGCTCGCGCGGCGTCGCAGGCGATGCGCACAGCAGGATCTCTTGGATATGAACCGGCATGATCGACGCCCGGCCTAGATGCTGCAAGGCCATGGGCAGGCTTGTGTGGAGCACGGTATCGAGTGTTGCTGGGTGGATGAGGTGAGGCTGTTGGTGCTGTGCTGGCATGAAAGCTGCGGTGTTGGGGATTCGGACCGTGGCAGTTGCACTTGAAGCATCAGCTTTCAGGATATAAGACTGAATGCTGGCGAACGTCGCCCCGTACGTATTCCCTGACTCTCTGAGCTCACGGTAGAGCTCTTCCGTGTCGACGGATGTGTCCTCCAGCAAGAGATCGCTGGGGTCAGCCAATGCCAGACGTCCCAACTGAGCACTCTCCATCCCCTCGCCGCCATACTCTGCCGTGGCCAATTTCCCTTCAACAGTTCCCCTGCAGTGTTCGCGCCACTCTCCATCCCACTCCGCCGTGATCCGAAAATCGAAGGCGAGCAACGTATCCGGTTGCGGCGTCAAGCTCAGCTGCACTTCGGTCCGCTGCCCCTGGATGTTAGGGACCACCAGCCCCCGCAGAAAGGAGACATCTCTTAGCGCTATGATCTCCAGCGGATGCTCAGCGTGGCGTTCCCTGTGGATCTGCCGGACAGCCTCGATGACCATGCAGAGGTAGCCGGAGCCAGGAAAGACTGGCTGTGAGTCGATAAGGTGATGTCCGAGCCATGGCAGTGTGTTGAGGCCGATCATGTGTCGCCAGCGGGGTTCGATTGACGTGTCGTCCATGGAACGCACGCCTAGGAGGTCGTGGTACGGTTCGCGGCGCATTCGGTACTCGCGGCTGATTCGCGACTCGAAGTGATGCTTCTGGGAATGGTCCCCTGGAGTGGATCGTCAATATTGATCCTTTCTAAACCAGGGACATAGCATGGCAGTAATGTATGGGAGTATGACCAGCGCCCCCGCTTCAGACAGAGAAAGAGGGAAGAAGGAGCAAAGGGAGTGGATGAGGGGAGAATAAGAGGAGAGCAGGAGGGAGAGACGAAAAGAGGCAGACTACTCACAGATGTATGATGGCATGTTTGGTAGAACGACGCCAGTACTCGAGTTCATCGACAAAGCTGACACAGCCTTTAGATTAACACCCACGTTTCGCTCAAACAGACGGCCGGCAGTGCCGAGTGTACTCGTAAGGGCATCAAGGTGCCTCTGCAGCACTGAGTAGTAGTCAAAAGACAACTTTGGCCTTTCCGTATTCGTGAGGCACTGGCGGACTGGCCCTGCGAGAGCCGAATGGGGCCCAATCTCGAGAAAGACGGTATGTTGAGTACCAGAATCGGTTCTTGCCAGCGTCTGCATCGCATCGTGGAATCGAACCGGCGACACGAGGTTGTCGACCCAGTACTCGGGTCCGAAGCCGGCCGACTTGACATCTCCAGACACGGAAGAGAAGAAGAGGATTCCCTTGCGGTTAGCACGTGCTTCCTCGTCCCAGCTGAGGCCCGCAAGGCTTGAGCGATAGTCATCAGCCACAGCCTGCATGTGATGAGAATGGTACGCAGTGTCAACGATCAGCCTGCGGTAGAAAGTGTGACTGCTTCTGTTCTGGCTGCCAGTAGCTGCGAGGCGTGAGACGACCTCGTCGACGGCGTCAGCATCGCCAGAGATAGTGACACTGCTAGGACTGTTGACGCAAGCGATGCTAGCGATGCCTCTTCTGAGCTCTCTTGTCAAGGGCAGGGCGTCGGCCTCGCCGAGACCAACTGATAGCATGGCCCCCGGGCCCAGACCCTTGGCTTTTGCAGCGTCCGCCATGAAGCCGCGGTGGTAGGCCAACGTGAGCGCCTGTCGTGCGCTCAAGTGGCCGGCTGTGTAGGCTGCTGCGATCTCTCCGCTGGAGTGGCCGACCACGGCCCATGGTTTGATGCTGAAGCTCTGTAGAAGAGCAACCAGTGCAATCTGTATGGCTGTGGTCGCTGGCTGGGAGACCTGTGCGGTATTCAGTCGGGCGGCCTCCGTGGATGGGCGGAGAAGCTCCTTTTCGAGGTCCCAGTCGGCACCCAGGTCGAGAAGCATATCCCGCGAGGCACGGAGCGAATCGCGAAAAGTACAGGAAGGCGTATCTTGCAACAACAGCTCGCGAGCCATGCCAAGCCACTGAGCACCTTGGCCTGTAAAGACAAAGACTACGACAGGAGCCTTACGGGCAGGCTGTATTTCAGGAGCCTTCAAGCCAGCCTCAATTTGGTCTCGAAAGGACTCGTGGTCACTGGCTACGCAGCTGAAACGCCAGGGCAGAGCAGAGCGACGGCAGCATAGCGTATAGGAGATATCTTGTAGCAGCGCTTCCTCAGGGCGACCCAGCCAAGTGTGATAAGATTTGAGCAAAGACTGAAGGGATTCACGGCTATTAGCGGAGAGAGTGAAGAGGAATGGACGGTGGATAGCCTTTGGGGGGAGAGAAGGCGCAAGAGTAGCACATTGGTGCGGGGCACGCTCGAGTATTGCGTGAGCATTTGTGCCCCCGAAACCAAAGCTGTTTATAGACACACGAGGCACTTTCTCTCGTTCGCTGCTCGGATCCTGCGGCCACGGCACGAGTTTCTTGGGAATAACAAGCTTCTGAGTGGGTAGGCCGGCTTTGAGGTCGCGTAGGCCGGCTGTACCTGGAATTTGAAGGTGCTCGAGCATAAGTATGGCCTTGACCAGACCAGCAAGGCCACTCGTATTCTCAGTATGCCCAATGTTGCCCTTGATGGAGCCCACATGAAGAGGCGTTGAGCGCTCAATATCGGGACTTGTGAACACCTTAGCGATGGCTGCGAGCTCCTCGAGATCACCCGCTCTTGTGCCAGTCCCATGAGCCTCGACATAAGACACGTCCTGGACACTCGTTTGCCAAATCAGCTATCGAATGACAGAGTATAACGAGTGCTTATTCTGGTGATATCTGTCGTGGCTTACCAGGGGTGACAAGCCCGCTTTTGCGTATGCTTCGCGGATGAGCTGCTCCTGGGCAGTTGCCTGAGAGCCAAGGTTCTGGGTCAGCAAGCGCCATCAAAACATGCCCCGATATGGCACACACTTCATCAACATACTAGCACTCGAATTGAGAATTCTTAATAGTTCATGACTCACACTTGGGTACGTGATACTGGCGGGTGTGTAGCCGTCCTGGTTCACGGCCGTGCTGCGGATGACTGCCCGGATGGGATCGCGGTCTCGCAGGGCCTTGTCAAGAGTCTTCATGACAAGCACGACACCCCCTTCTCCGCGCCCGTAACCATCACCGCGCTTATCAAATGGAAAGCAACGACCGGCACCACTGGTCAAATGGAGTGTGCTCATGCCAATGCGCTGGTCTGGGCCCCTGATCTCGCGTCAACAAGAAATCTCTAAGGAGACAAGAAGTTTTCAGAGAAAATAGGAAGAAGGTTTCAGAGTATAAAAAGTATTTGTTTTTCCCCAAAAGAAAAAAATTAAAAATTTCCGATAAGCGTAAAGGAAATCAGAACCTTTTTTTTTTAAAAAAAAAAGGAAAATTGCTAACAATGTTGGAAAAGTCTGAGTAAAAAAATGAAGACTAAAGAAGTATCGAGACTTCAGAATCTAATGACGAGAGAAGACTAGCCATCCATCTAGAAATCTAAGAGCTTTTACTTATATACCAAGCGGAAAAAGAACTGCAGACCTTATAAGCAGAGAGAAATGCTTACATTGTCAAGTTGGCAGCGGCAACAATAGCTGCATCGGACTCGCCAGCATAAAGACTCAGGCAGGCCTGATGTACAGCCACCAAGCCACCAGAACAAGCCGTATCGATCGTCATAGAAGGGCCATGCAAATCAAAGAAATGTGAGATTCGATTTGATAGTATGGCCTTTTCAACACCTGTAAGATAGTATACTGGCAAGTTGAGGGGATCCCTGTAGAGATTCCGCTCAAAGTCCGCTGTGAAACTTGCCGCGTAGACGGCAATCTGGGAACCAGCGCACAACTCGAGCGTCCAGCCGGCATCCTCGAGAGCCTCATATGACATCTCGAGCAGCATCCTCTGCTGCGGATCCATGGCTGCCGCCTGTTGTGGTGATAAGCGGAAAAAGGCATGGTCGAATTCCTCAAGGTCTGCGTCGACGAAGTGACCGCCTCTATGGTTGTTGGTGCCGTTTGGGTCGTCGCCGCTCGGGTGGTAGAAGGCTGCCTCGTTGAACCTATCGGCTGGCACCGGGGACCAGGCCTCGCCCGACCGCTCGAGCAGCTCCCACAGCTGCTCTGGGCTGTTCGCGCCGCCTGGCAGGCGGCATGACAGGCCGACGATGGCGATAGGGACTGGAGGGCCTGGATCAGCCATGTTTGTTGTTCGGTGCGGGTGTTGAATAGCTGGATCTGGCGGGTGGTTTCTTCAATAGAGCAAGTCAGAGACGCTGGCTTATCCGCATGTTTTTCCCCAAGTCAGACATATTTTACATTTTATGTATTGCGCCTCCCATGCGACTTCAAGACTAAGTCAACAAGCTCTTTGCAAAACCAATCGCACCCGCGGATACACAGTAGCCAGTGTCTGTCCCAGATGCTATAGACTAGCCCATGTACCGGTTCTGGCCCCCAAATGCAGAGGATTCGCTTGCGTAAACCGTAGCATTATATCAAATTATAGTATCCACAAGGTCATGCGATTCGCCGGGATGAGCTGTATCTACGATTTGTGTTATGTAGGAAGAAAGGAGCACAGTGGCCGGCAGGTGGGCGACCGGATTTCACGTGTCAAAAGACGAGCCCCATAGCCAGGCATTACTGGATCCATGTAGTACATCGAGGGTGGCAATACGAAAAAGTAATGCACAACTAGGAACTGTGCATGTCGCAGCATTTTGAGCTAATGAGTGTGGAGCAGCTAAAGATTCCACACACTGCAGGTTGATCCTTCCCAGACAAATACGTGAGACATTGCAACCCTCTTAGGAGAAGCGTCGGAAGGTCAGCAAAAGGTAACATGAGGGAAAATCCATCTTTAGTGTGCGCCCCGCGGCCCTGCAGTGCAGATTCGTCTTCGCTTAGTACTTTCATTCACAGCTCCAGGGTACTACTTGGGTATCTGCCTTGGTACCGACTGCATATCTCAGAATAAGGGGTATGAACCGGCATCTACCCACGTGAAAACCTCGAGTGCGAGGAGGCATACCAGCCGAGAACACCTGAAAGGCATCCCTCTCTCATCTTTCTTTTTTTTTTTTTTTTGTTTTTTTTTGCCTTCTTCTTTCTTCGTGGAACATTATTCTCTTGCTTTTGTTGACTCCCAAGGCTCGTTCAGCCTCTCTTTCCAGAGATCCATCTTTTTACTCAATCATGGCGGACAATGCATCCCAGCCAGATTTTATTGGTTACAGACTGGTTATTTTTATCGCCTTTTTTACCCCTCTTCAGTTCCTAGTTGTTCTTTTGCGCTTCATCTCGCGTCGCATGACTGCACGTCCCCGTGGCTTGGACGACTGGCTGGTCCTGGCGTGCCTGGTCAGTCAGTGCGTACAGACGGGTATATCGATAGGTCAGTACCGGGCAACAAGAGCATTATACTGAAGTACTGCAACAAAGAAGGCTGATGGACTCCGGTTCTGTATAAAAGGAGCCATAAAGGAAGGTGGCGTGGGGTATCACGTTAGCTGGCTGGCAGAGAACCGCCCACAGCTGGTCACCAGCTTCCTGAAGTTCCTCGTCGCCATCGCAACGTGGTATTTCCTGACCAACTGCCTAGCCAAGCTGGCTATCTGCGTCTTCTACCGGACGCTGTTCCCACAACGAGGCGTTCTCGTCATCCTCTGCATCACTGCCAGCATCCTGATCTGCACGGCTATAGCCACGACTGTCGCCAACTTGGCCGCGTGCCAACCCTTCTCGGCTGCCTGGGCCTCGACGGCGGTCCAGGCTGAGAAGTGTGTGGACAAGGAGAAGCTGTACATATGGGCTTCGTTCCCAAACATCGTCACGGATGTGGTGCTGCTCGTGCTGCCTCTGCCCATCACCTGGGGGCTGCACACAACAGTCAAGATGAAACTGGCCTTGACCCTGACGTTTATCATTGGAAGCGTGTAAGTAGGGCGACGAATTGCCGGGCCAGATGAAATATTGCTGACCACACGCGCCCTCCAGAGGCCTCATCTCCTCCATACTGCGTTTCATCTCCTTCTCGAACAACAACTCGTTCGAGGATGCCACATGGAACGCCGTCGAGCTCATCATCTGGACGATTGCAGAGCCTGGGATCTACTTATTAGCGGCCTGCCTCATGACCTACCGTCCCCTCCTGGACAGGGCTAGCGCAAGACTTCGCACACAGGCTGGCCAGTCGAAAACCCCCTCGCAGCCTTCATCTTCCTTGGCTGCATCACGGACCAAGGCATCGGCAAAGTCGCCCGCTACATCGACGAACCGAGCGCCCCTCAGCCTGTCTGCAGACGACTACATGTTCAGCAGCGACCGGGGCATCCTGCTGTCGAGCATCCGGGCGAGGGATCAGGGGTTCGAGCGGCTCTCGGACCCGGAGGCAGACCCGGAGGAGGACCCAGCGTTACCGAGCGCTGGAATCGTCAAGACGACGAATATTCGCATGTCTTGGGAAGAGGTTAGGTGACGGTTGGCTCGCCGTGATCAGTGTTAATAATTGTGCGGGTGCTCATTAGATGTTGTCAGATCTTTGCTGGAGCCAACTTTTGCATAGGCTTCGTTGTACTTGTGAGACTGCCAGACTCTGCGACGTATTCACAGGCATGAGCATATACCAAAATATTGTAATCCTACTATTCAAGATTGATAGATAGAGTCGAGATTGAGACACCTCAGAACAGGCTTGTCTGCTTTGGCTATTAACGAGGCTCCGAGGCCTTTCTTTTTTTCTACATTTAAAGTTGCTCACATTCTTTCCCTCTTCTCTCTCTCTTGTTTTTTTCTTGTTTCTCTTTTCCTTTCTCTCCCCTTCCTGGACATCTTGGACAGAATTCGGCGACGAAAGTACCGCACGTACTTTGGGTATTCTATCAGGCTGGGACAGAGAGATGCAACAGGCGTTCTCCAGCCTCTATCAGCAACACATGAGCGATACCCAAGCAAGCTAGCTCTCTTTCTTCTCACCCCGGCTGCCCGGCTAGTATTTTCCTCCCGTGCCTCTTGAACGCATGAGAAGGAAGCACACCCTTGTCTGCCGCTGGAGTGTGGGTTTGAGCCGCACTGTGACAGGGACAGGGTATACAGCCCCTTGTCCAGGCAGATCCAATTAAAGTCCCTAGCGCCAAGTGCGCTGCAACGTCATCCCGTGAAACCTCGAGGAATCCTAAGTACTTACACAAGTACTCAGCGCCTCCGACATCAATTTACCACTGCTCCTGGGCCCAACCGCGCTGAAGAGTCCCCGTCTGACCTCCTTACCAAAAGTGAATTGCGACGAGTAGTCCGTACATCAACCCTGCGCTAATGTTGCATCGTACAAAACTAGTATATGCGGTGTGATCGAGGCAGTGACGACCGAGGGTGACGCCGTCCTTTCCGGTTGGTGGGGGCCATAGAGCATCATCGCGCCTTCCCTTGATCCCTCGAAAAGAACTCAACCTCCCTCGTGACAGACAGTCCAGATTCACTCAGGATCTCTGCACCTCTACGAATCTATCCATTAGATGTGCTGCCTTCGTTCGTAGCTCACTTTCTGGCCGAGCATCGCTGTCTAGCTATCGTCGCCATGGCCTCTCAAGTTGGCAGCACGCAGACCGAACTGTGGCCGCAGATCGTCGACCGTCTCGCTCGAGAACAGCCCAGTGCGCCCTACGGCCTCTGGCCAGTGGCCACTGACTCATACAATGCGGGCTTCCGCACCATCACATACAGTCAGCTTGCGACTATCGTCGACAACCTCGCGTGGTGGATTGCGAGGGAGCTCGGGCCGCGCCAGGGCGAAGCTGGCGTCCTGACCTATGTGGGCCCCAACGATGTTCGCCTCACTGCCATGATCATCGCTGCTGTCAAGGCCAACCACGTGGTGAGACGAACGAGACCCCCCGACCCCCTTACCTTCAGTAAGAAAGCCTCCCTCGCCTGCTAACAAGCTTCCCAGCTGTTCCTGACGTCGCCTCGCAACAGTCCCGCCGCGCAGCAATCCATGTTTTCGGCCCTGAACTGCAAGACACTGGTCACGACTGACCCCAAACCCCCGTCAGTGCTACCGATTCTTGAGAGCATCGGGCCCCGCTGCCTCACAGTACCTGCCATCGATGACCTCCTGGCAGTACCACCTTCGCCCTTTGCCTACGAGAAACCATTCGAGGCAGGACGTTGGGATCCACTCTTTGTGCTGTACGTCTCACAAATCGAATCAAACATATCCGAGTTCTTTTCGTATCATTGACCAAAAAATTGATATCATCCTTTCTCTTGCAGACACACCTCTGGCTCAACTGGGATACCCAAACCCCTGATATGGACACAAGAGTCGTGCGTGCGACATCATGCTTGTGCCAGCCAGGCGATCCCCAACGAGCAAGGCCTGGCATCAGTCGAGCATATCTTGTGGGGAAAGCGGGTGATAGTAACAGTGCCGTCCTTCCATGTGAGTCCTGTCCTCGCTCTCCAGGAAAGTGCTCATGGTGGCGTGAACGCCGGCTCACTGTTTCTAGGGAGCTGGCATATTGCAGTACATGTGCTGGGCGGTCTGTGCGGGCTGTATTCCAATTGCGCCTGCTGCCGTCGGCATCGTAACAGCCTCCGGGCTCGCTGAGGCCCTCAAGCACACGCCCGCCGAGGTCGCAATCCTCGTGCCTTCGGTGGTGGCCGACCTCGCCCAGCATCCACATCTGCTGACGTACTGCGCGGGCCATCTCAAGCTGATCCTCTATATCGGCGGCGACCTGCCCCAGGCAGTCGGCAATATAGTTGCAGCGCAGATCCCACTGCGATGCTGGTGGGGGGCTTCCGAGGTGGGCATACCACACCAGCTGATACCGGCCGGCCTCAGTTCCAAGGACTGGCGATATGTGCGCTTCCACCCCTCAGTCGGGGCAGTATTTGACCCGATCTCTGACGATACATACGAGCTCGTGATCCGGCGCGATGAAACCCTGGCTCAGGTATCCTTCACTATCAGGGGCCAGGAAGGACTCAAAGAATACCGTACCAAAGACTTGTTCCAGCCTCATCCTACCGTTCCAGACGCGTGGTGCTGGCGAAGCCGGTCAGACGATATTATTGTCCTGCTGAATGGTGAAAAGACCAACCCTGTCTCCATGGAGCAGCATATCGTTGCTCATAACCACGAACTAGCTGCTGTCTTGGTGGTTGGTACTCGGCGCTTCCAGACTGCTCTACTGATCGAGCCTGCTGCCCTCGCTGAGAGAGGTCCCCTATCAACATCCGAACAGGCTGCACTGATCGAGCGGGTCTGGCCGTCTGTTCAAGAAGCTAATGCCGTCGCGCCAGCCCATGCGCGAGTTGAGAAGGCCCTGATCCTCGTGCTGGACCGCCCTGTGCTACGGGCTGGGAAAGGCACAATCCAGCGTGCCTCGAGCGTCGAGCAGTTTAGTGCTGAGATCGAGGCCCTATACGCCAACGCCGACGTCATCACAGACGACGAGAATCGCCCGGGCGAGGCGTCTTGGGACCTCACGGATGCTGCGAGCATCGCCCGTTTCATACAAGAGACTGTCAGTGATGTGACCGGCTGGCCTGCTCCTGACCAAGCTGAGACTGCTGAGACTTTCTTTGACCGCGGTATGGACTCCCTCATGGCGCTTCAGCTGGTCAGGCGCCTGCGGCATAGCCTACAGCGCCCTGAGCTTAGCCTGTCCACGGTCTACTCAAATCCGACAGTATCTCAGCTGAGCCACGCGATCACAGCGCACAAGACTGGACAGGAGGACAGTGACGCCTCGCAGCTAGAACCTATGCTGAAGACATATCGTGCGCTTATCGAGCAGATACCCAAGCCGAAGATGGATATGTCTGGCTCCGAGGGGGAGAGAAAGAAGCAGCCTCTTACAGTCGTCCTAACAGGGTCCACTGGCACGGTGGGGACATTCCTCCTGCGCGCCCTGCTCGACCGACCAGAGATTGGGCGCGTCTACTGTCTGAACCGCTCTGAAGATGGCGGCCAGGCTATACAGAAGGCGCGGATGGCTGAGAGGGGGCTGGAGCTGGCTGATCTGGGCGAGCGGGCCACGTTCCTCCAGGCCGACCTGCGGCGGCCGCTGCTCGGGCTCGATGAGGCGACGTACGAGAGGCTGCGCTCACAGGTCGGTCTCGTTGTGCATAACGCGTGGCCCGTCAACTTCAATCTGGGGCTGACCGCCTTCCGGCCGGAGCTGGTCGGGCTCGTCAACCTGCTTCACCTCTGCGCAGCCGCCAGCCCAGAGCGCACCGCCTCTTTTGTCTTCATCTCGTCGGTCGGCGCCGTGGGCACTCGCCTGTCTACAGCCGCGCCGGCCTCTCCTGCGCCCGAGAAGTTGCTGCCCCTCAGCGACGCCCCAACCTCGAACGGCTATGCACGGAGCAAGTTCCTGTCCGAGCTGCTGTGCGATACTGCAGCACGACGCCTCGGGATCCCCATCACCATCGCCCGCGTCGGCCAGGTAGCTGGCCCTGTCCGGCGGGCAGGCGGCGGCGAGTGGAACCGCAAGGAGTGGCTCCCCAGCCTCGTCATCGGGTCTCTTGCGATGGGCTGCCTCCCCGAGCAGCTTGGCCCTCAGTTCTCGGAGATCGACTGGCTGCCCGTGGACCTGCTGGCCGATGTCCTGGCCGACCTCGCCACGGCAGACCAAGCCGACTCGGAAGAACCCAGCGAGCCGCACAGGGCGCAGGTCTACAACCTGCGCAACCCCCACACCACGACCTGGGCGTCGCTGCTGCCTTGCATCATTGAGACGGTGAAGGCGAGCCGCGGCCCCCAGCAGCAGGTGCCCAAAGTTGTGCCGCCGTCTGCGTGGCTGGCGCGGCTGGAGGCGGCGTCCACGTCCGCCGACGACGCGGTACTCGTGACGAACCCAGCCATCCGGCTCATCGATTTCTACCGAGACGAGGTGCGGGGTGTGGATGAGCGCGCTAAGACGCCGCCGATGGCGATCGAGCGGGCGCTGGCCCGCAGCGAGGCTCTTCGTGGGGTGGAGGGGGTCGGCCCGGAGTGGATGCAAAGGTGGGTGAAGGAGTGGATGGCGTGAGAGCCGAATCCTTGGTCACGATGGAGCTTCTTGGAATGTGAGGTGACTGTAATACTGCTTACTATTTAAAACTACAGCATATTAAAGCTATCACTCAAAATCTCCTAGTATAGTTAAGGTATTACTGTCAGTCTCTCAGATGTACAGTGAGATGGCTTCGCAGCTCTATGTAAGGCCAAAATAAAAGAGGACCAAAAGAAAAACAAAAAAAGAAGAAAAGATCATCTGCATTCCCAGCTAATCTCTAGTGAGCTCTAGCTACTCCAGCAGTCACATGTAATATTTTAGAACTAGGCACCAAAAGCCCTCGAGACCTTCTCGCACATGGAACCTCAAGAAGGAGGCGTGACGTGAAGCCAGGATAGACGTCCCTCTTGTCTGTGTCTGGGGATCACCCTACATAACAAGAGAAGCATCCAAGTTTTTTCTATCCAAATGTTTTGATGGCCCTTGAAAGGAATTCCAAGCTATCATGTCCAACTAAGGCATGTTTTACTACAAGGGAACCTCTGGATCCCACGAGGGCTCTACGGGAGAGGAGGACAAGGTAATCCGGATCGAACCGACCAGCAGAGCCCCAGGGAAGTGGAGGGCTAAGCCATTCAGGGCAGGGAGCATGCGGGTCAGCCCATTGCCGCAGTATTTACCGCGAATTAAGAAATCCTTCCGATGCAGGGCCCACAGAGTACCATTGCATGCACGGTATTCCCGTCCTTACACAGTGCGACGCCCTGATGTGCGTTTATTGGCTATGGGGGAGGATGATCATGTTAGTGATGATCATGATGTTAGTAATGATCATGTTAGTGATGATCATGTTGGTGATGATCATGTTGGATGGCCCGCAAAGTCGCCATTCGGGGTGGATCCAGCATTGCAGTCAAGGAGAAGGAATGGGATGCAGGCAGGCAGGCATGCAGGCATAATGGCAAGCCAGAAATTGAGACGCGATTTGTACAACAGCACCAGATTGCAGCGTTGCATCAGGCTGAGAAGACGTTGTCCAAAGGTCCAAAGGTAACGCCGGAAGGATCAGGTAGGGGAGGGGAAGGTGGTGGACCGCCGTTTCATGAACCCAAAGCAAGCCTCCCGCACGAAGGACATGCCATAGTAGTACATGAACATCGGGTGATTGATTGTTGATATGGCCACCAGGTGGGTACAATCTACGCCAACCGACAACTTTGCTATTTGGGGGCCACACGTGTAAATCGCCTCAGTACGAGTTCACGTGAGACAAGCCGGGGAACATTCTTCCGCCGCTGCCTCGGAGGTCAGACAAACAAGCAGGCATTCGCTCGTCTGTTGGAGATAACCATCATACGTTCCACACGCCTTGATTGATAGTGGGCCTCCAGTCGTAGGGCTGGCCGTCCTTGGGAGAGAGAGGATGGGATGTCTATGCTCTGCTGCAAAGGACAAGTTTGAACCCGTTGGTGGTACTTTTGTTCATAGCGCTGGAGTTGGGAGTCGGTTTAGGAGGGGGGGGGGGGGGGGGGGAGGTTGGTGGAAAACATGTTCGCTTGTTCCCAGGGAGGCACAAGGTGGGCTGAGCTGTGCTGTGGGGACCCGATCGCTTCCTCTGAGGCTTGCGAGTGAAAGAGTGTGTGTGTGTGTGTGTGTGTGTGTGTGTGTCTTGTTGACAGCCGTGGCCATTGCATTTTGTGAAGTGTACGCACTTAATCGACTTGCATATATCCTACACAGGAATCAACCTCGAGGCGGTTGTGGCCAGCTCGGAACAGCTCGTAATTTGACGACCGAGAAGGGTTGACCCTGGTAAATTATATGCCATTCCTCCCTTTCCTCCTGACGAGGGAACGAACCACTTCACAGTCACGACCCGATGTCATCTGCATCACTCAGCATCCCGTGAGGAACGCCATAATGGAAGAAGGAAGTGGCCCCGGCGCATACGCCGCAGGAGAGCGCGTTGGCGAGATGCCCAAGACCCTATGCAGCTCGCGAGACCACGAGGTAGTAGAGATGGGCACACAGGCAGTCTCGACTCCTCTAAGAGATGAAGCAGGAGGAGGACAAGGAGAAGAAGAAGCCCGACTAGAGGCTTCCGCCGAGCAGGCGCCCATCCCCGAGGCGCCAGATGGGGGCCTGCAGGCGTGGCTTCAGGTGCTGGGTGGCTTCGTCATCTACTTTAACACCTGGTGCGTATAGCTTCGTGTTTCCACTCTCCTTCTCCCGGGACCTGGCGTGATGTCTCTTCGATCTTGTCGTCCTTGTCCTGTCCTTGTTGCTGACAGCCAGTCAGGGGCCTTATGATCAGCTTTGGCGTCTTCCAGACCTACTACCAGGACCACCTCCTGGCCGCCTCGTCCCCCTCGGCCATCGCCTGGATCGGAACCATGCAGGCCTTCTTCCTCATCGAGGTCGGCGTCGTCACCGGCCCGCTCTACGACCAGGGCTACTGCCGCCACATCCTGCTCGTCGGCACCGTCCTCCTCGTCCTCGGCGTCGCCCTCACCAGCGTCGCCACCCGGTACTGGAGCGTCTTCCTCTCCCTCGGCGTCTGTACCGGCATCGGCATGGGCTGCCTCTTCTTCCCGGGCGTCACCTCCATCAGCACCTACTTCACCCGCCGCCGGGGTCTCGCAGGAGGGCTCGCTGCGGCTGGGAGCGGCGTCGGCGCCATCGTCTACCCCATCGTCCTCCGCCAGCTCGTCGCAGCCGCCTCGTTCCCCTGGGCTGTTCGCGCCGTCGCCCTCATCGTCCTCGTCACCAGCCTCGTGCCTCTCCTCGCGGTCCGACCACTCTGGCTGCCCTCCGCCCGCCGCCGCCTCCTCGACCGCGCTGCCTTCCGCGGCGACGGCAGTTCTATCTTTGCCTTCTGGTCTCTTGCCAACGTCGTCGGCTGGGTGGGCCTGCAGGCGCCCATCTTCTACGCCAATGCCTTCGCCCAGAACGTCGTTAGCCTCTCCCAGGCCGATGCCTTCTATGTCTCAGCCGTCCTGGGCGCCGGCTCCCTCCCCGGTCGCCTCCTCACCGCCCTCGCCAGCGACCGCCTCGGCCCGCTGTGGGTCTACCCAGCCTGCATGGCCCTTGCGGGTGTCATCTCGCTGGCATGGATCGGCGTGCGCAACTACGCCGGGCTCATGGTCGTCGTGGTCCTGTACGGCTTCGCGTACGGCGGCATCTCGTCGCTGCCGCCCGCGGCCATCGCCGCCCTCAGTCCGGACGTCGCAACGCTAGGCACGCGCATCGGAACGTCCTTCTCTGTGGCCGGCTTCGCCATGCTAGTCGGGCCGCCCATCGCGGGGGCCATCGAGCAGAGGGGGAGGGGCGCGGCGGCGGGGTACGAAGGCATGTTTGGCTTCGCGGGGGCGGTAACAGCGGCGGGGAGCCTGCTGCTGTTTTATGCGGCGTTGCTGCAGCGCCGACATGTGCGGGCCGGGTCGACGACGAACAAGGAGAGCGAGTGAGGGGCGGGGTCAATTGGTCCGAGCAGTTGGTCTTGTGGGTGAGCAAGGGAAAGAGAGAAGAGCGGGATGCTTGGTTGGGCGAAGGGCTCGTCTCTAGCTACAAGGTCCTCTCGGTTCGCACATATTTTGTATTCGTGCTGCCCTCTGGTCCTGGTCACCTTGTCAGCTCTGACCTTGTAATAAGTCTTCATGAGGAGCTGTACCCGTCCAGCAAGATGGTCGTACCTAGACTCGTCTACAAACACACCGCCCTTTGAGAACATACAGTCAGTCGGGAGATTCAAGAAGAGAAGACGACTCACAGCCTACGCCTTGGGCTTGGAGAAGGGCTTTAGCCATCCTCTGTGGTTTTTGTCTTGTTGTGGTCTGTCCGTTTTCTTTGCTCGAATATTCACTGTAGATTGAATAACTGAAGAGCTAGCAAAGATTATACTAAAACCAGCTAATAGTAACTCGATAAACTATTTTCAGATACTAGCAAAGATGAGTATTTCAAGTCGGATAGCCTGCAAAACTATAAACTGTGCCGTTGAGAAAAGTATAAGGGCAATGGCCCCCATCGATATTAGTGCCCGGACCTGGCCCCTGGCTCACGTATGTCGCATTGGGATTTATCGATGCTGAAGCGGTTCCCGGTATGGGAAACTTCCAGATCTGTCCAACTGTATTCTCCCAGCCGTAAAGCGAGCCATCAGGTACAGAGAACATAGCGCCATAGCTATTGTTTGTCGAGTTAGCGGTATGGCCTTCAGCAGCAACAGCAGTCCAATTATTGGATGTAGCTCCTCCAACAAGGTCTTTAGTAAATCTCAATAGAGTGTTTGTATAACCCGTCGGGTTTACACCAAGTCCATACTAACAGGTATAGTAAATTAGTACAAGTAGCTAGGAATAAGGAAAGCAGTTCCAAGTTAACCAAGACTTACAAGATACGCATCATTTCCGGGCGTTGCTGAGAAAGCCCAGTCGTAAAGTTGCCATGTACCAGGCACAGTCGCCGTGCTCGAATTAAGGGTCTGCAGATACGTCCGAGACTGCGGGTTGAGGTCGATCTTGTAAAATGTCGTGACTGCGTTCCACTGTGTAAAACCCCAGTAGACGCCATACTGGTCGAAGTCGCCACCGCGCAAACTAGCAGTTCCTGTCAAGTTAAGAGGTACGCTAAGAACAGATGTGCCCAGAGCCGATATCCTGACAAATCTGCTAGAAGAGCCGTTGGATGTCACACCATAGATATAGTTATCAGTCGGATTGTAGCTCACAGCGTTGAGATTGTCGTTCCCATTGCCCAAACTTGTGCTCACTGTATTGTAACTTCCTGTCGTGAGATTCACTTGAAGAAGCGTTGTGGACTGAACTAGATATGCATAGGCATCACAAGACCACGTAGGGAATGGCGATTCGACAAGGACTGTGCCTTGTACAGTCCCACTAGGCTGTTCAACAGTAGTCGTGACATACACGAAGCCACTAGTGTATGTGGTGGTGATAGTGGTGTAGTTCCCCTGAACTGAGTTGCTACTTGTTGTTGTTTGCGAACTCGACGTTCGAGAACTCGAAATTTGCGGGCTCGAAGTTTGCAGGCTCGAAGCTTGAGAACTCGGAATTTGAGAACTCGAAACTGGAGTAGGTGATGTTTTGGTCGGCTGTATTGTTGGCGCTGTTGTTCTTGCAACCGCAGATGCAGAAGAAGATGCTGAACTTATAGCGGAAGAGCTTGAGGAACGCGGTAGTGCTAGGCTGGGCAAAGTCGTGGTACTGAGCTAGGCTAGAATAACAAGCTGCATAGGCAGAGTATAAATCTGCCCACCATCACTAGGCAGGATGGACACAGTGACTGCGAAAGATTGAGGCGCAGCATCTATAGAAACATCTGCAATCAAATTCCTTCCCTCTCCATATATCCAAGCTTCGAAAGGATCCGAGTGGACGCGGGACAGAGTGTCTGTAGGCTTCCTTAGATAAGGAATCAGGGAAGCTACCAACTCTTGACCTGGGTACGCATAAAAAACGATCGGAGTTGGTAAGCTTGTCGATAAAGCAGACAATTGAGTCGACAAGACGGTGCTCAAGGAGAGTGTAGGCCCTATCCTTGGATCACGGCTCACCAAAACCACGATCAGTAAAGAAACGGAATAGATTTCTCCACTGCCGTTGATGTTTACTGCAATACTGAACGTCTCTGGGACTTCATCTGCGGGCGGGTCGACATGTAGTGTCCAAATGCCTCCAGTCTCTGAATCGTATATCCAATTCTCGGGTGACAATATAGATGCCACGGAATCCGTAGGATCTCGGAGATAGGCCTCGAGGCTAACAGCTAGGCTCTGACCTTCATAGACGTAGATAGTAGGTGTGGACGACGGGCTAGTTGATGACGAACTAGTGGTGGGAATGCTGCTCTCGGATGGTGACTCAAATTGATTCGGGCTTAGCAGTGAGAGCGGAGACTCCGACGAAGACGGTGATGCTACCGAGACTATTTGAGGCTGGCTGAATGTGCCGGTGATCGCATTAGATGACAAAGAACTGAGCGATGAATCCTTGATAGCTGAGGAGCTAATGCTGCTGATCGCAGAGGGGCCTCGAGTAGCAATGAGAGACTGGGACGTATCCGAGACAATATTCTGACACTGGTTTTCTACATCCAAGTATCAGCTTGAGCCACAACAAAAGTCAGGAATAGAACACAGACCAGCTATGACTACAAGCTCAACAGTTGTACAGCAGGCAGGACCGCCGGCGACTGTAAAAGTAGCATAGGAGTATATCGTTCAGTTCACAAAAACCAGCCGTGTTGTTGAAAAGGCTGAATTCTGCCACACTAACATGCTATTGACAACCTCGAACCGTGTCGTGATAGTCCCAATCGTCAAATTGCTCAGGTTGATATACGGAACATCCGGATTGACCAAAACCGGCTGATTAGTGTCGAGATCAGTCAAATTGTAACCCATTAGTTGGTAGACTTTTGCATTACTGCACTCGTCCATTGTGCCACTTGCAGATACGTAGCCCATGCCAAAGTTTGATAGCGCTGCTTGTCTTTTGCGGTGGTAGCTGTTATCATCCGCCAGAGCGACTCTGGGAATTAATGTAGGGACAGACGGCCGATACATGCTCAGAACTATCATGCTGACAATCGCAATCGTGGCAGCCGGCGGCAGCGGTGCTTGGTTCATAATCATAGGCGCACTTGCAGCATTGAAAGCTGTTCAGGAATCATTCTTGATTAGCCAGTTTGGAGCTGATCATCTGAACCGGATTCGTCCCTTGCCACTTTCCGACTCTATACCAACCTGACTTGCCGTGATAGCAGGACCAGCACCACTTCCTACCTCTGTCGGCTCTCCAAGTTGCGTAATAGCGGGACGCTCGACCACCATGGTGGCAAGGTAGGTTGTCGCATAAGTGTAACATACTGATGGTGCATGGTCGAAGCCTGGATCGTGTTGTATATTCAAAGTACCGCTATTGGAGAAGTTGCGGCAATATGCCATCAGAGGGAACAAGAAGAAAATGACCGATAAAATAATGAGTAACGTAGCTTTTTCAATGCAGAAAAGAGTTCAACGGCGTGCAGTTTCTCCTGGAGTCTTGCGAAAAGCGGGACGCAGTACATTTTAGTATATCTACGGGCTGAGCCATTGCGAATCGCTTTGTCGCGAATCGCGCCGAGTATTTGGAATCGACCAAGATTCATCATGAAGTCGTAGATCGTTACTCTCTTCTGAATTTCTAACCCGTGTATAAAAATCGGCATAATGGTCTGGCACAGGGGTAGCATGCGTGATACCAAACGTATGGCTCGTAGCGGGATGAGTGGCTAGACTTCTCAGACATAATATTACTAACATTTCTTAGTCCGAGTTCAAGACTACGCGACAGCTCGCCGCGTCCCCTAGAAAAGTTTTAATCGATTATAAGCAGTCCTAACTCATGCAGTGCTCACCTTTTGCTCGTACCTCCCGAGCAGCCAGCATCATACCAAGATAGGTAAGTATCAATATCAATTAGCTGTGAGGAAAGTGACAATGTTTCAACACTAGGAATCCGAGGAAATGAGTCATTAATAATTAGTATATTCGGCAAATGCAACGATTGCTAATCATTGTAGACTTACATCAAAGGATGCAAGGTTTGTGCTAGATGAATAGAAGATGCTGCGATATATAATTCTTCCAAGAGTATCGCCGAAGCTAGATAGAGTGCATGCTTCTTCGATCTCTTATAATAATGACATTCAATGCCTCGAATTTCTTGAAATATTCATAGGAACTAAGTCTTTTGAGACTTTCGAACCTAGAAACTAGATCAGTTGATTGCCAGAATCTAGCTGCTTGGGTTCTTCTGTCACTTATATCACTATAAGAACTTTTCGTTTCATGGCAAGCAACTAGGGAAGAAAATGATTAGAAGCTCTAGAATGAGATGAAGGAATACATTTTCAAATGAGTGAAGGGAATTCCAACATTCTCAAGGCTCCCTATGGCATTAAGAGTAAGTTGGGGTCGTCACCCTCTCCTCTAAGACATGATCATGAGTAGAAAGGGAACTGACTCGGTTCGCACCCGCAGATAATGATGAGAAACGTCCCTACTACTGTTCGCCTAAGGAAAGAAGTTTGTTCTATCTAGTAGGTGTAAGCTGAAGGCACGCTCACAGACGCGTAGACAAAGAGCTGTCTATCGATATAACCAACTTCAACCAATCTACCCACGACTTCCTGGAAATTCATCAAGCAGCTCTTCGCTCTAAATGCTCTGCAGGACTCCCAAAACAAGCGACTGAAGGCGGAGGACCAAACTCCCAAGGGCGACACAGACACCGCTTATCCGACGTCCAGCGCGAAGCAGGTTTCTAATGCCGCTCGGAACAGCGTCACCTCTAAAATGAAATCAAAGCAAGTCTTGCTATGCGAGGAGACCATCTTCTTTATTCACCTGTCTGATATAAACTACGTGGGACTTCGTTGACCCCAGGAAGGCGTGGGAAAGCTTATTCGCTGGCTCGAGTCTAAGAGTGTCATGACGATCATGAGGTTCCACATCCCGACAGCACCTTGGGCCCCATGAGCGACGAGTTCGTTGAGCCGGCGATTCCAGACCAGTTAACAGTCGAAGAGCTCGACTAGAGACAGCTAGACTTGAACCTCAATCTTTTGACGCGATCCAAGGTCAAGGATCACCAGACCTCGTGGTCGCTTTACTCGAGTGGCAACTGGAACATCTTGTTCCACTGGATTCTCCTCGGAGGGCCTGGTAAAGCTACCAAATGTAAGCGGTTTGATATCCGCAGCCCCCGACTCTCGAGTCTGGATCTACCTCTTTGTGGAACGACGGAACGCACTCATGTCGCAGACTTGGCTGACGTCTTGCTGAACTTAGTTGGAAAAGGCTAGTATAGAGATTGTACATCTGGATCTTTCCGAGGTAAGTTTGCTGCATCTTTAACAGTAATTACTGAGCTATATATCTGTGAAAAGGGAAACAGGGGTCACATTTTTCTAATTGTTGGGCCCAAAGGTAGAGCTATTTTCTTCAGGGATGCCATGCTGACAGGGGGTGAAATGAGATATCGCCAACCGACTGATATGCAATCATATTCCCAGGTCAAATAGACCTCATGCTGGATGTTGGATCCTGATTTCTGGCTTTCCGGGGGTTCACTGTTGCGTGTGGCCCGTTCTGTGACCTGCACATTGGATGGCTCATAACACCTGACGGTAATGATACCATTTTCGGCAGACCTTCAACAGCAAGAGTAAAAAAGGCACTGGGTTGTTATGGGAAAATTCAGGGGCCAGAGTTCAGTTTTTCTTTTTTCTTTTATTCCCCCAACCCAGAGGGCGCAGCCGTTCAGCGCAGGTAAACTAGCCGGAGAGATTTCGGTCCGAGGAGGCACTTAGGTCCAGCCGCGGCTGACCTGGCGCACAGCTGATGGACCTTACTCTTACATCACATTTGCCACATCAGCTCTGTGGCCATCATGGAGGCGCAACCCTCTACGAGTCCGATATCCAGCAGTGAATCCTCCACTCCCACACCGAAACGGTCTCGCGTCGTTGTTTCGCAGTCAAAACGAGGCTGCGTGACTTGCAAGTATGGGTCCTCACCCTGCCATCTTGGCGCCAATTCGACTGACTAGATGCAGGACACGCCGGGTCAAGTGTGACGAGCAAAAGCCTCTGTGTCGGCGATGCGTCCAAGCAGGTCGACTATGTGGCGGTTATAAGCACGGAAGCAAGTCGTCATCGGCTTTGCAGCCTGCTCTGAAGATCGGCGTCATAGCGGACAGCGATACAGAGAGGCTAAGCTATCTCGCTGCTCATGTGCTGTCTCTGGACAACAACAGCCGTCCTCTGCAAGAAGATGGTGCCTGGGGGCACATATTTCTCCAGCTATCGAATCAAGTCGAATGTGTCAAGGCCGCCGCTGCCGCGTTTGGGGCTGCGTACGAATCATCGCTCAATAACTCCAACGTAAAAGCCCCTCGTTCCGCCTGGCGATACTACGGCTCAGCCCTTGCAAGGCTTCAATCCGATTTCAACAACGAGACTGCCGGCCCAGAGTCCCTAGCTCTGGCATCAATAATTCTAGCCTGCGTTGAGATCCTCAGCCAATACGAACAAAATGCATTTGTCCATTTTCTTGGGGCCGTACAGATCCTGACCAAGACCTACCAGCGTCGCCAGAGAGCTCCATCTGCCGGCATTCTCAGAACAATCAAAGACGAGCTATTCAAGCTTGACGTCTTGATTGGAAGCTATGCCATGTCCCAGACGCCTATATTTATGCACCTGGAATCTCAAGAAGAAACCGCTGGAGATTATGCGCTCCGTGAGCCAAAGCTTGCGATTAACGCTGCGATGCTCTGCCTTCACCGATCATATCAGTTCATAGAGTCGGCTGCCCGGCTGCGGTACACGTATCCGAGCTGGAAAGAGCATGATCCTATCATGTGCAAAGGTCAATCTGATGCGGTGACCCAATGCCGTTTGGTTCTCGATGGCCTTGTGGCGCTTGCCACGAGACTGCAATCCACATATTCGTCCACGACGTCTACGCGGAGAGATTCGGAGACGCTGGCTGAGATTTATTCTATTCGCACACAGCTGACGGCGACTATAATATTCATCCTCTGTATTCACAAACCATTCCAAACGGCGTATGATGAACACCAGGACCTATTTCGAAGCATCGTGAGTGATGCTGCAGCGTCAGCGCGGTTGAGGCGGCGGACCAATTCCAGCGCTTTCAAACGCTTCTCAATGCGTCCTGGCATTATCAGCTCTCTCTTCATCGTGAGTGAGAAGTGCAGAGATCCTTCGCTGCGTGGTTTAGCAACGACGATGCTCAAGGAACAAGGCCGCGAGGGGCCTACCGATGGACAAATCATGGCGGCAATTGGTGCTCGACTGGCTGCTCTTGAGACATCTGCCAGTGTGCCTTCTGCCTCCGGCATTCCGCTAGCTGCCTGCAACGTCCTCGAAAGGCAGAGGCTTCATGGCTACGGGATTTCTCCTTTAAGATTAATTGGCGAGGGCCGCCGCGTCGTTGACGTTGAATTCAGCCGGCCAAACCCACCCCTCGAGCAAGGGTGGGGTCATGTTGATTACTCATGTCTGGATAACTGGACATTCTGGTCGGAAACTATCAATGTATAGACTTCTTCACAGTCTACAACAAGGCAAGAGTCGTCACTATGGTGTGGAAGGGATAAATGGAGACAGTAGGACAGAGTTAGTTATCATGGAGCCGGATTTGCAATCAAGGCGTGCTGGCCACACAATTCAGAGTTATCTATGGGTACTTTAAGATGATCTTCTCATTTTCAACTGCACACAGCGTGTTCAGCAGGGTAATGCAAACATCCAAGTCTTAGAGGATGCGTAAAGTTGGCCGCAGATTAACAGGATTGAGTACATTATGTAGCCACCTCACTCACCTGTGTTGCACCCAATTGAGTACGCCTAGAAAGTCGTCAGGGTAATATGTATCTCAAGATACCCTTGTCTCCAAGATATGGCAGGTAGTCATGCCTCAGGAGAGGAATTGAAGCAGTGCCTGCGCGCGGCGTGAGCTACTAACTCCCAGATGTTGACCCGGAGTCTGACAGATTCCCTGCCCCACAGGCATACAGCCGTATGCCAGGCCTAGATTTACGATCCCAAATAGCAAACTTCTATTTGGATCATGGATTACTTCACATTGCGTAAATTGTGGTCAATTGGAATTGCGCGTGCATGTTCAAGGCGTTCTGGGCGGTGGGTCCGTTGTCAGACTTTTGGCACCTTTTTCTTACATGGGATGCTGCCAGGGGTCTAAGTAAGGTATTTGATTGGCTACTAAGAGCTCGTGGAGCCCAGCTCGGTGTTTTGAGCAAAGATTCGAGGCGTAAGGCGCGACGTAAAGTGTACCCCATTTCTATTGAATGCTGAAAATAGCTGTGGAGGCCATCTCGGTCTTTGATGATTTGACAATTCCTGGTTCGTCTGGATTCTGTATCAAAAACAAAGTCTGTGCAAGCTTACTTACACTTCCTCCATAGTCTAATTTTTTATGATGCTAGCTTTCGCTGCTGCGCCCATGTCTGCGTAAGCAATTTCAAAGCTGCTTCTGTTGCCGCATGTATATATTGTGTTGTCTGGGCCTTTTGTCGTAGATGTTCATGGAGATGTATTTCATTTTTCATTTATTTTTTTTTGTTTGCAAAAACCAAGGCTTCATCTGCATAGGCAGTAAGGTCCCCCCAACATGTCTACCAACCCCAGTACCGCCAACAGCACACAGACGGACGTGCCATGCACCCTCGATACGTGCTCGCTGTCCGAGGGCATCATTACGTATCAGCCCAACATCGCTGGCAACGCATTCTTTGCTGCGCTCTTCGGTGTCCTACTTCTCGTGCAGCTGGGCCTCGGCATCCGACACAAGACCTGGAGCTATCTGGTGGCCATGGTCTTTGGGCTGATTCTCGAGATCGTCGGATACGTCGGGCGTATACAGCTACACGATGACCCTTTCAACTTCAACTTTTTCATAGAGTACGTCAAAATCATATTCATTCTAAAAGACAGATAGCAGACTCTAACACATAGGCAAGGTATCTCGTTTGTCTCACAATTGCACCGGCTTTCCTTACCGCCGCTATCTATATCACATTTGCACGCGTCGTCAACTCATGCGACGAACGCCTCTCGTGGATCCGACCAAACAAAATTTCCATCATCTTCATGGCGTGCGACTTTATTTGTCTGGTCTTGCAGGCCGCTGGAGGCGCCATCACTTCCACATCAAGTGGGGAGTCTCGAGAGGCAGTGGCCATGCGACAAAACGGCGTTAATATCATGATTGGCGGTCTGTCATTTCAGGTCGTTTCGCTCTTCTTATTCATACTATATGCTGCCATTTACGCGTGGAGATGGCGTGTTGCAACTGCACTCCATTACCGCCATCGACTACCATCTGCACATATGAGTTTCGGGTGGAGAAGTCTGGTCTTTGGTACGTTCAAGAACATCAGATAGTTCACTCTTCTTGGGTGAGAATATGCTAACTCTCTCAGGCCTTGCTATTGCCTCGGTCACAATCTTCGTGAGATGTGCTTTTCGCGTTGCTGAACTGAGCAGGGGTTTTCATAGTCCCCTCGCTGGCAACGAAGTGGCATTCATGATATTGGAAAGCACCATGGTCTTTATTGCGTGTCTCTGTTTAACTTTCGGTCATCCTGGTTTATGCCTGGACATAGCGTGGAAGCTTCCAAAGCAAGTATCGCGAAAGAGTCGAGATGCGGTTTTAGATGTGGAATTAGAAAATGTGCACACCGGGCGATAAACACGACCATAGAGGCTATTGTGGAGCTTCCCCATATTCACAATCAGGAAGGCGGGATCTAGAACCATAACCATACATGTAGACGTATTTGAATTGGCATTAAATACAATTGTGAAACACATCGTGAACAATTCTTGTGCGAGGGTCAGTGACCCACTGGCTCAGGGCCGTACACGGCCCCGCCAGCCAGCCAACAGATAGGCCTGTTGATAGCCTCAGATGGCTCGGCCTCGTGGCTCTCTTCCTCTTTCCTCTTCAGCGTATTTGAATATGAGTTCTTTTGCCCTCGCATAGTTCTGGTCCAAAAGAGCCTTTTCGGCCAATCACTCGATCGCTTCAAATGAGAGAGAGACCATTCTTTAGCCATTCTAGCGATCGGCTCGAGTAGGGCACAAATCGGTACCTTCGTCGGCGCCTTTGCGGGCATGCGCGCTGAAGGCCAGCCTAGCTATTGGTACGTTGCATTGACTCCTATGATTTTTTACATATTGAGTAGATGCCTTGGCCATCATACTGGCTTTCGCGGCCATCCTGTGTGATCAATAAAACATCGGTAGCTATTGAAGTGACGTAGTTCTCATTGCAGGGAGACTTTGGCCGTAACATGAGAGACACGGAGCCGTTTAATTATGATGCGGATGACTCGAAGGATCCAAGTCAAGAAGCACAGGGTTCATTTCATCATCCAAGTCGATCGTGACGATGCGAGAAACGACAAGAACCTGTGCAAGAGCTACGGTCAACGCAAGTACAGCATGCCCGGCCCCGCAGCTTGTCACCGTGGGTCTGATCGCCGCCGCCGCTGCGTCTTCCGTCGAACTATCGAGGAACGAGCTGAACAGTATCACGATACAGAAGTGATGACATAGACCATTAAGGCAGACCCATTTAATAAGGCCTATCTTGTACCGCGCCAAGACTCTATCTATCCATCACCTGGAAAACGACGAATCGTCGCATGGGTCGATTAACTCACTGGACAAAAAGCTCGAGCGGTCTGCCACCGCTGCAGCTACCCGGAGGCACAAAGATGACTGATTGCCACCTGGTCCACCGGACGTACACATCTCGGACGCCTTTACATAGCAATTCCTGGGCACGAAATATACCTTGTAAATCCACTCGGTGAGCTGGAAGAATTTGGCTGTGACGTATTTGGGGCTGGCGGCCTAGTCGTTGAGAGCCGCGGCGCAAGAATCTCATCGATGTTAGTCGCTCCTAATTTTATACTGGAGAGCAAGGACTGCGTTTCCTACCTAGAGCGACCGTTGCTATGTAGATATAAGATCCTGTGACAACTTGTAGATGATATATAGGGGCTTGTGCATATGGATCCGTTGATCGCCTGAATTGCCCATGGTCAAGCACAGGAGCCTGCCAAGGCCGCCAGAATCAATCAACCGCGCGTGCTATGGTCAAGCAACTTAATAAAATTGTGTTCGAGATTAAAATTGTATGGGGCCGGTATATTTGTTGAGATACATCACACCACAATAGGCTACCGTGCAGGCCAACTCGTATTGGCTGCCTTGTGAGGTCCCACGCACGTCCCTGAAGCTTCCCCGTACCGATACTCCGCATTATGTTCGTGTTCTTGCATGCTCAACTTCAATGCCTTTTGCAAGTCTTCATCGTCTGTAGCCTCTGTCGCTGTGGCACGACCCTTGCCCTTGTTCTGATGCTGCGCTTCCAAAAGGCTTTGCTTCTTCACGTACTCCATCACAACCTCTTCTTCCGTCTTCTCTTGTGTCGTTTTCTCCCTATGCTGTCCCTGTTGTTGCATGTCAAACTCACTTTGCGTGGTGCCCGCGAGGTGCCCTGGATCATACAAAGGGAGTCGCTGGAAGCCTGATAACCCACCAGCCACGGCTTCCGCCTTCTCCGCCATCTTTTCAGGTTTTCCTCTTGCCCGCTGAAACTCCTCTTCTTCCTCGTCATCGATACCCATAACCGACTCCCACTCACTGTTGCTGCCCCTCTGTCTCTGTTCCCTTAGACTCTGCGCCATGACTCGCTTCAGCTGTATCTCATATTCCATTGCTTCCTTTGCATGTCGCTGAGCTTCGGCTTCGCTGGCCGCCACCGCTTGGCACAGATTCTCTTGGTCTGCCTGATGACCTGCGGCTTCTAGCTGTTGGCGCTGAAGCTGAGACACATTTCCCTGAACCGCCCGCTCCACATCCGCATCTTCTTCTGCGTCTCCACATGACATTTCCTGAGTTGACAGTCGGATGGTTTCGTTTATGTCAACCGCTCCCAGCGATTCTTCGGAGTCCGTGTTGGCAGGGCGCAGAGGAGACTGTGAACCGTTCGCGGCGAGTATGACACTTTGGGGAACTTGAGTTGGAGCATCTGCACTGTTGGCGGACTGAGCGGCACTCGCGGTACGTCCGCAATTTTGGCGGTCCTCTTTATCCTCCATGTTCTTCTTTCGCTGTGCTTCCAGAACATCTCGCATCATCTCGTCAGGATCGAGTCTTTTCTTCAGGTATTTATGGATCAGCCCCCACCGAACGATGACGTCTTGCTTCTCTGCATCGGAGCTCTGCAGCCACTCGTCGTATCCTTGAGCTGTCCTGGACGCAACGATATGATTCTGTACATTGCTGCCGAATAATTTCTGTACCTCTTTGTGTACCCCCTTCATCATATAACCGGGGATGCCAAAGAGACCTGCGGTTGGTTTGGTCAGAAATCCTCCGATCCCTTTGCCGATTCCTTTTAAGAAGCCGGTAGTACCCTCTTTCTGGGCGCCTTTCCAGGGCTGAGTAAACAGCCCAGTAACGCCATCGTACCAGCCAAGACCAAACTCTCTTCCTGCTGCTTTGGCGCCTGACCTGAAATCACTGACTTGTTCTTGAGGGCGCACGGTATCGTCTCCCAAAAGCTTAGGGACATTGTGAAGCCCTTTGGTAAAGCTCACTGAGATTTCCATGGGTCCCTGAACAATCGCCTTTACGATCCGCCCGAGGCCTTTGCTCGTGTGTGCACCAGTCTGGCGCAGCATGTCACGGTCCTGGCCGGAGCCAGAATCATTTCGACTGCGGACTCGACTTCGGCTAGCGTCGGCTTGTTTGAGACTCAACTGGCCTTGCAGTATATTGGCCACAGAGCTTGATCCAATGTTGGAAGTGGGAGACGACAGACTGGAGAGATCGGGAGGGCTCCGAGCACGAACAAGAGATTCCTGCACATCCAAGCTCGTCTGACTTTGTTCGGACAAAGTTGCCGGAGTTGACCATTCCTCCACATGTGAGGTCTCGCTTTTCCTTGCGATTTTCGGCACTGATGCTTGGGACTGCTTTCGACTGGACCCAGACGGAATATGCAAAGCTTTCAACGTCTCTGAGGGAAAATCGACCACCCCCATTAGCATGCTGCCGAACGCCCCAGCAAATGCCATAGTACCTCCGGATATTGGGTCCCAAGGACCCTCGTCAGTGTAATGTTCTTGTGGTCGAAAGAGCTTCAAGTCATGGAAGTCCAAAAGATTTGCATTTGCCAAAGTACAGGCAGCAAAAGCACTCAACCTGACCTGGGTGCGTTTGATGCGCCAAACAGCAGGTCGAGAAGGTGCAAGAGTGCAACGGAGTCGGTCAGCCTCAAGATATTGATGAAACGACTGAGCACCCATGTCGCTGCCTCGCTCCGCCGCGATCTTGCTTGCGAGTTCTTTGGCGCGATCCAGACTTTCGGGTTTCAGGCATAAGTTGATGGCATCGGCTAGCTTTTCCGCTGTAAGTTCTTTGTGAGGGATTGGATCGGGGCCGGCGCCTGCTCGCGCAACCATGGCGCCCCAGAAAGGCTGGTCTCCAAAGAAGGGAACGACTAGAGTTGGCCGGCCTGCGGTAATGCCTGCTGCTGTGGTTCCTGCGCCGCCATGATGAACGACGCACGAGACGTGCTTGAAAAGCCAATCGTGCGGCACGTTGCCTAGCATGAAGACGCCGCCGGGAATACGAAGCTCGTCCGCGCCCATGCCTCCCCAGCCTTTGGAAAGCAGAACACGCTGGCCAGTCTTCCTCACGGCCTCAAAGATGAGCTCCGTCATCGCATTTGGATCGCTCAAAACAATGCTCCCGAATCCTATGTAGACGGGGGGTGGACCGGCGTCCAGAAATGCCTGAAGGTCAGGTGTAGGGGTGTAGTTAGAGGCCAAGTTGAGAAGGTAGAACCCGGCTATGGATATGTGAGGGCCCCAGTCTTTCGGTTTAGGTATCAGGGCCGGAGACCAGCAGTAGGTATGAGGAACCTTGAGACGATGGAGCATACCGGGGCCCCAGATCAGACTCACAGGATCCAAACCGAGACACTTCGCGCGAAATCGGTTGATGATGTCGCCTAGGGCTTGCCACGAGAGGAGTTCGACCATAGCATAGCTTATGTAATTAGTAAGTTGAGGGTCGGAATTGGAAGATTTAATGTTTGCCAGCGGATGGGGAAAGGCCTGGGTGGGAGAATATGGCATAGTGAACATGATGTGGAGAGGAATGCCCAGCTTCTCAGCGCAATGGATATGGGCAAAGCTTGGGGGGTTGGCAATGATGCAGTCGGCAACAAAGGGTCTTGCTGCAGGCTCGAAGCCAAGGTCACTTCCAGAGAGCTCGGAAATGCCATCGTCTGTAGCACCAAGATCCATTCCGTCACCGGCTTTGTAACATGATCGCCAACAGCCTTGAATGTACTCAGCAACATCTCTTCTTCTCTGACCAACATCTCCACTTAGTAGACTGCGAAAGCCCGGCATCAGGCTGGGATTCTTGACCATAAATGCCATCAGCTGGGAGGGGTCGCCACCGATGCTGAAGAATTCAAGGCCATTCTCCTGCACAAAGTCTTTGAAGTTGGGATGAGTTGCCAGACGTACGCGATGGCCATAGGTGTTTTTTAGGACTTTGCCCAAGGCGACGAAGGGTTGAACGTCTCCGCGCGAGCCCACAACTTGGATAACGACGTTCAAGTGCGGGGGTGGAGAAACTCCCTCCTTGCCTCCCAAGGAAGGGTCAATGTAGGGGGGAGGAGACGGGCGACTATCTTGGACACTCTGGGCTTGTTGATGTAAAGCAGGCGTAAAGATCTGAGACAAACGCCGATTGAATTGATTGATGTGGATGTTTACACGGCCGTCGTCGGTGACGTGAGCAATAGTGCCCAGGCCGTCTTTTTCGTTGCGGATCTCGCCATAGCTATTGCCATACGCAGGAGGGGGAATGTCGTCCTCGGCCGGATCGGGATCGATGAGGTCAGTCGTTTGCAGGAGGGCCTCCTGTCTTGTGGGTCTTGCGGGATTGGTCTGAGCAGCAATGACAGCTTCTGCTTGCTGAAGTATAGATTGCTGCACGATGTTCTCTGGGACTAGCTGGCCCTTTTCCGAGGGAGTTTGGATGGTCATGTTGTGAATGGGAAAAGGCAGGCTATGTTCACCTGGAGAGCAACTTAGGCGAGTGGCCAAGGTGAGGTGATGGAGCTGCAGGGAGAGAGAGGGATGCGCATGTAGCATACACCTTCTCTATTTATACTACCAAAGACCAAGATGGCCTCCACAGCTATTCTCAGCGATTTGACAATGATGAGGTACTTTGTACATTGCAGCGTATGCCTTGAATTTTACTCAATCCAGCTTAGCTCAACAAACACCGAGCTCGGCTCCACTGACCATTAACAGCCAATCAAAGGGGCTTACTTGGACCCCTAGTAGCGCCCTATCAGGCCCATGTAATGTGAATACTGAGGCTATGCATTACACCCTTGTAGCTTTTATAGCACTGGCTAGCTTATAAAGTGTTAGGCTGTATTCAGTCAGACTGAATCAGGGGAAAGCTTTCCTCTAATTTGCCCAAGATGTTGTGGCGGAGCTTGTGATCAAGCGTCTCAAAATTGAGTTGTCCAGCTTACGCAGCTCACTCCTTCTGTGTGCAGCACACAGTGGGGAAAGCAACCTGCGAAGCTGCTGGTTGATGACATGAATGAATTGCTACTTCTTTATATACAGAACTGTGCTGAAGATAGGGGTTAACGCCAGGAGCCTCTCACAGCCTATTTTCCGAGGCAACAACTATCATGCATTCTGTCCCCACCAAAATCAGGGAAACCACCTCTGACATTACCCAAAATTCGATGCCTGGCTTGGACTCATAGTCAAGCAACCAAGCTCTCGTGCTATCACTTCTTTGTCAGTCGTTGACCAGCATCAGCCAGAGCCAGCAACTATGGTAAGACTGGAAGGAGGTTTAGGTCTACCCGAAAGAGAACCTGGTGGGCATAGCATCTATAAAAAGTCAGCTAAGGATGGTATGGAAGCTTGATTTGCCGGCACAGTGCTCACGTGGGCTTGCCGTTTGATGCATGGAAGATTGGACTGGACAAGGAGTGTATAGAGATGATGAAAGTGTAAGACTCACCTGATAGTGGGAATATCTGAGACATTAGGGCGGGCAAGAGGGTTGAGCATCGGGATGTTGAAGGAGCGGGGAAACTCGATCGTAAGCTTGCTTCGTCATCATCTCAAGAGACCTGAGATGATGATGGACTGCAAATACTACTCCGTTGACCCCTTCGTCTATGGTGCATTAACCTTCTGTACTTTTTTCTTTCCGGTCGAAGACTTGATAATCGATAATGTTAGAGTTGTGCTTGGCTTCGCCTTGGAAGCGAGGATGGTCTTGTAACACTTGTGAACTGGCGGTTGTACAATGTCATTCTCAGCCTCAGTTCATCTGATATACTATATCTCTCACCCACCCATTCCATGCACCATCCTCCCGCTACACAAATACCTGAGCATCGTCCCTAGTGTGAATATAATTGACATAGCTTGGGGGTTGGTAAGCTAAAGCCCAGCTGTACTTGGTCTGCCCATACGCAGCCCCTAGAGATTGTAGCAGCGGATGCCAAGGCCGCAGTGCAGTTTGGGGACGAGTATTAGAGGCATACACTTTTCTCCGAATCTCGCTCAAGCGGCCGCGGTCGTAAGGCGAACGAGACAAAGCTGGAGTATAAGAGAGCATTGGTGTTGAACAATTGAAGACAAGCTCAGTAGCAAGAGCTCCGTGGGAAAAGAAGGGGAAGGCCTGACGTCCTACACAGCAGGAAAGTTTTGTAAGGAAGAAGACCTCTTGGAGACCTTGAAGAGTTTCAACGAAGATTTCTCTTGCTTATTGAGTCCAGATGTCCCATGGCTCAGGTACCTCGTCTGAGACGGTCTTAAGACAGATCATCGAGGTAAAGTGCCAGGTTGAGAATTCCGATATGACGCGGATCAAATGAGGTTTTGAGATACATCAAGTTGCTAGAGTCGTCTAGTACGGACGAGGATCGGGTTGGATGTGCGTAAAGTCGTGTTCGGGATTGAAGAGCAATGTATTCAGAGGAGCTGCCGGTCTGCCCATTCCACGATCAAACCCGTCCTCGGTAAAGTGGCAGGAGAGATGGACCCGATAGAACGCGTATGTTTCGTTTCTCGCCTCTCTATTCATACGTAGGAGTTTGCTCAAGACGTTACGCCCCTGCACGTCAGCTCCAAATTGTTGTCCACTGCGGATACACCTGGCCAGTGGATCTTCAGCGGTCGAAGAAACTCCAGCAAGACCTGAGTCCGCTGTTTCCAAGGTGGATGGCCCTCCTCCCCCTCCATACATGGCAACAGTTCGATCTTTGAAAGCGGCTGCTGCTTCCGGGGGAGATGCGACGGAAATTCTGATGATCCGTTCGCGTTCTAGCGAAGCTTGCCATATCTGACTGCGCATTTTCTTAGGAAAGTCGGAAAAGAAGTGGAAGAAACATCCCGTTCTGTGGTCAAGTGTATTGCTCCTGTTGAATATTTGAAGGTGTGGCTCAGAAGACCTTTTCAGATGGCATTTCAATGCTGATGTGACGGATCTTTGCTTAACAATATTCAGCTTGAGTTTCCAGAAGGTGTGGGGGGGCAGGTAGGGGGCGTTTCTTCTGTTTTGAAATAATCTAGAAAGGACAGAAAAGATTCCCAGGGAATAATAATGTTGGCGACGGGGCTCGAGTTGATTCATGTGACGCATTTTAAGGAGAAGTGAAACTGGCACGCTGAGGGAGCTGTGTGAGGTTGGTCTATCTTATACATCAGCAAGTTGTTGCTGATATTCGTTGGTTCTTCGCTAGATTACGCTGATATGTATGTTAGGATATTTGGCAATAGCAAGGTATGGATTAGCAGAAGTAACGTTGGATATCTAACTTGCTCTTGTAAGATACTCTGCTCGTATATATGAAGTAGTGAAATCAGCATTCAATTTTTTTTTCTTACATTCTATTCTGATCAACCATGTAACATGCTCGCGTTTAGTCAGTCCAGTTGGTGCCCTACTTCTTACACGCGATGGCTTTGCGGTCTGAGATATCGTGGGGTTGAGGCGGTTACGACAATGTCTTGCTCCCCGAAGAAGATTGCCCGACGATAATTTTCACGTTCTCACCCTAACCAATAGAGCGGGGATGTGTTTGCAAACGTGGCCGGAGTGGCGTCCTGATGTATCGCGCGGGGCAATCCTTGTCAATCTACTCACAGTTACTCCATACCCTTCTTTACAATTTTGGAAAGAGAAAGGACATGAAGAGCTATGTGGTACATAAGGCTAGTTCTGGGGAGGCATGTGACTTTTGCGGCGGGGCTCTGACGTGATATGTACTAGGAGCGCAACTCGTCTTAGAAGGCTGTTGATGTCTCAGTCTCCAGCTGCAAGAAAGCTCCATAATTCTTCGGCAAGCGGCTTTGACTCCACTGGGGTCCATGCGCTAAATCCCACGGCGTATCGGTCCTCCGCTGTTCCGAATCATCCCTTACAGCAGGCGGCTCTAAGTCAGATGTGGTGCTGACTCCCACGGCTTATCAATCAACGACAGCGGATCATCCCTTTTCTCCGCAATGAGAAAGAAGAAATAAGCAGTAAGAGAACAAAAGACGGACTTGGGAAACGCCCTCTACTGGAATTTAGCGGCGACTAGTGCCATACTTTCGCCGATTGTTAGCAGCTCTCCTCAGCCGGACCTACGCTCACTGTCTCATGCAATTTGTTTCTATTTTTGAACGAAGTCCAAGATGGCTTCTCTTTACTGAAAATTTAGCACAACTTGGGCGTTTGGAGTGCTTCAATTCAGTGTACTCTGAAATAAACCATGGCTCATCAGTTGTCTCTGCACAGATGCACTTTGAATACTGGCGGGAAGGCAAATGGGCACTCTCATAATAACTCATCAGTGAGAGATGAGGAAGAAGAGATCGACCACCGACACACATGGAACTCGGAGGAACAGGCTCAAATTTCAAGTGACGCCACGCTTTCAACCCGTGATAAGGTTATTGAGGACGGTGCCAATGTTGGACGTTCTGGACCTGCCAATGGATCTCAGCCGCCGGGGGATGCTGGTCTAAGCGCTTGGTATATTGGTATGTACAACTTCTCGGGTGATCAGACTTACTGAGGAAGTACCTTTTACGATCTCTAGCAGGATGTTTATTATTGCTAACGGTGTTCCGCCAGTGGCTGCTGCTCATCTCGTCATGATGAATACCTGGTATGTAGAACTGCATATACTAGGTTTGATCAAGCACCTCAACCTTCACCCATAGTTCGCCCGGAAAGGTGCGGGGCCACAAGAAGCTGACATGTCTTATTTAGGGGAGTTATCAATTCCTTTGGCGTCTTCCAGACATACTATGCCACGGCTCTCCTTCTGCCCCCTTCTACGATCTCCTGGATTGGCTCCATCCAAATCTTTCTTCTCTTTTTTATCGGCACCTTTACTGGTCGTCTTACGGATGCAGGCTACTTCCGACCAACCTTTGTCACAGGCACCGTTGTTTTCATGATTGGTACCTTTACTACCTCTGTTTACAAGGCCTACTGGCAAGTCTTTCTCGCCCAGGGCGTATGCATAGGCATAGGCGCCGGCTGCCTTTTCTGTCCCACTGTCGCCATCTTATCGATATGGTTCAGCAAGAACCGTGGTCTGGCACTCGGCATCGCAACCGCAGGTAGCGCGACGGGGGGTTTGGTCTTCCCTGCTATGGCTCGACAACTGATTCCCAGTATCGGGTTTCCTTGGACAATCCGCGCTATGGGTTTCGTGCAACTTGTTACACTGATAGTAGCAAACCTGACACTGAAAGAAAGCTCCAAAGGTCCGCTGCGAAAACCTGGAGCTCTCGTTGAGTGGACGGCATTCACAGAGTTAGACTATACTTTCTACGCAATGGGGGGTTTCATAGTAAGTATACCCAGCCTCTACACCTCACCTCAATGGAATATGACGGTAGCACAAATGGGTTTCTTCTCTTCGCTGCCGCTTCATTTGGTTTTCAGGTCTCTATAATTGCTATGTCAAGCCTGTTGTACTGTGGCGTGATGCTTATTATTTCTTCCATATTCTCCTCTTATGTTTTGTGACACCAGGAGCTTCTGCTACTCGCTCTCGCTGGTGCCCTCTGCAACCTCAATTAACATACCCCCGTATTTTGTACAACGCGTATCGATTCTTGAACCATCAGGTGCTCCTATCAACCGCAGCATCATGAAGTTACACATTCCCAAGGCACATCCCCGAATTTCTAAGCTTTTGCACAATTTATGGCCCATTTACTGACATCTTCAATGTTACAAAGTTCTACTTAGGAGTTTACTTCGCCTTTTACTACCTCGCGTCCTTCTCCCGCGACATCATCGGTCTCACCTACACAGATTCACTCAACCTACTACTGATTCTGAACGGCATCGGATACATCGGCCGCATAGTACCAAATTTTTTGGCAGACCGCTATGGTTGCCTCAATGTATTTATCCTCATCCTTCTCGCATCGACTATTTGTGCGGCATGCTGGACAGCTGTGTCTACACAGCCAGGTCTTTATGCCTGGACCTCGTGCTACGGTATCATTGCTGCTGGAGTGCAGTCACTCTTTCCCGCAGCGCTTAGTAGTTTGACGACAGACTTGAGTAGAGCTGGCGTACGCATGGGCATGGTGTTTACTATTGTGAGCTTCGCTACTTTGACAGGGAATCCTATCGCAGGAGCGATCATTAGTGCCTCCGGTGGGAAGTATTACGGTGCTCAGGTCTACGCGGCGTCTTGTTTCCTGGTTGGTGGTGGATTTCTGGTCGCGGCGCGAACGGTGAAGTCCCGGAAGATTGGACGTGGGCTTTGGGTCAAAGTGTAGACAGTTCTCAACGCGAGAACGCTGAGTTCCGTTTGAAGCTCTCGGGCCAAACGTAAAAAGAGAATATGACATCATTAGGCGCATGAAATCGTAGACATCGGGCATTGAATTGAAAAAATATCCACAAGAAATCGAAATATGTTTACTCCCTCTTGACCTTGAATTTCAACATTCTAATAATTGTCCTCAACTTGGGTGAAGATGTTCCCATTAGTCAAGCTTCATCTTGATCCCGTTGTTGGGCAGTTTTGTCCTCAATAAAGCACCAGGAAGCTGCCTCAGATCTTCACCATTGTTCCACCTAGGGCTCCAGTAGCTCTGAGCCACGTTCATGTACAGGTAGCCATCCTCAGCGACGTAGAGTGGATCAACCCACAAGAGCCTCGGGTCACGGATGAGTGTGTGGACCTTAAGGTCTTGAGGATCGTAGTAGTAGATGGCATTGCTTTCCGGCATGCTCATATACTTTGAACGGATTAGTATACCGAGACTATTCAGAAGACCACAAATAATCTGCGCGTGACTTAAAGTACTCACAATAAGCCCGTTAGAATCACCCTCCGAGCCGTTAGATACCCCTCCTTTTTGCCCCACCGTAGAAATATTATTCTTGGCTGCTTGCTCGGCCCAGTCGACGTCGTCACGGACTCGCAGGTTCGCGGCGGGAATTGAATATAGCCATTGGCCTGTGAGCGTGGTGAAATATAGTGTGTCCAGGTCAACCGACAGTGACACGCCGTTGTTTCCTTCCTTGTTGTGGATGAATGGCAAGTCGCCCTCTGGCCGCTGGTAAAACGCCTGTCCGTTGTATGATGGTAGATTGTTGTCCTGTCGTAAAACGTTCACATCTCCATCCAGCCGCCGCCAGCACGTACCCGTGCTGAGGTCTAGTGTGATGAAGCCTGGTCGGCCCTCGCTGCTCGAATCAACTAGATAGGCGACACCGCGGCCACCTGATGCGACTGAGGTACGCAGGTCAAACCGAACGTCGTTGAGATAGCTGTCTGGGTAGACACAGCTTACAGGAAAAGTGTATGTCTCATATACTGTATCGTTTGTGAGGCTGATTGCAACGAGCTTAGGACCGCCAGGCTGGCCATAGACCATGGTGAGGGAACCGCTGGCGTCCTTGATGGTTGGCCGGCCTGTGTCCAGGACCCAAAGAGTCTCTGGGCGAGTGGCGGTTGCCGAGGTGATGTACAAGGCTTGCACACTGAGCAGTGCTGAGGCATTGGCAACTCCAAATGGCATCCCATTGATGGTTGTGTTAACCTCGGATACCGGGATGCTATAATTCTCTGATGGGTAGGCCTCCTCGGCAGTCTGGTTGCTGACTTGGCCGAGAGTGAAGGCAGATGTACCGCCTCCACGAACGTAGCACGTAAAAATGCGGCCAGTCGATGAGACAGCTACGCCGGTTGGCCATTGGCTATAGTAGTAGTGAATCTCCTCGATCTCGGGTCCGTACGTTCCGTTGTCTGTCCGGAGGATAGTGTCGAGTGCTGAGGCAAAACATCTCATTGACAGCACAGCAGCTGTAGAGAGAACAGAAAGTCTCATGGTGGCAGCTTGTCGACCGATAATAGGGAGTCTAATGTTCGATTATAGTGGCAAGACATGCAAACGTATGGTCGAAAGCGGGAGACAGAGATCTGATGTGACAGAGGGCCTCATGGGGACCCAGTGAAAGTCTCGGATGGCGATGATACTACATATACTCTATTGGCTAGAAGCTCTGCATTAATCTTGCAGTGAGAAATGATGCATGAGCTGACAATCAAAAGCTCGGCCATATTTCCCTGCCTAGGAATAAGACAACCTTCGTAATCGCTAGGAACATCCCCGTGTGCTGCTTCGCCTGGTTCCCAGCTTTTTTTATAGTAGTCAGGCGGAGCGAGGAAATCATAATGTTGAACCGGCTATCCCCGCTCGGCTCTTGACTTTCGAGGGATGTTGCGGGTTATATTAATAATAGTTTGACTCCCTTCTTCGGACATGAAATTTCGGAATGTCGCAATAGACTGATGCTCTTTGACCTGGAGTTCCTGTTATTCAGCAGTTCTCCGGCGATGTGTAAGCATGTAACAGAAAGGGCTGACTCGCGAGGAGGCTCGAGGACCCTCACTGGATCAGGGGCCATTACGGCTGAGACGCAAGTTCATATAATTAAGCTTCCGCAATTACTTTCCTACAGTCGTAAGATTACATGCAGTAATATGGAGAATCAGAATTGGACAAGCTTATCATTGATTCGAGGCAACGTAGAAAGCCCACTCTCTGGGTCCTGGCTCAGGCTGGGGTGCAAATCCATGTTTGGCAGCGTAGTCTTGCTTGTCTGGCGAACACGATAGCAGTCGTACGACTCATGCGGTGACATGGAGAATGGGATTTGACGAGCTATCACTTGTGGGCATTCAGGTAGTTGACTCGGCTTTACGGTATTTCCCGAGGTGTCGCTGCTTGATTCAATCATGTCTGTCCATGTTGACGCAACACCTCCGAGATAACGACGCCGTGAACACCTTTCGATATCTCCTTTTCCGGACGCCGAGTTAGAGGCGGATATTTGAATGAAAGAAACAACTTTCCAAGGCCAGAGCAACATGAGTTGTCGGTAATAGCTATATATCTGATTCACCCTGTGCTCCTGCTTGTCTAAGTTACCTGTTGCCTTTTCAGTTGCCTGTTCAATTACACTTGATAAACTTACAAACGGACCTGCTCTATTCAAAATGCGTCAATCTACTCTCTTTTCAGTTTTAGGATCTGCAGCTGTTGGTGTTTCTGAGATCACCGATGGTACATGGAAAACCCTGTCGCCAATTCCATACAACGTTCGCCAAGAGCATTTTGTCATTGCTCATGGCAACGATACCTTCTACATCATGGGAGGCATTGTCCCAACTGACCCCTCGGTGCCCAATGTTACCACCACAGTGAACATTGTCCAGTCGGTGAGTGATCTGATGTCAAAGTGGACTCGGGCCAATATTAAATCTTGGTGCTTCCAACAGTATGATATTCCAACCGACACTTGGTCCAACAAGAGCGATCTACCTCTAGCCCTCAACCACCTCAATGTCGGTCTTGTCGGGGGAAAGTTCTACTCCATCGGCGGCCTACAAGTTTTCCCGGATGCATGGGAGGGTATTGGCAATATCTTCGTATATGATCTGGAGGCAGACACGTGGTCCAACCTGACTACCACTCTCCCGGAAAATACCTTTCGCGGAGCTTGCGTGACTGCCGTCCAGGATGACGAGATCATCTGGATGGCTGGCGGCGTCAAGATTCTGGTCCCGGGCGTGGGAGGCTACCAGCTCTCGACCAGTAACGTGACAGCGTACAATGTCACGTCTGACACGTTCTTGGATCTGCCCGAGGCAGCGGCGAATCTGCCTGAGGCTCGCGACCACTCTGTCGGAGGCATCATTAACAACAAATTCTGGCTCTCGGGCGGTCGAATCGACGGCCAACCCAACATGCGCAACACGACGTTCTTTTTGGACCTCGACAACCTCGAGCAAGGGTGGGTCACCACCGATGCGCCGCTGCCAACTGCGCGTGCCGGCTCGTTCTTCGCCATTCAGGATGAGCTCATCTACACGTTTGGCGGCGAGGTTAACTACAACAGCAGCAACGGCCTGGGCGTCTGGGACGAGGTAGAGGTCTTGAACACAACATCCCTGACGTGGACCTCACTGTCGCCAATGAATGTCCCGCGGCATGGAGTAAACGGAGTTAACATCAACGGAGTGATCTACTTCCCAGGAGGCGGCTTGCATAATAACGCATGGCCAACAAACTATACTGATTCCTATACTCTGCCGGGTTTCTGAGAACGAAAAGGGGCTATGGGTCGAGTCTGAGTACGGCTCGGATCAGATAGCTTTCAACTTTACGAACAGATAGTCGATTAGTAGATAGGTTTCGGGTTAGTTCCGAGCCATCCTTGACCAGGAATGCAACACATGTTTGGTATTGCCTGCAGAAGTTCTTAAAACCTTGGATGTTACCAAGCTTTTCTTATCGTCAATAAGCCATGACAGCAACAGTGGGTATCTATCGAGTGGCAAAAAAGGCTCTTCTGCTTGGCCCGCCTTGTGAGTGCCCGTCGGGGTCGGGATCGAACCATGGCACGTTCCTGACAAAAAAGAGCGCACTCAGTAATACGTCATTGCACTAAACCTAGGCAAGGATTTGGCCACCCCCTTTCTTTTTTCCATCCCTTTCCTTTTTTTTTTTTTTTTTTTTTTTTTCTTTATTTAGTTATTTTTCAATCATCTTCATTCAAGATGGGTGCTATGGCCCATTCGACGCCTAAAAAGAATAAACTTCAAGGAGCCTGTGAATTCAACGATGCACATGGTATCCCATACTTTAAATCTGACGCATTTCGGCATTTCGGCTTTAGCAAGTCATCCGGCTGGGCTGCCCTCCGTGAGCCTGAGCAAAGAAATGGACGAACATTTCATTCGACATACTCCGAGACTAGAGGAAGGCGTCGATTGATAGATAATCAACGTCTTGCTCAGCTTGAAAGATTCCTTGAATCTGATGGCTTTGATGCTCGTATAACTTCCTGGGAAGCAATGCCAGCAGCAGCTGGCCTTGATATCGAGGTTTCTGGCCGTACAGTACATCGAATGCTTGGTACTCGAAGCTGGCGTTTCTGTATAGCTTGTTCGAAGACCTGGATCTCGCCACAGTTAAAAGAAACAAGAGAAAAATACTGCCGTGGCTTGCTTGAGAAATATAGCACTGATCCAATACACTGGAGGCATTTCCGCTTTACCGATAAGACTCACTTCGGATATGGCCCTCAAAGCAAGATCTATATCTGCCGGCGCCCCTGGGAAAGAACATGTGCAGATTGCCTTGTTGAAAATCAGCAGCCAGAGAAAGAAATGGATCAAAAACAGAATCGATTGCATGCCTGGACAGCAGTTGGCTATGATAGCTTCAAGGATGGTCTTCACTGGTATAATATTCCATCGAATCAGAATGGCAAGATGAACTTACAAGTTTATTGCAATAAGATTCTTCAACCAGTTGTTAGCGAATGGATTCAGCGAGGAGATTAGTTTGTATTAGAAGAAGATAACGATTCAGGGCATGGCGGTACGCGAGGAAATAATATTGTACGCAAGTGGAAGGAGGAAAATAGCATTGTAAGCCTTTTCAATTGTCCTCAATCGCCAGATCTCATCGCAAGCCCTATTGAAAGGGCTTTTCAAGGGCCGAAAATGTATGTACGGAAACAGCCACATTGGGATGATGATACATTAAGGCTTTCAGCCCAGGAAGGCTTTGATGCTTTATCTGTTTCTACTGTAAATAGCTGGATTGATGCAATTCCTCAGATTTTGCAAGATTGCGTCGATAATGATGGTGGAATTACTGGGCATTGAGGATAAATGAAAAATGTCTGTTGTTGAGTGCGCTCTTTTTTGTCAGGAACGTGCATGGTTACTTCGTGTTATGCTCATTACACTTAGTCTCAAGGCTTTCAAGCATACTATTGGCCCCACGCTCCGCCTCGGGTGCGGGTATAACCGCTTCCCGCGTAGGCTTACCATTGATAGAATAAGGTTGACCGGTGAGAACCGAACAGGTGGGGTCCGGCGTTCAGGGTCCAGGGGTCCAACTCGGTTTAAGACTCGTATCGCCTATTTGCCCCTCTGTTTGTCATCATTAGCAGCCCGCAAGCACAAGTCAATACAGTACCTAGTAAGCGGAACAATCTACAAATTGACTCATAATCCCAGTCAGTCGGCCACGGCGGTCCCCGTCATGGCATTCTCCGTCGTGGTGTTCTCCGTCGCGGCGTTCTCCGTGAGGTGTTCTCCCATCTCGATTGGCGGCTGCCCGAAATCTACGCGTGACAGCACAACACAGCGGACGATAACGACTCCATACCCTCCATCTCAGCAGTATATTTCAGGGCAGAACCCCTTTTTTGGGAGGGGAGGGGGGGAAGCGTCTCTCGCTGAAGCCACGTCATGTTCGTCTATCGAAGAGTTCTATAGTGCGCGGGCAAATTGGGTCAGATCAACGCCCCTAAAGTAGAAAGCACGCTACCCGAAGGTTTGCAAGGAACGGCATCGCGTCAGTCAACGACAGAATAGAAGGGCCAGGCGACGCAAGCCTGGAAATAGCAGCAAAGAAGGTCGCGCTATCATTGGAGCTTCTTCACAGATGGGAGCGGCTCCTATGCAAGCTGGCCCTCTTGGCCCAGACACCGCCTTTTCGTAACCAGTTGGCGTACGTAAGTATTCTTGGAGACGTTTCGCGGCCAATTTTCTAGGATTAATGAAACCTAAGCTAGCTATACTGCTACTCTTCGACCACATTTCGGGTGTCCTCGCCTTGTCCATCCACACCGTTTGGGCCGGGTCGACCAAAAGTGGGAGCTGAGGTAGGATGAAGCGCAACCTACCATAGCAGAGTCAGTATGGCAAATTTCATGGCGCAATGGATGCTCCCTGACTCTGTGCATGTTAGTAGGATGAAAAAATAATTTTGTTGACTCTCAGAGAGCCAATCCATCCTGTAATTTCCGCCAGGAATGACGCCCCTCCTGGTGCTCATGCGGCACATCGGAATTGATCAGAATCACTCCGTGGGCTGCATTATCCGTCTTTTGGATAGCTACGAGATATTGCTCGGACGTAACATTGGGATTTGGCAACGAAGCAACAGAGCACAGCATGAGCAATCAACGAAGCTTAAAAGGGCGGCGCCCTACTCGACAATGTGTTTTGTGACCTGCCTTTGTACTTTCATCCCTTGCCTTTTGGGATACCTCCTCGATTAGCACTCTCTTTGCTCATTTCCAGAACATTCTTTGCCAGCGGTATCATGATGAAGGTTTCTGCTGTCTTTTTCTCCCTGGCCCTCGCCGCCACAGAAGGTGCATCGGTGCCCAGTCCTAGGGAACTGACATCACCTGCTGAGCTGGCCGCACGAGCAGCAGCATCTGATACACGGCCAACATTTTTTAATGGCTCTTGTAATGCTGATACGCTGACCATTCGTAAGGAGTGGCGAAATCTGAGCGACGACGAGAAGAAGGCCTTCTTGGATGCTGAGAACTACCTTATCAACACGGCTCCCGCCCAGACAGCATTGGATGGTGTTATTAGCCGCTTCAGCGACTTGCAAGGCCTACACCGCTTCAAGACTAACACGACTATCGATGGTGTATATGTTCAGGATATCATCCACAACGTGGTATGTGCTCACGGATAAACGCGTCTCTTCGCTTTCACGGGTGCTTTGATGAGCTGACGGCGCCGTGCAGGGCCAATTCCTGCCCTGGCACCGCTATTTTCTGCACACCCACGAGGTTATGCTTCGAACTCAGGCCAATTACACTGGTCCCATCCCTTGGTGGGATGAGGAGCTCGATGCCAATGCTGGTGACCTGTTTCGATCCAACATGTGGAGCGCGGATGCTTTCGGCACCAACGGCGTTGTCGATCTAGATGACTGCGTGATCGACGGCGCGTTTGCCAACATGACTGAGCACATCGGTCCTGGGCTGGATGATACTGAGTACTGTTTTACTCGAAGCTGGACGTCCGATTATATCCAATGGATGACGACGGCCAATATCGAGACGTGCACCCAGCACAACGACTACTATACCTTCATGAACTGCATGGTCGAGTTTACCACAAGTCCACATGTTGCTGGACATAACTCGAGTGGTGGGATTGTAAGTACTTGGTCATATCCGACTGTATACTCTCCTTCACCCGACCAGTCACACTTCTACTGGGCGTTAGCTTTTGTTCGGCGTGATGTGGATGAGATTAATGCGTCGCTAATTTGCTTTGGTGTTTCCAATCACAGATGGCGGATATCATGGCATCTCCTGGTGACCCAGTCTTCTTTCTGCACCACGGTCACATCGACCGTATGTGGTGGAATTGGCAGACAGCCAATGCTTCGTCTCGGCTGTTTGATATGTCTGGAAACGCTTTCAATTACACTTATCTTGAGGAGCATGGCACCACTCTGCCCAGTGGCATAAACCCCAACACGACCCTCAACTATACTCTGAACGTCGCGAACATTCTACCGGACATTCCTATTGAGCAAGTTATGAACGCTCAGGGTGGTCTTCTTTGCTACGAGTATGACTATTAGGTTGCGTTCATGTTTAACCGGGCAAGGAAGAAATTTCCATACATTGTTTTGTTGGGATATATTATCTTAAATTGGTGGCAAGGTCGCCCTCTATAAACCCATCTGCTAGTATGGCATTATATGAAGTTGTTTTTGTAAAATTTCGTCTTTATTCTTTAGTTGAGAGATATAGGAAGGCGAAGCATGGACTGCAACTTTTATTGCAATGATATTACATCTCTTCTTGTCCTGGGGTGTTGTCGTTACAAAATCGAAACTCTGCTCGGCGGGTCTTCTGCTTACTAATACGTGTGTTGTTGTCGTGGTCAGTGCACGAGCAGTCCGCTAGTGCTAGCATCTGTCAAGCAGCCGGGAAAAGCGGGGCCCGATTGGGGCGTCGGAAGAGAGGAGCCTTGACCGTTAGCAGATGGGGAAAGCTCCAACAGGTAATAAATATGAAATTATATGACCAGCTTTCGAGTATGTATATACTGAATAGTGATACATCAATTTCTGTTGGATTTGGGGCCTCTATGTATTCAACATCTGATAATGAATATATATACGACCTAACTCCATAATTCTAAACCTGGATTACGAAAGCGTCAGTTTGACTGATATTAGCTCAATTTATTCTTCCGCGTGACCGCTTTTGTGACCTTCAGGTTGGATGGGTCATAACACCACATTATACGAAACAAAAACAAACAAAAGTTAAAGTAGTAGCTTTATAATCTATTGCACCCTCTCTTCTATATTCTTCTTTCATGATTGAAAACCCCGAATGGTCTTCTTTTCCTGCATTCTCATATCTAGGAACTGAGCTCCGACGCCGGCTTCATATCAGTAAATCATTCACTGACATTCTTCTCGATAAGTTCCGTCCATAGTTCCATTAATAGATTGCTTCGTGTCGAGGCTTGCAAGGAACGATAGGCTTCCCACCACCACGAGTGAGTAACGAAGTCGGCCGACGACGGCGGCGGTGGACCTGATAGCCATGGTTTACTGCGAGATTGGAATTGGTATTAGTAGCGCAAATACGAAAGGAGGAACTGCCTCAGTAAGTGAGCTTTTTCGACTCACTCGATAATATAATGCACATTCTTCACCTCTTCATCTACCCACATCTCCGATTGACAGTATCTCAACGGCTTGAGTGCGTTGTAAGTCCAAGGTAGAATATGCCATCTCCCTTTGTGCAAGTCCGCTAAGAAGTCCTGGTCAGGAAAACGGTAATCATTCACGCCTGCATCTGTGCTGATCTTATGCACTATCATCTCCATCACTTGCGCGTCCGGCGTCAGCACAACCAAGCCCGAGTTTAGCAGATTGTGCGTCTCAGGCGCACTGGTACCAAGCCGGGTCGTATTGTTGGTCACGTTGAGCGTGTTCCTAGTTTGCAATCGAAAGCCGCAATTCTCCGGGATCCAGTTAGCTGGGTAGGTGCCCATTTTTCTAGGGTTGCATGTGCATGCGAATGTAGCCGCAATCTTCTTTGCCTCCCAGAACGTCTCGGGTAGGTCAAATAATTCGTCCATATTGCGACGCACGAGCATGTCGCTATCGACGAGCACAACCTTGTCGTACTCTGTCAGGTCGAATGCCCGTAGTTTTGTCCACACTTCGGAGAAGTGCGCATAAGCTAGAACGCTTTCTCCATTGTGTGTTGGCGGCGCATAGATTGGTGATACATCACGGATGATGCATCCCATTTGTTCAATTGCCGTCCGTCCACGCTGGGAAAGCTTCGGCGTCACCATAACGACTAGCGGGTATGCCGAAGCATAATCCGAGCGCAACAGAGAGTGTGAAAATACGGCCAGCCCAGGAAGGAGTGATTCGGCAGTGATGAGCGTAGCGAAACACGCTCGTTGGATCGATGTAGCTACCATTGTATATATATGTGTGATGTTTGTATGAGCTAGCGAACGATTATAGATAGGGTATGGTGAGTAGACAAGTGCTAACAATAGTGGAAGAATTCAAATCTCTTCAACTACTCGTGGGCTTGGTTAAATATTATAAATTATTCAATCTGGATTTTACAAAACTGGTTAATTACGCGAAACAATAGACCCAAACGCCACGTCGCTAGAGCTAGTTTTCAGCTACTCGGAAACTCTGGCTACTGGTAATAAGCCCTGCAGTCATCCGAAGATCTGCAAGCCTTAAAACTCCACTGGCGTTTGTAAGCTCAGCTAGCGAGCGCTTAGAGCGGAAGAGAGCGCTCAAGGGGATAGTGGAAGTTCCGGCCTCAATGCGACAAGCGTTGCAGTAATCCGAAGGTAGTTGAGAAGACTAACGAGTTGGTCTGCATAATTACGACCCCATGATTGTGAAATAGACACTACAATAATTCCAAGATTCTACACAACCTTCTATTTCTCGCGTTTCATTAATCATCCCCGTATCAGCTTATGCACCACCCAAGACTACAAGGCTTTGAATATGAACTTGGCCAAACCCTTGTCGGCGCAACAGTTTCCGACCTCTATGAGCAGGAAACTCGGCAACAACCATAACAGTAACATCTTCAGCACTAATACCAGCTTCATCAACCAATAACTGCAGCACTGCACAGAGCGTCTTCCCCGTAGCAAGCACATCATCTATCACCACCACTGAAGAATCTTTGGATATCAAATCCCGATTCATTTCTATCCGCTTCTCGCTTGAGTCGTTCGAGGCCCAAGACGAGATATGCGATGCGGACTTGATGACAGATACGGTCGGTGGTGGGAGCTTGCCAGCTTCGCGAATCAACGCCAGCGGTATGTCAACCCTCGCAGCTAGCGCCGATGCATAGACAAAACCGCCGGCTTCGCAACAAGCAATTACATCAACTTTTGTCCAATCCCTAAGGAAGTGACTCTGAAGAAGACTCGTGCACGTTGCCAGCCCACCTGGCTGCTGAGCGATGTCGAGTACGTGGCGGAACATGATGCCCGGGCGTGGAAAGTCAGGTACCGGGCGCATCATATCAGCCAGCCGCTGCAGGTCCTCGTTCAAGAACGGAAGCAGGTAGTGTTCGGCAAAACTCTTTGCTGCCTTATCCCCGGTAGTGTCATTGTCGAAGATGAGACTGCTGCTGGTGGGAGAGCAGTCTAAGGCTGTGACGTCCAACCTTCCCTCTTTGCTGTCCTTGTGGTCCGTGCCATCAACACTTTTGCCGTTCTTATCTTCGCTGAGCTGGCCTTCATGGCGAGCACGCTGCGTCTCGTGGCTAGCTTGAACCCGAACCTCAAGCATTTTGCTGTCTGGCACTAGGTGCGACAAGGCTGCGACCGGTGCCTCGTCTCTCATCCCAGTGACGAGCAGCACGTCCACGTTCAAGGCGGCAGCGTCATGCACCACACTGAGAAAATGTTCCTCTGGCAGCCCGGGTCGTTGAAGCACTTGGTCTTGGAAGAATTCCGTCAACGCGGGGCGGTGTTGTTCTTTGTAGGCACGGTCCCCAAGCAGGCGATTCAGGTCAGCACCGGTAGTTGCCGCATATTCTCGCTTAGTTGCATCGCTGATACTGATAGCGCATGCTGTCAAGGCCCTGTTATTATGAGTGCACAAGGTCGTGAACACCGAAACCCAGACTTCGGCGCAGTAGTCCTTGCCGGCGCAGCTCTCGCCCGTGACAAGAATGATGAGCTTCGGTTCCATAGGAGCTTTCGGGAGCGGACAAGCATGTGCCAGTACATTGAATGGGTCCGATACCTGTTTGAGACGAGCCAGACGCGGCCGGTTCGATCCAAAAGCCTTGACAGCCAGCGCGGTATCTCTGGGGTCGGGTCCTAAGTCAGCTCCGTAAACACCGCTACTCAGGGGTAACAAGTCCATGGCGACGTTGTAAACCCATCGCACGGCGCTTCGAGCGACTTCAGTCGCATCTTGGTCACGGGGCCAGACACCAGTGATGACGCAGGCAAAGTCCCAGTCTCGACAGCCGAAAGCAGTCGCATCGGCCGCCACGTCTGTTATAGCTCCGCCGCCTTGCAAGAGATGGAGGTAGCAGAGCGGCGGTGGGCGCGTCTCCATAGCTGCAATTAAATTGTTGGTGACCGTCGCTCCTCCAATGTGCTTCAAGAATACACATCGCTTGAACGAAGAGGTCTTGCCGCTGCCATGCCCGCCGTGCATCCCTGACATGTACAGCTCGGTATCAAACAAGCCGACGCTGTCTACAACCTTGGTATTGTCTTCCGGCCTCAGCACCGTACCTACTACAGATGCAGGTACTTCTGAGAGGGGCTCCGTCGTCGAAGACTCATACATGGTCACGCCAAGCTGCAGCTTTCCGGCGCCGTCCTGGTATAGATACGCATCTGCAGAACAGTTTCGTGGCAGCTTCCTAGCGACGAGTTCATCGAAATTGCTGAGTTTGACGCGCGCCGCCTGGCTGTCGCTCAACGAGACAATCCAGTTCCGAACAGAGTATTTTGGAGCCGCGTAAGACTTGAAGATAACGCTGATGACGATGCCAAAGTTGGTTCCTCCACCTTTTATTCCCCAGAGCTGGTCATGTTCATTTTCCGGGCGCACCGCACCAGCTGGCCGGAATTGGCTTGGTACACGACCGATGTACAAGACCTGACCAGAGGCCGCGCTGACCATCACAGCGCCGACGACAGCGTCACATGAGAGCCCATGCTTCCTAGCCAGGTGGCCAATGCCGCCTTGTAACCACAGCCCCGCTCCCACGCTTGGGCGGCCCCCCAGGGGCACTATGACGCCTGCCGCCATGGTTTTACGGACGATATCACCAGTGTTGCAGCCGGCCCCAGCGACAACCAACTTGTCGGAAGCGGAGCCGGAAGAGGAACTGAATTTGGCTTCATCGTCCGCGACCGGGTGGAGATGTATTTGGTCAAATGCGGCCATGTCGATCGAGACTACATTTGGTAAGACACAGTGGCTGCTGTGACCCCCGCCGAGGACGGTAAGGCTAGCCTTATACTTCAAAGCCCATCGCACGCATTTCTGGACGTGTAGAATCTCTGTCGGCCGAACAATCGACGCGGGGCGGTGGAGGCGAGCTTCCCGGTTCTTGATTGTCTTGTCTTGGATCGACACCAACGGCACCTGTGCCGTCAGCTCCCCCAACATGGTTGCACCTCTGGTAAAGGTCGCCATAACATCGGGAGAGCTGAACACAAGATGGTCTGGGTGGTCTTCGTCACGACGACCCAAGGCACGGCACACCTCACGCCACTCAGCTCGGACTCTCTTGTCCATGTCGATATCAAGCATGATGAATCCTGCAATGAAAGGAGCAAAGCAGTCCAGCACCTCCTCGTTATCTGTCACCCGAGTGACTCCGATAGGGTAGCAGGTCGTTTGATGGCACACTAAGCCGTCGAGGTGTAAGCTTCCGTCTCGATGGAAAACTACTACCATTCCGCCTTGTAGCCGGTCGTCAAGCATCTCCAGCGCCCGTTCAATAAAGCTGCGCTTTGGTTCCATTCCGTACATGCTGTGGCAAAATAGGATGATGTCAAACTTCTCATCATCACGACTGGTGCCGGTCCCGCTGCTTGTGAAGTCGCTGTCGAGGTTGAAGGAGGTTTGGTAGATGCCGGGCGGGCTCTCCAGGCAGGGCAGAGGGGACTCCGTCTCCGAGGAAGGACAAACCCATTTTTCCAATCTTGTAGCAAACAAGCCACGAGGCTCAACTGCAGAGTATCTCCTAATTCCCCTTCTCAGAGGAGCAGAAAGATACCCAAGTACGCTTTTAGGGCCGGGTCCGATTTCCAGCACTGAAATATGGCGGCGCGAGTCGACAAGAGAAGCTAATAGCTGGGATAATTGAGGGATGATGAAGTCTTGATAAGTCATCCATCCCAAGTCTTGCAGTAAGATATCGAAGCCAGCGCTGTATTGTGCGTCGGACAATGGTTGTGTGGAGGGCAACTTTGCTGCTGTACATTTCTGTCTGAGAGCTTGCTTTAGAGTGCCGAGAGTAGCCATGTCAGCTTGGCATGAAGTTGTTTTGTGTGAGTGAATGAGTATTTGCTTTTTTGCTTTGAATACTAGTGGCAATGTATTACCAGTGCAAAGGGAAAGTTTAACGAAAGTAAATGATATTCTTAGTTAATATATAGTCACCACCTAATTGCTGTAATGTCATATGGGAATGAAAGATCGGTGTTTATTTGTGATTGAGCTCAATGCGATTTGTTTCCGCAGTACCCGAAGCTGCAAGAGCCCTGCAAGAGGCCCTCCAATCCTTGTCATGTTACCTTGAAGACTAAAGCACGAAGTTCTAATAGGTATCCTATTACTTCAAGGCGAGTTGAGGCTACGAAGTGTGACAAATACTCGCCTAATTCCCAGTTTGGCCGAAAATACCGCGGACGGCCTCTCGCATGGTCATCTGAAGATCATTCCCGTCCTCACTAAAAGCGTGGTAGCGCCCGAGGTGCCCAATGGGAAAGTAGAAAAGATGGGCGTGCATTTGTTTCAAATGGCCTCCTGCATAGACTATTTAGTTTGAATCCCGCATTGTCAAAGCGGAAGAGCTATGCATGTATTGTGGAAATCACTGCGGACGGCCTCCTGCATTGAGTGTTGCTTCCATTTCGCCGAGGGCGATGCTGAAGGCGAGTGAGTTGGTTCATGATATCATACGCACTGAAGTTTTAATCCTCATATTGGGAACAGAAGCACTATGGACGCGTTGTTAAAGTGGCTCAACCCAAAATCCGGGTCGTTGGGGCATTCAAGTCGGACCGATCCAGATTCTATTTTCTTTCTGTCTGCAGCGATTGCTGATTTCATCTCATTCCCGCCATAACAATGACTTCCAAAGATGACGGCGACCTCTCCAAGAAGAGAATTCACGACATTGCTAGAGTCTCTTCCTTGCTCAGCGACAATTTGACACGGGAGGATCGTGAGATTCACCAGAACAGCAAGACATACACGAATGTTGACGGAGTTGGACTACCTATGAATACTTCAAAGCTAGGTGAATTCACAGCGTGCAAGAACTCTTTCTGCAAAACCACCGAAGATCCTCGAGAAAGGGTTGTCGTCTCCGAGAAAGACATCATAACGCGAGCGTCTGGTCCGGTAATCGATTTTGGGAGTTCCAGTCAATCTGGTGGGTTTTGTTCTCGTCTCCCCGTCTTTCCGGGAACCACCATGACCTGATTCGGGTAGGGCGTAAAATTTCTAGCTGACGTCTGAGCTCTGTAACCACAGAACTTGAAGAACGCCGAGAAGAGAGTGAGGAACAGGCAGCCGTGCGGCTGGAGAAGATGCAAGGTGCTGTGCGAACTCTATTGGAGTGCATCGGCGAGAAGGCTGATCGTGAGGGCTTGCTTAATACGCCTTCACGGTATGCCAAGGCACTGCTGTTCCTTACTGAAGGCTATCAAGTCAATGTACAAGACATTGTCAACGATGCACTCTTCTCCGAGGCGCGCGACGAGATGGTCGTTGTGAAAAACATTGACATCTCCAGTCTCTGCGAGCACCATCTCTTGCCCTTTACCGGAAAGGTACGTACTTTCATTTCTTTCAAATGCCTAGTATAGACGAAATCCTGGGAGACGCCGGCTAAATTTCGATATGCGTTTCCAGATGCATATTGGCTATATCCCTTCTGGCACAGTCATCGGCCTCTCCAAGCTTCCACGGATCGCCGAAATGTTCTCCCGTCGCCTGCAGATCCAAGAGCGTCTCACCAGGGAGATTGCCTGTGCCATCATGGAAATACTGAAGCCTCAGGGGGTCGCTGTCATCATGGAGTCCACCCACCTGTGTATGGCAATGCGCGGCGTTGAAAAGACCAGTGCTTCGACATTGACACGTTGCATGCTGGGATGTTTTGACCGCAGTAGCAAGACACGAGATGACTTCTTCAAGCTCGTTGATATGAGCTGATAGAGTGCGGCTTTATCGCATTTGGTATACACGTAGTATACTTTGCCATGGAGGGACAGTGGAGTAGTCTCAGTGGTGTTTCGAAACCTTCTGCGTTTTGTGGTGATGCATGAGATGTCCTTTCCCGTCGTTAACACTCCAAATAAACAAGTCAATCCACACTCAATGCATTCAATAGACTGGGCTCATCATTGTCCAGGTTGTGCTAGGTTAATTGGTGATATCCTAAGCATCTCTGTTCTAGTGTGAGTCTTTGGAGCTTATCAATACAGTTTCATCACTCCCCTCCGCTTCTCCCCCAATGAAGTTGGCGATAGCTTTAGCTTGTCTTTCAAGCAGTAACCCATTGTGGCGGTAGCCTAGCTGATACCTTGAGACCGTAGGAATCTCCTGAAACGTTACCCCCTACATTGGGCGTGAAGACTTCTTTATATCAGTTCCTTGGAGTCATTGTATGAGAACTTGTTAAACATATAAATACGTGTTGTGGAATTGTGGTGTACTGCGCGGCCGTTTTGCTTAATCTTGATAAAACTAGCGGTTATCGTTAGCCAATCTTTATTCGGATTGAGGCTATTAAAAGATGTATCAAGTGAATATTTATGTTGACAAATCAATAACTATGCACCATACTATTTCTAATGAGAATGAATGTGAGTTTATATATCCGGCTCGTCCATCGTGTTTCGGTTGATATCTCCTCTAGGCTTATAGCTGCTCGCGAAAGCCCAGAGGTGCTCACCGGGCTTCAGCCAGTAGCCCTACCCCTGGTTACATAAGTATGGTGCAGGATGCTGGATCGAACACCGGCCTCCATTGGATATTGTTGCTCGTGACCTGTTTTGTACCGTACGTTTTGAGAAGGAAATGAGGACTAATGAAATCCGAGTCCGAAGACCGTTATGGATTCGCTCTTCCACATAGATCACAGAGCTCTGGATATGATTCTCACAGTTCACCATATGGGCAACACATGTTCGTAGAATAAAATGTTTTTTTCTTCCATTACTTATACCAAATGCTTTTTTGCACTTGCGCTCGTCATGAACGAGTCTCTCTCAGAACATCAGGATCTATCTACCAACTTGGAACCTTTTCTTGTTAAACGAATTTATTGTCGGCCTGAATGTTGCAAGTAATTATGGCGTGTACTGGCAGTCCAGGTAGCAGAATCTAAATAGAAGAGTAGATGGCGCTAGTCTGCACCGGGCTAGCGTAATTCCTACCTACCGCTATTAGCCAGTCAGAGGTTGATTAGAACCCACTGGTTCCATAGTAAATGCGACTCCTCGAAGCTCCGCTTTATTTGCCGATTTATTACGCGTCCTGTAGATATGCTGGGAGTTTGTTATCCGGAATGTGGAGGAAATGCTGCACAGAAATCTCGAGATCCAATTTAATATGTACTATTTTGATCGTGCTAACTCCAGATTTCGCCTAATCTGCCGATACCTTGGCTGGAAATCCCATTGTAATGTCTGGTAGGGTCTTGCTCAGTCCCTTGATTCGAATTGGCTAGAAATCAGAGGCCGGTAATACCATAGTACTATGTACAGATACTCCATGGAGTAAGGGCACGATGAAGCGAGTGATCGGCCCGCCGCCGTTGGGCCCCATTCATAAGATTATTGCGAGAACAGAAACAAGCTGCCCAAAGATTAACCGGTGGAGGCCTGGATTTGCGACCTCGATAGGAATTGGGATTTTTGCACCTTTGCTTCCGCTCATAAGTGGGGCATGGTTGGAGAGTGGAGTCCACATCCAACATAAGGTATGACCTGTACGCGCAATCCGAAGAGGCTTGTATTGACGTCGTCATGCAGTCGACGACTTGCCGCGTCCCGAGAAAGAAATGTGTCGCGTGACCTGTGCGAACCCCAACTAGCATTTGCTCAGAGCATAATCCTTCCACTCGAATATCCCTGCTTCGCCTTCGGACGGTTCCCCTTGCCTACGTACTGCCTGCATAGCCTTGCCTTTCCTTTCGTAGTCGTGTGAGTACGTGTGTGCTTTCCTAGGGTATGATGGCGACATAGAGGGAGGGTCGCTCTCAAGATCCATATCCAGCCTCGGATCATCTTGCAGACCATTCTTTTTCTCGACTAATTTCCTTCCTCCCTTTTATTCTTTTGATTTGCATCACAAAAGTCATGATAGAGCCAACCCTCTAAGTCTTTGAAACGGCATATCCTGAATATGCAGATGGCAACTTCGCTCGCGAACAGTCCGTAAGACCAGCAAATCCTTTCAGATGGCACCAGAACACCAACGGTTATCGGAGGAGAGCGGTGTAACTTCCACACCATTGTTGCAAAACTTTGACTCGGATGAGTCGTTCCGCCAACATCGCCACTCCTGGTCAGAGAACGAGATCAACCCTCACAATCCTGATTACCACCGGCAAACCTCGAATGAAAAGCTGAATGGGCCGTATCTCGATGGAGACACATCCATCATAATAACGGACTCGATGGGGCAAGTGGGCCTTGCATCAAGGGAGGAAGAACAACGGTCGAACCTCTACTCGGCTTTGGTCTTGTCAAGATGGCGGACGCTGCGTTTTGCTCTGCGGCCATGTGTGCTCTTGGTGCTGTTTGTGCTTTCGGCTGTTCAATTCATCTGGATCGTCATGTCAGATCCGTCCTGGACAGTATTCGGTCAAACCATCACACCAGCACGTCCTGAAGCCAACCTCACAGATACGATAGCAGTGCCTCCAGGGACAAGCTTCTTGAAGAACGGCGATCTATCTAGAATCACGAAAGACAACCAGCGACCCCGTCGACCGATGCCCATAAACTCTCATCTGGAGTTCTTGCGAGATAAAGGGAAATATCTGGAGGCCTGGGTTGCCCGAGGGGAAGTTCTGGATGGCATGGACTTGGGAGAACACGACCATATTGATGGGCTTTGGTCTTGGTAAGCTTGACTGCTCTACGTCTTCTAAGAGATCTAGGCTTCTCTCTCCCATTCTCGCGTATGCTAACACATTTTAGGGTAAATGGTAGTGACCCACGCCATGCAGCAGCTCGCCGATTCTTCTCGGATGACCCATCTACACCAAAATTATTCTCCGAATCCGACACAGCCGCAAGGTTTCGGGACAACGATGAATTGCGGTATAGTCTCCGAAGCGCTACAGCGGGTTTGGGAGGCTATCTTAGGACAATACATCTCATGTCGACCGACTTTTGGCCCAGCGGTCTCCCAAGCTACCAAGAACACACCGAGCAGCTTCAACGCTTGTCCGAGGGTATCAATGTCACTGCAAACACGGTCCTCCATGGGCAGAGTGATGCATTTCATATTGAAAATGGTATGGTCAGATATGGCCAAATCCCACAGTGGCTCCATGTGGACCACCCCGACGTGAGGCTGGGCGACCGGGCTCGAGTCATCGAAGACGAAGCTCCTGCCTTTCGGATGCATCACGACTGGAATCTCTTCTCGGAATTACGGAACGTCGATCCAGACACTCAGGAATTGCCCGATGACCTGAGCCAGAGAGAGATGCTCCAGTACAAGCTCGACATTCTGCCGACATTCAACAGCGGGGCGATGGAGGCGTCCTTAGGCACCAGTGTCACCGACCTAGCCGAAGCCTTCTTCTACAGCAACGATGACTTTTTCTTTGGAAGTAACCTAACCACCGCCGATTTCTCGTCCCCATTGTACGGGCCCGTTTACCACATTGATCATACTCTTCCCCTACTGGCTCAAGAAGCTCCTGAAGATGGACTTGCAGAGCACGCTAGCCTTTCGTACTCCACGTGGCTGTTGGGAGAGCGGTTCGGCCATCGTGACAGGTACTATATTAAACATGTTCAGAAGACGCAATTACGACCTCTGATCATGGAAGCTCAGCTGATGTGGGGAGACGAGTTTGGACGGACTGCCCATCAGCGCTTCCGGGGCTCGGGAAAATCAGTCAACACTCACTTGCTGTCGTACAACTTCAACATCGAGAGACACCGCGAGGCGTTGCTGTGGTCGTATTTTGTCGCGAGGCTAGACAAAGATGGCGACGGCTGGTACAGTGACGAGGAGCTCTCAGATGCTTGGACTGACCTCGGCTTTGGCGCCAACAAGAAAATATGGGATCAGGAGCCTGGAGCTGTGCCCCTGCCTTCTAGGGACACCGTTCTAGACGTCAACGTCAACAGGAATCTCGAAAAGGCTCAGTTCTCGACCCCAGGAAAGACTCAACTTCTCACATCTAGTCACGATGGGTACTCTTTGGTCATTCTTGGGTCTATGGAACACGATGCGCTACCGGCGGACAAGGTCTGGCCCGAGTACCACAAGCATGCTGCTATTATCGACTGGGCCACGTGTTGGGACGCTGCAATCGGCCATCAGCCCATAATGCTCTTCAAGCACATGGCTTTTGGAAAACCCCGCTGCGGAGACTACCTCATCACCCTACTAGTCGCTCGAAGCGGCCTGAGAGGCCTTTCCGCATTTCTTCCCGCCGCGGACACCACCTTCTCGCGTGTTTCAAACCTGGTCGACAAGTCAGAGACCACACCTCATCTACCACTCGATGACCGCTGGCAAGACGCTGACTTTTCCCTGGGTGCTGTGGCTCGTCACACGGGCTGGTCTGGCCTTTCTCGCCGCGTGTTCGCCATGCTTCTCATTCAGCGCTACTCTTACTCCATCGGTTACTCTCCCGAAAGTTTTCAAATGATAAAGGGGGCAAGTTCCGCCAAGGAATCTCTGGGAAAGCTGGAGAAGGGTGGTGGCCGTGATGGATACGCATTCATGTGTATCAATGATGACATGACCGGGACACAGAAGAACATCGACCAGACGGTGCAAATGATTCAAGCTTGGATGGAAAAAACTTGGCCTGTGGAGCAGTTCAAGTTGCCGTATGAACGAGCGCCGCATGTGGACGTTACGGATGAGACAGCTGTGGAGGCATAGATTTTCCGTCGTTTTCCTTGGTTTGGACTTGTGATACCCAAAGACATAGTTGCTAGTTGCTGCTGCCAAACGATTCTTCTTTTATTTTATATCCTCGGCCATTCTCTACAGCCCTTCTTTTGTTTGCAGCATGTACTGTACTGGCACTCAAATCTCATTTCATTCGCACATGGCTTATGCGAATACGTTTACCTAGAGAGGGAGATCAAGATGCACCGTCTCTAAAGGTCTCGGACAAAATACAACACGAAAGCACAAAGCACACCCTCGGTGAGGATGAAAATAATACGGTCCCTATTGCTTCAACAAATCTTATGCTACACGTGAATATGCATCGTGCTGCATTAAGTAATCGCCTTCAACACCTTTGTTGTCCCTTCCTCCAATATCATCCCTATTAGAAAGCTTGTCTGCCTACTTCAGTGCCCAGCTTGTTTTCATATCACTTATGAGCCTCCCTAGACAAACTCTGCTGTATCACAGCCAGGGACCACGAGCGTCGGCCGCCTTCCATTATCACTCAGCTCTTTTACCGGGCCAGCAATCTCAGAGGGTAGCTTCACTACCGTATCGACGCTGGAGGAGAGAACACAGAATTTAGCTGACGTTGACACGCATGAAGAAGAGGAAGTCGAAATGAGGAGACTACTTACTGGTTCTCCTTGCTCCCCCAGTCCCACCAGCCCACGACTGCACCCGTATGCGTAAATTTGAAATGATCACTTGGCTCGACCTCATCATCATCGCCAACCCTGACATTCACGTCTGGCCAACCCACTTGAAAAGAGTATCCTATGCTAGGGTCCTCGACCGCTCGCCACCTACCTGTCCAGAAGCGGTAGAAGCCGCAATCTGCGATCATGATCGGCGGGGCCCCGCCTGGCACGAGCCTCGTCTGTGTAGTTCGCCGTAAGCAGACAGGCATCTCTTTGCCCCCAAGTCCAATATCGAATACGCTGGAGTCATGGGCATTGACATGGTCTTCGCTCTCTTCTGCTCTCTTCGTTGTAGAAACTGTCCATGAGCCCCTCCAGCACGCCCGCTTCGACGCGTTCCAGGTCGCCAGCGGCATTCTCGTGCAGCAGCACCAAACACCCCAGAGCTAGGCAGCTACCCCATGGCGACCAGCTGCAGAGGAGAGGCCGGCTATCACCATCGTCGGCGGAGCGGGTGACGGTGAATTGGATTCGGTACGGCATTGTAAGGCATAGCTCGGCGCCGTGGTCAGGCATGTAAGCCTCTAGCTCTAACAAGAGCCTGGGCGCGGCTGGACTGCAATGGTGAAAGGGGGACGGGCGTTAGCATGGGTAAGTTCTCAAGTCAGCGTCGCTGTGAAAGGTGGGTACGAAATGTTACATGACATCCTACTCCGACATGCGCACAAAGGCGAGGTATTTGGGATCCAGCATGACAGCACACATTTTGTTTTGTTTTCCCTCGCCAGAGTCTCCCGTGGCTTCCCCCGTTATGGGATGGGCTGTGTGTATGATAGCATCCTTTTCAAGAAGCTTCACGAGGAGGGCGCGCAGAATATTTAAGTCCTCAAAACAGGCATCTATACCAGGCATTCGCACAAGGCTGAATGCTGTCTAACAAACACGTCGTCGAGCTCACCTTCTGAGTCACGCCGACCATGGGCTACAAGCTTCCATCAACCCGAGATCATTGCGCGGAGTTGGGTCAGGCCAGGTCGCCGGAATATACCTGTCTCGAGCTGAAAGTGAATCATTTCGGGAGCGTCCAGACGCGATAATAAGACCAACAACCGAGAAATAGCCTACAAAAGCGCGTTGGGTGGTACAAGATCTCTGCTGCTACGAGATTGATCACATACTGCAGTCGATCCAGCTGGGGCAGCAGCGCAAGAGTGGCCATTTGACGTGCTTCCAGTTACTTCTGCAGCAAGAAAGGGTCAAGATCTACCTGCTATACGCGTCCAACACAGGTGGGAATAGTTATGTCTGCAATAAAGCTGCATAGATTCTATCTATCAATTGTAACCTCGAATAGATCTACATATTATCATCATCGCTCTCACTCCAACGATCAAGATGCTCGTCGCTATTCTCATGCGTCGACTCGCTCGGGTCCCGACAGCAAGCACCGCAGAACAAAATCCCGGTGCTCTCCGACACAGCCACTGTCTTGTCGAAGAGCTCAAAAGGTTTGCAGCGATAGCGTGGCTCAATCTGTAGCATGCTGTCCACCCACTCGAGAGCACGATTCGCCTCGGGAGGCTGTTGGCTCCTCAGGGAGTCGGCCCAGGCGGTGATATGGCCGGGCGCAGCGTTGTCATGGAAGCTCGTGCTATCGGAACGGCTCTTGAGGAAAGCTCTCATCTCAGCGACGGCTTTGCCCTTGAGCACGGTGCACATCTCGAGGAAAACGCAGCCGAGGGACCAGACATCGGCCGACTCATTCTTGGGCCCGCCGCGCGCGACCTCGGGGGCGGCGTACATCCAGGATCGATCAAGATCTGCGGTGGTCGTCGCCCGCGTCAGCCCTTCCCAGCTGCGGGCGATGCCAAAGTCGGCGACGAGAACGTGGCTGTTATCCTTGACCAGGATGTTCTGGGGCTTGATGTCTTGGTGGACCACCTTCTGGCTATGCAGAAAGTCCAACGTACCCGCCAGGCAGCCGAAGAAGCTCTGCAGAATAGAGAGCTTGTCCCTGTCGGCCAGAGCCAAGGAATAGTACTTGTCCAGATTGCATTCAGCCACTGGGCTTATGATTAAGGCGAAGTACCGGGGATCAGAGTAACTGCCGACCTTTCCAGGCAGGGAGATGTGTCAGTAGTTTGGTCCAACGCATTAATAGCCTGGGTGTCGAGTTGAGACAGAAGAGTGTGAGCAAACAAACATACCATGTCTATGCAGTGCTTGTGGCTCAGTGTTTTCAGAATCTTGACCTCATTGAGAAAAGTTTTCACGTCTTTCTTGTTGATGGTGGATCTCTTGAACCGCTTGCGAGCGTACTCTCTGTAGCTTAGTGTGCTCACAACCTTGTCCACAAAGCCGTGAGCACCAGTTCCCAGAACGGCGACGACCTTGAAAGGTAAGGGCTCTCCATGCGAGAAGTGCGCATGCCTGCGGTACGACTTATTGTCGTCGAGCTTCGAGCCTCTCTCAAGCTCAAGCGCCTTGGAGAAGACAGCCTCCTGGGCCTGGAGGAACTTGGCCCTGTGCGGCTGCTTGAGTACTTTCGGGAGTGTATTTTCTGAGAATGGAAACCATATATCTGTCATGTCATACTTTAGAAAGGCGTCGACCAGCTCCACCTGGTCTATGAGACGTAGCACAGTGTATATCCTCGGCACCTTGCTCCAGCTCTGGTGGTCTGTATTCCGCAGATACGAGACAATCCCCTCGAACTCGGCATCGGTGTACCTGGATTTTGCATCCCAGCCAGACTCAGGAAAAAGTTGGTCGAAACCCCTGGGCGCGTTGGATTGGGATGGCGTGGCAGCGTCGGGCCTGGGCGGCTGGGGCGTTCCAGTACTCGGTGTCGACTCCCGGCTCGGTGGGACTTCGCTAAGTGTGATCAGCTCCACAGAGATGGACATCAGTGAGCGCAGCTTGACCTGATACTCTTGAATCTCCGCCTCCTCATTTTTCTCTACCCATTGCGCGAGGGCGTCGACCGACTGGAGCAAGGACCAGATCTTGGGCGTCTGTGTGGTCGCGAGCAGCTTCTCCCGCAGTTCCCCGGCATGGGATCGAATCCTGGTTATTTCTCCCGCCCTCAATTCCTCACTCTTCAGGCCCCGGTCCAGCTCGTCAAGCGCCTGGTGACATGCGCGATAGTCGGCGAGACTTACTGTCTCATTTTCATCTACCCAACTGCGGAACTTGTCCAATGACTGGAGCAAGGTCATCATTCTTCTTGTCTGGAAATCAGGAGGCTGAAACTCGCCCAGAGATGCGATGCGCAAGTCAACGGCGCAACGCTCCGCTGCTCTTGCCTCCTCCGTGGCATCATCCTCTTGGTAGGACTCGGCTTGTAACAATAGGGATTCCATGACTTCTTTGCTTCTGGGCAGCACCCTCTGCCACGCTGCTCGGCTGGTTGACTTGCCCTTCACGGTGGCGGTGACCATCACCCTTTGGTGGTTGTCGATGTCGACTTTGATCTCTATCATAGTCTCCACATTGGCCTCACTCCAGCTAAGTGGAAGTTCGGCAAGGTCCAGCGTGCCAATTAGTAAGTTATCCTTGACTCTTACTCTTTCACCCTGGTAGAATCTCAAGGTGGGGCGATCGCTGGGCCCAAAGTTGAGTTCATACAGCGAGTGGCTCTCGATCTTGGTCGTCGGGCAGGTTTTGTTGCGAGGGACTATCTTGAACATTCCTCTTCTTGTTTCGAATCCGATACTAATCGGCAGGATGGGCAAGACTAAAAGGTCTCTCAAAGAGTATACATAGCCAGAGAAGATGTCGGCATATATGGAACTTCCGAGGACCTCCCCCTCATCTGGGTTCACTGTCTTGACTAGAGGTTTTGAGCCGAAATAGTCGGACCACATCTTCTGCAACTTGGGGATACGTGAGCCGCCGCCCACTATGACAATGTCCATAACCAAGGACTTGTCCCGCTTCGCGTCGGCGAGGACGCGTTGGATTGGCTGAAATGTAGAACGAAAAAGATCGTGGCACAACTCTTCCAGCCTTATACGAGTTATAGTCCCGGAAAAGTCCTGGCCGTCATAGAGTGAGTCGATGTAGACCTCAGTCGATGCTATCGAGCTCAAGTCCCTCATAGCGACCTCGCAAGCCACCCTCAGGCGACGCTTGGCTCGTAAGTCATCTTTGATATCCCAACCCCATTTCCTCTGTATCTCGGCAGCGAAGTGCTTATGGAGGCGGTCAACGAAATCCTCGGTTCCCAGATCGTTGTCGCTGGCACATGAGACCATCTCAATGATGCCCTCCTCGATCAATGCCAAACCAGCGTTGAAGAAGCTGGCTCCAAGATCTAAAAATAGGGTGAGCCTTTCGCCTTCCTGTCGATTAATAAATGCGTGATACAGTGCAATCGACTCGATGCTTGTGCCCATGTACAGCAGATTGACACCGCCGAGCAAGACCGCATCACGGACGTCTTCTCTCTGGCTATTGTTGAAATATGCTGGCACGCTTATGGCTGCATTATAGACCGGCTCTCCCAGATAAGCCTCCGCATTTGCTCGTGCCCGCGCGACCAGCATCGCAAATACCTGCACCGGGGACAGGTGGTGTGATCGTTTCTTGTAGCCCACGGAGATGGTAATCTGGCCGTTGTTTTCCTGAGGGTGGTTGGAGGAGGCTCTCGTGTATCGGCTCACCTGCACCTGATCCAGGTGCTGGCCCAGGATACGCTTGACGCCGTACACGGTGTTCTCGGGGTGGGAGGTAGCCTGGGCCTTGGCTGCGCTTCCAAACAAGCGACATCTCTCCGTGAAAGCCACGTAAGAGGGCATAGAATGTCGGCCATCTGCATCAGGGATAATCTCGGGACGGCCATTGCGAAAGACCGCGACGCGAGTGTTGGCCGTGCCAATGTCGATCCCTATAGAGAAGCCCATCCTCACCAATACATCAGAACTCCGTGTTCCGCCGAATACATGTCGTTTCCGTCGATGAATGAGGGGAGCCCGCAGACGAGCACCTCTGCTGGGATGTAGAAAGCATAAGCAGACGTAAAGGACCCAGTAACAGCAGATGTATCGACTGGAAAGTAGCTAGCTGGGACTGCTTCTGACTTTCACGTGCTACCTGGCAGAGCTCTTTGCCAGGTACGAAAGTGAGCAGGGTTTGAATGTTCTTCAAGTCTAATGATAAAGAGATTATCGGCCTGGCCAGCTGCTGAAAGACATGGAGCTGACACTCGCGTGCCACGTGATGTAAGCGTCGACGAAAGCTGCCTAGCCTTCCTGCAGCCCCACTGTTTCCGAGAGATTGGCACTCGGCGGGGGTTTCCCAATGTTTGGTGTCGTGTGAGGGTTAATATGGGCGAGATACGCGACAACAACCTCCAGATGTCAGAGCCTGGGACAAAAATCAGTAGCCAGCTTGGTGCCTATCTCTTGTTGCTATTATTACTAAATCTAGACGAGAATAGAGTCCAGTTTACGAATAACCCGGTCTCCAAATCCAATCTGAAGCTGGGCGTCTAGGCCTGCCGAGCCACCCTCGTTGTCGGGCACAAAGTCTCCAGTCAAGCAGCTCTGCACAGCCGCAGCGAAGATAGTGCCGACCTCTGCCTCAAGTGCTTGCAGGGTCTCTGCCTCGACTAATGTGGCCTTTGCCCCCTTGACAGCTGCGGACCGGATGCCCTCTTCGAGCCGGATACCTAGGATAGCGTGGATGGGCCGCCACATTCCGATCTCGCAGAGCACGACTCCGAGGCTGTATATATCATAGACCTTCTTGAACCCCCGTCGCCCATCTCTAGGAATGTCGAACTGCGTAGAAGGGTGGCGGTAGAGGTCGTGCAGTCGATTATCGCTCGGAGTCTCAGTAGCCTCGTTGGGGTCGGCCGGCCGTGCGTACTCAAAACCAGCCAAGAAAAGGTCGGCAGTGGATGGAGTTCCAGGATTAGGGCTTCTCTCGAACAAAATATTCTCGCTGCGTAGACCTTTGTGAAGCCAGTTCGCGGCATGCAAGTACCAGAGGGAGGTGGCGATCGCGCGAGCTGCTGCGAGTCGCCACGTCAAGGAGGGTTTTGGTATTGATAGTAGAAGATCGTGGAGGGACAGCGGTAAGCCACCTGCTGGCTGGTCTGCTAGATTCGGAAACACGAAGCCGTAGCGATCATTGTCTTTATCATGGACGTACCCAAGGCAACGAGGGATGCGGCACTCCTTCGGCTTGTTCTCATCTCGCAGCAGTCTTGCGAGCTTTGGTATGCGGTCGGCAACGTAGATTGGCACCGCTTCGTGTTCGCCGCGAATAACCTCGTAATACTTCCACTCTATCCATACGGACGTCTGTTGGTATCTGCCCGCCGACCGATCAGGCAGCTCTTCCGGTTCTTCTTCCTCTTGGATCAGGGATAGCTCGCTGATTGAAAGCAAGGTATCTCCTTTAGACGGGATTTCCAGCACTCCTGATTGCCCAGTTTCGACGGCAACATTTAGAGCCTTGAGACGGGTCAGCTGCAGCAAATGTTTGTCGTGACCCATGTTGCCTAGTGAGGCCATCAGTGCAATTAAGTCGTCAAGCTTATTGTTGACCTGGAGAATCCCCATAAAAGAGTTTTCCTGCATCTGCAAATGGCGCTCTCGCTGGTGCCGTTCGAAAAAGTACGACATGCTCTCGTTCAGAGCGGTGAGCCTGGACAAAGCTGCCTCAAAATCCTTTTGGTCTAATGATGCCCATCTGACACGCCCAGGGAATCTTCGTGTCTTTTCAATAAAGCTCTCGGCCTTCTTCTGCAGCAGTGCGCCGGTGCTCGAAGAAGTAACTACCACGTCCTCAGGCTTAATTCTTTTTGCATCATCCTCACTGACGGGCTCTAGCTCTGTGTTGTGCCTATCGCTAAGCTTTGTGAGCTCGATGAGGACAAGCTTCATCTCCTGCAAGGTGTCGTTGACCATGTGCCTGTTCAACTGGAGGCCTGAGCTGAGTGTACGCTCGTCTTCGGAGAGATTCACAAGAACGCCCCAATCCACCAGTTTGTCACGTTCCATACGAAGCCGAACGTGCAGGTAGCGGAACATTTTTGGCATGCCAGATGCCTCCAGGAGAAGCTTGTATACTAGAGCTTTGGTCAGCGAACCAAAAAATACCGCAGCCGATACTGCCAAGGCGCCTGATATTTTTTGGGGGGGGGGGAGGAGAGGGGGGAGGGGGAGGGTTCTTTCTGTCTTTATTTCCTCCCTCCCCCCCTTCTCCATCTTCACCCCGCCATATTCGCAGTAGAAGGGATGACTGACCTTTGACGCATATTGCAAAGAGCTCAAAACTTAGAGACGTTGCATCCATGATCACACTTATAACCTTCCAATAAGAAATCCTCGCTCCTGAAACACACCACGTAATTGTCAAAGTGCAAGACAAGATTGAAGGGGCAGGTTAAAGTGTGGGTAAAAATTCAATTACGCGTGTGCATGTCAGACAGCCCAGCGTGCGCCCCTGGGAAGTAAGATGTATTGTTATGGAAAATGAATGCAGCAGGCTGGCAACGGCAGCATAAGAGGCGTGCACACTACATATATGTACGCAGCCATTTGTAGACTAGCTACTTAAGTCCATCTGCATATGTGCTAGTGGTGGAGTCTCAGCCACTTTAGGATCGAGCAGGGAGCGGCTGGGGAAGAGAATGCAGAAACCGGCTCAGCCCCTGCCACAGAAAGTGGGTGGCCGAGGAGTGAGAAAGCAATAAGCAATTATTTAACAATATGCTGACGACCGTACAGCAACCCTGCTGTTTACCAACACAAATTCTATCACTTATTTAAGATTCAAATTTGTGGACATACTGCCACGTCCTTATTGAAACAACTTGTGGAAAAGGGTCTACATCAGTGACATGGCAATTGCTAGCTGCCCTTTTCGAAGATGTTCTGTGATCAAGTAAAACGTAAGTTTCTATTGCGTAAAATCTTTTTTTTCATAACTGAAAATATCGTCTATGTTTAGTCTACCAATCTATGGTCAACTCGCCTCAAGTCATCAATACAGCGACTTCGTGAAGGGGAAGTCGTGCGTTGATGCCTAGGTCTGTTGTCTAGTCTAAAAAGTGCTGAACGCAAATCTGTGTGCGCCAGCCAAAAGGAGCGACCACTCCCACCTGGCTAGAAATGAACAAGGTCTATATACCTGTCGGATGGGTTTTCCACACGACCTCGGTATAGTCTTAGCGGATATCCTGGAGAGTGCAAGGCACAATCAAGCCAGTAGCCGACTTCAAGGCTCAGCTCCATAAGGAGCATAAGCAGGAGCCGATACACCATCGCACGACTGAGTGACGAGGAAATCACTCGTCGTTGTGTCAGCACTGAGAACGACCGTGCCATCAGGAGCCGTAATGTCGATGCCGAATCCGAAAGGACCATCACCCTGGCTGAACAGGATACGCAGCGGAATGTACTCGCCGGCAGTCGCGACATATGAACCAGTAATGGTTCCATCGCCGCCAGTTCCAGCACCAAGCTCGGGGTAAGTCACGTCCAGCAAAGCATTGTCGCGGTCCCACCCAGAATAGGCCGTCGATCCAATCCAGACGAGGACAATGTCGTCGGCTGCCGTGATGTCGAAGCTGAAAGTGCCGGACTGTCCTGCGTACAGGTAGCCACGATAGTTGAGAGCGATGTAGTCGCAGTACTCGGTGTAACCGTAGAAGCTGAAGGTTGACGTGGAGCTGGCGCAGGAGCCGCCAATACCACCGGCCGACCCAGCTACGCCAGAGACCGTTGGCTGCTGGGTCTTGAAGTAGGTAGGATCGAATTGAGAGTAGACGCCGTCGCTGTTGACACCAAAGGGCGAGGGGTAGTACGCGAACTCGACACCCTGGTTGGAGCAGGACAGGTCAGGAGTAGGGCTAGGGCAAAAGATGTCTGTGGCTGTGGGGGTCACGGTAACGGTAGTGCTCTAAACAACAGCGTTAGTGGATTGGATAAGTGGATTGGATAAGATACACGATGGACTTACAGGCGTGACGGTAGGCGTGAAGTAGGGAGTCGTCACAGGCGTGGTAGTGGCAGTGGCTGCGACGTTGGAAGTCACGACGGTAGTAGGATCGACGGTAGAGACGATCACGACGGTGCTTGTAGGCGTGGGAACCTGAAGACAAGAGCAAGCCAAGGAGACGGCCGTGCTGGCCAGGCCGACCAGGCAGGCTGGTGTGGCCTTGCTGCCGGTGGTGGAGGTAGTCAAGGCCTTGGACGAGGTGGTGGAGACCTTGGCGCTTGTTGAGGTTGAGGAAGACCGGGCAGAGCTGGTCGTAGTAGTCGTTTGGTGTCGCTTGGCAAGAGCTGAGGAGCTGCTGATGCAAGTAGTGACAGTGACAGCATCCGCCGTCTCGGTGTACGTCACGGTGGGAACGGTGACTGCATCTACGGTGACGGTAGCCAGCGTCTCAGTTGGAGCAGTGACGGTGTCAGTACCAGTGGTGGCCGTGACGACATTGGTGATGTAGCTGGTGCTGGTGGATGTCGTGGAGACGGTCGCAGTCTTGATCCCCAAGAAGCTGGAGCAGAATGGCGTTGCCTCGGCGGAAGCAGACAAGGCCGTGACAACGGCATCGATCACGAGACACTCAAGTGCGAGAACACCAGAAAGAGTCCTGTCCTCGAGCTCTGCCTGTGCTGCGGGCAGGGCTGCAGCGAAAGGGATGCTCAGGAGAGCGGAGGCGACTGCGGAACGCATCTTGCTTGACGGTATTGCACGGAAACAAATCGAAGTCTCTCTTGCTGCTGTAGAGATAAATCCATCATTCCAAGGGACTTGTACGGTCTTTATATACTTCTAGACACATAGTAGTAGATTATAGAAAGGAGTCGCCCTGCTTGCCATGCCCGTGCAAGGCATGCCTATTTTGGCTCAAGCCAGCCACGATTGATCGCGACGAGGGCCTTTCAGCGGGAATCCATCGCGACGATGATCTGATGCCCCAATATGGATGCCATGTATCTGATCGCAACTGAACTTTTCGTTGTCTAGACCTATTGGTGGTCCCTGAGCAGTCTTCCAGAATAGCCAGGACGGCTAGTTCTAGACCGGGCGGGTCCAGGAGCTGAACTGATCTCTTGCGGCATGGTTAGGTAGGGTTTTCAGCTGTGCCAATGCAGTGGGTAAATACCCGTATAGTGGAGATCTTGAGGATCTCTGTCAGTCCCTAGTATGTAGATACTGTAGACTTTAGAATAGTCGCGACTCGGTTCTAGTAAATGGACGATATTAGGGCGAATCCAAGTAGTTGGGAGTCTTGTATTAGGACAAGTGGCTCTTGTAGCGTTTCCAGAATGAGTCTAGCTAGCTCACCGCGATGAACGCAAGCGGGCTCAGGACAGTCCAATGTCCTAAAAAGGAGAATTATAGACTTATCACCAAGAAATCGGTTCATGAGAAGTGTTTGAGCGTCTGATGATAGCTCACCCCTCGGACCGAGGTTGTGAGGTGGTTGTCTTTGAAAGAAACAGACAAGTTAACTAGAGAAGACGCGGAGTCCGCAGGCCCAACTGGGGATGCTTGTAGCATCGCACAGAAAACCCCGAAAGGAATGAACGAGACTGCCACGTCTTAGTTTTGGAATGCCTAACAATTTCTTATTAGGCAAATTCTGTCCCTACTTTCTGCCAAAAGGCCAAGTAGGCGGCATCGATTCGACTTGGACATTGAGTCGGGGGAAGTCAGACTTCGCAGTATACAGACGTTCGGGATAAAAGGACAGCCGGGAAAAGAGGTCTCTGGTGTGGGATTGATGTTACTGATTGAGCAGCAGTTCAAGCACTTCTGACTGCCGAGTATCTTTAAAGGGAAGGACATGTGTTGTGAGAGGAACCAAGGTGGAGTGAAGTAGAACACTCTAGACTTGACAACATTCGATTTCAAAGTCGCTTGTTAACCATATTTGAGTGTTACCGCAGCCACTACTGACAGTCCCGCCTCAGCCTGAATTTGCGGGGTCCTCAATAGTTGTGCAGTATGGGGTAATTCATCGCGTAGTTCAACCAATTCCCCATCGATGCCTGGGATTCCCTCGGTTCTGTACCCATCCGAGTTCATCCCCACTTATAGTGACAGATATCCTGGTACGTACCAGGCCCTTCAACCATCTCCACTGTATGGATCAGCCTAGACGATCCTGAAAATAAACATAGTGCCCGATGCATCCAACATATTTCTTCCGTCTTCAAAGACGGCCTCTTCGCAGGCAAAGTGGTCTGCTGCACGGGCTATAATGAAACCACTCGTAATCCACAGATTGGCTTGTAACATGGGATACACTATGGAAAAGACAAAAAGAGACGCCGCAGAGCTTGAGAAGGCAACAGAGTGTTGGCAAGTGGTGCGACTGATGCGCCTGATGTCAGGCTTCTGCAACAGATGGTCGATACTTTCGTAGATGCGCGTCCGGACTGTGCGGAATCGGCTTCTTGATGTACGCCAGCAGCAACATGCGCAAGGGCCTTTGCCGATCAAGGCTGACACGTGCGCACACCGTGCTGGAGCGGCGGGCAAATTCTTTGGCCCCCCTGTCCCAACATAGTGTCAATGCCTTCTAGACCGCCATTGACATCGACCCAACTAGTTTTTACCATGCCAAAGCATCCATTCCCTTCCTCCTCGAAAGCCCAGCACGCCTAGGAAGCATAATAGCGCTGATGCACAACCTAAACCCAATGTGCTGTCTTATCTATGTTTTTGCCACGAGATGATATATACGTATACATTCAGCTGACATTCGAGGCAATCATCTAGCGCTGAAAGATCTGGAGTGACAAAGACGAAGAAGGCATGTGTAGCCAACTTGTCAATTGCACACGGTTTAGAGAATTCCCACTAGCGCGTATGATTACACGTATCTGCGCACTTGAAGCTTGCACCTGACATCTTGGCCATCCTGCAAAGCACTAATCGTACTCTGGGAATGCCGTGAGGCGTAGCTCATCTTGTGATAGACCCCTAGCCCGCGAGAACCCTTGCCCATGAGAACAGCTAAGCTCGGTGCTATTGAAGACCCAACCAACGCTAAGTTCATAAGAGCAAGCCTGACCGGCTGTAGATAATTTTCCTACTCAATCAGCATCGCCAAATGTCACTTAGAATGTCGTTAGCTAATACGGTGAGGACGTAGCAAGGCGTAGATAATTCCCGACTTCATTGCCTGCAAAGCTTATATAAGCGTCAGCGTATAGCGCTCTTATCTATTGATACCAAACACTTTACCTTGAAAAGGTCATATCCTCGATTTACAAGCTGCCAAGCAAAATGCCGTTTGTAAAGCAGTTACTCACTATCGACCCGGTCACATGACTCTACAACTGGAAAATAATAAGACGATGACACCATTGCCGTGAACTAAGATTGTACACCAGTCCTCCTCATCACTCACTTTCCCCTCAAGCCAGATCAGATATGAGAATGCAGGTCGAATGGTCTCGTTTTGAATAGCACCAAGCATGGTAACACCAGTTCGACGTTGATATACAGAATAGTAACTCCATGAATATGATCGTGTTGAAGCGCGCCAGAAAGAGAGGACAGGAAAGGAGAACCAGAGAGAGAAACAGCTAGCTAGGTGAGGCCATTTAGAAGAAGGGTACCTAGTGTTAGGCGGGGCCAGTGGTATCTGAGCTTACTGGCTCTCGCACAAACTCACTTGGACCATTATTGCTCCAGATTAACACACTGAAAAATATCAAAAGCATTTCGGGAGTATACTTGGCGATTCGTGTAGACCAAGACTATGGCAGACCGCAATTAGAAACCTGAAAACATCTGCCATGGAAACCGCCATCATGGGCCTGATATATGAAAGATATATTGCTTTCTACATACTCCTAATCCTTGACCTGCTCATCAAGCATTCTCACATGTTCACTTACCAGGTCGGTGAAAGATACTTAGTATGCTGCACTAGTATACATACCGGAAATGCGGATTCTGCTTGTCTGTAAGGCCAGCGAAAGCTTGGATGTCTGTAATGTCTTCTCCAGCTGCGCTGCTCTTCTGGTCTCGCTTCTTGTTAACAGTCTTGAAGTACAAAAGCAGCACAATAGCCAGAACAACAATAACACTCTGAAAACACATGACGGCAGCCTTCGCTTGGGTATAATCCGGCGCATCCTGAGCCTGGAATGTCTGGGGACCAATGATGTTGCCGATGGCAAAGGCCGCGTTCAAAAGGGACATGGCACACGCTTTCTTGGTGTGTCCAGCAACGTTGGCAGTAACCCAAGAGAACTGAATTGGCACAGCGGCGAAGATGGCGTCCACGAGATAGATACCAGCTAACAAGCTGGTTTTGTCGGATTTGGGCAGGTACGCCATCAAGGCCGCCCCAGTCAGGCTAGGAATAGTGATGAGGATCAAGAAAAACCACCGGTGGCCAAAGTATCTTGCACCATAAGACGTGAGCAAGCAGACAGTAATGCTGACTGCACCCCCACCCATGCTGAGCAAAGCCGATTGTTTAGAATTATATCCGAAATCCACGATGAGGGTGGCGCTATATGTGGTGATAACACCACCTCCGCCGCCTTCGAGCAGCATGATCAGCCATTGACACCAGAGCTGGAAATCCATGAAGGCTTCCTTGAGCTGTGCCATTGAGAAAGATCGACGATTTCCAATACCGGTCTGGTTAGTTTTGACATGCTCCAGGAGAGAGATCTTCTCTTGATCAGAAAGAAAACCAGCCTCCATGGGTGTGTCTGGGATAAGAAGTGCGACCAATATGGAAAGCACAAAAGTGACCAGCCCGAGGACAATATACCTGGAAAGCATGTGAGGGCTTAGTCCGCAAGATATAAACAAAGCTTGTATACTTACATAATTTTCCAGTTTGCAATCGGTGCAGCACTGTCGATCTGCTGAAAACACCAAGAGAGGAACCCTCCTAAAACAAGACCGCCGGCTGTCCCCATATACCACCAGACAAATCTAACGATTTGCTCTTTCTTGGTATACCATTGGCTGCTGATCAGCATCAATGATGGCGGAATACCAGCTTCGAAAAGGCCACAAAACACGCGAGCGGCGACCAGTCCGGAATAGTCTGTACAGGCAGCCGTACAAGCGGTAGCGCAAGACCACCCGAAGAGGCAGAACGCCAGCCATTTTCCAACAGGTAGTCGTTGCAGAAAGTATACTGGGGAGATTTTGTTAGACTCGATACGGATCAGTAGGCTCAACGACAGACTCACTGTTCGGAAATTCTGCGAAGAGGACAGCGATCCAAAATGCCGACGACGCGTTCGTGTAGTCATTGCCTATGAGCTTGAGGTCCTTAGTGAGGCCCATGACTTTCGCATACTGTTCCCAAGTATCAGACACGTCTAGCAGCGAACTTTGGTTAAGAGAGGCTCACGTTGAGCAGGATCTTGTCAAGGTAGTTCATCAAGTAGGCCAACAAGAGGAATGGGATTACGCGCTTGTCGATACGCCTTCGCAACGTCTTCATGCGGCCAACATCATGTGCGAAGTTTCCCTCGGTGCCGTGAGCCTTGAGAAAGTCAAGCGCCTCGTCTCCATCACCTCCAACTGAAGGAGTCTCCCCAGGTGTGTCACCAAGGACGGTGGAAGGCCGAGGAGCTTCTTTAACTCTTTTGTCCAACATTGTGATGATTGTTTGAGTACGGAACAAAAAGAAAAGAAGACTGGCAAAATAAATTTTAGCAGTCCAGAACAGATGCAAAAGGGGCTTCTTGCCTATTTCATAGCTCTCATTTGGGCGGCTATATTAGAGTGACGTCACGGTATGAGCGACGGTACAGCTGGGCGTATATCTTTTGGACGGCTTTCAGTTGGCATACATTTCTTGTCGTGACGTATGTATGTTAGAAGGCGGTGTGCTGGGGGCCGGCGTGCTGAGACCGGCGTGCGGTGTCCAGAGTAGCACATGAGTACGTTAATGGGCATAAGCACGCTGGCGTGCAAGTTGGAATAAGCGAATATTGATTATCATAGCGCGAAAGCGACATCTCCATGGTCCGCGTCTTCCTCGCCGGAGATCTTCCATTTTCGCCAGCAGAGCCGATGCCAGACCATTTTCGTTGAACCTCTAGCTTCTTGTATCCAATCCGAGGTCGACACGCTGTCAGCATACCCATGCATGATGCAGGCTATGACACTTGAACTGTTCGTTGTTTGTACAAACGCCAATCTCACCAACGGAAGAATGAACCGAAACAGAAGCACCAATTAGAATCGTTGGATCGGTTGCAACGTTGATCTGATCCCGTAAGCACCTGGTCTGCACCGCAACAATAGAGTTCTATTGCTCTGCGTTTAGGAGGAACTCCTGGTAACGCTATCTTGAGAGCCTCCTCTAATTTGGCTTTCTTTGTATCAGTATTACGCACTTTCGTAGCTGTGTCCTTGTTTTCCACCTGTTTGGCAACTTCGTCAAAATACAGCTGAATGCAGTTGATGGGGATTTTTACCGTGCTTTCGGACTCGCAGGAGGTTACTTGCATCGACTGTGGCTCCTGAAACACTTTCTTATCCTGACACTCTTGACAGTCGGCCCATATATAAACAAAGTGCAAAGTAGGGGGGTTCAGCCGTGTCTCGTAACCAATTGCGTGTAGTTTTGTCACCAGGGAATTAGCGGGTCTTCAGGTCGAAAGTTGATGCTGAGGTTCTTAGCCCAGTTGTTCAATGTGCACACGACGAGATAGGCGTCCGCAGTATCCCCAACACTGCAAGTAACAGAAGCTGTAAGACTAAATCTGTCCCTCTACAGAGCTTCGGTAGCAGGCTGGATGTCGATATATGGGACTCGCTCTGTGAAACGGTGATCTGAGAGAGGCAAACTATTAGATGATATGGCAATATGCTTCGGATGGGCTGTGGACTTGGAAAGTCTCTTCATTGGTAGAGTATAGTCATGATATATTCACGGAGCTCTTGTGATGGCCATGAAATTTTATTTCGCCACCTCTCTTGGGACTCACTCTTCAAAAACAATCCGTACAAGCGACAGGCGCTATATTAGCCTTATACGTAGACTCAGCTTCAATCGACAGCCGAAAAATCTTGGGTTTTCATAGAGGTAAGCATGGATGATATAGAAAAGAGAAAAATAGCCGAATTCGTAAGATCGCTAACGTGATCTCTGAGATTGCTGTACACCACACCCAGATTCTGACTCTTAGTGTCTTCTCCTTTGTGCACGAGCCGTATTAGATCTCATGACCCCTTCACTGCGATTCTTGTATCTGCATCCAACATTTCATTGTGATTCTTCTCGATATCCAGATGGTTCAGGGGAACTGGGGCCACCGGGGGCGTGTCAACTGAACCCAAGACTGGGAGTGGCATGCCTCCCAGAAGTTGTTCCACAGTTTGATGAGCAGACTCAATACCTCCGGCGACCCAGGTATGATGCCGTGAGATGTGTTCTCCCGCAAAGTAGATGTTGCCTTCTGGTTGCTTCATTACGTCGTGGAATCTCGTGAATTGACCGGGAAGGTACATCGTGTTACCGCCACCAACCTCACTGGGCCAGTGTACGTCAAAAGCCTCAATGAACTGGCTGTACACGTCAACTCCTTGATGGCGGAAAAAGGTGTTCAGATCTTCCAAAGCCAACTTCACTCGCTGCTGCCGTGTGGTCCAGCTCCAGCGAAGCGCGTCCGTCATGCCCGCGTAGACCATGAGACAACCGGTATCTGAGGAGCCCAGATCGTTGGATGGATAGACGATCCATCTGATACGGAGGTCCGTCTGCGTCTGGCCGCCAAAGCAAGGTGATGCTGTCTGTTCCCAGAACCTGGTCTGGAAATGCAGGCCCATCTTGTACAGTGGGCCTTCGTGAATTGCCTGGATGGCACGCTCCTTCATGAAGGACCACTTGGGCCGTACTCGAATGTTCTGAATGGCTGCGGGAGGCAGAGCTAAAATGATCTTGTCGAAGAGCCTTTTATGGGGAGCAATACCTTCAATCACGAGCTCCAACTTGCCGTCGGGAAGCTCGTGGATCTCCGTCACAGGCGCATTTCGAAAGACACTGGACGGCCCAAGTGCCTTCGCTGCTGCATCCGTGATGCAGGTCAGTCCTCCTTTCACAGTTACCCATTCTGTGGATAAGGTCGATTAGAACATCACTGGCTAATTCGGTTCGGAGGCTGACTGTCACAACTTACCGGGGTTAGCAAAGTGCATGGTCTGCAGGACCAAGTCAGTGAAGCCTTGGTCATATTGGCTCGTCTGGCTCATCACGAGCTCCACGAAGTCGATGACTTCATCCGGCCACTCTGCAATATCACGGAGGTATTGCCGGAATGTCATGTGGTCGTAACGAAGGACTGCAATTAGTCCACGCTCAAGATTTTCGCTGAGAAGATCAATCCAGGGGCTCATGACCTGGAATAGAAGCTCCCGCGCAGTTTTTCCGTGGAACCCTTCAGGTAACCCCATCGAAGCACCAAGTGATTTATCCGTAGCATCCCAGACCCGGCCCTGGAGGTAGATTTTGTTGTTGGGATGTTGCAGGACGTACGGGATGAACTCGATCTTGTCTCCGGCGAGGTCGTGTTCGTTGAGATATCGAACCATGTCGAACACGCATGAATGCAGTGGTGAAAGAGGAATACGCATGGCACCAGCCTCAAAGAAGGCATCATGACCCTTCCCGGACGTTTTGAAGTAGTGAGTGTAGATTCTGCCACCTACTCTACTGTTGGACTCGAAGACGGCCACTGAGTGGCCTTGTTGCTTCAACAGCAGTGACGTATACAGGCCGGCGATGCCGCCGCCAACGATTCCGACTTGCATCATGTTTCGGGAGACTGAATGTATAGTGTGCTTTGGAGACTGATGTTGCAAAAGAAGATGGACGATACCAGCCTCTACCTCTTTCCAGTCACAGGGAAATACTCGTCCAATTTATGGTCCGCCGACAGTTCCGCCATTCTCACGACAAATCTCACGATGGGCCGTTTTCCGCTCAAATCTTGCTCTTCCAGCGGCGTTTTGCACGTCTGGAGACAGCAGCAGAATGACGTTTGTGGCGATGAGATTTTCAAAACCTCATTGGCGGACTCATCGTAGGATGGGCTTACATGCATCCCCTGGAACGTGTTGTTGTTTTGAATTAGGAAAAGATTCAGAACTTCCAAGGCTCGCTCGCATCTTGCATGTTGTAGGAGCGAGTAGATGACTTTTTTTGGCAGCAAGCGAGAGCCAAAGTGCCTGATGATACCTGTTAAGGTGCTCCCAGTTTGCATCTCAATCACTTTCAATGCCGATCACAAAGTTTTCTCAACATGAGGCTTTACGCAATTTTTTATGACGTGATGTTGTTGCATATCACCTATGCTCAAAACTTTCAGCTTCGCTTACATTTTACATGGTGAAGGATTAGGCGAATAACCTTGTAACTAGCTTAATGAAGCCTACTTGGGCTAGGCAGGCTATGCAAACTTCCAGATTTCCGTTGCGTCTTGCATGGTGCGAGTAAGCAAATTGCCTTGTGGTGTTTCGAACACATTCTGCTGGCCTGATGAAGCCTGCTCAGAGGGCAGCAGTGTCATCTAATTCACCCTTGTGATGATCGTCAGGTGACCAGAACAAAATAGGAAGCATTAAAGTAAACAGTTACGTAAAACTTTCGCTTAATACTCTCAAAATGGGGAGCTGCAGAATCCTTCTGTTCGTTTCTGCATGTGGCCACAACTGCAGTCATGCAAAGAAAACTTGGTTCTGATTGGCAACAGAGGGTGCAGAGAGCGGCGTAAATTCCACTTGCGTAAAGCTATTCACACAAAGAGTCTTTGTCAATACACAGCCAGCCCAGATTATGCTTGCTAGCATGATCTTGATATGACTTAGCTCAGTAAACCATATTTCCACAGTCTTCATCTTTTCAGTTTACTGTACATGAAGAAAATGCAAATTAAATCCATATCTATAAGTACTTATTCAGATCCAATCAGATGTTTAATTTTATTTGTTTGTTGTTTCTCTTTCACCCGTTCAGCCGTATGCCAACCTTCGAAGGATGGATAGTTTGGGGATCTGCTCAGTGCAGGTGCACATGAGTACCCAGGTAGTCTGGACGTGCCCTGCAGGCATTCTGGTGAGCTGACAAAACACCCAACTGGGACTGAAGCGTGCTGCATGACATCATTTCTTACTCTTATTGATCTTGCCTCACCACTTCGTGCTCAGCCCAGAACACTGTTTTGCTTCAGTATGACATCACATCAGCTTTGCAACTGTATTGGCCCTTTCTTTGTTCTGGGGATATATATTTGCTTCTCACCTGGGCAGGGCCTACGAGATCGGATTCACAGTACATGGTCAGCCTTTAACACCGCTAACAGTACTACAAGCCCAGATTCGTCAACATGGAGAGCCCTGGCTCAGCCTCCAAGAAAGCTACCTCAGAGGAGGAGTACCAGGTCGAGGCTAATGCGGTGAGAAGCTTGAGTGGGGTAGAAAACCCAGTCAATTGGTCCATTTTGTCAAAATGTGAGTGGACAGACCAAGGGCCAAATGCTTGTCAGACTATCGCTGCGGAGACTGACGACTTCAGATAGGGGTTTACACAGGCATTGTTGTTGGCATGGCTGGCATAGTTGGATTCAGCTCAAGCGTACACACTCCTGCCATTCACGCAATTGCTGAAGACTTCAACACCTCAAGGACGGCCTCCACATTGGGCGCTACCATGTACCTGATTGGCTTTGGCTTTGGGCCATTTCTCTTTGCTCCTTTGGCTGAGGTATTGTGAGTAAAATGATACCTCAGAATAGTGTTCAAGTTCTCATATGCCCCCTTTTCGCAGAGGAAGGAATTTTATATACTACTCCACGTTTCTGGCCTTCTGCTTGGCAAACCTGGGGTGTGCGCTTTCACCAAACATAGCGGCTTTTCTTATCTTTCGTTTCATCGCGGGCTTCTCCGGGTCTCCCAGCGTTGCCAACTCTGGAGGGTCAATAATCGACATGTGGCCCGATTCGCAACGCTCCGTTCCCTTGGCCTTTTTCACAGTCGCCAGCTTCTGTGGTCCCGTGCTTGCACCTATCATCGGTGGCATTCTGACACAGTATGTATCATGGAGATGGAACTTCTGGGTTGTTTTGATCGTGTCTGGCGCGATATATTGCCTCGCAGTCATAGCACTGCCCGAAACCTACCCGCCGAAGCTACTCCAGCAGAAACTTGAGCGCGAGGAGAGATTCAAATCGGGGTTCGTAGGTCAACACCGACAATCTCTGAAAACTCGCTTCGCCGTCAGCCTTACGCGACCATGGATCATGCTTTTTACTGAGCCCATCCTCATCTCACTGTCTCTATACATGGCCTTCATATACGGCGTTCTCTTCCTCGATTTCACAGCCTACCCCGTCGTGTTCCAGAATACCCGTGGCTGGTCTCTGAGCATCTCAGGGCTCTCATTCCTCGGCATTGGTCTTGGTATGGCCCTCGCAGCCACACTCTCTCCCTTGGTCAATCGTGTCCACGCCCACTACGTCCGCAAACTGGGTGCGCTGGGGGGCTCACAGCCAGAAGCACGTCTACCGCACCTCATCATCGTGGCATGGCTCTTACCCCTGGGTCTTTTCTGGTTCGGCTGGACCGCCTTGCCCCCGACACCTTGGGAGTGGAGCGTTGTAGCTGGCGTGCCGTTCGGCTTTGGCTTGGTTATGTTGTTCCTCGGGATTACCGCGTACCTGACTGATTGCTATGCTGAGTACAGCACAAGTGCACTAGCTGCGAACTCGTTGCTACGGTCATTGTTTGGTGCTGGATTTGCTGTCTTTGCAGAAGACATGTACGAGACGATGGGAACGCCGTGGGCGACAAGTGTCCTAGGTTTTGTGGCATTGGCGATGGCGCTGCTGCCGTTGGTATTCTTCAAGTACGGAGCACGTGTACGTGGTGTAAGTAAATTTCACCTTGCCACTATTGGACATAGCAGACAGGTAGCATAAATCACAAGTGGTGAGAAATCCAAGAGCATTTTAATAAAGAGTGGATATGTTAATGTTAGACTTGGTTTCTGTTAGAGACACTATAATTTCACGGAGGCCATAATTTTGAAGCGTGTGTGATGGCGCCTATTTGGCTGATGTCCAAGGATTTCCGTGCTTTGATTTCTAGTGTTGGGATGTGTTTGAGACGAAGGATGCAGTCAATTTTCTAAGCAACAGTGAAAGATGTAACTTTCTCCGTCATTTCTGCCATTCACCCTGCGAGCGATGCTGCGATTTCCCACTTCGGCTTCAAGACTTCTGACAAGACCAAGAATAACAAGTTAATGAGATTCAAGATATTCAAGATTGGGCAACATCAGAATACTGGATCACAATTCGAAATCATATGTGGTATTAAACCTGAAAGATTCGAGCAACGGAATTTAAGAAGGTGTGAATAGATGAAAGCTATAAAACACTGAATTCAATATTCCTCTGAACAACATTATCCTACTTAAGTCGAAATCAAATCTCAAGTATACTGCAAGTCATAGCACATGAATCTTGTTGCTTTGGGCCTGTTCCGTGATTTGTATCAAGAATTTACAACACTGTGCTTATTCAGTAAACCTTAAACATGCTTTGCAATAAGCTGGAGCATGCTTCACAAGGATACTACCTAAGTAGTGCATTTGATTAGAAGCTGGTGTTCATAGAGCTAAACTAGGTCAATATACTTCAAGCCCTTTATACGCGCCCGCAATACTTCAGGCGCTACGTCCAGCATTGCTTCGGGATCCTTAGCAAGCCTGGCACGGAATTCTTCAAGCTCGACTCCGAGACTTCCAAGACGTGGATCCTCGCAGAATAAGTCTCCAGACCTCAAATCTCTGAAACGTCGCGACTCTCCAACCATACTCCGGTTTCGAATTATGCTGAACCCGACGTGATCCGGCAATCTCCCCAGGAGAGGCTCCCCCCGCGCACACCCTTCCACATAGCATTCGCCGACTATAGAATACCGTTCATTACCCCCGGAATGTTTTCTCAACACGAGGAGCTGCTGACAGCCCACTATAACGAATATCTCATCGTCGACTCTTGTTGAGGGAGGCACCACGCCGACGTATTCGCCTGTGCCCCGGATGAAGGCCTTCCCGCCCGATCCCCAGTCCATTCTCTTGAAGAACCTTTGCGCGTCACTTCCCATGTTCTGGTCTTTTTCTACAAGAGCTACTCCAGAAACAACGTTGGTCAAAACCGATTCTGCAATCTCTGTTGTAGGATAGGTGCCATCCTGTACATGCGTGAATTCAGAAAGTGCGCCGGCCACGATTGTTCTGGCGATTGCACGCATGAGCGATCCCCCAGAGGGATACGACGTGGTTTGACAAGATGGATCTGCAATGCTACACAGAAAAGCGGCGCCTATTTCCCAATTGCGGGTGTAGAATTGAGGTACCGAGCGCATGTCCTTCACGACTGTTACTGATGCTGCAAGAACCCGGATGGTTCCAGCATTCGGGAACTTGAACCAGCCTTGAATCTGTGAGGATGCGCAGGTATGATGTCTCCAAAAGAAGCTTGCTTTTGTTGACCAATCGGGTACCCAAGACGGGCCCTGCCAACCTGGGGAGGGTTCGCAATTGCGGAGGATGGTGAGTCCATTGGGATATGTTGTAATATATTTCTGAGCAAGGTTACAGTATACCTCGACAGTTGATTTCGTATAGTCTGGAGTTCCGCATAAATCTCTTTGGTCGCGGGGAAGTAGGGCTCTAATGCCATATATACGATCGCGGGGATCTGAGCAGAGGGCATGTTGGAATGATTGTCGTATAGTCAGGATCTCAGTCCATCTCATCTGGAATACAAAGCCTCCGATTGTTGTGAGACGATTCCCTAGCAGGTGAAGCGCATTGCCCGGTTTGGGCCGCTTAGAGTAGATGAGGCGAAGGGCTTTCCGGAAAATTGGCCAAGGCACCTCATGAGGACCACAGCGCACAATGGCTCTGTTCTCGGCCACGAAGATCTCTTGACGTATCCAGAGTCTGTCAAACCACTTTCGATGTAGCAGGTGGGCTACTGCCATCGACTGAGCTGTATCCATTGGCAGATCGACCTTTGGATCAGCTACGGTACGGTCGACACCCTCAACGTCCCCGGCAGGAGAAATGCGGTGGACACCTCCCCAGTCCACATGGATTTGCGAACCGATGTGCGCCAGACGCTCCATGGCGAGACCACTTCCATTTTCTTCTGGGCCCAGCCAGACCACGACTCGGGATGCACACTCAAACAAGTGGCCCATCAGGGCGACTTGGGGGCCCTTTTCAACGTTATTGGACTGGTCGATACAGAGTGCATCAATCCACATGACGCGTTCCTTGTCAGGATAGCGTAGATTTTGTAGGGCGATTTGTAAATTTTTCGTGACCCGCAGTGTTTTCTTGTCCGAAGACCCAACGTAGACGACTTTGCGTGACTTCATGGATCCCCAGACATATGAAAGAGCCTCGTAATTGGGCGGATCCTCCGGTGTGAAGTCTTCAGTGTGGAGGCTGACAACCACATCATCGTGACCGACTCCTGAATAGATCGTTGCAAGTCTGATCGAGTCTCTTCCAGGGGTCTTGGACAGAGGCGTGTACTGGTACCGTGCCATGCTGCCAGGGTATGAGATTGGAGCAAGTCAATCCTGAACTGGCGAGAACGATAGCCTGGTCTGTAATAGGGGAGAAGTCTGACAACTGTCACGTGTCTCTTGCTCCACTCACTGTTCGTTGCAACCCCGGACTCTAGGTAGGTTTTTTTCTCAGCGCTAGCCAGTATTTGATATCTATGCCAAGAGAAAGACTGCACTCGAGCCCATCATGCGATATAGAAACTAGTCCCTGATGATGTGTATTATTAGTGCTGACAGACTCGTTTGTAGACCGACTCAGAACCACCTAACCAACCCCCCCCCGGCCCGGGGTGGGGGGCTGGACGAAAAGGGCTTCTTCCAAGTCACCATGATCTCTCTTCTCTTGTATTGCATTTCATTGTGTCTTTTGAACTTTAATTCATCCGTAAGGCTTGGCTGGCTACTCAATCCATAGCACATTTTGCTTCATGTGCTGTTCCTGTGTCAAAAAAGCCTCGATGAAGAAAGAAAGTAGACTTGAACTGGACTTGGCTGTCCTTGAAGATGGAGGATGAGAGGCTTCTCGTCATGGGTAATTACATCATGTTTTTTACATCATGTTCATGCTGTTGTTTGGCTCGCCATTGATGACCTGTTAACACTGAGGTCTGTGTTTGTGTTTAGTGCTAAAAGAGCCTAGGGGCCTGCGTCACTCAGCAATATTACCATGATATTGGTCATCTAAATTCAAGAACTATATTCATCATGACGACCATTCTCGCAGTCACAGGTAAGAAATTTCTGCCTTTTCCAAATTACAACGACATAAAGTACCAATATTTTATATTCACTCACAAAGTCAACTACGACATCAAATTGGGCTCAGTTGTCCAGCACAAGAGTGATACCAAGAAGGTGATCTAGTGTGCCAGGGTCAGCAAGAAGATTACAGCCATCCTTACTGAGACCATCAGTATCTTGACGCGTAGTCGGCATAGAAACGTTCAGCTCGATCTACGTAGCTTCTTTCTGTCTCCCGAAGATCCCGTCTATCTCAAAAAGGCCACTGGCAGCTATGTGCGCTCCATCGTCAGACAATATACGGACCCCCCTTGATCAGTCCGTCATCGAACACAAGAAGTTCTTGGACGAGTGGCTCGACACGGCTCATGAGGTTGGGCAAACCGTGTTGGCTGGGCAACTGGAGCTCTCGATCGTCTGCGATACCGTAGACACCCAGACAGCCAAGCTAGCCGCCGGAGGTCTCGCTTATTTTCCGGTTCTTCGCAAGTGCCATCTCTGACTCTGCCAGGACCGAGATGGAGATATGGGAAAGATTGCAGAAGCTGCAGCACTGAAGGCCACGGGACGAGCTCCCCGGGCGATTGCAGCTTTCCGGTTCATGGACCTCCCAACCGAGCTACGTATGCTCATCCTCAGTTATACAGACTTGGTAATACCTCTCAAAGAGGTCCAATGGCATCCGACCAGGAAGTATCATCTCAAAAATCGGCAGAAACGCTGCGATCGGTTTTCATATGGCGTGCGATCGTATCCTTGTCCTGACTCCGGACAAGATTGGATTCCAATGAGCCGGGACCGGTGGCCAGGTGCTCAGAATTGTCCTTGCGACAATGGTTATTTCCACTACGCATGCATATTTCGCAATTGCTGGCAGCACACAGGTCAGGGAGACTGTTCCTGCCAACGGCGCCACACGGCCTACTCAACAAACACAGACGGATGCCGATGTTGGACTCCGCCATCAGGTTTATTCCTTGTCGGACGTCACTTTTACCGCGATGCGCAGTCTATCTTCTTCAATCAGAATCGTGTAATTGTCATGCCCCATAGTGGCGTAGAGATGAATGATCCACCCACTGGTCAACACCCTGCTCACTACTCGGCCAGTCTTTTCCTACGTTCTGGTCTTGTCACGGCATCTCTGCAATATATAGGCTTCTTGGATATTGTGTTTCCGCCTATCGATCGGGAACCAGCGCCCGACGACCCTGATCTTGTAGATTGGTTCGAGACACTCCGATGGGCAAAGGATCTCCTGGACCTACCGCGGCTCACGCTTCGTTTCGAGATAGCAGAACATGGACACGCGTGTTGGGCACCCGAGTCGCGCCAGAAGCTTAACGGCGATGCATATAAAGCTATCGTTAAGGGATGTTTTGCATTTCTCCGCCCTCTTGGGTTCTTCAGGGGGACTTCTTCTGATCATCTGAAGGCCGGTCAACAAGCAGCAGCGAGCGATGGCTTGCGCCGTTTGTTCATACACGTGGCAGCGCCTGCATATTGTCGTACAGAATTGAATTACTGGGCGAAATATGGTGTACCGGATGATTTGAACCAGGCAGCAGTAGCTTGGAGGGAAACACGCCGTAAAGAGTGGAAGAAATTTTCGATGGAAGAGAAATTTGAGCGGAGCATCATGGGGTCCAACTACGACAGCCAAAAGGCCGGCAAAGGAGAGGTTAAGCTACCAGAGTGGAAGTGGGAGCATTTGATGTGTGAGGACAGGTATTATTAGATGCTTAATCACACCACAAATTTGCAATTTACTCTACGCTGACCCAAAATCAGCCTCGAATTAACGATTCCAAATGTGTCCTCAACCCATCAGATATTCTAGTCGTTCCTTCTATAATCGGTTCAACGACTGAAATCTCAAATAATTTTCAGTATCATATTCATGTCTGATAAGTAACTGTTGACAAACATATAAGTGCTTTCTTTTTTTGGTTCTATCGTACGTTCGTTGTTATAGTCGCCTCGTGCGCTCTTCTCCCACCTGCAGACACACATGAGCCCACCTGTTATAATTAAAACCCGGGTTGTCCCCTCTAAATTGATTAAGCCTTCATATAGACTGAATGTGAGATGCAAATTCGAGCGGGGGGCTATAGCCTCGGAGCACGATAGCCAAAAAGCTGGCGAAGGAAAGACGCAATTGGCAGAGTGAAAGTGGAAGCATCTAAATACGGAGAGCGTACAATACTTCACACGTCACAATTTTAGTCCTGTTCAAATGCATGGTCGGGTCTCTAATAGAGAGAATGTGATTGATGAAGCAAGGAAGGAAGAACAGAAGGGAAAAAAAGACAGGAAAAAGAAGTTTATCCTGTGGCAAGTGAAACCTATTAGTGGAGTGATAGAAGACCAAGTATGCTACGCTATAAGTATATGCGACCGACAACAGCTAGTGCAAGGCACTGATCAAGTACTTTGGTCTTGATAAAAACAAATAGTAAGTCTTTTTGTAGCTTGTATATTGGAGAATTAAGCTATAACCTCATAACTTGTGACAGAGGCTTATTATATGAAGGGATTGTTCTGCATGGTTAAGATAAACGTGACCTCCCCCTCCCCTAGATGCTGTCTCATGGCGATGGAGTTCTTGTGGACGATCCCGAAGCCACTACTGTGGTTTTGAGACGGCTGCGAGGGGTCCCACGCCACCCAGCCTCCGCCCTAGCAGTATCATATGTATCCCTTTGCCCATTCCACCACATTTTCTCGGACTCTCGAAGCTTTCCCGGGAAAAATTCGTTCCGCAGACACTCAGCCCCTCCATACGCCACCTCGAGATCCATGAGCCCGTCCATGACCTTTTTGGCCCTGATTATCTCAATTTGCCTTAGTGGGAGGTTCCTCTGCTCGGCTGGCCGCTGCATCCCGGCAAGATAACCATTCTGGAACATTCCAAAGGCGCCAATGGCAATAATGACCCAATCGCTGTCTCGGGAGCATGCGAGGTTGACGAGAAGGAGCAGCCAGAGGATAGACTGGGCCACAACAACGATCCTGGTGAGCCAGAACCCGAGCGGCAAGCCTCGCATAGTACGAGCCTGTCTCTGCTGCTGCTTGGGCGTGGGCAGGTGTTGCCTCCCCGCTGACTGGAATACCGGCTTCGAAAAGAGGTCCCACGTCCTGGTGAATTTCTCCCAGGGCCGGCCGCCTCGGGGGCTCCCTGATGCACACATTTCCTCGAGGTCCAAGCAGTTGCCGTTGCCTATGATGACGATGATCTCGCGTGATCCGTTCCCCTGCGTGAGAGCAAACTTTGCATCACTGGACTGACGGTTGGGAAGCTTCTCTGCCCGCCACTGAGGAAGACAACCGGCAAGCTGCACGAGGACCGTCCCTGCGGCCGTGATCATCATGATATCCCACTCTCCAGAGCTCACGAGAGGGATCGCGGCCAGAGCAAGCTGAATGAGGATACCAATGAACCCGTAGAAATGGATCCATCCCAGTGGGAGTTCTGTTGGCCCCTTCCGATTAGGTTTGGCCTCCAGGACTACAACCCGAATTCCCTCGTCTGTCAGAGGTTGTTGACGTGAATGCATGGTTTCGATGTCACGCAGCAGCCGGCCAATAACCCAATTCTTGTTCTCTCGGACGTAGCCCGACCTCAGGTTGAAAACCTTCACCGGGTAATCTGGCTCGGGCAGGAGGCGGCCGTGCCCGATGATCTCGACCAGCGCCATGAAGGCGTACGAGACCCATCCGAACGAAAAACAGACTGGGGTGAAGTACCAGGTCCCCGTACCTTGAGCCAAGGCCTTTTGGACCACATCACCGCCGATGACCATAAGGATGGTGGAGACATCTGAAGGGTTGGACCACTGACGTCGGAGGGCGGTCACAGAGAAATTACCCATTCTTGCTGTCGCGAAGAAGGAGATGAGGGGTCGAGTCGGGCCTGAGTTGAGCGGGCTCTGCAGCCACATATTAAGTCTTGTGCTAGTGTGCCTAACTAATCCTTGTCGAGTAAATTGTGCAGTAATATGTGGAAGACCTAGCAATGCCCCGCCGGGCTCGGGGCTGAAGGTGAGATCTGAGGTGCGATCATGGCCGTCTGACAGAATGCCTACGCGGGTGCCTTGTCCGTAGTGTGCAAAAAGCCGCAGCGGGTAGCTTATGCGCCATCTCTAAAAGTGGAGATAAACAGTTGTCCCTCGTCAGCACCCACATGTGGATTGTCGGTGGTGGGACTACAGTAACCTCTTCTGCATAACCTGTGGTCCTACTTCACAGGCCGGCTTACTTACCCTACACGTACAGATCTTGACCTCTGCCACGATATATACGAAATTGATATATTCATCCTTTGATCTGGATCATCATGAAGGCTCGGGTCGTCAACTTCACCTACTGCTGTCACGAATGCTGTCCGTTCTGGAAAAATCCAGAACAGGGTCGCCACCTGATTGTCCGCGATACGTTAATTAGTCGAAGTACATGAAGGCAATGCTTTTGCCATCTCGTACACTCGGGAACAGTTTGAATGACTTCCGAGATCACTAGGTCATTACAAAGACGGAATACCATCTATCGCAGTTTTGAGTTTATCGAGCTCTTTCCTGGAGCCCTCTGCGATCGTCTCAACAGAGCGTGGGGCAAGATGCAGGGAAAATCGCTATGATACAGCCTTGGTTGCTGTCGGAAGATCCCTGGATTCAATTCTGGAACAACATTGCGTATTGCATATGGTTTGGGCGCCCATGGCCCAGACAAGAACCCATGAGCGCCCAAACAAGAACTCTTCTATGCACGAATGATAAGGGCCAAGTAAGCTCACGCCGGAAAGGCAGGGCACTATATGGGGGCGAGCTGGATTCAAGATAAAGTTGATGAGAGTGCTTTGGCAAATCTGGATTTTGCGGCCAGGCTGAAGTTCAAGGCTACCAGAGCACAGTGGGAGTCCTTGAAGCCCACGTCACGGTGGGAGTTCTTCAGGGGTGTGAAAATCAAGTAGACAGGGCAGAAAGAGGGATGAGTAAATGGCTTAGGATACACCGCGTCGAGTGGATTCGAAGAAAAGCAGACCCTCTTCGCTCATAGGAAATGTGCTGGAAGCCCGCAAGAGCACGCCCGCCAGCTGCTGCACCATCAGTCATGGCACCACACTACCGAGGACTCTGGAACTCGTCCACGCCTGGATTTTCAGCCTGGCTGGCTCTTGGTAGATAGATTGCTATGGTCCCTGCCGGCGACTGCCCAGTGCAAACGGATGACTACACGTGGGCGCGATGTGGTCGTTGCCGTCTGGATGGACTGCCCTGGATATGTTGTACCAGTGTCATACAAGCAGATGACCCTAGGAGAGCTGTTGGAGAATGTCATTGCTGTGTTAGAAGATCACTGGGTTTTTCCAATCTCGACGCGGGCGCCTGCAGGACTCTTTGGGGTGGCAAGTGAACAGGATATTCTCTGGTGAGCTGTGGCATACCTCGATCATACGAGCCACGAAAAGAAAATATCCGTCATCGCAATCTACAGCATCTTAGCAGACCTTGACTAGAGACGATATGCCATTCGCCATAACGGTATACCTAAACAGGTCATTCAAAAACAGATTTCATCGCCCAAGGCACGATTACCTCCTAGAATGGGTCTATCCAAGGTGAACTTTGCAACACTCAACGAGGAAGGTCTAATCATGGGCACCGTCTGTGCCGCCAGGCCTGATCGGTCTCATCTGCTCAACGGTGCACAAGCTGCCAGCCAGGCTCCAGTGAAGATGTGATGCCGAATTACACAATCAGCAGTAAGAATACTGTTCTCGTGCAAAGCTGAAGCTGAAGGAATGGCGTATCTGACTTGAACCAGTAGCTCAAGGCACTAGCCTTGCCATCAGTGGGCATCCGAGATATGCCGTGATTTCTGATGCTCGATGCTCCTACGAAATTGTTAGCGCAAGTCCTGGTGAGTCGTCGCCTTCGAACTCTCTCACATGCAACAAAGTTTAACTTCAATTCTCCGACTCAGTTGGTATGACTTGGGAATTCATGAATGGTTGGCCAAGGATATGGGCTGAGACTGCTTATGATTCAGATGCCTGAAAATTATTTCGCGGTCTCAGAAGCGCCAAGCAGATGCTTCTCATCCAGTATTTGCAGCATTTGAGATGAGGAGATAGCTTGATCCACCAACTGAGTCTTCATTTCTTCCGCCCGGCGATTCCTGCCCACAATGAGCAATTCAGCCTTTCAAGCATATGATACGCACAATGTCAACCATCCACTGACACATAAGCCTTTTCAAACATTTCTTCTTCCTTTGTCTGTGTCAGGGCTATTTTCTTCTTCTTTTTTCTTCTCTTCTCCTTCTCCTTTCTTCCACGGACCCATGTATGGACATTTGTATTGCCGCTAGCTTCGCAGTGGCAAGGAATCAAGAGATAGCAATCACTTTACCTGGTATGTGAGCATTGAAAGAAGATCGATCAGTCTAGGCATGCAACCATCGGGAATCATGGTGCTTTGAAAGGCTTGTAAGCTGCCCTCAGTTGTCCCAGGCCGACTCTGCAATAGTGGCATAAAGTGACAAGGCAATCTTTCAAAATGGATCTCCCGCAAATCTGTTTGCCGTAGCCAACCCGCAGTAATAGCCGTAGTGGGAGCCCATCGACTGCAGCGTTTCTTTATTGGGGGCTTCTTACGGTACCTCGTCGTGGCCAGAAAAGAACGTATTCACAAAAAGAGCAAGTTTTGTTCTTGATCAAGGCTAAACAATTATGCCGTCACTGCTTACAGTCTTGCGAAATTGACGGCTTCGCCATTAAACTTTCCTTTTCTCTTTTCTCTCTCTCTCCTTTTTTTTTTCTTTCCTAATCTTCCTCTATAGTTTTTTGCCTCTCGAAAAGACGGAACAGACGGCAAAGACGGATCGCTGCTATAGCACCTCGGCGGCAAAAAGAAAGTCTCTCTGCTCATGCTGTTTCCCGGGCTGTGACTGGATATCGGATGCCAGCATGATGCTAGGTTTTTGAACCAATTGTCAGTTGGAGCCATTGAGATCATATTTACCCCTGACTCGCGTGCACATCAATATCTCGCAGCTCAGCACCAATCACACCGTTGGAGAGCTCAGGAAGTTCCTCCCGCCGGACATGTTGCCAATGCCGTCCATCTCACGGCAAGGTGCAGATCCTATGCACTGGTCACGTCTTGGGGTGTGCTAGGCCTACGTTCTACCATAGAACACATATTTTGACTGGGGCTCACATGCCTATGGGTCCAGTGCTACCGTGGCTTTCCGATACAAGTGGAGTAGCTGTATATGTGAGCGAAGCGCCTGCTAGGGTTTGCGGCCTTTGAGAGTGGAATAGATGACGAGGAAGGTACTTTATGTCAGCTGCAATAGAGATACCGCCGTGAAGACCCTGAAACTTCAAAGCTCTACAACCGATGTGCCAACAGTCATGGGTACGGATGTTGACACGTTCAGCAGAGGAGGGGCAGAGGAAGAAAGCCCCTCCTTTGAGCTTTAAGACTAGGCACGTGCTTGGGTAGGTGCAGGCAGGAGAAGTCCACCCATGAAAGCGCTCGACCTGAAATCCTAGCCCAAAAGTGGCAAGATATTGTTGATCAACAATGCGGTCAAGGCAGAGGTTGAAATCCACCATCCTGTGGGGAGTCAATGTTGGTCCATCTGCCTCCACCTGGCAGCAGCACACACTGTACGGCAATGAGATTACCGAGTTGTCATGGATCTGAGAAATGACGACTGCTTTATTTAAAGACTCTGTGCTTAGAGCAAGCAAACACTTATGTAAAATAAAATAAAAAGAATAAAAGGCGGGACGTATTTTAAGAAACGCATGCGGGGTTTTTCGATTACAGAGTCTTGTGTATATGCCGAAAATTGTGGGCAGCCTTCAGATACTAAGAACATGGGGCCTTTCATAAGATAGTGATCAGCAGATCCAGATTTTCACAGAATTCAAAGAGGAGGCTTTGATATCTAGGGTTAGGGCTTATTCAGGGTTCAAGTTGCGATCCGATATCTTATCGTAGCTGTCAACCAGCTAGGTTTGTTATCTGGTAACCTGACAAGGGTTTCACACAAAGAAGGGGAATAACGGCCGGGGGGCTTCAGGTGGCCTGTTGCAGTTTCCCTTACGCACCTAGCACCTTCAAGGCACCCACCTGAGAGTACTCTGGACCCCTGTTTCTAAGGGATGGTCTGTGCCCTCCTGGCTGTCCCTGTCGATCTTATATGCCACCACTCCGAACTTTGGAAGGAAAGCTATTACGCGTTGGCCTCGCCAGACCGCGAAACACGCCGACGAGCTTTCTCATCTCTGCCCAGCACAACAACTCCTCCTTGGGGTGCTTGCCAATAAGCCAAGATGTTCGAATGCGGCACCTGCATCAAAGTCTTTCCAGCAGGATGGCGAGCCCGCGAGAACCACTGCAACGCTACCGGCCACCGACGACCCCTCTTTGAATGCGATACCTGCTTCAGAGTCTGTGCCTCGGAGAGTGCGCGTCGCCAGCATATGAAGGACAAGAATCACTTCAAATGGGAGTGCGACCACTGTGTTGAAACTTGGCCGACAGAGGACGCCCTGAAGAGCCATGAGATTGACGATCACCTCTACTGTGCTGACTGCGATCGTCATTTTAACAATGACAACAACATCAGGATGGTCTGTGTCTTGACATCACCTTCTCCCAGACACATCAAATACCATACGAATAACCCATTTTACTGATATGAGGAAGGTGTGTTTCTATAGCATCTGAGGTCTCGCATACACCAAGGCACCGATATCGTCTGTCCCTTCTGCAAGACACGTTTCACCACTGCCACCGGTCTCTGCCATCATCTAGAGCGTGGTGCCTGCCCCAACGCCCCAGACCTCGACCGAGACACGATCTACATGACGGTCAGACGTCTTGACCCAGATGGCGTCATCTCCAAAAAGCTTATTGGGTGGCATGGCTCGGACAAGTACGAGGCAACCGGCCGAGCGTGGAATGGCTATGCTTGGGCTTGCTATCTCTGCCAGAGGACATTCAAGACATGCGACAGTCTCAACCAACACCTGAATTCTCCTGTTCGTAAGTACACACCGTTCAAGCGCCTGTTGGAGAGACAGAATTTGCTACCAGAGCATCGAGTCTTATTTATGTCTGCACAGATCAGCAAGCTCTATACCATTGTCCAAAGTGCCGAAGGGAATACACGACCCTGGCTGGCATCATTAATCATCTGGAGAGTGAGAGCTGTGGTTTCATGAGGTTCGAGACTGTTCAGCGGAACATTGACGGCCTAGTCCGCGGCAATCGGCTCCTCGGGTTCTGAGGTGTGAGCAGAAAGCATGCTTCCCAAAGCTAGAATGTGCTTAGTCAAGGAATCTGTGACAATAATCACGTTGAATGTGCTTCAAATGACGACTTCTTGTCTAATGTTGTCATCAGTATATCCATCTGAGCTTTTCGACTAGGGAGAATCTTGGAACCGTTGTGTAGCAGCGGTGTTTACATTACAGCTTCTCCCCCCCCCCCCCAAAAAACTACCCAGGTCTATCATACATCTCGCCAGAAACAAAAAGAACAACAACAAGAAGACGACGACGTAGAGACGCTTTGACAATGCTTGCGATGGTAGCTCAGCGGTGGCGGCATATGAGTAAGAACGCGTAATGCCATAGCCATGCTGTACTATAGTACCAAGGTTCACACAGTAATGATCGGATAATCGATAAGGATAGGGTAAGGAGTGGAGCAACAAAGCTCCCTTGCAGAGTCACAATCTTTTCCTCTCGGAATCGAGTCCAGGATCCAGGGGGGAGAGAGGTACAGTATCGAGTGTGTGATCCACGACAGGGCCGAAAGCCTAATCCACAGCAGCTAGTTGCCCTGTACATAGTAAACAATAGAACAACATTAACGTCAGTATGCTATGGTGACAGCGATAGGGCTAGTCTGCTCAGGGAATTCCCGGATGTGATCCAAGTCTTCCATTCGTTGCTAGCTGAAGTACGAGACGTGTGAGATGCAGCCGCATCCACGTTTTGTGCCGAAAATCAGATCATACGTTAAATTGCTTGACGGGGTCCAAGTTCAGACTAACTTAGAGCATAAGGAGTCAAGCCTGGAGATGCTTGACAGTAGCTGCCCACTAGGCTCGGATATACGGCCGACGACGATAAGGCTTCTTTTCTCTTCTCTTCTTTTACCATAATTAGACAGGGCCGCTGATAACACCAGTGCACACCATAATAAACATGGTACACCACATATCTTTCGGAAAGAGTCTCCAGAGTAGGGGACGGTCTCCCCGTGGCAGCAACAACCAATGAGTGACTCGAGTGGCTGTGTTTTCATAAATGACGGCCCCATCACCCGACAACTTGGTTCAACACTAGCACAGAGCACACCCACAATAATCCCCTTAGTCGCACCGCAATCTTTGCCCTTTCTTGATATGCGGCCCGATCAGGGGGGGGGGGGGGCTCATAGGCTGAAGAGTGGACGCCAGAAGGTTAAAAAAAATCTGCAGAATTGGGACTGTCGTCCGGTTCCGCAAACCGGGCTAAGCAATAGGCAGAGACCATCGAGAGAATGAGAGATCGAGAATCAGGGGAAAGCGGGCGATGGCATACCCACTACGATGTGCTCCGTAGACCTTATTTGATCGACCAGTCCCCGGATGAATGGCTCTCACTGTACAGTCACAAAAGTGATTTCCTGTAACTTCACCACGTGCTTGTGGATCGAGTGACGACACCTTTCCAGAAGGTTTTGTGCGATCTGCGCACGTCTGTCTGAGCAGACCTTAGGCGCGCAGCAGAGGCGGACGTGGGATATAAGCCACCTCCCCTCAGTCCCAACCCTTGTCTTCTTTCTGACCCTCTCGTCGTCTTGCCATCGGTGAGATCATCGAGGCTACCATGTCGGCTCTTGTGGCAGAACTATGGGCGTGGTACGGACTGACCATCTTCGTTATCGGCGCTCGCCTGTAAGTTTTCCAGCTGTTGTCCCTTTCATATGGTTCTTCTTCTCCTGCGAAATGGTCAAAAGGTCCCCGAATTGGCCCTCTTGTGACGTGGAAAATACTCATCATATCTGTATCCAGGGCATCTCGAAGGCTCCTGTATGGGACCTTCACCAAGCTTGGCGCCGATGACTACATTATGGTGCTTGTCTTGGTAATAACTCACCCTTTCCGTTCCCTCAGAAGAGTGCTCAGAAGGATCTTTCCTAATCGTGATCAATCTACACAGATCTCTTTTACAGTGCTTTCCGTTGGCGTTCATATCCTGACCTATACCCCAACAAATTTAATTGATCCATCTGATCCCGTCGACCTCACCCCTGATACTGTCAAGACGAGGATTTTCGGTTCCAAGATGGTCATCGTGGTCGAACAAATGCAAATCTTGACCATCTGGTCTGTCAAGGCCTGTTTGCTCGTCATGTACCACCGATTGACGTGAGTGTCTACCACTTCCTATCAAGATGTCTTTTAGGTGGAAGGACATCAAATTGATTGTATACACTGGTGTTGCTAACGCTCGTCTCCCTTACAGAACGAGTCTGAGCCATAACATGGTCGTCAAGCTTGTGGCAGCATACGTCGCCGTCGGTTTCATCGTCATGGAGGTACTCTTCTTTGGAGTATGGTGCCGGCCATTCTGGCATTACTGGCAGGTGCCCAACGACAGCCGTACGTCCTCCTTCTATCTTCCTCTTCATCTGAAGTCCGCAATCGTGCAGGAATCTAACAGATCTGCGCAGTTGAATGCACTGCGGAACATAACCACATGATTACGAACGCTGTCGTCAACATCTCGTCCGACATTATGATTATCATGCTACCGATGCCCATCTTCATACGGGCTAAGCTGAAGCTGAAGAGGAAGCTGACGCTTATCGGTGTCTTTGCCTTGGGAGCATTCACGGTATGATAACCAGATAGACAGTTCTTGGACTGCTCTCGGCTCCCTTCCTTTTCCTCTAGTTTGCAACCAAACAAAGAAAGGAGCAGAAGAGAAAAGAGGGCAACACTTCTAACAAGCACATACTAACGGCATATCCAGATTCTATCAGCGATTCTCAACAAGTACTACAGCTTCTCCCAAACGTATGGAACCGAATGGATCTACTGGTACATCCGCGAGGCGGCCACAGCCATCATCGTCGCCAATCTGCCCTTGACCTGGACGCTGCTGCAACGATTGTTCAACCTCGGCTCCTTCCACAGCAAATCCTCGAACCGACGCACTACTATGGGCCAAGGAACCTCGCGTTTCCGATCCGTGTACGGGAACCTCAGCAGCCGCATCAGGGAAGAGACGCAGAGCGTACGGGGTCATACCACCAAAGATCCCGAGTTCAATTCAACGGACAGTCAGGAACAGATCAACGGATCATACGGGATCCCTCTGCAGATCTACCAAAAGAACGAGGTTCACATCACGACGGAGGCGGCGCCTGACGGTGACTCATCACCGAAATGGAACGCAACGGCAATGGGGGTGACGTTTGCGATGGAGAGTAACAGCCATGCAAAGTCGTCTGATGACCAAGCGTCAAATAGTGAGACAGAGCACGGGGTTGTTACCAGAGCTTATCACGAGGTGTAAAGATCCAAACAAGGTTGGTCGAGCCAACCCTCAAAGGTCAAAGCGCGGATTCGATGAAGCTACTCGTTACAAGTAGTATGAGTGCCAATTTACATTATATTAATAGAACCTTGAGCTCCCTCCCCTGCCCGCACCTGAAACACGGCTAGGCCGGCAAGCGAGTAATTACAAGTGACGACACTCCATGGGCTGGCTAGTCATACGGTTCTATTCATACTATACACCGGCCCCTTTATCACACAGCAGCACATACACTTTGAGAAAGGCTCTTGAGCATTCTTATCGGTGGCAACGCTATTTCACTCGAAAGCCTCGGTCTGTTTCTCACACCATTGTATGAATTCAGCCGCAACCCCGTTCCACCTTCAGATGGTCCTTTGACCGACGTTTCGAGTCCTGCGGGAAGGCTACCCAGTCTGCCCCAAGCATAGACGTAGGCCCCACTCTTGTCAGGTGTCAACTCAGGGCTGAGGGCCGTCCAAAGCTCGGCCTAAGCCCCAAGAATGGGTGGATGAACGATAAAATCTATCTATAAACGCCACAACTGTCAGTGCGCACGCACCTATTAAGCGGTCAGATAACGCAGCACAATGATCACGCCACCTACCACCATCCAGCTGCCCAGGCCGGCCCAGTGCCGCTGCAGCTCTGTGCGCAGGTTCCGAGGATTGAAAGCAGCGTGCACAACACCCACCTCCGGCGGTCGTCTTGGCAAATATTCGCGCCAGAAATACGTTGCCGACGTTCGTCTGCCCGTAATCGTCTATCACGCCTTGGATCCGTAGGACGACCGTCATCATTAATGATGATTCCGTGCGTTTGAGGTGACGAGACGTGCACGACGATAGAAGCAGCCCACGCGACGCGCACGCTAGCCGTCGGAGATGAGGCGGTAGTCCTCGTAAGAAGAGGGAGAAGAAGTTAGTAGAGCAGATAAGGACCCAAACAATTGAGGACCCAGTCAATTGGCCCCTACCTGCAAGTCGTGTCCTTGAGCATTGGTGCTGCTCTTTAGGAGGATACATGACCTGCAAGCCCATGGACACAATGGACTGTTAGGGAGAAATAGACTGTGCTCGAATCGGCATCATAATGAAAGACTTGGAAATCACGGGATAAATACACGTATACCGGCATTGTTCATGAGGATATCGAGGCCACTTTTTTTTTGGGCGATAAAGAACTCGACAGCAGGTTTGACGGAGAGAGATCGGACAGATCAAGGTTGAGAAATTCGAGCCGACCCTTGCTCCTCGGCCACATCTCCTTGATATTCGATATCGCCGTGTGACCTTTCGATTCAGAGCGACCTGCGACCCCCCCCCCCTTTTTTTTTTTTTTTTTCCGCGCCTTCCCCAAATTTTCAGGCCTCTGACGCGTGGATTCAATATATTGTAGGTTTTTCTTCATACTGAGCGGGTATGCCGGTCTGGGATCCGAACTGAGCAAAATTCTCTATGGCTACAATGCGACGGTTTGGGGGGGTGGCTTGCTCGTACTGTTTGGTTGGGACAATTTTTCTCTGTGAGGGGCGCTGCTGTGATGAAAAAGAACTGGCTGAAGATGTTCCCCATGATGTGAGCGAAATAGCAATCTACTGACAAACTGACGATATATTTCGAAGAGAGGTAGAAGAATGCTGGACTTAGACGCTCGTCAATAAAGCCCCGCTCTCTTAGGTTTCAAGGTTCGGCTTCCAGCTGCCCGGATTAGGTCAGGTTACACGTACCAATGCACATGGCACTCTGCACGCCATCCTCGATACGTCCATGTGGCTTGGAACCAGCGTCCACCCCGCTCGCAGTCGTTAATGGAATTGTGGCTTGCAGGGTTATTACTAGATTGTCATTAAAACCTCGATCTCGTATTAAGTAAATCACTGACGGGACCTGATGCACTTTATTTTGTACAACGACATCTGGAGATAGTGTTAGTCCGGTAAGCAAACTCACGTGAAGGCGTGGTACTGTAATGGCACGCGTAGACCAATATGTTGGACTGTTTTGATAGATTTAGAATGATATCTTGATCATATTCAATATTTTCTCGGACTTGACTGTGAATTTAATTCCCTTCTATCCCTTGAATCTGGCCCTTGCCTTGTGGATCTAGCTACTGCGAAGAGCTCACTCTGGCTTATTCATTCACAACAATTCGGGCAAATGCTTTCCTAGGAAAGGGCGGGGCCACGAAGACTTTGTAGTACCTTGAAAGACAGATTGCGTGGTCGAAACCGCTTTGAACGCTGGTACCTAGTCTTGAAGGCTTCATCACCTTGATCCTTTACCGGGGCTCGGTTATATGACATTGCGAAATTGGAGGTTATTCACAGTTGCCTGTGCCAATGAGATGGTGGAGATGATCTTGTCGCGCTGTCTATGAAGAGTGTAGATAGTACTATGGTATGAAGCTCAATGGTTGATCAGCGAATTCGTGAGAGGAACTATCGGCTCTCCACTGCGTATGTGAGTCAATCAGCGTGGGTAAGACCAAGCAAGGTCCAATGGAGCAGGTGGAAACAGTCACCTTGGCTACTTAAGTAGTTACGGCCGTATTTTCGGATAATATGATATCATCTTGCGGTCAAACAGATGGCCTCAAATTGACTGTCCTGACAGTCCGGCAGTCTGGCCATCTGACTTCTCAACAACGCATTCGTGAGGACGAGGTGAGATGCGTGGTACATTTTTATAGTTCGTGATGCATGTCAAAAGGAAAGTGAAAAAGCAAAGGTTAGCGTCATGTGAGGTGAAGAGCAGGCAATTGCGCAGAGCAGTGTCAAGGGTCCGAAACCTGAATTGGTAACCTGGCCCCATAAGGAAATGCAGCTAATGGCGGCAATATGGTCAAATATAGCGGCACACGTGGTGTTATTGATGTCATGGGAGAACTTTGTGTGTCTTGATATAAGGGCCGTCATCTGCTTTGTGAGCACCGAAGGCATGAGGGACGACACGATTGTGAACCCGAGGCCAACATGGGCTACCTGCAAGCACATCCTCGAGGCATTATATTCGACCTTGGCGATGTTCTCTTCACCTGGTCCGCCAATACAAAAACCACCATTCCAGCTCGCAAGCTGAAAGAGATTCGCTCAAGGCCCGTGTGGTTTAGTTACGAATGTGGTCAGATCACCCGAGATGCATGTTACGAACTGTCTGCTCAAGAGTTCTCTATCCCAGCGTCTGAGATCGCAGAGGCATTTCTTCAGGCTCGCAAGTCTCTACAACGAAATGACGCTATCATCTCGTTCCTTCGCGACCTGAGGAAGGACCCCACGATTCAGGTGTATGCCATGTCAAATGTTGGCAAAGAAGATTTCGACGAACTCGCAACAGAAATGGAATGGGCCCTGTTTGGCCAAGTGTTCACTTCAGCAGCGGCAGGTATGCGAAAGCCAGACCTGGGATTCTACAGCCATGTCCTTGACTGCATCGGTCTAGCCGGCAACCAGCCCATCTTCATTGACGATAAGACTGAAAATGTCCATGCAGCCCAGGCATTGGGCATGCGGGGACTGACTTTTGAAGGATCGACGATTCGAACGCTACAACATATGTTTGATGGTTCAATCAGCAGAGGCTGGAAGTATCTGTTTCAAAACGCGAAGCGCTGTCATTCGATCACGAACAGTGGAGTCGCTTTCGCAGATAATTTTGCGAGGCTATTGATTGTAGATTCCTTGCAAGAGCAGTAAGCTGGTGGTGGTCGAGGCGTGGGGAAATTGCTGTGATTACAGTCAGAGCAGCTGACGGACGGTCTTCAGGACTCTCACGGATCTTAGCTGGGATCCAAGACTACGTGGAATTTCTTCGCCGGTAATGATATTTCACACATATCACAGCAAGACGAAGAACGAAACAACTGACCCTTCTCTGTCTACAGACGAGCCTGCACTTATCCCGGAGGGCATATTCCCTGATGATCTTGACACCACGTCTCTCGCCCTCACAGCTCTTCAGCCATCATCGCCAAAGACCGTCTCCTTGGTTCTCGATACAATGGCCGGATATGTCAATGACGACGGTACTTTCCAGGTAAGGCATTATCAGATCACTGTATTACAATGATACTAGAGAAGCCTTTCTTGCTAATCACAGAGCAACAGACGTATTCTGATCGTGAGAGACCTCGTGTTGATCTTATCGTCAGCGCGAATGTCCTCGCCTGCTTTTATCATTACAATCGCGGCCATGAGTTCGAGCGTACTCTCCATCCTGTGCAATCGGTGCTTCTGAGCCGATCTTACATGCAAGGTACCCGATTTTATCTTTCTCCAGATTGCTGTCTGGGATTCATTAGACGCTTGCTGCGATCATCGAACGATGCAAATCTACACTCTACTCTTGGCCCACTCTTAAAGTCTCGAGTGCGTGAACGCTTCGGCATGGGCGGCAACGCATTGGATCTTGCCATGCGCATCATCACGTGCACCCAGATGGGGATCACGTGTGAGGACGACCGCTGCGCTTTACTCGACATGCAGTGCGAAGATGGGGGTTGGGAAGTTGGTTGGCTTCATCGATATGGTTCAACGGGTGTCAAGATTGGGAACCGCAGTGTGACTACTGCCATGTCGATTGCAGCACTTTCGTCTTGAGATGACGTTGAGTCTGGTCGCGGGCAGTTACCAAGCCTTGGCATGCGCATATGTTCTAGAGCACTGGTGGCAAATGTTCGTGTCAAGGTCCAAGTATATTGTAGCGAAATATATACAAGAAGTCTAGCTCCTATAATCTATTGTACTGTAATGACAGCATCTGCTGCTAAAAACTCCTCAGCAATGTTGAGCCCGCCGAGAGAGGTATATCCAGTGTTGTCCAAGGTCGTCGAGATCGTGGTGCCGTTCACAGTGTAGTTGAAGATGGTGAATCCCGTGATGGTGACAGGAGATCCATTGCCGTCCGTCCAGACTGGCAGCTGACTGCCGAATATATAATTGCTTCGGTCGCTAAAGTCGCCAAGACTGACATTCTCGATGACCACATTTTCGTAATTGGCAAGAGGCACAATCCGCATCAAGTTTCCCCCAATACCTTCCGACCTGATGTTACCAAAGTAGACGTTCTTGACCGTATTGCTGAGATCTGCGGTGTCCGTTTGAGTCTCCAGATAGCCGTACACCTGATTCGCACCGATAATGCTTGGGTGCGAACCGTTTGAGTTGTATCTGCTGTGAATCACATCGATTCCATCGACCGTGATGTTGGTCAGGTTGCGGCTTGCCCAGCCGAACTGAATTACAGGCGCAGTCTTGCCCTTCCACACAATAACATCACTGACAGATATGTTGGAGCCATAAGTCTTGATCGTATCGTCATTGGAATGGTAAAAGGTATCGCGGACAGTCGACCCTGTATACAAGGTGGTGCCGTCCGTCTGTCCGAAGAAAGCCCCAACCTGTTTGTAGTCGGATTGATTGATTGAGATGGTGTCAATATCGCCGAAGAAGTCGATGCTGTTGAATGGAGGCGAGTTTGTCGTCACTCCGCTGATCACAAAAGTCTGGTGGCTGTCTCCGGTGCTGTAACCACTCCACATCCGAAGGTCGTCATTGTTGGATGCGTTGTTGGTGTAACCCGATGCCGTGTTCGCTTGGTAGACATACTGCTCACCAGAGAGCACGCCGAACCCGGTTGCTTTGATGATGCTCGAAGTCGTGGTGAACTGGACTGCTCCCTTGACGTAAGCACCAGGAGCAAGATAGACCCAATCGACCGAGCTGGAGAGGACAGCGTGATTGGTTGCCGTCATGTAGTAGACCCCAGGCGTGAAGTAGACGTTGGTACTGGTGATATTGCTCAAGTCAGGGACGAGGCCAGGGTAGACAACGTATGTCTCTTGAGACGTCTCGGAAGGGATAAGGTCGGACGATGGAAAAGGGCTTGCGAAGATCAAGAGAGCGTCATGTGGCTCAACCCCCATGACAGGCATGCTGTCTGTGAAATTCGAAACGTAGTTTGGTCCATCGGCATGCCAGTCCTGAACAAAGTCACTCTCTGTGTCATTACAGCCATTGCGGTAGCTATATAGGTTGTCTTGGAACTCGACAGAAATTCGGTAGCCTTGGGCGCGATACGGCACCAAAACGTACACATTCCCGAGGCCATCATCGGTGACGTTGAGGCTCAGGTGGGTAGGTCGTATCACGACATCGCTTGCGGTTGTAAGGTTGTTTCCGTAGCGGGAGATTTTCACCCAGGCATCCGAACCATACAGAAATTGAGTCCAGCCCATGGTGATCCAGATGTCTGCCTCGATCGTGATCGAATCGTCTTCCGTGGATATAGAGCTGGCGTTTCCCGGAATGATAATATTCCCTTGGCCATTTCGCGGTATTGTCTCGTATACAAAGGAATTGTAACTGCAGCGACCATCTCTCAGCTTTTGATCTTTGGCCCACTATCCTTGAATAAGAAGATGGTAAGTTGAGAAACATACTATGTCTGATTTGTATCCGTTGTTGACTTCACCCATGTTGCGTATACATGCGACTGCCGCACATTCTCATCTCGCACGGGAGTCTCGTAGTTGAACTCCCCATTGTCGTGCCACCAGGTCTGTAGATCTGAAGTCGAAGAAGTGACATTCCTTGCTGCTGTAATGTCACCGAGGACAAGGTCGAGCGTGAGAAGGAAACATAAATGATTGAATCGCATGTTCAGACAGAGCGCCGAAGAACTCCCTCGGCGATAGAGTCACAGCTTTGCGTCGGCCCAGCCACGACGAAGAAAAAGAAGAAAAAAAAGGGGGGAGAGGGACAGAAAGAAGAGAAGTCAATCCAAGGCTTGCTTGTATAAAAAAGGAGCGTTAAGTAATACCTAGGCGATATGAAGAGGCAAAAGACTCCATGTGGCTCACTCGGAGGCAAAGGAGATGGTGCGAGCCACGACGATGCGAGGTTGCAACGAGAAGTGAAGATAAACGCTCAACGGTAAGATAAAAGGGAAGAAAGACATGTCCTCTACATGTATGTATGTGATATTAATGCACAAATCTTATTCGGAAGAGGGAAAAATAAACTCTCATGGGATGCGCGAATGTCGTAGGTGCGGCAGGATCTGCCCCTGACTCATTTTTGCTAGACATTTTGGGAACAATAAAATTGTTGGAATCGAACCCTGGCCATGTTTTGCGCCTGTTCACGACTCCGTGACAGAGACGCTTGACATGCATTGGGGGCATGCAGCTTTGGGGGCGCACGCGCGACGGGCACGGACGGGTCTAGTGTGTTGCTCACACGGCTCATTTACTGGACCACACATGCTGGCGGCTAATTATGGGCCGCCGTGAAATGTTCTAGGCTGTGGGGGTTTGTTTCAGATGCTACTGTACGGCCCGACAGACCCACTGATAGAAAAATGAAAACGTACACCACCTTCACATCCCATGGTACTACTTAAGCAGCGAGGATTCCTCCATGTGGCTCTCGACAATGACCGTGGCACAAGCCAGACACGGAAGACAATGAGTGTCCAATGCCAATTCGGTGTCCGAACTGATCGTCATGATAAGAGACAGAACTGGAACCAATGGGCTGCATCATGTAGCGCGGGTTTCTTGAGAGATAATGAGGTGTCAATACTACACAGAAACCGCGAAAAAGTCAGCGATAGATCTCAGCCAAAAAAAAATTTACCTGTTTTGTACCATGGTATTACACTGCTCGCTGTTTCGTTCTGTCTCTGGATGCGTGTCATGCATGTGCTGCACAGTAATTAGGCAATCATCTTGCTTCTTCTCTGGGCAGCCTGCCTAGGCCTGGGAACGCGTAAGCTCAAAGTCTAGTCTATATTACATCTCGCGATCTATGAATTCCTCACAAACAAGCCCACCCTTGCGTCTGATTCGTGGTAATTTTCGCCCATACACCCTTCGATACCATTGCATTTGTTGCAAAGCTTTATCATCCCGAGGCCGAAGATCAAGGCATAGATAGTTTCGACCTCAAGGCCTCCCGTTTTTTCACGCCGACGTCGCCATGCTACAACAGGTTGGACCGGCTAGAACTGTGAATGGTGGATAGCCACAGCATATACTTGACTGCGTCAGACAGCCGTAGGGGTCCAAGCAAGTATTTGCTGTGCACGGTGCACCCGGGCATCCCTGAATATCCGTCCCACAGCAAGTTGTCGAGTATTTCCCAGAGTAACAGGTATTAGGAGGCGAACACTGGCTGTCTGCCGAGCAAGTCTCACCCGCAGCTAGGTAGTCTTTCGTTAGAGATACGGCGCTCGTGATCAGAGGAGTGATAGCGTCACTGGACAACGATGTAGAGGTAGGAGTGATTCGTGTGCCAAGTTGAGCAGGCTGTATGCAACCTCGTTAGCGATGTACTCGTACATTGCTATAGTAAAACCAAATACTACAATATGTTACATTGCTTACAGTGGCTAACGTTGACTTTGTTGCAGAAGTCTCTGAGGTCGAACCAAGGAGTGAAGTCGCCTTGGATGACTGTCACTTGCCGCCATCAGCACAGGTCTCCAAGGAAATACCACCACAGGTTCCCATTATGGATAAACTCACATCCGACGTGGTTCCTCTTGTCAGGACCACTGACAGAATAACAACAAGAACGATAGCCAGCACGCCAAAGCCGGCGATAATGAGAGGACTTTCCCAAGGTTCTTTCGTCCTGATGTCCGTTCTGGGTGTGATTCATCCCCTATTCCCAAGAATGACTGGCCCTCGACACGATTTGAGGTGGCTGCTCTACGCGAGACAGCATTAGTGTCGTACAGGGACATTGATTTCTCGGTGTGCCTCTGGCAAACCAATTACTATATTGCAGCGGGTCCAGCGGCTCATAAGGCAATGCACAGCATGACGAATTCCGCATGATGCAAAGCTTAGTGTAACTGGCTACCAACTTTTGCGTTGACACGCCAACACCTTTAATACCTGATCGATCAATAAGGCTCTGCAGGCAACCAATTCTTGCTGCCTGCGCATTCGAGGTTTTAGCTCATGGGGGGTACAAAAAAGTTGACGGGGGGTACAAAAAGTTGGTGGGGGGTACAGAAACTCGGGGGGGGTACAAAAAGTTCATGGGGGGTACAGAAAAGTGGGGTCATGTGACTGTTGGCCGGGTAACTAGATAGGAAGCTAATATGATAAGCTCTGATCCGCGCTGATAAGCATATGCTGAGCGTATGTTCATGTGAAAGATTCAAACTTACCTTAGACTGTATTTCATGAAAAGCTTCCTAAATCTCTTCAAACTCTGAATCTATAGATATAAGAGGTTTTGAAAGATGTATAATATGCAAAATCCCCTTTTTATCAATAGCAGGATAATCAGGCAAAATAGGATAATCTTGAACTTCGAATGCTGATATTATTCGTGAACTATTTGAGCTGATAGCGATGCTGAAATGCTTCATCTCCTTCTGTATATATAGTTAGCATATGCTCAGCATATATCGAGCAGCATTTAATAAGATGCTAACCTTGCTCATGCTAAAATTCTGCAATATATCAAAAGAAATATCTCGAACATCATAGATCTCATCATCTTCCATAAGATATTCCTCTTCCTAAGCCTTAGTTAGTATATGATTTATTAGTTTCTTTATTAATAATTTACCTAGCTAAGCTATTAAGAGACTTTTTCAGCATAATCTGCCTCAGATATCTGATCAACATATGCTAAGCATGAGCTAATCATACTCCCCATATTAGAATCTGAAGCAGAATTATTCGATTATAATAACTGCAATAATTGAGATGAGATTTCAATAGGAAAACTCTCAGTAGCATGAGAAGACATTATATAAAAGAATAGGGATATGTAATAAGCTGAGATTAAGCTGAGATATTGTATAAGCAGAGTATATATTTAGTATATAGTGATAAGTAGGAAATACTGAGTTAACTGAGATAATAGCTTTTATAGTTTAAGCATATGCTGAAACTATGCTGAGTTTTAATATAGAAATACTCTAAAATTGGCAATCTCTGATACAATTTTGAATATGTAGAACACAATATCCACTGATGCTCAGCATATGTTGAGCATAAATGCCGCACTCGGAGATCTCTTTCGCATTCCGATAATTCCGCTCTAGTCTCCGATATTACCGAGTAAATAAACAATGCAGATCTTTTCTATATTAGGTGCTGTACCCCCCATGAACTTTTTGTATCCCCCCCGAGTTTCTGTACCCCCCCCGAGCTTTTTGTACCCCCTCCGAACTTTTTTGTACCCCCCATGAGCTATAAGCCCGCGCATTCAATAAGGCTCCGTGTAACCAACACTTATGGGGCATTGTAAGCTTTTTGAAGCACATTTTTCAGATTCTTAGGCCAGCATTGATTCCAAATTCTCTCTCTCTCTCTTACACACACACACACACACACAAAATGCATTTCTTAAATACTGGAGCGAGGACCATAAGGCAGATTATGATCAGCAGCCCGATCGTCAACTGCCTAACAGCACAAGTCGACACAAGGTGAATGGAAGAATCTTGGTTCTTTTCGTTGCTATTCACATCATTTCATAGCCCCGATTCGAGGCAGTGTTCAAATTTACAATCTACGTTGTTTTGAATGGTGTCCAGCGAAGCTTGAGTTGTAACCATATGAAAGCTGAGAGTCACTGCCCCAATTTTCCATCTCAGGAGGCTCCTTGCTTACGTGAGCTCTGTGTGTAGCTCAAGAGTACTTAGGTAGGTGTGGCATACCCCTTTGCCTGCCCTTAAACTATCCCTGCTCACATATCCAAGAGGGATCTTCTGTCTCTGCAGCTTTTGACTTATATCAGTTCACAAATGTCTCAAAGCGAGAAGATGGGGTGTGTTCATAGTAAGGACCCGGCCCAAGACGGACCAGGGAATTCAATCGGCGCTGTCAGCACTCTTCGAGGCGCGCAAGCATCGGGTCAGCAAGCTGAACCTGTTCAGCACCAAGTGGATCCTTCGGTAAGTCTATCGTCCATACTTAGTAGGCACACACGCTCTGACTTTGATTTCGAAGCTGGGAGCTGAGTTCACCGCCACCAGAGGACTTGTTATGAAGGGGATGACCGTCACGGATGCCCTCTTCACAGTCGGCTCTCCCATGCCCCGGACTCAAGAAGCTCCCCGTTCGACTAGATCCATGACGGCGATGGATAGCCAGGTCAATAATGGAGCTTCCGCAGCCGTTGGCCAGTTCGATTATGATGGTATGGCTCGCTGGGCCCAGGTGCGGGGAGAGGCGCGTGCGAAGGAGCATGAGGCGCTCGTGAAGTTGCTGGGGGGACAGCCGTATCAAGTTCACGTTTCATTCTAACATCCTCAGAAGGAACACAAGAATGGCAAATAGTGGTAGAGCAAGGGTAAAGTGGGACATTCTCCTATCAAGCACGGATCTCCTAGGTTAGAGTTTAGGCCGTTACTCTAGGACGGCAGAGGCACAATTGCTTGAAACACCGGTTCATCTTCCTTCTTTTCGTCTTTTTCTCTTTTCTCTTTTTTTTTTTTTTTTTTTTTTTTTAATAAAATAAGGAAAAGCAAAAAATAATAATATGATGGTCTGTCAGCCTTCCTGCTGTGTATGAGCTGGATGGCGACTTGCGAGGTGAGCTTCCGATGCAAGAGATGCTTTCTTTAATAGTATATATATATATACACATGGGTTTCACTTCCGCGTTCTTATCCTTTTCCTCGGTGCCACACTGATGGTGGCCACTGAGTCAGACAGGGCCTCCTCATGTACTTTGATCGTTGTAGCCACACTAGTCCGTTTCCTCTTGATTGGTGTGGACGCAGGTGTCGTAATGGATGTGCCGGGGGCGGGCGATTCCTCTTTGGTCTCGATCTTGACCGCCATTAGTTCTGATGAATCCTCCAGCTTCTGGGCAACCCGGCCCGAGAAAGTCTTCAAATCAGCCGTAAAGAGTACTGAGTGGGCCCATCCAGCTTGACTCCCCCATAAGTTCCGAAAATGATCCCCCACTGCGTCGTACATGGCCTTAGAAAGGGTTTTGTTCTTGTTCTTGCCACCAAATCGGTAGTCGCGCATTGCGATCTGCCATACGTGCGTATCGACCGGGACGGCCTCGCCCCAGCCTAGGCCCATGAGGCAGACGCAGTCGGCAACCTTGGGCCCGACTCCACAGAGCTCAAGAAGCTGCTCGTGGGCATGCTTGTATGTGGACGGCTCATCACCCAGCGACACCTGTTGTGGCACAGTTTCCCAGGCCTTGCTGTCTGGGTTCCGTAAGCTTTCCAGCCAGCCTGCTGGTCTGTCCTGGGAGATATTGCGCGCCGTCTCTGCGATGTACTTTGCGCGGTAGCCGAAGCCCAGCTCGCGAAGTCGAGATTCGACTCCAGGGGAGGCGAGAGTTATCGGTGTTGGAAAGTCATGAAACACCTCTTCGCCAATGGTGCCGATATATGGTCCATAATTAAGACAGAGCTTGTGTACCATCTGTGATATCCTAGAAATGTTGTTGTTGCTGCTGCAAATAAAGCCCACGAGTGCCTCCCAAGCATCCTGGTTCAATATTCTGACGCCCGTAAAGCCTGGTGCCTTTTTTCGGAAGTTTTGATCGGCGTTTGCCCACTGTTTGTACAAACCGGCGAGGTCGTGGTGCAGGTTGAAATAATTCTTCAAAAGCGCCTCGCTGTCGTCCGGCACACGGCCCCCCTGAGCACCCTCCTCCACCTTCAGAGAAGTAGAAGCAGTCGAAGGACCGGCGACAATCTTGGGCCACGTCACTCGGTAGTGTAGATGGTCCGGATCCTGCTTCAGAGACAGGATTCTACCATGAAGTGAGCAGTGCCTGGCATGCGTTTAGCATCTATGTATCAAGAAGAACTGACAGGAATTTTAAATACCATTCGTTATTTATTTGCCTCCACCTGAAAGACTGTCCACATCTCAGCGTCGTGTCGATGCAAAGCTCCGTGAGGCTGAGCGGCAGTTTACGCCATTCCGTCTTTCCCAGAGTCATGATTATGGGAAATCTTGCAAGAATGTTGTGGAGACTGAAAAGAGCATAGAAGGCCGAAGCGTCTTTCGGCCCCTAGGAAGTGCTGTGCTGGCTTGAAGATGTGGCAATGCTGGTTTCGTTGGGCCCTTTCGTGGATGCAATACAGCCGCGTGCGTTACATGGACGGGCGGATTGCTTTTTTATCTTCCTTACTCCATGACACCAAACGGTGTGGTATTGAGCACGACACTTTGTTTTCTTTGAACCGTCTCTGATGGGACCAGATATTTGGGGACCCTGCTGCTGCTGTAAAACAGCGGTTGGGGTGGCAGTAAGTTGGGCAAGAAAAAAAAAACCCCTAGGCTCAGGGGGTGGGCGGCTCTTGCCACTGAAAGGCAAGTCCTCCCTAAGCCTAGATCCTCGAGGTCTGGCAGGGTTCCTTGACACTAGTTCAAGTATGGCTTAGCACCATCTCCCAGGAAAATCAGCCTCAAGTTTACAGCGGTGGTCAGTGGTCACCTCTGGCTCAGCAGCTGCACCTTGGCTTGGCTGTCCGTCACTGGAGCTTTTTCCACCTCGTTCGGCATCAACATTCACCAGCTGTTCCCTGGGATCAGCCACCACCACCCTTTGACCCTAATCTCATACAATTGCGACATAAGTAGTCGCACTCAAGAGGGTTAGCTCTCAGGCCAATCCCGTTCCAATGGCCATGGTATTTTTGCTGACAATGTGACCTCCAGGTTTTCTCTCCAACTCTGGTATCTTGATCGTGGGCAACTTCTGCTGACCATGGATCGAAAAGATGGAGGCCGCCATGGCTCTTCCAGGGACTATGGTGTATGTATCCTCCCCTATTCTTGCCCTTCCTTGCATGACAGCCAGACCTGCGCTGACCTGCTGTGATGGTGCAGTCCTCGAGACGCGACCGTGATGACCGACGAGATCGTGACCGCGACCGCCGCCGCCGCTCGCGATCCCCCTACGACAGCTCTCGCCGGCGTGATGCCGGTGGCGAGGTAGACTCGTACTCCTCCAGCCGCAACCACCGCGACCGCGAACGCGAGGACCGCTACTCTGGCCGACGCGAGAGAGACTGGGACCGCGACGCACGCGGCGGGAGGCGCGACGGTGGCGGCCGCAGGGATGACGACCGCCCCCCGCGCCGTGATCGCGGCGACCTATTTGACGATCGCCGCCGAGGCCCCCGTGACGGTGGCGGCCATTTCGACCGAGAACGTGAACGACGCCGAAGCGAATCCCCGCCGCCCAAGAAGAGGGAGCCTACACCCGATCTGACGGATATCATCTCCGTCCTGGAGCGCAAGAGGCGGCTGACGCAGTGGGACATCAAGCCTCCCGGTTACGAGAACGTCACAGCAGAGCAGGCCAAGCTGTCGGGCATGTTCCCGCTGCCCGGCGCGCCCAGACAGCAGGCCATGGACCCCACGAAACTGCAGGCCTTTATGAAGGAGCCCGGCACCAGTACGGTCAACAACGCCTCCCTGAAACCTACCAACTCACGACAGGCCAAGCGCCTCATCGTCTCGAATCTTCCTGCCTCCGCGACCGAGGAGAACGTCCTCGGCTTCTTCAACCTCCAGCTCAACGGCCTCAATGTCGTGGAGTCTACCGACCCCTGCTCCCTCGCACAGATGTCCTCCGACCGAACCTTTGCCCTCCTCGAGTTCAAGACTGCCGAGGATGCCACCGTTGCCCTTGCTCTCGATGGTCAGTCCATGGAAGCAGATGACGTGAGCGATGCAGCGAATGGCGCCCCGCATGGCCTGCAGATACGCCGACCAAAGGACTACATCGTCCCCGCTATCGTCGACGATCCAAATTACGAGCCCGGCCGCATATCGAACATTGTGATTGATACACCGAACAAGATCAGTGTGGCCAATATCCCTCCATACTTGACCTCGGAGCAGGTTCTCGAGCTCCTGAACAGCTTCGGGGAGCTGAAGGCATTCGTCCTGGTGCAGGACCGCGGCACGGAAGAGTCGCGCGGCATCGCCTTTTGCGAATACCTTGATCCAGCCGCGACCGAGGTTGCCATCAAGGGCCTTGACGGCATGGAGCTTGGCGACAGGCATCTGAAGGTCCGCAAGGCCAGCATAGGGATCACGCAGATCGCTAGCGTGGAGATGGGGGTCAATGCTATGTCCATGCTCGCCGGTACCACGTCCACGGACTCGGAGGTGACCCGCGTGTTGCAGCTGCTCAATATGGTGACTCCGGAGGAGCTGATGGATCCAGATGATTACGAAGGCAAGTACCCCCAAGTGAGGATGTTGTTGTGCTGTGCACTCGAAAATAACTAACTCCTTTTGCGTACAGAAATCTGCGAAGATGTCCGAGACGAGTGTGGCAAGTTTGGTACTATCCTTGAACTGAAGGTGCCTCGCCCCAGTGGTGGGAGCAAACAGTCTGCAGGTATTGGCAAAATCTATGTCAAATTCGACAGCCCAGAATCGGCCACCAAGGCGCTCAAGGCCCTTGCTGGCAGGAAATTTGCCGACAGGACTGTGGTCACCACATATTTCCCAGAGGTACATATATCCCTTTTCTTCTAGATCCAGCCGCTAGCAGCACGCGTTCTAATTCACATTGCAGGAGAATTTCGAGGTGGGCGCATGGTAGGCCAAAAGCTAGCTACCTTCATGATGGCATTGAGGGCAGACTCTGATCCTAGCACGGAGAATGATGGATATCTGATCACTACTGGAGAGGACTACTGGGGGAGGGGGATCAAAACAATCAAAAAGTATCGTGACCGACATAGCAACCTGCGATGGGTAGCGTAGGCCTGGGAAGACTTCGGGGTCAGGTTTGCGCACGATCAATAAGACCTTGTGTCAACTCAGACGGGCATCCTGCCCAGATAATGGGAATGAGTCTGTCCCTGTACAACAAGTATTAGATAGGTTTAGCACAGCTGCGGCAAAATTACGAGAAATGGCAGTACGGGTTTCACTGTGAGATTCGAGATGCTGGTCTATTTCACTGCACACGTTTCCAGTTCCTGTTGAAAAGCTGCAATCCTTCGTATAGAGATATATTGAACCTGTTGTCTACTTAAATGCTTAGTAATGAGTGGTAGCCACGCTGACATGAGCCCTCTCTCCTCGAGGACACAGGTCCAGCCCAGCTGCTGAGCTACCGCCGTCGCGATATCATCCTGTGCTGTCGATTAGGTCTCTTGGTGGAAGACATTGGTACTTCCTAAAGAGAGGAGTCAGTACATGCTCCTCATCATTGAGAACGAGATGCAAGAGAAATGCGCAGAGTGCATGCTGTTCAGAAGTCCATTACATTCATCGGCATCCCCGAGGGGAGCCTAACATAAGAGGTACCAGAAATAAAATAGTAAACAAGGTTGTTGATCATCAGGATAGCACGAGGGTAGGAAAAGAGGAAGGTCGAGCTTACCAGTTGTCATCTGCCGCAGCCCTAATCGTTGTTGGCAGCCAAAGGAGCCCAAGTCTTTGCGGCGATGGGAAGAGAAACAGAAGTTTTTAAGCCGTAGCAGGGTTTGAGATTGTTGGGGGAGAAAGGACTGACTGGGTAGTACGGGGCAGGGGGCGGGATCTGCATTGACAGACGCCAGCTGGTGCCGGCCCGTCCACGTCTGGTTTTCCCCACCGCGTGCGGAACCCACCGACAAGCAACAAACTCCCAAAATTTCGACTACACACTCCACCCACCCTGCAGATTTCCCTCTCTCACAAGTCGAAAGCCACCAACCGCCAACCCACGACACCTGTCTCCCTCTCTCCCATCACCACAACCACCGATCATCACCAGACAAAATGGGTCGTCTTCACTCCAACGGAAAGGGAATATCTGCCTCGGCTCTCCCCTACAGCCGCAACCCCCCCTCGTGGCTCAAGACCACCCCCGAGCAGGTCGTCGAGCAGATCTGCAAGCTGGCCAAGAAGGGTGCCACCCCTTCCCAGATTGGTGTTGTCCTGCGTGATAGCCACGGCATTGCCCAGGTCAAGGTCGTCACTGGTATGTTCTCTCGCAATCCATTGCCCAGAAGATATTGGATAGAAATATACAGGGCGAGAAGATGTTTCTGTGTTTGATGAGAAGGTTAGCTGACAGTGTGGGCTACAGGTAACAAGATCCTGCGCATCCTCAAGTCCAGCGGTACGATTCACCCCAACCCTTCTCGAAGACATGATCGACACCGTCGAGCGAACGACCGATGAGCGAAGACGAGCTCTGTCGACGCTGCGCGCTGCAGTGTGGTTCCTTGTGCGACAGACACAACGTTCAGGTCTCGATGCGAAAGCTCGACCTCGATTTGTGAAAAGGGCCACACTGCTTGCGCACGCGGCACGGTCACAAAGAAAGAAAAAATTTATATGCCTCTGCTCGGTCACGTGCTGACAGAGAGATTGAAATAGGCCTCGCCCCCGATATCCCTGAGGACCTGTACATGTTGATCAAGAAGGTACGTTTGCCAGTGTTCTAGGTCCTGGTTCTTTGCACACGAGCGTTTCCCAGGTCCTCTTAGTCTGTCCCGTCTTTCTCTCGTCGTAGAAACTGACCAATCTCTACTACTACCAGGCCGTTGCCGTCCGCAAGCATCTTGAGCGCAACCGCAAGGACAAGGACTCCAAGTTCCGCCTGATTCTGATCGAGTCCCGTATTCACCGTCTGGCCCGCTACTACAAGACCGTCGGTGTCCTGCCTCCCACCTGGCGCTACGAGGCCGCCACCGCGTCCACCCTCGTCTCCTAAGCATTCCCATGTCGTGGTGCTTGGTGATCGACAGACAGGTCGTGGAAGGAAGGGATTTTGGCTGCTGGTTTTCATCATGCTATCGACCATGATGGAGGACTTCTCTCGGTATGGAGTTTGGGCGGACTGGTAAAAACTTGATATAGCATGACAATGCATTTCACGATGGTTACTTGCGCAGATACTTGAGGAATCCATGGCAGTTCAACCCTTCAACTGGTATTCGAGTGCTGCAGATATGAGATCAAAGTGCATGTGGTATCATTCCGTTCCCTTTATCTTCCACCAGACCGCGACGCCGTGCTCCCAAGCTTATCATGTCGTGGGGCAAAAAGGTCAATTCGTTGCCCGTTTTGTTTCCTGTTCCTCCTATGCTTGCGGACCAGTGCTTTCACCTATCACATCGGGCGGTTGTTAGTGCTTAGGAGGGAAACGAGTAGACGGGACAACGAGTGGTGATAGTGAACTCACCTTATGCGCACAAGCCGTGATCCTTTTCCCAATCATTACAAGTGGGTTGATCAACACGCCCAAGGCCACCGCGGCCAGGCGGTAGGAAAGAAGTATCAGGTGTCATCGCCACGTTTACTGCTCGGCGCCGTTCATCTGCTTGTCCTCGCTGGCAGTGGGGACGGCATCCTCGCCGGCTGGTACGGCTTCGACCTCAGAGCTACGCTTGAGAAGAAATTCGCCGAGCACGCGCAGGGGGTCGCTAGGCCTGTCGCAAAGCGTACCGTCAGCACATCTTTTCGTCTCCAGTCTTTAGACAATGATGACCGGCACAAACCAGGTCCCGACTTACTTCTTGACAGCCAGCATCTTCATGCCGTCGAGCACATGCTGTGTGACCTTTTGGTTCAGGTAGACGCGGGTTGGTGCACCATTTGGGGCCGCTTCAGCAGGCATGGCGGCACGCTCGGTGGGGACAGCAGATGGAGTCCGAGAGCTGCTTCCAGCTTGCTGCTGGTCATCTTTGACGCGCCCAGGCACGTTGGGTGTCGCCGTGCGAGCAGGAGAGCCCACATTACCGGCACCGTCGTAGTTGGTCGTGAGGACAGCAGAGGGCGCCTGGGTGCTGTCGTTCTTTAGGATGCGCGCAAGACTGTTAGCATTGCATTTGAGAACGACAATGCAAGATGGCAGAGACGATGAGGAAGACGATGAGGAAGAGGCAGTAGCAGATAGCATGGGACGCTGAGGATCCATGGTGGGCGAATGATGTCGGTTAACGACAATGATTTTGTGTGTGCGTGTGGTGAGCGTGTCTAGTGCCCAGGTGGTATTGACCTGAGAATCTTGGTGCCAACATAATAGAAAAGAAAGCTGGTTGATGTTTGCACATGCAGCCCAAATTTTGGTCCTGTCATAAAGGAAAGCAGAACAGGAGAGCAGCTTTGCTGTGTGCAAGGAACTATGGAGCTCACAAGATAGGGTGTGCCTGGAGGGGGCTGAGACCGATGGCCAAGGTGACTCGCATGAAAGGTGAAAGCTCACTTACCGGTGGTAATTCTGCTGTCTTTGCCACTTTTTCAGTTTCCTCCTGACCGCTCATGGAAATGTCTTGTCCATTGTCTGCACTGCCAAAGTGGGTTGCTCCCTCGACTGGGAGGTTGCCAGAACTACCTGAGGTGGCAGTAGGATCAAGAGCTGCAGTGTCCGTCATCTAGAAGACAGAATCAGGTGTCGAGTAAGAGGTGGCGTGTTATAGGTGACAGTGTGGTGAAAAAGAGGTGAAAATAGATAACGTCTTTGAGTGTGGCAAGTGTTGAAATTGGAACTTGATGAGGCAGTCGCGACATCCATGGAGTTTAGACGCGCACATTCATTGCCTGCCGAGCCTTTAGTGCTAGGGCGGCAGCCAAAATTATGACAGGGGTTGCCACAGGGACAAGCATCCAGGCGTGCAGGCGTACGCCAGGCTATTAGAGGCGGCTCAGGGTTCTCAATTTGCGGGCTAGCAGGCTAGCTTGATGGCTTGGGCTTGGGCCTGCCTGACACGGTAGAGAGCGCGTCTGCCACAGCAAATGACATCAAAGTGCGTGAATCTGATGGTGTGAAGCTCCTCTTTGTAGTAACGCACCAAGTCCTTCAGGCTGCACACTTTGAACTTGTTCGGCAAACCATACTGGGCCCCCCCCAGGACTCTCTGCAATGCCAGTGCAAATAATCCCTTTCCACAATGGATGCCTTCGTGCGCAGAACTGCGCCGTCGCGGCCGCGAGAACCCCTGGCTGATATTTCAAACGCCGGCGATGCAGCCACGAGCTCTTCTCGGCGACCTTCGAAGAGGCTGAGGGTAGATGACGCTCAAGAAGAGGGATTCAATCAAGAATCTGAAGATGCACACTTTGACGACCTCGACGACAAATCTTCTGAAGCTTCATATGACGAATCGACCGGGTGCCAATCTACGAAGCCACCAGTGAAACGGAGGCAGGAGGTCATACCTGATTCGGAAGATGAGGAGGACGAAGACCAGGAGGATTTGAGATTTCATCACCATGGAACGGCTCTCGAGAGCGCTTTACCGCCAGTCACGACGGATGAGGGGGCTATCGAGGAGTACGAGGCCATGAGAGCCTCTCAAGTGAGCACAGAAGAAAAGGATGGTCAGGCTCTCTCAGACACGGATCGGAGGACATGGGTGCGAGGAAAGAACTCCATCTATGTCGACGCCTTCAATCTTGCATTGGACACTGTGCTGGAGGAAGAATCCCATCTTTATGATAAGAAGGAAATGGTCGTGTTTCAGCAGTGGCGGGACCTCGACTACCAGGCGCAATACCTCTATGTTCGTCTCTTTTTGCGGAAGGCTGCTGCCTGGCACCGTCAGGATCGTTTGGGATACTATAGCGATGTCTCTAATCCAGAGGCTGCCATCATGGCACTGCAGACACCTCGCCGCCTACCAGACAAGACATTGGCAGCTGCTGCGGTTGGCCAAGACGGCGTAGATGCAATCGCTCTGCAGGACTGGTCTCTTGGCGACGCCTTCACCTTTGTGGACCGTTCAGAGGACTCCATTACCTCCGTTGGTGAGGCTGCCTCGCTGCTGAGTCTGGATGAGCTGAAGGGGCTTGCCAAGGAGGCCAAGGTGCAGGGCAAGAACAAGGCTGACATCCTCAAAAGGCTGCTCCGCGTGTCTTCACAACAGAGCGGTCTGTTGGCTGTGGGCTTTAGGCGAGAAAGCACCAGCGGATCTGCCGACTCGCGTGAACGTGATGATGGCAGCGAACCGCAAGATACAGACCGCAGGCTGGACGCAAATCGCAACCAGCACTTTCTTGCCAAGATCCTGGCCATCACAGGGCCCTGCATCCGAATATCACCATCGGTATTCAAGCTCTTTGAGCGTGTCCATCTTGTCTTCTACCGGTCAACAGAATGGACTGAAAAGTCTCTGACAGCCATCATCTTGTCCAAAATCTCAAGATGGAACTTTCCGCCGTACATTGTGGATAGAACAACCAATATCTTCCCGGACAGGCAAGCTCTTTTGGAGTTTGAGCATGCCATGAGGCTGGAGTTCGAGATCGATCAGATCCTCGAATTCAACGGTCCACCTGGCGAGGAAGGCTACCGGCGCGTGTTAGAGATTTTCGGCGGCATAAGCGACCGCTGGCAGAAGCTCTTGGAGGAGGAGCGCCGCAAAGAAGATCAGGTTTACGAGTTTGGCGAGGGAGGATACCTGCGTCGCTTCAACGCCGCCCACGCCTACACCAGGATAGCGCACAAGGCAGCTTATGTTTACAGCCGTCTCCACGAGTATCTGAAGGAACACAGTCTCCTCACTGCATGCCTGTCTCAGCGCCTCTTCCAGATGGCTCGGCGTGGGTCATGGTACCAGCGCAAGGCCCTCCTCGAAGAGCACTACATGTTCGAGGCAGATCCCGACCCCAGGTTCGCAGATCCCGAACAGCAGAAGAAGCACTGGCGCCGCGTAGCTGTCGCAACATGCGAAACGGCGCTTGAAGATCGAGACTGTCACCTCATTTACCACTACGATCTACAGAAGCGCCTCAACAAACTCGAGAAGCGCCTGCGCATCCCCAAACGCCTGCAGCACGATTTCGGTCATGTCCGACTTCAGAAGCCCGAAGAGCACTCTGTGACCGGGATCCAGATCAAACGTGATGATCCGCTAGCGGGCAAGCGTGGCGGGACATCTACCAAGACGGTGTGGGTAGATGATGCTGAGGGCGGCGGCGAGTGTAGTGTCGAAGCCATGTGTCTTTCTCACTATCGCAGTCAGGGCTGGAAAGGCTATCATTCGGAGGGCGGTATCCTACGGACCTTGTTCGCCTATCTCTTCTACGATATCCTCTTTCTCTACATTCCTAATGTGTTCCAGACGGCCTATCAGACCTGCCCGTTAGATTTGCATACTGATGCCTTTTATCCCACGCGAGCAAGTGAGATAAATCACCGCCTCGTTTCAATCGCTAACGGCGATGCACCCCGCATCATTCGCGAGGTGGATGCCGCACATAGGGAACGGAGAACATGCATCATTGGTCTGAATTGGGACTATGAGCTGGAAGACCTTGTGGAGCTTGCCGGCTGTTTCCGCGGTGAGGCGCTCGCCACCATCTGCAAGGTCATGGCGCAAGAATACCGCCAGCGCGGTGGCGGGGTGCCGGACTTGGTGCTCTGGCGAACGGAACCTAAGCCAGAGTGTATGTTTGGCGAGGTCAAGAGCGCAAACGATCGACTTAGCGACACGCAGAGGTTGTGGATTCATGTCCTGACAGGCGCAGGCGTCAGGGTGGCGCTTGTCAATGCTATCGCGGGAGAGGTCAAGATTGTATGATGCAAGGTTGTCGGGCCAACTTAGCTGAATGCATCGCCCTCGTCGCGTTGAAGTAGCTGCAGCCCAGCTGTCATCTTAGTAATGTGATGTCTTGGGTACCACTCTGCTCTGAGAGACTGCTGCCGTTTATTGCTCCGTGCGAAGCTATCGTGGTACAGATCAGTGCTCTAACCAAGGTGCATGCTTAAGCACTTTCTTAGGCAGACTTGGCATATGCCCGTGCTCCGTGGTCACATCGTACGCGAGGCCTACTTCCTATGTAGCAACCAGGTGGGATGAAACAGCTCACTGAAACATTCAAAACCTCCTTCCAACTCCAGGTTTCGTTGCTCAATTGAAAAGAAGAAGTACTTGAAGAATAGAAGCCTCCCCACTTTATTCGACCAGAACTGTTATTATGAATACTTACTCATTGAAGGATAAGTGATCAATCTTATTGACAACCTTTCCCATTGCCCAGGTGGGCTTTGACAATGTTACCCAGCATGAAACTACTCGTCGGTCCTGTGTGCGCCTTCACATTCGCTAGATCAGCCTTCGCGAATGTTGTCGATGCTCATCTTTTGGCTACGGATACCATCTTGCAGTCAGATCTCTGTTTCTCGAGCCCTCTTCTCGCTGAACAGATTTCATCGTCAGAATGGCAGTGCGCACGAAGCAGCACAGCCGGGAACGCAACCAGGCAGGGGTATGAAGAACTGTCTTCGGACAACGACACCTCAGCAGACTTCGGCTGGACAGGTCCCCATGCCTGCGAAGGAGTCTATTGCGTTTACACCAACTCGTTATTCGCAGGCGGCCGCGGAATTGCCATCATAAGCGACGGACACACGGCTAATGCTCTCGCCAATCTGCCCATTTTCATCGACCTGTCCAGTTCTGCAGCAGAATCGCTAGTGAAAACGGCCAAAGTCAACATGCAAAGTCAAAATGTTGAGACACGAGACATCCCTGGCAAAGGCCGCGGGCTCGTCCCCACGCGGCCAATCCATCGTGGCGAGCAGATCTTAGCATACACGCCCGTGCTGGTCATCCACCGGGCCTTTGTGGACGACCTGTCCAGGGAGCAACAGCTGCGTCTACTGCGCGACGCAATTCACCGTCTACCCACGGCCACGCGCACGGTCTTCTGGAAGCAGCTGGGCCAGACGCACGAGGTTGGCGACGACGACATTCTGGATATTGTGATGAACAACTCATTCAACCTCCCTCTCCAGCTCCCCGGAGAGACAAACAGCGCGAGCTTTATTGGGAACTTTCCAGAGGTGTCCATGTACAACCACGACTGCCGACCGAACGTGGCGTTCCACCTCGAGAGTGGCCTCATCCATCGCACGCATGCCGTACGAAAGTCTGTGCCCATCCAGCCAGGAGAAGAGCTATCAATTTCGTACGTGGATTCTTTCCGAGCCAGGGATGTGAGGAGGGCAAGGACCAAGCAGAACTGGGGTTTCGAGTGTACCTGCGCACAGTGTATGCTGCCCTCGGCGCTGGTGAACGCGAGTGATCACCGGCTGTGGAGGATCTACGAGGTCGAAACCGCGCTGAGGTTAGACATGACAGTCGAGACTGTCGACCACCAAAAGAGCAGCGATCAAAGTATGGGTGATCTGGATGCGGTGGAACTGTTGATCTCTCTGTATGAACAGGAACGCCTGCTTGAGTCTCACGGATCTTCGACTTATCAGGTCGCGGCGCTATATTATAACGCGCACGGCAGGAGGGAGCTGGCGATCAAGTATGCACTTCTGGCGCTGGAGGCAGGTATTGTGGAGGACGGGGCACGGTCTCGGAATGTAGAAGAGCTAGTGTCTTTGCTGGAGAACCCTGAGAGCCATTGGAGCTGGGGAAGAAGAGTGTAGAAAGCCGTGTTTCTCAGACTTCCCTGTCGGCCATCCTAGTGAGATTAGAGAATTCACAAGCTAATTACTTCTGTACTTCAAGCAGCGAATAGTTCATTAGGGCCCTATGTAGCAGGGTAACGAATAGATACCAAACGAGTGACAAGCCTAGGCCTGAAGAAGCTACGCATGACTGGGCAGGCAATGACCTGTAGATTTTGCATGAGTATATGTGGAGTATCTCAACGAGAGAGCCTCTGATGGCCATACATCCTGCCCGGGGACACAGGAGCGCATGACGGCAATGTCCCAGAGTCTCCAGAGCGTCTAGTGCCAGCCAGTCGTTGTGTATCAACCCTTCAGACTGGATCAGCTGAGGAGCAGAGGGTCCGTCGGAAGTGGAGTGCGAAGAAAGCAGGTGTTCCAACTGCAGCTCGCTGGGAGACATTCTCAAAACGAGTGGATGGCAGAGGTGGCTCTAAAGATGGTTTTCCACTGTAGTAGTTAACATATTCAGGTAGTCAGGTATACAACACTGTGATAGCTTGCTACATGACCCGTTAATGCCAGCGCATGCACGCCCTGCCACAACTGGTATCGGCCTGGCATGCAGCACAGCGTGGCTTGTTAGGCTTTCCAGAGCATTGCCACCATTAGTGCTTACTGTTCACTCTTGTATCTCAAAACATCAAATCTTAGCTTGCACTGTAATGGCTATCTACCTCTTCTGTGCTCTGCGTAAGCTCTGAAATTGAGCCTTCCATGTTCGACGGCCTATGTGATCCGTTCATTCAATCGGAAAGTTTACCTTTCGAGCTTGGTGGTAATACGTACAAGAATCAACACAATGGACCCAGCAACAGCTTTTGGTCTGGCATCATCAATCGTTCAATTCGTCACCTTCGCGGCCTCCCTCTTGAAACAGACATTCAACATCCACGGCTCGATCGACGGACATTCAGGATGGGCATCAGCACTCGATGATAACTACAAAACCTTGATCGACTTCAGCGTGAGACTCGAAGGCCATTTGCATGATGGCGGGCAGGCGATTCACCCTACCCAACGCGATATACAACATGATTTGGCCGCTCTTACAGACCTATCGATCAAATGCAAAGTGCATTGCCGGGTGTTGTTGGATATTTTGCAAGAATTGAAGGTTGGACCTGGCCCGTGGAAGGGAGTTCGAAGCCTCAAAGCCGCCATCAAGACTTTGTGCAAAACAGGTCAAATTACGGACATTGAGAGTCAGCTGGAATCCATCCAGATGCAGATGACTCTTCACCTTTGTCACATCTCCAAGTAAGTATCCGGAGACGACGAAGCATATGGTTCAGATGGTAATGACGAGACCCCGCGCAGCCATTACCATGGACGGCACGAAACCACGCTTGCTCATGTCCTCAAGCAAACTGAAAGACTCGAAACTAGCCACACTGAGAAATTAGACCAGATCAAAAGCACGTTAGACAACATTCAAACGGTACTCAGTGAACACGGCCGTGGCAATTCTCTGGCAAGTCCAGAAGTCGAGAATCTCCACAGAATGTTTTCAGGCCTGTCTATTACGCAAAAAGATATGTCTAGGGACTTGGCCTTCTTGCAAAGCTTAACGTTCGATCAACACGTGGATAGATATCGTTCGATTTTAGGAGCTCACAAAGACACATTGAGATGGGTTGTGAAAGCTGAAAGCAAAGGACAACAGCTTCTGACTTGGTTTCGTGAAGGTCAAGGCGTATTTTGGGTCACTGGCAGTAGGCACTCCTCACTTTTCCATCAACACCACGTTACAACCTCTTCATGTTATGCCTGGAGGCTGAGTAGTTCGCTCTCTTCAAAAATACCGTAATTAGGAGCAGTCCTTGGCACCAACCCACCCGGAAGCTTATACTTTCACTTGCTAACTTATAAATTACCAAGAACCGGGATCTGGCAAGTCCACTCTGATGAAGTTCATCGTCGACAATCCGCGAACAATGAAACTGTTGAAGCAATGGGCTGGCCCTTCCCACCAAATTGTCATCGCCAGTCACTACTTCTGGTATGCAGGCACTCCTATGCAAAAGTCCCACGAGGGATTGCTCAGAGTGCTGCTCTACGGTATATTCAAACAATGTCCGAATTTGATCCAGGAGATATGCCGATCGCGATGGGATCAAGCTGAGGCAGCAACAGTCTGGTCTCTGGAAGAACTTCAAGGCGTTGTTCAGTCTCTTGCCAGCCATCCACCAGCTCATTTGAAGTTCTGCCTCTTTATCGATGGCCTGGACGAGTACGCGGGTGACCACGAGGAGATTGCCAAAATCTTGAATGACTTGGCTGCATCATCACGCAGTATCAAACTCTGCATCTCGAGTCGGCCATGGAATGAATTCAACATGACGTTCGGACGAAGCACTGAAAGACTTGTTTTACACGAGCTAACTGAGAACGACATTAGAGCATATACGACAAGCCGGCTCTCCAACCATCAAATGTGGAATGTCGTTTCGGCACGGAACCCACAGACGAAGAGTCTCATACAATTGATCGTTGAAAGGGCAGAAGGTGTTTTCCTCTGGGTTTTCCTCGTCACCAACCTTCTTCGCAATGGCCTCAGCAATCATGACAGCATTACAGACCTATATCGGCGGGTCGAGAGCTTTCCACCGGATCTCGAAAGGTTCTTCACACAAACCTTAGAGAGCGTTGATCCTTTCTACCACAAAAAAATGTCGGCTGCGTTAAATATGGCGTTACATGCGCCGGAACCTCAAAATCTCTCTGTGTACGCCTTTCTCGAACAGGAATGCGAAGATCCAAGTTACGCACTCAGTTCTTCCCCTCCAGTCGAGAAAGACGTTCATCAGCAGCATGAGGACATGAAATATCGTCTCAATGGGTGGTGCAAAGGTCTACTCGAAGTTCATGGAGAGAACGTGCATGTGTTGCACCAAACTGTTGCGGACTTTTTCAAAACGGCAAAAATGACACGTTTTCTCGATGACAAGATTCCTTCCGGATTTTCCGTCCGGCTGTCTTTGGTGAAGGCATGTTTGGCCTTGGTCAAGACTGGTGTGTTCCAGAAAGTATACACGCCGAAGCCTGGGGGGAGTTTGAAACTTCCCACCATTCTTGGACCTCGACCCTCTTACTTGCCACACATGATGGAGAACATGCTTAGCGTGGCCTCCGATCTCGATAACACGGACTACTTGGACCCGGCGGTACATGACGCTATGTGCAAACACTTGGACGATTTTGAAGCGACTATCCAAGATAGACACAAGAAGGGTATGATCAAGTTCAAAGGTGGTGGCCAAGACATAAGCCTGCGAGTATACTACCGCCGCATGCTTGTCCAACAAGGCCACATGCCTAATTATCTGATCAAGAAACTGCGACGTGAGCCAGATTACCTTCAAGGTCTGCTAGAGCCCGCAATCGCGATCCTGCTGCGTAAGCTCTTCAATGGACACAATGCGAGAAACGATTTCAACCGTGCACAGGTCTGCAGGCAGTACAAAGCAACTATTCGATGCCTACTGGAGAACGGTTACAACCCCAACGAAGTGTATTACGCACAAAATCAGACTTATTCTCACCACCGCGACACCTTTGATTACGTACATAATCAGGAGGTCTATCAGCGGACACCTTTCACGAGTTTGTCCTGGTACTCAACCGGGAGCAATGAGCTCTCCAAAATTGGCGTAAAATTGTCTCAGCATACAACTTCAATCATGCACATGGGGCTATTTTCCCTGTTTCTGGAATTCGGCGCGACACCTATGGCACCCCTGGACGGCAGTGAAAGATTGAAAACCGACATGTTTTCGACTGTGTGGGGCAATTTCCTCCTCCTAGCCTTCGAAATCCCGTGGGACTCGGACGATCAGGAAGCATACCTCAAGGAATTAGATGCTTTCCTCCACTGCCCTGGTTCACTCCTGCAAATGAGATTATTTTACCAAACAAGTCAGCCCAGCAGGATGGTAGTGGGGAAAAGTCTCAAGGTGCACGAAGTCTTCTTCAACAGGCTGCGAGCGAGTTCTTCGGTTATTTCAACTCGTCCTGTAAGAAGTATGTTCTTGGGTAAAGTGTGTCAGAGGCTTTGCCAGCGGATGTACGATGAAGGGATCGAGATCCAACAGTCCGTCAAGGTCATCGACGAGCTTTTCCCTCCAGTCGCGCGCGACCACATCCATCAGCAGGTGGAAAATTACATTGCCCTCTCACGGGGAAAGAGACGTGAAAAAAAACGTAAAAAGGAGCTTCAGCACGGGGAAGACGTAGATGAAGGTGAAAGCTCCAAGAAACGAAGAGTCGAAATGGATCGATAGCATCTCGGATCAGGGGATGCCGGAAGACAACACAATTGGAGTCAGGGATGATTTGATCATGGAACAGCACAGCCTATTTGTTTCTTTACTACTTGTTGTCTTATCCTCTTCTACTTTCCCTGCTAGGAATCAATAATGATCTGAGAACTCAATTAAGATGGTGAAATCAACTTCAACGTAATACGTTGATACTGGTAATAGTATGTATATATCTCGCCCCATTCAAGGATAGAATTTATGATGCGTTGTTCCAGCAGTGTTTCCTGACCCACTTGATCGTTAATGGCGGAGACAAATCGCTTCTGATGCTGTCAAGTGAGGGTCACTTCGTCGAGCCGTTCATCATCGGCCAAGTTTGCCTAGCACCTAATATATGATTGACTTCACCTACGACCCTAACCCTGAGACTGCCTCATCTGAGAAGTCCACATCCAACTAAACGAAATTCCAGGCAACGACCACCTCTGTGAGTTGCTTCAACTATTCTTCCCCGTCAAGCCCCTGGCATTACACCATCATTTTCGTACGCTAGCAACTTCGTGACTATCTCGCGCTTTCCTTGAATGGAGTACCATTGTTCCCTAACGTCCAACCCTCGACATCCACCTTCCTCGTTCCTCGGCCCGCTTCCGGGTCTGCCGCCCCACCTGTCGTCCTCCATCTGGTCGTCTTGGGGAGTCCGATACTTGTGGAATGAAAAATGACGATGACCAATCGACCACATGAGCCATACATTCCGATCGGGTGTCTACGCTATCCTCTGGAACAGCGTGATGAGTTATCGCGGCAGTTTGAGGAGCTGTCCAGCGACAGGTGGGCTCGCCTGGAGCCTCTCGTCTGCAGTGACGACGTAACATACGGCGTGACCCGAGTGTACCTTCTGGCCGACGACGCTGAGAATGGCCGGATCAGTCGCTCCAATCAAGCCTTGAGACGCAAGAAGCTAGACCTACTCGCCAGGCTCGACTTCTCCCCGGCCACATGGAAGGGCCTCTCCTCGCACGATGAGACGAGCCTCTACCCACCGTTCGCCCCTCGTGCGCAGGCGGAAGCCGCCAGCGTGGAAGGCGACATGTCCCTTCTCAAGATGTTCAACACGATCCCCTCGCCTCGGCCAGACGTCCAGTCGATACAGGATGACCTTGCCCGAGCTGTCATGTCCGATCTCCTGGCCAGCACTGTGGATGGCCTTCTCACTGAAATGTATCCCTATCAGTGTCGTTCAGCCGCATTGATGCATCAGAGAGAGGTTGAGCCTGGTCAGACTCTTGACCCTCGACTTGTTGAGGTTCTGGATCAGCATGATACATCGTTCTACTACAACGCCGTCACTGGTGATGTTCTCAGGGAGCCCAAGTACTATGAAGCGGTTCGTGGTGGTATCCTGGCCGAGCAGATGGGCGCTGGAAAAACACTGATCTGTCTGGCTCTCATTGTCGCGACGAGAAACCAGCCCGCGGCTGTACCTGACCTCTACCAGGGAAACAATATCACCACCCGCCCTCGAGTAGGTTCATTGCTAGATATGGCGGCTGCGGTAGCCACCAAGCATGCCTGTCCGTGGAAGAGCTACATTGATCAACGGCAGACGAACTGCATCAGAGCGATTATGAGGAACCCCGGTTGGTACTATCTACCACGGCCAGAGTCGAGAAGGGTGTCTCGGGAACCCAAGAAGAACGCGGAGCCTTTCAAGATTTACCTGAGCCATGCTACTCTCATTATTGTCCCAACAAACCTCCTCGAGCAGTGGGTACAGGAGATCTCCAAGCACACGCGAGGTCTCGATGTTTGCATCATGAAAACGAAGTCCATGCCAAGCATCCCCAGCGTTGAAGCTCTCCGTCGCTGCGACATCCTTCTCTTCTCGGTGCAGTGTTTTCAGAAGGTGTGGGAGGTTTCCCGGCGTCCAGAGCTAGATGGATCGTGGACTTTCGATTGTTCGCTTGGCCTCGTCCATTTCAAGCGCTGTATCGTTGATGAGGGCCACATGTTCGGGAATGTCAAGCTCGGCGGCTCAAAGACGGGTCTGCTCCAAGCTCTTGATTCTCTGAATATCAGCTCTCGCTGGATTGTGACAGGTACCCCGTCAAAGGGCCTGTTTGGGATGGAAGAGGGGACTGGCAGCGATACGAGGCTCTCGGCGTCGTCGGCCAAACAGGAGCGAAGAGATATTGAACGAATCGGATCGATCGCCACGTTCTACCTAAAGGCTCGGCCATGGTCCAACGCGCCTCACGAACACGGGGATACGCCTGCTAGGTGGGATGCCTACATGATGCCGGTCAAGTCAGCCTCCACCAGCAGTGTGTCGAGGATCTGCCTTCGATCCACCTTCAACTCCTTGATCATCCGACATCAGCTTTCCGAGGTCGTTCATATACTGCCGGACGTCGACGCCAGAATCGTGAAGTTGGAAGGGTCTTATCAGGACAAGCTATCTGTCAACCTCTTCTCCATGATGATCATCTTCAATGCCGTCCAGTCCCAGCGAACCGATCAGGATTACTTTTTTCACGCGCAGAATCGCAAGAGTCTGCTCCAGTTGGTGCACAACCTGCGCCAAGCCAGCTTTTTTGGAGGCTCGTTTTTCTCCGTGGAAGAAATAAAAAAGGCTCTGCAGACGGCCAAAGAATTCCTTGACAAGGAAGATGTAATGGTCAGCGAGGCCGATCGGGAGTTGCTGCGGGCAGCGATCGACTTTGGCACGATTGCTGCCGAGAACAAAATCAAACACGTTGCCAACCTTTTCCATGAGATGCCCATCTATGTTCGTGGGTTCCCTGGATCGAATGGGTCTGCGTGGTCGATGGATGGAAATGGCCATGCGGACCTGGTCTGCACCAATTGGAAGCTTATGATCACAGCACAGAAGCTTCTGCGCCCCTTTTTCGACTCCTCAGAGGAACTAAACACATATCTGAACAGCGGCTTATTCGTGTCAAGAGGAAATGTCGAACGCGAGCAAGAGATGCGGCAGGCACAGCCAGCGGGCAAGAGTAAGGTGGACACCACCCTCGCCGGTAACACGAAGCTGGGCGAGGATCACATCGGTCCTCGAAAGCGTCACTCGGTGTCTGTCAAGACCAAGATCGCAGACGACGGCATCCCGACACCCTCACAAACGCCAGAAGCAATTGAGATCGCTGCGCCGCTGGCACGAACCCGACTGGTCTCAACCACTTCCGCCAAGCTCTCTTACCTGGTCGACGCAATCATTGCGCACCAAAAGGAGGAACAGATGATCGTGTTTTACGAGAACGACAACGTGGCATGGTACCTGGCCGGCATCCTCGAGATGTTGCAGGTCCATCACCTTATCTATGCCAAAGGCATCACGGCGGAGAGACGCGCACAGTATGTGTCTACATTCAACCACAGCACCAAATTTCGTGTGCTTCTCATGGACATTTCTCAGGCCGCATTTGGCCTTGATATGCGCTCCGCCAGCCGTGTGTATTTTATCAGCCCCGTGCTGAATCCCCAGGTCGAGGCGCAGGCTATCGGGCGTGCTCGTCGCATCAGCCAGCAGAAGCGTGTCACGGTCGAGACGCTTGTGTTGCGGGACAGCCTAGAGGAGGTGATTGTCGAGCGCAAGGGAAACATGACGCAGGCTGAGCACAGAAACCTGAAGACTATTCTGGACGATCGGCCGATCTATGAGTGGATTCTGAATGCCAAAATCTATCCCCTACCGGATGTTCTTGTGGAAGACGGCCCGGCGCAGATGGCGCCACTGAAGACTCCGCAGTACATTTTTGGTCGAGAGTTTGGACGAGAGCAGTCGAATCCGGACGAAGACATCCTGCTCGAGGATCCGTCCGCGGCCACTTCGGCAGCAGCGGAAAACGACACTGAAGGCGTGGAAATGAGCACTATGTGGACTCATACGAGGGTGAAGTCAAAATTCGGTCTTGTGCCAAGGGTACGCCTTCAGTCCCCCAGGAGCAGGACGAACTCACCTGTGCCGAGTCCACAGCTGCAACCTGGGAAGAGGGCTCGCTTTGCAGCGGATGAGATTGGAGAATCCTCAAGTGCCGGCGCCACTCCCACTCATCAACGTGAACCTCCTGCGCCGCCGGAGCAGCGTATTGTCAAACGAGCTCGGTTCGCAGAGAACGACAGTGTTTGATGAGTATCGAAAAATCAAATAGTGATCTGTTCACTGGAGTATGGAGTAGCTCGTCTGTCAAAGGAGCGCCGCCCATCAACAGCGCCAGCCTCTGTGAGGCCGAGTTGTCTTTACGACCCAGGGTTCGCCTTGCTGATGAGACTGGAGCGATGTGGTGGTGCATTTGCCTTGCCTGGGCTATTATTGCTTGTCGACTTGGGCATCAACAAGGTCAAGACCGACCACGTTCTTCAATCTCATCCTGCAATGGAGCGCATGAGTTCGTGACGCAACGACAGTGTGGTCTCGAGAACCTGCGCGGTACGTGACGATAAGGGGAAAATCATATTGGAGGGGAGGAACATAAGCCTTCACCTGCGAGAGAGCAGGTCGAGAAATTGGGTGCGTCAGAAAGTGCCACCCTCCATTCTTGGTAATTTTCCAAGAACAAAAAGCTCATCCGAGGTGTTTCCTCTTTCTATGACGGTATCAAAGGTCGCGCGTTAAATTCCACGGCATTCGACAACAGCATTTTCGTGCCCTGCAGTGTGGCTTACACTAGAGTCCTCGGCAGGAAACATATCGGCTTTGTTGGCGCGCGCCAAGAATTGACTGGCCCCAAGAGGATCGACCAGGAGAGAAACAAGCCTCTGAGGCCTATCGGCCCGCGGCTGCGTGAATCTTAGGCCCCAGTAGCAACCTCACCAGGTCTTTCTTCTCATGGTGTGGCACGACTTTCTTGGCATCTGAGGTGTCTATTCATGCAGCTTGTGTCTTGGAATCCTGCATCGAAGCGGACACAAAACACAGGCGGCTGGTTCAGGTGCTATCTTGTCTCTCAGAATTTTAGCCTTCGGTTTTCCGGCGGTTGTCCGAGATGTATTTCCAGACTCCCTTATCGTGGTCTAGTTTGGAAAAGGGAGTCCGGTGTTGAGGAGCCAGACATAGAGAGCCAAAAATGGTATGGTAGACGAGATGTTGGCGGGAATAAGCGCAGTATTCTGAAAGAAGAGCCGAGGAGTCTCATACTGGCCAATCGAAGACCCTTGTCTTACCCCGGCGACGCATCCCTGAGACGTCTCACAGGTGTCGCGCAGAGCCTCAAAACCTAAAACTCATCACCCCTTGCCTCTCTCTTTTTTTGTGTTTGTCCTTTCCACCCTACCGCCCCCAAAACACAAGAATCAATTGCTTGCCCACCTTTGATGTTGCATATTGATTCATCTTATTGAGACGTTCTTTTTCTTCTTCCCCCCCCCTAATGTCTCAAGCGGCATAGGCCATTAAACGCTGAGGACGGGCGCGCTTAAGCTTGGTTGATTCAGCTTTGCCAGCTCTGGGTGAGGGCGCAGCCCCTGCTTTCATATTGCAGGGGTCCCTTGACTCCTTGTCCGTGATCAAGGGCTTGACACCTCGCCTCCCCCCATGACCAGCGCAAGGGCACAATGAAACTACTGACTGAGGGAAGGGGGCTTAGATGCTCGGGACGTCGCCGAACGAGATCTGCGCTCTTATTGCCTCTCTCGGCGCTGGTGGAATGAAGCTTACACTGAGCGTTAATAGCCAGACCGGGCGGAGGGGCAAGGGTACAGAAGGAGGAGAGGGGGCCCAAGCATAGTCATCAGCCACAACGCGACCAGATGCATTGTGTACTGGTGTCCCGTCTTGAAACCATCAAGACATCATCCTTTTTTGTCCAGACGAACATTGACATGCCTTCGCCATCATCGGAACTTGGGGCCATCTAGGCTGAACTCCGCCGACTTGGGTCCAGTCTGTGCCCAGGTGAGTGACAGGACGATGTTTCCTTCTGTCAGCGAACACATGGTAATCTTGGTATCTGTATGATGGAATACATGTTGCCCAGCACACATCCCTCGCGCCACGGGAGTTTTTTTTTCTCCAAGATCTGGGGGATCTTCAGTGATCCACGATGATCTCCAAAACCCGATTCTCGGTGATCAACTACATGGGCAATCACCGGACAAGGGTGCTTCCAATGCTTAATCTTTTCTTACCATGATCAAAAAAAAAAAAAAAAAATTTCCTCCTCAAGCCTCCACTCGATCGCGTCGTGGTCTTGGCACTGCATCCTCGTTTCGACAGTCGCTGGGCTTTAGTGTCGCAGTTTCACGCTTCTCCTGTTGTGTCTACAAAAAAAAAAAGGGGAGGGGGGTGGTTTGGGCAACAGACGAGGTCGTCGTCACGGTTGCGCTACTCGTTGGAAGCAGCCCTTTCTCCTTTTTGTCCTGCAGAAACCGTTTCGTCTGGTCGTCTACTTCGTCACAACTTCCTTCATGGGGTGACACTAAACAAGAGAGAGAGAGACGCACTCCAAGGTTCGTGCGTCGGTAGCGATGTCTTGTGCTCCCTAGTCAGGGGCCCCACTTTGATCCTCATCAGGGCCTGTGTGTCGCCAACCTCTCCCCACCTTGGGTGCAAGTCCGTCATGGGCAGCGTCCTGGGGGGTTGTCTTTTGTGTTTGACTACCCTGTCGTCAGTTTCCGCGCGGGAAGGGGGTTGAAGTTGTCACCAAGTTCTGCAAGCATGGCGGTTGGCCGCGATGTGGTTTGAGGCTGAAAGGGGGTCAAGGGGAAAGGGGAAGGTTGGTAATGGTGCTTGAAGGCATGGTCCATTATCACTACTGAGAGCATCACTGGTCACCAAGTATAAAGGAACAGTGACACGCCCGTCTTTCTTCAGCTTCTCGATCCCATCATCATCATCATCATCAACAACAACAACATCTTTCCTCATCAACCATCTCCTCTTTACTTCTTTCTTTCTACCCTCAAGGCTGTGCCTTTTCGATTCTATTACAACCTTTTTCGGTTCTCTTTATCATTTCCATCTAAACATATTATCTTCACTTTCCCTCCAATCAAACCCATAAAAAACCCCACATCAGTCAAAATGTTTGCCAAGCTTCTCCTCGTCGCCCTTGCCACCTCCCCTCTGGTCTCTGCCCACGGCAAGGTCGCCGCGGTTGTAGGCGACCAGGGTGGAAATACAACCGCTCTGGGCATTCAGGGCGGTGTCGTCCCCGGCTCGGGCCCCAACTCCAAGACTGAGGTGGACACGACCACCTTCAACGGCAAGAGCCTGAAGACCGACTCGCTGGGCGAGACAACAGACACCGGCAAGCTCAAGACGGACGATCTGGCCCAGGCGATGGAGCTGTCGGGCTCTACGCTGCCGCAGGTGGCCAGCACCATCAACGCCACCTTCCACGTCGTCACCTCGGACGGCTGCGGGCCCATCAAGGCCGTCATCGACCCCACAGGCACGGGCGCCTACTCGCAGGGCACGGAGCTCAGCACCCTGGCCGACGTCCCGGGCGACGATGGCGAGTGCCCCAAGAGCATCACCAAGAAGTCGTACATCCGCAGCCTGCTCGAGAACTCTGGCGTCATCAGCAAGCGGGCCAGCAACGTCAACCAGGACTTCAACGTTGCCTTCTCCGTCCCCGCCGGCACCACCTGCACGGGCACCATCAACGGCCAGTCCAACGTCTGCCTCGTCAAGCTGGCCAACAACAACAAGAACGGTCCCTTTGGCGGCAACGTTGCCATCCAGATGACCACTGCCGCTGCTGCCACCAACACCACTGCCAAGCGTGGCTCCGTTGCCCAGCCTTTCTCTGCTTAAAGAAACCCCAAGAGTTTTGTTTCTCAGACAAACAAGATTGGGGACGAAACCCGTCTCACCCTTTTGGGGGTTGAGATGAGCCGAGAGGAATACCGAAGAGGTGGGGGTAGAGAACGCATGGGACGAAGGGACAGGGTATGAACGACCGGGTCGATTCTCCTCTCTCTCGGTGCGATCTTGACTGATCGTTATCGTTTGGGCTGGGTCCTGGAGGTTGATTTAGTATTCTCAACAAGGGGAGAGACAAGTCGGACGCAGAGCTTGTACATACGACAGGATGGCCTCGTCTGTATGACATGTACACTCAACACGGATGCATAAACAACTCGTGTTGAGACCATAAAATACCACTTTACGAATTTTAAACGTTTTAAACCAATCTGTCTCGATCTTTTTATTTTGTGTGGTGCAGTGCCTCTCTTCCTCCCTTTCTTATATGCTCATCAAGTTCCAGTGCAGGCGACAAATTTGGACACAAGATGAATTTTCAAACGTCTTGGGAGAGGGAGATGAGATGGTCTGGTATTCAGCCCTTCACACCAGGCCATGAGTGCTTTGGTGTTTGAACGCTATGCTATTGTCTTAAGTGTTGTATCTTTATCTCAGCAGCTTCATCCTCTCTATAGATCTCTAGCGCAAATTGCACTCCACATCTCAGTGCTGCAGCACGATCGGTTTCCCCTCCTCCCAATTCCGCACACTTTCCCTGATGTTCTCCCAGTACCTCAACCTGACCGTTTCTCGCACTGCGGCCTGCACGTCCTCGGCAGCAAAGGCACGCACCAGCTCCGCCAGACACGTCTTGATCCTCTCTTCATTCTCGACGCGCACGCCTTCCAAATCCTTCTCGCTCGCTGCTTCCTCGATCGTCTCCCGCGCGTATAGCACCTCAGTCAACAGGTCCGGGTCCGGCGGGCCCGTGAGCGAGGAGGCCTCGTCGCCAGCGAGGTCGATGCCATAACGCTCAGAGAGGATGTACTGCGCCCGCAGCAGGGGCGAGGAGAGGGTCTTGTACGCGGTGTTGATATGGCTGGACAGGGCCTCAGCCTTGCGCCGCGTGGCCGAGTGCGTTGTCGAAGGGGGGTCCGCGTCTGCCGAGGCGGAGGCGGCGTGGTGGAAGTCGGGGTGGGAGGCGGCTTGGAGCTGTAAGAACTCGCGGCGTAGGGCGCGCACATCAATCTCGAAGGGCCCTGTTGGCGGCGGTCCATCAGGCAGCGTCTGTGGGAAGAGGGAATAGAAGGGAAGTGGCTTATGGCTGATCTTGGGCTGTGAGGTCTCCTCCTTAATTTGAGAGGCACTGTCGTCCTGCTTTGCGCGCAGCGGCGCCGAGGCGGACGACCATCGTCGAGAGAAGGCGATATTCGAAGGAACCTGTAATATAGGGGGAGGAGAAAGGTCTGTCCTAGTCGAGTATGTTCTCGCGAAGAGCGTGGTTGCTGTTGTTGTAAACGTGGCAAGTCTCTTGCGCGCGCACGCAGCACAAAGCCCAGAGAGCCCGCGACTCTTAGACGCGACGAGAGAAGCTCGCATGACAAAGACGTACTAGGAGAGTTGGCACCTTACTTCTCTGAGGTGAAACACGTCTCTATGCGAGTGCGTGAACAGAGACCAGTACAGGAGTGTGGTCGTTTGCGCAGGTGGTCTATGTAAGGCACTTCGGGACGAGATAATTTGTGACGACTTTTGGAGAAATATTTTGAGACCCGAGCCCGGAGGGTCATGACGTACTAGTATGATTGCTTTAGTGGGCGTTTGCGTAGCACTACGGCGCAGTGGACAACGGCAAGTCCCGCCGTGCGGCCCCCACCCCCTGCCGTTTTAGAGGTCGCGGTTGCTGAGGCAAGCACCTCCGGCCCCATTCTCCTTCCCTCACATGTACTATGTAGAAGCATAAGCAAGTACACTGTAGAAATTAATCATAAAATCCGTTCCCTCGAGCTACCTGCCTTGGAACTCTTCATCTCTTCATGCTTTGGTTCTCACCCTCATCACGTTCTTTGAATCATGTGCATAGAGTGCCGATGATGACCAAGCCAATGAACTAATATCATCAACTATGTGAGATGGACACTGTATTTTCTATGATTATTATGCATATATATACCCTTGGGCACATTTGCCTGTGATGACCCACTAATTACACACTGACATAGAGTAGGACACCTCCCTCCTCACTCCATACCGACCACCCTGCCAGCCTCGTCCACCTCAATCGTCACCTTCCTAGTGCTCTCCTTGCGGGGGTTCTCGGCCTCGAAGATGCCTCCCAGCTCCTCCAGCGTCTTGCCCGCAGTTTCCACGAAGAAGAAGTAGATGACTACCATCTCGAGGGCGATCCACACGCAATAGATGATGTACAGCTTCCACGCGATGGCCTCGATGCCGACGCTGATGCCGTACGTGTTGACCACCATGGCGATGTTCAGGAAGAGGAAATTCAACCCGGAACCCTTCGCCCTGGTCCTGTTCTCGAGGCACTCCACGGCGTACAGCGTCTGCAGCGGCGTGAAGCCCCAGGCGAAGCAGATACCGAAGCAGTAGATGGCCACGATGACGCCGTACCCAAGGTTCGAGTTGATGCCCGTGTTGGCCGTGAAAGCAGTCAGGAGGATGTAGAAGAACAGACTACCCGTCAGACCCGCAAGCATCATCTTTCGGCGGCCCAGCTTGTCTAGCAAGCTAGCACCGTACACAGCGCCCAGCATAGAGAAAATGGGGTTGATGGCGTTGAGCAACAGTTGGGTGTTGGTGTCGGTGATACCCGCCGCAGCAAACATCTCAGGCATGAAGTAGCTCACCACGTTGTTGCCGGACCACTGTCCAATGAAGGACATGCCGATGACCATGGCGAGCCTGTATCGCGCCGCCCGCGTGTGCACCAGCTCACGAAAGTCCCACCACGGGTTTTCATCACGCGTGAGGCGGTTCTCTTCCACAATCTCGCGGTACTGTAGCTGGGGCAGCGCTGAATTGGGATCGCCGTCACCATGGTATTGTGCCAGCACCGCGAGGGCCTCTTCGGGTCGGTCGTGGGCGATCAGCCACCGCGGCGTCTCGGGGAAAAAGAGGATCAGGCACATCACCACGCCGGGGAGACCCGCTTGCACGATGGTCGGCACGCGCCAGGCCCATGAGCTTTCGAGGTGCAGATTCGTCCCGTACGTCGTCCAGCCTGCGAGAATATTCCCCACCCACCAGAAGTTGTTGTACATGCCCGCCATGAACCCGCGATAGGCTGGGTGCGCCAGCTCGACAGTGTATGCCGGGCCCGCCGCTGAGGCAATGCTGGCCCCGAAGCCCAGCACGAAGCGCCCCCCAACGAACTGGTCCAGGTGGTGCGCAGAGGCCTGGATGGCGGTGCCCACGAGTACGAGGAGGCAGCCGATGAAGATGCACATTCGACGACCGTATCCGTCGGCGATCAGGCCACAGAAAGGAAATGCGGCGATCTGCCCAAGGTTGTACACGATGAAAACGATGCCGGTGGAGGAGCCCGCGCCGTCGAGACCCATGTCGTGTTGGTAGGGCTTCATGGCATTAATGGCCGACATGAGAGAGCTGTCTGGAAATGGAGCACAACAAAGAGTATCCGTCAGCAAACCGTGAGCTCCTTCATCCTACTGCTGGGTTTCCTGGAACCAATTGGGAGGAAGGGAGGGTTTCAATTTACCAAATCCGTTCATCGTGGAGACGAGATAGCCGACGGACATGATCATGTACAGCTTGAGCATGTTTGGACTCCATAACTTTGGTTTCTGCGCGGCAATGGCAGCAGTGAGGGCCACAGAGTTGGTATTGACCTCCGTCACATGGCCAATAAGCTTCTCGTCGCCCACGGCCACCACCTCGAAGACATCGGCATCTTCCTTAGGATAAGTCGCCATGGTGTTTGTTGATCAACAATACTGAACGATGCTGTTGATCTCGAGGGCAAAAGCTACCTTCTCCTGCAAAAGCACGAGCAGATTCAAACCATTCTTCCCAATAACGACCGTCCAGGGTGCACGCAAGATGATCACCATACCCCCCGCTTTTATATATCAAAGTGTATTGCTATTTTGATGGTATAGACGGTTAAACACAAAGCTGCATTACGACGACGGCATTTCCCGCTGCCCAAATCAAGTGTCCGTTCCTTGCCAACCTCCTCATCCTCCTACCATATTATCGCAGGACACCAAATGGCAGGGTGTCTGATAGGTCGGCCTTGCCGCCTGAATGCACCTCGCCAATGCCAAGGAAGCACTCAGATACGACTCAACAGAACCTTCACGTCGAAAATGGTCAAGATCAAAAGGAGTATCGTGCCGCTGCAAGATGCAAAATCTCCGAGTTGGGAGGTCTAAGCCGGCGAGTCTAGCCCACCTACGGTTTCTCAAAAGCCGCGCAATCAAGTGACCTGTGCTCTCCCCAGCGAGTCAGCCCCCTCTGCGGAGGTGATTGGACGTGCTCAAGGGGCCATAGGGTGAAAAGAGGACGTGTGGGGGGAAGGATCTGGGGAAAGGAAGAATAGCCTCGGCCGGGCCCCAAACTTCCCCAGACTTGGCCCTCCCCCGCCCAAAGGACGTAAGTTGGTGACCCAAAGATCCGGCACCATGATAGCGGGTTTCTCTCCACTTGGACAAAGTTGCATACTAGTGGTACTTCTTGGAGGTTAGGGTGGAAGCAGCCCAGCCCTCGACGAAGGAGAGAAAGAAAAGCATCGTTGGTCGAACCTTGTGTGCTACCTATGGCAGAAGTGGCCCGCAATGTGAGGGGTTTAAGAGACGCCGTCATCAGACAGTGGCGTTGTGGTGAAACAATCCTTGTTCGATTGATGAAGTTTCGTTCCCTCGAGGCGTTGCTCGGCATCACAGCTTGTACTGACAAGTTCTGGATCTTTTAAGCCAGACGCACGAGGGTTGAGTGTAACCAGGAAGAAGCCAGTGAGTGCGCTTGCACATGACAGGAATGTTCCTATTAACATACGTATTGCTCGGTGCGGGTACCTCGTGGGTGACTACCCCGACGAGGATAATTGATCAATAGATGGACGGACTATGTGAGTGGAAAGCCTGCATGAATATTTGCTGGCTGGCTATACCTTACCAAGCACAGGGTGCACCACCGTGAGACGGCGCTGTCCGGAGAACCTCTCCAGGTATTGGCGGATTCCACTAGGAGCGGCAGGTACTAATAGACGCATGCAGGCGCTGAGCCGCAAGCGTAGACCAACTTCCGGGTCGGGTCTCCTCTGCTACGAGCTAGGGAAGAATTGGGATGAGAGAGCAGACTCGACATTTGGAAGAAGAGACGAAGAGAGGAGGAGGAGAAGAAGAAGAAGAAGAAGAAGAAGAAGAAGAAGAAGAAGAAGGGAAACGGAAACAAAAGGAAAGATGAGGGCATCATGGGGCGTGTCTGCGGTTTTAGCGGATACAGTAGCAATGGACCAAGGCAGGCAGGTCATGCGAGAAATGACAGGTACAAAGAGACAAGTTGCACGGAGTGCCTTTCTACTATAGCAGGTGGCGAGAGTGGTTAGCTGCAAGACGCATAGCAGGCAAAGTCGAAATTCTAGTGGATGATAAACGGTTCAGCCCAGACTTGAGATTCCACATCCTCCCCCCCCCCCCTCCTCGCACCTTCTCACTGTTGTTCTCACCGCCGTCTTTCTTTGCGAATACCTTCGTGCGACGACCCAGAGAAAACTCTCCAATCACCTTGCGAGTCAGTTGGCGCACTAGGTTCCCAGTTGCGGCCCGCACTCGGTCTACCTTCCTGGTAATTATCAGGTATTGGCTTACTGTGCTCCCCTTCTGGCGTCCTCGTGCTCCTCTACCTTGATGGAGAGGCCAATTTCCCACAGTGATCGTCGGGCTTTTTTAGCTTTTCTCTAGCTCCCACTGGGCAGCGCTCACATGGCCTTACTAAATTGGCAGATCACACGGAGGTTTTCTTTGTGCGACGGTAATACGTGGTAACCGCTTGGAGAAAAGGGGAGGGAAGGACGCCAAAAGGAGCCGCGACCAGGGTTAGGAACCCAAGGAACCAAAGATCCAGTGACCTTGGAAAAGGAAAGAAGGAAGAGCAAAAGAAGACTTTCACAAGCTGCCTCGGAGTCCTCGGGAGCCACAACCGCCTACTTCCTAACAAACTTGTCAAGGTTGCTCCCTCCCCTGCCCACACAATTCCCCCAGACGCCCCTTCCCCCCCCTCACGACCCTCCTTCAAAAGATTCGCGGCGCCCAATAGACTGCTTTCCTCTCCTGGAACCTTGATTCAGCGGCGGGCTGGTGACGTGACCTGTACCCTCTCGTATCGCGGCTAACGAATTGCATCGTTTCCCTCTATTTTTTCTCCTTGTTCTTTTCACAAAAAAAAAAAAAAAAAAAAAAAAAAAAAAAAAAAAAAAAGTGCCACCAACACAAAGAACAAGCCGACAAGCCGGGGTAAGGGAAGGAGAGGGGGGGAGGGGGGAGAAAGGCCCATGATGTGTGATGTGCGCGCCTATACCCTCAAATTGGGAACTGGTCCGAGAGAAGAGCCCCGAGGAGCCCCTCTTTTTACTCTCGGGATACTGTACCGCATGGGCCATCGGGTCCCCCATGGGGCGGGTAATCCGCCACTGAGCCGGAGCTGGTGGGTACGCTACTGTGGCAGATGCGCGACATCTCAATTCTTTTGTGTGAAAAGAGTCTAGCACTGCAGAGATGAAAAATAGGGTTTGGGGGAAAAAAGAAGAAGGATAAAGTAAGGGAACAGGAGAGTTGATCGTATGCTTGTATATTACATGTGGTGTTGAAGATCCCATTTCTTTCACACACGGGAGAAATGAGTACATGGCATGGCGTCGAGGAAGAAGAAATACTGTAGAACCTACCAACGCGATTGGCTCGGTCTCAAGAAAACCAACTAAAAGTACATACTGCAGTACATACATAAGAACAAAGCACGAAATGACAGGGACGTTGACTACCGAAAGTCTATTTTGTACCACCCTTCTCTACTACTATGTATCTCCACGAGCCCTTCGTCATTCCGGCCGACCTCCGTTTCGTCAAGATCTACCACACCGTGATCCAAGTACCATGGTAATGGCAGCACGGTGTTGGTCTTCCCAACTATGTACTTGCCGCACCGAGGAGACATTTCCTAGTCTTGCCTGGTCGACCACCTACCATAGTACACACATACACACACACACACACACACACACAGTCTCTCCCTCAGTTGCACCAAGCACGCGGGTTTCTGCAAGCTATCTCATACCTCCTTCTCTTTCTTTTTCCTCCTCTTCCTCCTCCTCCTCCTCCTCCTCCTCCTCTTCACTGCCTTCCTGGATCTGCTTCACCATGACGCGGCAGCCACGCAGCTTGTTCTCTTTTGAGCTCATCCGTAGCCTCCTGGGATCAAGAAGCCCCTCCCCCAGAGCCATTGGAAACATACGAGCAAAAGGAATAATTCCACTGGCAGTCCCCATTTTCTCGATCTACTATGGTACCTACCACATTGAGAGTTGGCATGGGCCCAGTAAAGTGATCGACACCAGTAGCCCACTCATTCCCGGTAAAGCGAACCCAGGAAAACAATCAACCTGCATGTGCATAACCGACAGACAAGGGTGGTCACACACACACACACACACACACCCCCCCTCTCTTCCTCTCTTCGCCTCTCCCTCCTCTTTCATACTAGAGGATGAGCTTCTCTGTCTCTCCAATGCATGCACTTTCTTTTTTCCCGCGGGAAAGGAGAAAAAAGCAGACTACAAAATGACATGTGATGCGCAGAGAAACACAAGTCAAAACGTAAGTGCACAGTAAATGGCTGGGTATCCCTGAAACTACAAATGACCTCGGACCCAGCACACAATGCTGTCCCGTGTCTCGGTGAGGAAACCGTCTTTTGCCTTCCTATCCACCCTACCAGGACGAATCCGTCATCTTCGTCCGTCTAAGCGTCCACTTCATCACTCGTACTAGCCCATGGGTCTCACAGCCTTGGAATTGTAAAGATCGCAGCTCTGGTTTGACGAGGTTGATAGATTGGAGGACCCGCACTCCAAGGTTGTCGATAGAGTGCTCGGTCCACCAGAGAGGAAATAGCTCCTGATTTTTTTAAACCTCCCAATCCCCCCCCCTCCCCCACCCCACATCCAAGACAACCATTGCCCTGGGCATGAAAGACTACTATTCAGTCTCCTCTTCAACTCCCAGATCTAATAGACACACGACACCAACATCTCCTATACACCAACACACGCCGCAGCCTCGCCCAGAATCGTCACCTGCGCAGGCGGAAAAGGGACCGGGGACAGGATTGGTACGGACGACAGATAAAATCAACAGGCCCCCTGCCGCTGAACAAGAGAGCTTTCTCGATCCGAGGACCAGGTGGATTGGCCCAGGCTGCGAGACACCACCGCCCGCCTACAGTGACCCACAGCCACGGCGACTAGCAGCAGGACGACCAGCCCTGCTCAAAGCCGACGGCTCAGCTTTCGTCGAGGAGGAATTACCTTCAGACGACACCAAACTCGCCAGGCCGTCGTCAGGACTGAACCCAGTGCGGCAGTCCGCTCTCCTGCGTAAACAACCCCAGCGCAATAGTTCGTTGCCATCCTCCAGCGCGGTTGCACCGTCGTCCCCCCGGGAGCTGTTTTCCAACCGGTACAGTAGGGACTCACAGAAGAAGCGACTATCTCCAAGTGCGAAAGTACCAGGTTCTGCTTCATATCTCAACATGTCGGACAAGGAGTCCAATGTGGATTATGTGGAGGGCAATGGGCCCCTAACCACCAACGGTGCCGAGGCCGGTGCTGCATACCCAGTGACAAAGAAGCAGAAGCTTTCAAGGCACTGTAAGAGGTTTTGGTGGGTGCATTTGTTGATCTTCATCTGCATTACCGTGTTGGTCGTGTGTTTGATGTAAGTGTTGTTCTTTTCGTTTTTGCACTCGTGGTGTTCTGGGGTGGGCGATTCCCAGACAGGTTGCCCTCTGCATCGTGGAGTACCTCGCTTGCTGACACGCACACGCACCACAGAATCTTCGTCGCCGTCCCCAAGATAGCGCAAAGTCGCATCAACGGTGCCAAGCTCAGCATCCAGGGCATCTCTGTAACGCAGACGCAGAGCACAAATTTCACCATGTCCATCAACAGCACCGTCGAGGCAGACGACTCGATCCACGCAGTCATCGCCGCCTTCGAGGGCGACATGTACCTGGAAGACTGGGCCCCTCAGACCCCCTTCGCCCGCATCTCGTTCCCGCAGACGACATCTGCGTCAAAGACTGCGGTGAACGTTACGCAGTTCACTCAGATCTTGGACATGAACGCCTTTACTGTGTTCAATGAGTGGCTCCTGGTCAACGCGACAGTGAACGTGACCGTCGCAGGCGACACGACTGTTCAAGTCTCAGGCATCAGCAAGAAGTACCCCGTCAGCTTCAAGAAGACAGTGTCCATGCCGGGCCTGTCGAATTTCAACGGAACCACGGTGCCGAACTCGACTGTCAGCTTGACAGCCGATGCGCTGGGTGATAACTTCCACGGAACTGTGATCATCCCCAACCGTTCACTCGTCACCTTCGAAATCGTAAGCATTCTTACCCTTGTCTTGTACCTTGTCTGGCCCTTGGCTCTCCAAGCATTCAGCCTGCTGACCCACTCTTGACTGTATACAGGGCAATACCTCTTTCATCAATTACCTCCTCGGGGCGAACGTCGGCACTTCGTATATCGACAATATGATCCTCTACCCGGGGAATAACACGTTCTCCATGCGCGGCAACATCAGCCAGTCACCCGTATTGACAGACATTCAGACGAGACCATATTGCGAGGATGGTATCCTGCCCTTCCAGCTGCAGGGTCTGAACGTCAGCAACCATGGCCAGTACCTGAGTTACTATGCCGAAAGTCTTGGCAGCACCAATGAGAGTGTATCGATTGATGTTGGAGCGGATCTCGAGGCGCTTGGGCTTACCATCACCTGCTCTAATACCACTACAAAGAGGGGCATGGAGGCGGATCTCGTGCTGTCCTCGTAGGACTTCGCTTGGTAGAAGACGTTGGGAAACGCCATTTCGTGAACAAGCAAGGAAATAGTCTGCACTTGGAAGAAGGTAATGGCTGGTCTGGCAACCTGCCGTGTGTCATTCGCTTAGAATGAGAGGGTGCGACCATGATATTTAATGACAAGAAAAGACACGCGCTTGCGTTTTGGGGAGCCCATTTGGAACTGCAGGCGTCTGCAGGGCGAGTTCGAGTGTGTCCTACCGAAGGTTTATATTGATGGGGAAATGTACAACTGAAGGCCGCCGAACGGCGGCAAAACTGGGTGGTGGGACTTGAGAAATATATTTTATAGTCGTGTAGAGAAGATCATGTTCATTCGCCGTGCTCATTTGGCATGTGATACTCGTATGTTGCAGCCGGTCGAGCTCCGATTGATTAGAGTATTCGTTGATAAGCCGCCGCTGTTGGTAAGAATATCGTAACAGTCCCCATATTTGCCAGAGCAAATTTTTCCCATGATAGACGTGGTATGATGTGGTCGGTGTCCCCGAGTATTCCGAATGCTTTGTGCCTCGGCTCGAGAGCCACCGGGAGTTTCCGTCCGTTGACTTTGTTGCCCATATCGCATCACTGGAGAATAATTGCATGTGAGTCCGACCTCGAGCCTGTACAACTCGCGCTGGATGACATGCCTTCGTAAAGTGGTGCGGAGGAGGGATCGGTGAAATTGTCTTTCCATGCTCCCGCTCCCGCCTCTGCTCCCGCTCCCGCCAGCGCTGTATTCAATGCCGCACACGGGACACAAGGCAAGCCTTGGCGTGATATGAGATAGACTTACGCCAGCCAACATTTTTATTTAAGGCAGATACTGCACCGGCTGGGGTCTTCAGCCAGAGGGAGGTCTGGAGGGAGTGATGGATGGTGGAAGAATGGATGAGAGGCGAATTGTCACTGAGTCCAGACTCTTGGCATGCCGTGGCCGCCAGGACGTTGGGAGCAGGTCTTCCACGAGGCTGTCCACAGTGCTAGGTCTTAACACTCCCATCATTTCCTCCGGGGTTGCCTGCTCCACAGTCGTGGAAGATGATTTGCCTTTATATGGGTGACTTGTCATGCACCTTCCAGGGCACGGAGTGACGCATTTGCGTTGACGGCGGTATGCAAAGGATGGAAGGTTTCCCTCTCAAGTGCGTCCACCAGGCATAGCAAGGCGCAGAACTTTTATCTGCAAGAATGCGTCCTAGGGATTCGCAGGGACAAACTGCATCGCCTCCCCCCTCGCCCTGCCCCTCTCCTTCTGTACTCTCTCTTGGGCCTTTCTCAGCTGGCCTCGGTAGGCCCACTCTGGGAAGCAGGCTGGGTCCCATAGCTCCTTGGGCAGAGTCGTGGCGTACTGCTCTGTGCCATGAGCCGCACTGTCCTCGAAGCTAGTCCCCACGCCGACGAAACCAAGCAGCTTATCCATCAAGGGCGGGTTCTTCAGGGCATGAGAGTCGGCTATCTTGGCGTTGAAATGTGTTCCTTTTTTACGCTTGAGCTCGAGGAATTTGTCCAACTTGGTGGTCAGCGCTGCCTGTGCTGAAGCTGCGGAAGGAGAGCCTGGTGGTGAAGGCGGAATATCTAGATTAGGCACCGTCGGTAAGGTGAGGTTGTGAATCAAACCGCGATTGGTTGTGTAAGGTGATTGCGGGGCAGGCTGTTCTCCTTGGTCATTTTCTGGCCCGTCATCCATCTCCTCCAGGTAGGCTGGTCCTTCCATGTCATCTATTGGGGGGAGACTTGGTCCTATAGCAGCTGCGGCCCCTGCTGCTAAGGGTCCAGGTAAAGACCCAGACGGCGGCCCAGCTGCTGGTGGCTGCGGTTGTGATGCTGGAGAGGACGTCTTGGCCTGAGCATCCCTCGACTCATCTACGGCCCGAGACGGGTCCTCATCTTGGTCGCCTGGGGAAATTTGAGTCGTCTGCGAGCACGTTAGACCAGAAATGAATTACAACAATGAAGTGTTAGTCGACATACCTGTTCCAGTTCTAAAGTCTCCCTGTCCTGGACTTCGTCGTCGTCGTCACTGCTGTCATATCCAACCAGCGGTGCCATACCTGTGGTTACGAATTCAACTGAGTCGTTAAGACGACCAAAATAAATAAAAAGGAAGAACGGAATGTTTATCCACGATTTTGCTGAAGAGATCTCTTTGTTCCCACAACAACGTCAGCTGGAGTTTTGATAGAAAGGGACAAGTCTAGAGCGACGACCGAGTTGACGAGTCGTGAGATAGATTACATAAGCGTTTGCGGATCTCAACAAAGCAAGAGCGAGCTGTAGGCTGCTGTTAGTACAGCTCGGTGTTAGTGTGTTGGCCAGTGCGCCAAGGCTGCTGAGCTGGGAGGCAGCACCGGACGCGACAGCTGTTGGAGCTTCAGCGCCAGCGTCCATCAGCAGCCACCAAAGGCATCATCCCTCCCAACAACCACGGCTCATTCCCCTGACGACCACCAGCACCACGTTCATCGTCTTCATATCGTTTCTGCCTCATCATCCCTGAGATATTTCTCCATCATAGTACGGCCACTTCCTTTCCTTGACTTGTAAATCACTGCCAGGATCTCAAACATGGTACAATGCAAGCTGACTGACGTCGTTCCTAAACAGGGACAGACAGAGCCCGTCCTCGTCCACCACACATCTACCAAACAATCCTCCCATTTCTTCCCGCCAACAGAAGAAACACCCGCGACGAGGTGTCATCCTACCTCGTACCCATCCATTTAGACCTTCCTCCCGACCCTTCCACACAGACCCTCTCGACAAGATGGATCACCGCCCACAAGCCTGGGGCCGGCCCCGCGACGACGTCTACGGCGCCTACGACCACTCCTACCTCACCTCCCACGGTCCCAAGACTGCCACCCAGTCTCCCGCGGTGACGGGAACCTCCGTGTTGGGCCTCAAGTTCCGTGACGGCGTCGTCCTGGCCGCCGACAACCTGGCCTCGTACGGCTCCCTCGCCCGCTTCAACGACGTCAAGCGCGTGCGTGCATTTGCGGGCACCTCCGCCGTTGGCTTCTCGGGCGACGTCTCGGACATGCAGTACCTAGACCGGCACCTGAACGAGCTCGAGATTGACGAGGCTTACGAGGGCAACTTCAGCGCCGCCCAGGCTGCGGGCGAGATCGAGACCGACGAGGACAAGAAGGCCGCCAGCCGGGGCGGCCTGAGCGCCGCCAATCTGCACAAGTATCTCGCCAAGCTGCTGTACGCCCGCCGCAACAAGTTCAACCCCCTCTGGAACCAGCTGCTCGTCGCCGGCTTCGACGACGAGCATAAGCCCTTCCTAGCCGCCGCCGACCTGCGCGGCACCGTCTTCAGCTCTCCCAGCTTGGCCACCGGCTTCGGGTCCATGCTGGCCCAACCCATCATGCGCAAGTACGCGGCCACTGAGGAGGACGCTGCAAAGTTGACCAAGGAGCAGGCGGTCGAGGTGGTCAGGGAGTGCATGAAGGTCCTGTACTACCGTGACGCGAGGAGCTGGGACGGATACTCGCTGGCCGTGGTGACCAAGGAGGGCGTCGATGTGAGCTTTGATGAGAAGCTGGAGAACCAGAGCTGGGCCTTTGCGGACAGGATCAAGGGCTATGGCACACAGACCGTCTAATCGGGGTCACAGCAGTATGAAATTGGCTAGAGCGTGGTTTGGGCAGATGCAAGAACGGCACCTGCAGCTGTAGCTGCACCCGACAGTGCAGGAGATACGTTGAGAGAGAGCAGTCCATCTGGGTTAGTTCCTATGGACCTATATCTGTTCGAGCAGTGGCTACCTGTGGACCTCGTCCCCAGCGCTTTTTGCTCCGCTCCATGAACAGGTCTTCCCCCCTCACGCTCTCCTGCAGCCACTCTGAGCATACAACGGGACGACGCAACGGTTTCATTTAGAATTGTACCATTAGATGACGAGCAAATCCATTCAGATTTCTAGACCACCATGTTTGCCGCATCTTCCATGCGTGACCCAGGATGCCCATTATTCTATGTACTAAGCAACCTCTAGAAGACACTAGGATGGGCCCGAACCTTCACGTGTGAAGGTTCGTATGCAGGAACGTGCCCAAATAACACAGGTGAGCAAGGAAAGGGAACCACATGGTGAAGTTTTCATTATTCATCTTAGTTTTGTTTTATTGATCGTCATCACGTCTACAGTGCGCACCATAATCGCACTTCGCTAGTCTCCTCTGTGTGCGTGGTGTGTGGCTTGTGGTCCGCAATACCAACTCCGCTGGACCGAGCTTGGTACTCCTCTGCCGACCGGTCCCTTCATCCTCATGTAGAAAGCACTGGCCCTATTCATAGATCCCAAAAGACACACAAACCTTGCAATCTCATCTAATACATGCAATACGAATCCAGCCACTGGCAAACATTACAATTGTTTGATGTCCCTGCGCCGTCGCTGAGCTTTACTCGACAGTGACAGACTTGGCAAGGTTACGAGGGAAGTCGACATTGAGGCCCTCCATGACGGCGAGCCAGTAGGCAATGAGCTGGAGAGGAATGACGTTCAGGAGACCCTGCAGCACGTCGACCGTCTTGGGGATCTCGATGGTCTGAGCCTGGCTGCTCTGGAACTCGGCGTCACCAGGGTTGCAGATGACGATGGGCTTGCCTCCACGGGACACGACTGTGATGATGTTAGTGTTTGGAACAGAGAGGGCTCAAACAATCCAAGAAATAGGGGCCATACCTTGCTGGTAAGCGTTCAAGCTCTTGGTGAAGATGTTGTCGCGCGTCAGGATCATGATGATGGGCAGGTTCTCGTCGACCAGCGCCAGAACACCGTGCTTGAGCTCGCCCGACATGACGGCCTCGCAATGGAGGTAACTAATCTCCTTGATCTTGAGGGCGCCCTCGAGGGCCGTGCTGAACTGGGATCCACGTCCCAGCAGGAGCAGAGACTTCTGGTCCTTGAACACCTTGGTGCAGAGGTCCTTGATGGCAGCATCCTGAGTCAGGACCGCGGCGATCTGCTCGCTGATCTTGCCCAGACCTTCCATGATCTCGATACGCCGCTGCTGCTTGCTAGCGCGGTCCTCGCTGAGGCTCAGCGCGAACATGACCATAGCGATGAACTGCGAGGTGTATGCCTTGGTGGAGGCGACACCGATCTCGGGACCGGCGTTGATGTGCACACCGCAGTGGGTCAGCAGACTGATAGAGCTGCCGACTACGTTCACGATACCAACCGTCAGGGCTCCGCGCTCCAGGCAGTACCGCAGGGCCATCAGGGAATCAGCCGTCTCGCCAGACTGGGAGACGAACACACAGGTGTCGTCACGGAAGACGGGGGCCTGTCGGTCCAGGAAGTCGGAGGCAAGCTCCACGGCAATGGGGATCTCTGCCAGCTCCTCGAACACACCACGGACCGCCATACAGCTGTGGTATGAAGTGCCGCAGGCAATGAAGATGATGCGCCTGCACCGGCGGATGGTGCTGATGTAGGAGCGGAGACCACCGAGGGTGACGGTCTTGTTCTCGACATCCAGACGGCCACGCATGGTGTTGACGACGGACTCGGGCTGCTCAAAGATTTCCTTCTGCATGAAGTGGTCGAATTTGCCCTTCATGATCTCCTGAAGCTCAAGCTCAATGGTCTGGATGGTGCGGACATTGCTGCTGCCGTCGGCCTTCTTCAGGCGGTGGATGTTGAGGGAGCCCTCGTGGATATGGGCAATATCGTCGTCCTCCAGGTACATAACCTTCTTGGTGTGCTCGATAATAGCGGAAGGGTCCGAGGAGAGGAAGAACTCGGTAGGCATGGGCATGCCATCGTCGGTCATGAAGGCACGGGACTGGGAGCGGTGGAGGAGGGACTTGTCAGGGGCGCCCAGCAGGCCGGGGGCCAGGAGGCCATCGGAGCCCTTGCTAGCGGTGGCCTTCTTGATGGCGACATTCTGGGCGGCGGCCTCTGCGGAGAGGGCACCACCGTGCTCATCGGCGTACTCGACGTCGACGAAGTCGACCTTCATGCGCTTCTGGGTCTTGACACCGATGACGAGGGGCGAGCCCTTGCGGGCAGCCACGATCTCGTGGGGGTAGTGGACGGACTTGATCAGGAGACCATAGGCGCCCTCGAGCTCCGAGATGACGGCCTTGGCCAGGTCGACGAAGTCGAGGTTGGGGTGCTGATCGTAGAGGTACTTTGCGAGCTTGGCAATGCACTCTGTGTCTGTCTCCGTCTCGAACTTGTAGCCCTTGGCCTGGAGGAGAGTCTTAAGCTCCTTGTAGTTTGTGATAATTCCGTTGTGGACGACTGCGAACTCCCAGTTGGGGTCGGAGCTAGAAAGAGGGGGGGAGGGGCCCAGTCAGCACATGTTTCTTCCCTCGCAATCCTCCAAGATCCTCGCAACACAACTCTTTCCGGAATATTGGTGTGTTCTTTTTTGTCTTTATTCTCTTCCTTCTTCTGGGCAGGCTTACCGGTGAGGGTGGCAGTTCAGGCGGGAGGGAGGGCCGTGGGTAGCCCATCGGGTGTGGGCAATACCGGCGTGTGAGTCGAAGACCTTCGTCTCGTCGAGCTTGGCCTCGTTGACGAGCTGCTTCAGCTTGGCGACCTTGCCGACCTCCTTGAAGGCAAAGACCTCGTTCTTCTTGTCTCCATCAACGGCGAAACCGGCCGAGTCGTAACCTCGGTACTCTAGACGGGCGAGTCCTGCAGGGAGAAAACGGGATTAGGTCAGTCTCAAATTGTGCGTGCGCGGTGCCCAAAATTGGAATTGACGGTTCTGTTCCCGCAGGCACGGTCAGATGCCAGGGAGGGGGGTAAGACAGACGGGCCCAGAGGAGGCTCAGGAACGGGATGGAGGGGCCGGGGTGTCAGACATGCCTAGCTGTGTCATCTCAACAAGAGGCACAGCCAGCTGAGCCGGTCGAACACTGCCAACACTACAACTCCAAGGATCGCATCCCAATGTGTTCTTCTGCAGCGCTGATGGAAGGGTGGGATCAGGGGGTTCAGGTCTGGCTTACCATTGGTCAGAGTGTCAATAATGAACTTCCTGTCCTTCTCCACCAGGTAGTTGACATAACCGAAGATGCCACTATAATAGAGAGAGATTGTCAGCTTCTGTACCTCCCATATTGTTCTGGAGGGGAATGTCAAAAGATCCTCCTATTTCACAAGCTGTAGAGGTTGCCCTCTGACTGTGGCTGCTTGCCCCAGGTCTTCCTAGATGTGCCCATCCCCCTCACAGCTGGTCAGGAAATAGGAATTGAGGTTGTGAAAAGAACCCAGCACTCAAGGCTCAGCTGTGCCAGCTGAATCTCTTGGTACACGTCTGTTCGGCCTCTGTCTTTCTCTCTTCCGCCCCGTGTGCTGTGTCTTGTAATGCTGTGCCTTGCCGAAACTGATTTCTTCGCCGAAGAGAAAAGTAGCCTAAGCCTCTTGGTTATACGTACCACATTGTCAAGGTCAGGCGGTATTACTCCTGTGCTCTGTGTTGTGTGCCAAACAAGGTCGAAGCGGTGTGGACGTGGTGGCTGGGCTGTTTTTCTCCTTGGCTGTTGTGTCGTTGTACAATTGCGGTGGAGGGGTATCAAGGGTGGACGCGGAGCAGATCGAGCTATGGTCTGGCCTGAGTAAGTGGGCAAGCCAGGCAGGAGGGAAGGTGGAAGTCGACGAGAGGTTGGGAAGGTATGAATGATGAGAAGCAAGAAGACAGCTGGACAAGGTAGGAGGAGCAAGAGACGGACAGCTTGCTTAATAGTTCCAGGGGAAGGGGGCGGGTTGAGCTGTTCTTTTAGTACTCAACTGGCCAGAGCATGTATGGGGCTGACAATTGGGCCTCTTTCTTGGTCTACCACATGCGCCACGCTATGCATGGCACTGGCACTGCGTATACTACCTACAGCTCAGCTTCTTTCATCAGCGAAACACAGCATCAGACCTGACCGTTGTTGCCAGGGGCCCCAGCCTAAGCTCAGGGGACATGGGGGGGATCTACAGATCCAGCCTGAGTGGGACAGGGCCGCTGATAGGTGGAGACCAGGTGAGAGCCAGGTCAGAGCCAAGTCAGCGCTGTCTAGTGTGCTCAGAGAGGCTTGTGTGACAGGGGCTGCCTGCTGGGGGTGGGGGTGTGGATGGTGGACTGTTGTTAGCAGCAGCCTGGCATTTTAGCTATGACAGCTTAACACAAAGATTTTGTTCACTAGTGCTTGTGCTTGTGCTGCGAACATCAATGCCATCCTCAACTTTCTTTCTTCTCTTTGTTTGAACCCACTTCTGTGTGGTAGAAAAGGGAAGGCAGACTGGCATTATGAAGACAGTGAGCTCGAGACAATTGCCAGATGCATCCTTATTTGATTGGCAAGGTGTTCTTTTTTATTGTTGTTGATGTTATATGTAAGCTGCATGACAGTTGTCAGCCTTGATGGCAGTCTATACCCCAGCATTCTACACCCTGTCCTGAGAGCCCCCCTTTCTTTGTCCTGGAAGGTACAATAGTACACATGATGATTCAAAAGAACCGGATGCAGGTCTAATGTAGACAATTGCCAGTTCTGTATAATAGTATTCTCACTGATTCTTACAGGAATGGTAAGAAAGGAAGGTGGAGGATGCCCACTCAATTTTGAGGTAGTTGACAGCTGCTTGCTGCCTCACAACTCACACCCTCACCGACTTGCATTGAGACAAGACATCTCGAATATGCTTCGGTAGAATAGACACCCATGATAGAAGAAAAAGCTTAAACGAGCATCTGGGATCATGGCAGGTTACTAAGTACCACAGTCTTTTGCTATGGGGGCGCGGTACTGTGCTGTATCATGTTCTGCTAAATCAAGGTTGGATCTGTCTTGACCCTGGATAGATGCCATCCCATCCTGCTTCCCCCTTTGTTCTCTGCTCCCACAATGACGACATAAGCATGGCTTTTTCTTCCGAAGGAAACCACACCTTGCTGCAATACAATGTACAGCATCCAGCATGCAGGGGCATACTGCTGGCCCCTCCATGTTTTCCGACAAAGAGTAGCCATTCCGAGCCAATGTCTTTTTTTCTCTTCTGGTCTGCTCTGGTCTGGACCAAGGCAGCCTTGAATTCAAGGACACACGGCATCGCTTGATGCAACCCTTTCGTTCTCCTTCCCAGGGGGGTCTCAAATAGAAGGAAGTGACGAAAGGTCTGAGAATTACTTTTACTACTAGTACACTTCTGGTCCATTTTTCCAACTGTCATTACTTCGCATGGTGCTCATCATTGCCTGGTAAGTATTAAAATTGGGGGAGGGTGTGAGGCTGTGAGACGCGGCTGTCAACTTGAGGCAAAATGCAGGTGCTGAGGAAGAGGGGGGGGGGAGGTGTGGATGGTGGTGGGGTGGAACTCGGGCTGCTCAGCCAACCGAGGAGGAAAATCCACTGGGTTCCTGCCGCTATGTTTATGCTAGTTGCAGGGTCCTGCTAGTGAGGTTTAACTTTAGCGGGCCTAAGAATAGAACCCCACGTTGTCCCTCCAGCTTTGGGGCCGACTAAGGGCTTGTTCCACAGATTTAGTATCGGAATCTTTTTCTTCCTTCGTTTTTTCTTCTTCTCGTCTCCGCTGCTGTCCTTAAAATCAACCATGGTCTCATGATGGTTGCTCAGGGATGCCTGGGACTCAAAAATGTCCCGAAAAGGTTTTGGGCCTTTCTACTGCCATTAGGGTCTGTACGGCTGTGGCTGGGAAACCTTAGTACGGCATTCTTTTATTGATTTTTTTTCTTCAACTTAGGTAAACATCCACACTCCCACACCGCACAGAAAGATATTCTAGGACATTCAGATCTGTGCATCCCGTACGAGCTCGTTTAGTACAGAATATTCCTCAGGTGCAAAAGCCCCCCTGCCAAGCTCTCGTATTCACCCCCCCCCCCCCCGATCTCCCTCCCCGATCTCCCTCCCCTCTCTTTCCTACACCTCCGCTGGGCCAACCAACAGCTCGGTTCTTTGCAAGCGTCGTATGGATTTCCTGCGTTAAATGATGACACCCTCGTATACGGCGCCACTCCCGAGCACGTCCTCCAAGCCTCGGAATTCCGGCCTGTCGGGACAATCCTTCGTATCTACCGCGCCACCATCCATCAGTCTATCTCCTAGCTTCCTCCTTTTTGAATCCGTAGTCGCCATCTCGCGAGTCTGCGCTTACCACCTCCCGTCCTGTAGGAGCCCTCGTGCCGCAGCATCGTGTCATTCTAGACAAGATAGAGAGGAGGCTGGATGCTCAAAGTTGTGCCCTCAATTGGTTAGCCAAGCAACGGTGCAAATTTCATTTTTGAGCGGGACGATTCATCTGAGCTGGTGTGGCCGGGAGCGACCGACTGCAATAAAGATGGCTGCAAATTGATGTTGCGCTGGAAGGCTTCTGGAACAGGACCGGCCGGAGGTGGTGGGAGTTGAACCGCCAACCATTCACCTAACCTGTATGCGAAATCACACTCCCCCCCCCCCCTTTCCTTCTTTACCGCCCATCTCGTTATTTTTCTTTCTTTCTAGTCTTCCTTTTTTCGCTTTCTTTTCCGTTTTATTTTCTGTTCCTATCTTTCTTTCTTTCTTTCTTGCCTTGCTACCGCTAACACAGATCTCATCACACTGTCAGAGAATTAAGAGGGGACCAGATTGGGCAAATTGGCTCGCATCAAGTCTTCAATCCTCGTCTCGCAAGCCTTGTCGGAAGCCAAATTGGTTGGACACGATGCGGCTTGATGCCAAACACTGTCAACGGCAGAGCCACGATATCGTCTCGCAGCAAAAACCTCTGAAGATCTGTCTTCCTCGGCCCGACTGGTTAGTGTCTTCGCCAAGACACACCCAACTGAGATCCAAAAAGGGAAAATACTGTACCATCAATCCAGCGCTGCGGATTCAATGGGTTCGAACAGCTTACCGACGCCGTCTTTCTTTTTCGTGTAGTAGTATTCTTTCAGCAGCGGCTGGACTCATCTGGGCGCGGACTTAGAACCTTCTGCAGGACCCACGCTCGTCTTGTTCAGGACATCGCGGTACCCATTTTCACCGTCCAGCCTGCAGTCCAGGTGCGCCCATTGTTATCCACCCGCGTATGGTCCTACCATCGCTCTCGCATCCGCTCCACAGTGCTGCTCTGCTCGACGCCGCCAGCAGAGACGGCTGACAAGAGTCCTGCCACCAGTGGAGCTGGGCCGACGCCATCGCAATCTTTCTTGCAGGTGAGCGTGCCAGGCCAGAAGGAGGCCAGAGCCTTCTTCAGCTCATGTGGCTATCACCCAGAACGCCGCGTTGGTGGTGTGTGCCGGCACTTAACTTCACTAGCGCCTAGCTTAACAGCGCCCCGACCCGTGGGAGCAGCCTGCCACCCGTGCCATCCTGCTACAGCATGCCTATGCCCAGTAGTATGCACACTAATCACTGCATACTTGATGGGGTTTTCCCTTCTTCGACGATCATAGCCGGGCCACTCCAGATGGCTTCTTCGACATTTTAAGGCCAGACCCCATGGTCAGCTTGAGGAGTCTTAAGTAGAAGTCGGAATAGATCATTGTGCAATCATCCTTCCTCGGCTACGAGCGAACACCCTTCAAGGCGCCACAGGGTGCCCACGGTGCCTTCTCAGCTTGAAAATGCGTGCAAGTCAGGGTGTTCTTCGTAAAGAAGTTCATATGACACTTCAAGAGTCTAGGGAGTACCCAAGGAGAGTGGGGGAAATTGGCATATGGGTGGTCCAATATCTGTTCCTCGGGGAGGGTCGGATGCAAGCCGCACGTTCAAGGCGCCAATATGGCATTCGTGGTACTTCTCGAGATAGGAGTATTATTTGACCACCTTTGCTTTGAGAGACTATTCGGACAAAAACGTCCCCTTTCTTGACCATCCTATTGGTGTTTGAGCCCAAGGTTGACAAGACACGCAAAATGACAACGCAGGCACGGGATGCGTGGTTGTAAGTAAATGGCCAGTCATATCATACATTGCCGTCCTCGGATCTGTCAGATCACCGCCACATCCTCGAAGATGAAAAGATGTGAGAGACTTGTGGGGAGTCAAGGGTAAGTTGCTCTCGTCAGACAAACACAAGGTCGGAGAGAAAAGTGAGAGTCTGACGATATTAAGAATGGAACATATATGTAGTTGGGGAGCTCACTGGGCCGAGAGACATCAAGGGAAGGTCCAGCGAGGACGTAAGAAACACCACATGAATTATCTCATTCGCTCAATTACTCAGAGGCTCAATTTATTCTTGAGCTGCAAGAACAGTTCTGACAACGTAGCGTCTATCACCAAGACCAGGTCTTTGCTTTAGACCTTGAGTACTCGCCAGACATTTTCTCAGTCTCACTGTATCTTTTCTGCCTTGTTTTCCGGCCGTTTCTAACATCTAATTACAAACATTACGCACTCTTATCTTCCCAAAGAACAACACCAGCCACGCCATACCAAAAGCTCTGAACCCATACTTGACAATGAAACTCACCGTCATCGCAGGCTACACTGGCTTCCTCCTCGCCATCCCCGCTCTAGCCAGCATCAGCGACTCCTGCAAGAGCCTGAAGCTGACCAGCAACGACGCCGGCGCCCACGTCTGGTTTACCGCCAACTGCTCCGGCCTGCGCGAGTGGTCGTGCTCCATCATCGACCTCGATTTGTGCTACGGCTGGGTCATCGGGAGCCAGACCAACACCGCGACGATCGTGGCCGAGGCGTTGTAAGAACTCCTCCCTCCCTTTTCCATTTTTTTGAAAAATTTCTCTCTCGCCGCTCTCATCACTCTCATGTTCCATTTGCTATCACTGTGTTGGTGTGTGTGTGTGTGTGTGTGTGCTCTGACCTGGGTTTTAATAAACATAGTGGTAACTTTGGAACCAACTGCACCACCTGCAAACAAGAGGTCCTTCATGATCCCGCGATCGTCACCTGCAACTGCCTAGCCTACTATGACGGCGAGGTAGGGTCCATCTACGAGGACACGCAGTTCAGTCTTGGTGAGTTTCCAGTCTCTTTTCTTGTTCCTTTTTTTTTTCTTTTCTTTTTTGTCACCTCCCAGACTGTGTCTTTTCAAACTCAGTATATTCTAGCAAGGAATCTGTAATCTGTAGAACCCCTTGATGACTGACTTTGACTCACTGGAAGACGCGGCCCTGGAGAATGCCGACGGGTTTCTGCAGTGCTTTGAGCAGCAGGGACGTTTTCAGAGTTTCTGCTGAGAAGAGGTGTTTGTTTCTGATAAATTAGGACGGCCTTTGCTACTGCATGCTTCATGACACATCCTAGATAAAACCTCAGAATAACCCCAAAAGCTATTTAAAAAAGTACTCCGAGAGGTGACAGGCAAGTAAATGATGCTGTCCAGGCGCTTGAATTCTCACTCGTAGCGGAGGTTCTTACTACAGCAAGAGCTGAATGTTACGAACCCAAGTATGCTTTGTAGCTGTTGATGGCATACAGACAATGAACCGTTGCTGTTCATCGCATATTCTGTCGTGCTCTGCAATGTGACGTATCTCTGTATCAATGGTTGTAGCTTTGTTCCAAAAACGCTATCTGAACCGTCTCAGACCCGCTGCCCACTTTGGTTGAAGTTCTCGCCGCAGTTCCTTTATTATGGAATCATTTCAAGCGACGATATCGCTAGCCCAACCCAGCATTTTCGTCAAGGTTGCTAGTCTTCAAGACAATTGATTGAAGGAATATGTGAGATCAAGGTTGAACAGCGTGTAAATTACCAGGACGTTCCCCTGTCAACGTCTTCCGGCTGTCTATGCGACGGTAAAGTATCACAATCCACTCACTAGCTATACAATGCGGCTTGTACTCGGCGCAGGAATTCTGCTACCTCTTCTCATTTTCTGCATCAAATCTCCTTGTACTCGAGCTTTCCTTCTAACTTCTTTGCCTCAGCCACCTTGCGCACAGCCTTGTTGAAGTCGTCCTGGTTCACTGCCTCCCGGTAGTCTTTGATCGCAAACAAGCCGGCCTCTGTAACGACGTTGCGAAGATCTGCACCGTTGAGGCCATCACTCATCTTGACCACGCTCTCGAAGTCGATGTCGCCCTCGGTGACCACACTGGCAGCGTGAATCTTGAGAACCTCAAGGCGGCCAACCTCATTGGGCAAGGGGATTTCGATCTTGCGGTCCAGACGTCCGGCACGCAGCAGCGCGGGGTCCAGGGTATCAGGTCGGTTCGTGGCCATGATGATTTTGGTCTTTCCGAGGTAGTCGAAACCGTCCAGCTGGTTCAGCAGCTCCATGAGTGTTCTCTGGATCTCTCGGTCTGCGGATGTACCCTCGGAGAACCTTCGGCCACCGATGGCATCGATCTCGTCCATGAAGATGATGCAAGGCTCGTGCTCCTTGGCGTACCCGAACATCTCGCGAATGAGACGGGCAGACTCTCCTATGTACTTGTCGACGATGGCAGAGGAGACAACTATACGGCACGTATCATGTTAGGATGCGCCATCGTCGGTTGAGCCTAAGTGCAGGACTTTAAGCTTTCAGGACACACATACCTTTCAAGAAATTGGTCTCCAGACTACTCGCCACAGCACGCGCCAGCAGGGTCTTGCCTGTTCCTGGGGGTCCGTATAGCAACACGCCTTTTGGTGGCTTGATGCCGACCCGCAGGAAGAGTTCTGGGTTCTTGAGTGGCAGCTCGATAACCTCACGCAGCTCTCTGATCTGGTCATTCAGACCACCAATACCGGCGAAGCTGACCTGGCCAGGATCCTCCAGAGACATGTTGTAGACGAGGGGGTCGACCTCCCGGGGGAGCATGCGCATAATTGTGAGGGTTGTCATGTCGAGGGCGACACGGGTTCCTTGCTTCAGCTTCGCCTTGTCGACCTTGGAGCGGCAGCCGACGACATATCGAGGACCGGAGGATGCCTTGACGATAACTGTGCCGGGTGGTGTCAGTAGGCAATATCGCCACACACGACGGAAAGACGGAAAGGGGGGATTAAGGAAAAAAGAGGGCGGCAGCATACATCTCTCGTCATCGAGCTGCTTGAGGACCTCGCCGATGATCTGGCCGACACTTTGTAATGCCTTGATGTTCTCCTCTGTCTGGTTGAACTCCTTCTCAAGGTCCTTGATCTCCAGCCGCAGATTCTTGAGCTTGACCTCCCAGTTCCGCGATTCCAGCAGCGACTCGGTGTAGCGCGTGATGGCGTCGTTCCTCTCTGGGTCAGACATGTTTGTTGGTAGGGGGTCTGGTTGGCTTCGGGGATTGAGATGTGGGAGGGAGCAGCGGCGGCGGAGGAGTGGTACGTAGGGCTGGCCAAGTAAAGCTCCTCCTGTATCAGCTGTTAGGTGGGATAAATGGTCAAGAAGGACTATCCGAGAAGGAACAGCAAGAGCAGGATGGCCTTTTCTGATCAAGGAGAATGAGTAGTGTTGGAGTTGGCGTTTGCGCGTGGCAGTGGTCGTTTGTGCTGCAGTGTGTTGACGTTGACGCAGGGCCCAGAGCTCAAACAGGTCCACTGCCCAGCAGCGAGCTTACACAAGCTTCTGCTGCCTTGTGTTGGGTTCCGGCTGGCAAGCAATGGCGCTGACAGGGATAGCCGGCTTAGCTTAGCTCAGCTGGTACTGGTACTGTGAGAAGGTACCACCAACCTGCCAGCTGCCTGCAAAGGTACGTACACCCGCTGCGCTGCTTGACGGTGTGAACCTCAACAGCGGCCAATTGATTTCACTGAATAAATACGTCGTCGAAGATGTGAATAGACCTACTTCTACAGAATCAATGCCTCATCAACACTTTGGGCATGTAATCGAGAAATGCCCATACCTCATACCACCTCTCTCCAGACTCGTAACAGGGGACGCCAACAATGAAACCAGCCAGCCACGGCTTGCAAACGGTCTTTCTCGTCCCTGATTCTATGCAGCCTCCTTGGTGCATATGCTGGACCCGAGAGCAGGACTTTGAAGATGTACGATCCTCGCCCTGAAAATGAAGGGAAACATTATCGATTACTATCGCTGAAACTCAAACTATTCTGCCCCAAAACTCCACTGTAATATGCTGTCTGTACGGTATGTATGCAAATGCATGACCTGCTTGCCCACCTTCAACCACTCTGACTGACCGTCATGCCAGCCTTGCCCACCTTCCAAGAAGCATGGCCGTCCTCCTTCGAGATCCTATACGCCCAAGGCAGCCCTCCATCGATCAAGAGAGTTGCGACGGATTCTTCCAACGCCCTCTCTCCGTATGCCACCATGCGTCCTCGCTAGATTTAGCCGACGCGGACCTGTCACAGTTATACGAGTTCCATCGGCCCGTACAGCCATCAATAACCTTGGTCGCCTCGCCCGCGCTGCCATCCTTAATGCTCTTGCTACTGTTGCTCTTCTTCACCTTCTCTCTTCCCTCCAGCCCAGCACCACCACAAGAAGCGCCCGCGACACAGCCCGTCCCGTATCCCGCACCGCTCCGCGATGCAACGTCGCCCTTCTTGCACAGGTCCTCTCCGCCGTCCGAGAGCAGCTCCGCGACACCAACCAGCCCGCCGCGTTCATCTGTCCCGCCATGATCCGGCGTCAGCAAATAGGTGATCCTGCTCGTAACGTCGCCGATATACGCCGCCAACCCTGACGACTCAATAATAACTCCATCCTCATCCTGAATGTTCACCTCTATCCGCGGTAACCGGCGCGCCGCCTCTAACCTCGCCTGGGCCGCGAGCCGCGCCTGGTGGAGATCGCTGCCGGCCTCGCGCCCAGCACCACCAAACGCCTTGCCGCTATCCTTTGTGTCGGAGGACAGACGCCCGTCCAGATCATACACAGCGCTGGGGTCAATTGCCTTGCTGCTACTGCTGAAGCTGTTGACAGATCTGTGAGAGGGTCGCGTTCCGCCCGGTGTCGTCGACGACGCCTGGTTTATCAAACCGGTCCGGAACCTGTCGCCAAGGAGCTCGACCCGCTCCTTGGGCCGGCAGAGAGCCTGGAACAGGCCACCCGTGTCACAGGGCGTGCGCAGGAAGCGCAGGTTGGGAAAGCCGTTGGCGGCGATGCTTCGCGCCAGGAGGGCATCGGCCCTGGTGGGACCACTTGTACCTGCACCCTCTCCATTCCGATCAGCGGTGTTCAGCCCGCTCTCGAATATGTCCCAGTGAAGCATCTTCAGGGACTGAGACGCAACATAGGGCATAAAGCAGAAGAAGTCGTCGTCTGGTGTGGGCGCTAAGGTCTGCACAAGGCTGAACGTGGTGAGGTTGGAGAGGTTGGAGAAGATCCGGACAATGGCTGGGAGGGAGTCGACATTTTGATGAATCAAGGTCAGGGTTTCAAGTTCCTTGGCTGAGTCGTGTGTTGCAAACGTGGTCAGACCGGCAGTAGTAACACCGGCACAACGCACCAGGCCAAGTCTCTTCAAAGGCTTGGGCAGAGCCAGCAGGGTACTGTCGTTGAAAGAAACAGCAGGAATGTCTGATAAGTAAAGTGACTGCAGCGAGGGCAAATAGGTGACGATGACGCCGAGGAGGTCGTTGGGAGTGTAGAGGTTTGCGCCAGGAAGACAATGGATCGTCAAGTGGGACAATTCGGTCCATTCCATATGTTGGCGGACGAAGTTGTTGGCGAGCTGGACTGGGAGGTAGTTGAGAGAATGTGAGGGACGCCCAGATCCCATCGAGTATGAGGCATGTCTGGATTGTGGACGGCCCTTGATTTTGGAGAGCCGCGCCTGCTGCTGACCCTCCGGCTCAGTTGGTTCCGCGTCCACGACCCAGGTCATCTCCTTGAGTTTTGTCCTAGTCGACAGGGCCTGAAAGATTCTGCTGTCGCTATGGTTGTAGGTAGGGTAAAAGCCTTGCAGCCGTTCGAGGTTCGGGCAGGCCATCACGACAGAGGCGACAATGTCATGATAGGATTCGGGTTCCAGAGGGGCTTCGTCCGCAAGAGCTGGCACCTTGAGGGCACGGACCGTCGAGGCGATCTTGGGGTTCGACCGGAGGGTCCTTCTGAGGAGAACCAGCCTCGTAGAGTAGACGCCCTTGTACTTCTTTCTCTGCACGGCGCTGTCTGGGCCTACCAGCTGGATCTCGTCGTACAGCACAGCCCTGGCAGCATAGAGCAACCGCCTATTACACACAGTGATCGAGCAGCAATCTCGCATCCAGCATGTCGCACAGCTGGTGCTTCTTTCCTCCAGATGAAGCACCTTCAGATGATCCAGGATCATGCGCAACACCTCATCAGGCAGCTTCGTGAAGACTTCGTTGGGCCCTGGTCTTTGCACACGAACCTGCTTGATCATTTCTGGCCGTCGCTGCCACGAAGATCCGGACTGACGATATGAGTAAGTCGGCTGTGCGAAAGCTGAAGGAGAAGAAGAGAAAGCCTCCTGCTCTGCTGACATAGGACCCCAGCTCATCGCCCGCATCCGACCTTGGCCATTCGCGATGGAGTCAAAAGGTTGAAATGGTTCAGACCGGCGATTCTCGTTCATCTCGGCCAACTTCGTAGGGCTTGTAAGGCGCTGGGGCCTGGCATACATCTGGGGCCGTCGGATGGGCCCCTTCTCAGTAGCCTGTGGACTGTCGATGGTGCTGTACCTGTTCGCTTCCGAGGACGATGTAACATGGGAGCTCATCTCGGGCAGGGAGTCGCTGGATCTGACCGTCCTGAGTGGTGAAGGGATTACGTTGTTCAAGGCGGCAACATGAGCGGCAAAAGCTTGTGATGTTCGCTGGTCGGGCTGGTAGGTCATGGTGCGAGGTCTTATGACGGGCCTTGTGGCAGTGCCATTTACGTGGTTACCCGTTGCCGCTGTGCCTCTCAAGACCGAGTCTCCTCCCCCACTGCCGCTGCTCTGGGGTCTCTCGTCCGCACGGCCATTCGCTCGAGCGCTTATGGGGGCGTCTCCACCACCGCTGCTCTGGGGCCGCTTTCTTGCATCGTTCTCGGAGAAGACTCCCTGGCCCATAGTGTCTGCTCGGCTGCGCCTGCGCTTCATGAGATCATCCCATGAGCCCACCGTCGGCGGTCTCTGCGCCATCGAGACCGGCCGTGGCCTTGGGACAGCCGCCATCTCCTCTGCGATCATGCCCCTTTGTGTGCGAGAGTTGAACCGTCACAACAATAGAGGAGACCAGACGAAGTGGATGAGCAGCTGTCGTATGTGGGTTTCATCGAACGAAAAAGGAAATAGAAAGAATGGCTGCGGCGGCCCTTTGTCTGTCTACGCAGGTCGAGAGCTGCAGTGCAGTTGGGGCGGCGGCGTCAGCTGAACGGAAGCCGGGGGCGACTGGGGTCTGGGTCGGATTCAACAAGGCTGGAGTGAAAGCCAACGCGAGGTGATTACTAGTAAGTAGTAATACTATAGCTGAGCAATCTAGACACAAGCTTTGCCCGAGCCCGAGTCCAGCCCAGCCTCGCACCGTAGAGTGGTCGGTACTGTCGTAAGAATTATTGACGGGTGGGTTACCCAAGACCTGCATGTCCTCCGTGATCAGCTGTAGCCACACAGCAAGCCCGATCCAAAGGTCGTCGTCAAAAAAATAAATGAAAGAAAAGGGAAAAAGTACGAGACAGGCCAGCCTTATACTGATGTTCCGGTGTGAAAGGAGGGCAAAGGGGAAGGATTGGAAATGGACAGGCGAGGTTGCGGAAACCAAGCACAGAGATCAAAGATAAAAGGTAAGAAAAGAAGTAAAAACCCAGTAAAGCAGACAAACATCGACATGTCGGCAACAACCCACTCCGAGCGAAGGGAACTAAACCTGCTGTGTGCATGCAACAGTGGGGACCCCTTCATGGGGGAGTGCAGCCGTTGATCCAAGGTTCTGTACTGTACTATGGTAAATAAGATGATCAGTCAGCGACCAGCCTATGAAGATCAACAGTCCCTTCTCAGCCAACCATTTCTGCACCATCCTTCGCCCTTTTTGGTGCCAGAGTCGATCACAACCTTGCATATCTATTCGCATTTTTCCATAGTACCTGCATCCCGAAACAGTGACCATAATAGTAAAGTAGCAAGAGTGCTGGTTCTCTTATCTTAAAAATACCCTCACACTGTGCATAAGAACAACGCTTGCGCGGCCCCCTTCCCCTGAAAGCCTTTGCTCATCGGCACCCGGCAGCCTGAGCGACCACAAACAATTAGTTCCTTGGTAAATAGCGGCTCTTACTGTCACCATCATCATCCACTTGCGACGTTGGGCCTAACAGGTGCGTCTCCTGACCAAGCTTTCAGGCGCACTCAAGCATATACTTTCTTAAGGCATGGTGCGATGGGATGTGCGCTCTTTAGCACTGCCACTAATATAGGGCTCATCTCCCTCTCTCTTGCAACCGCTCACACGAGAGCAAAAGAATTGGGGTGGAAGAGGGGGGGCCGAGGCGCAAAACTGGGTCAAAAGACAGCGAAGCCGCCGATACATCCGCTGATGACGGATTTGGTTAATGGTGAGACGCCACATGGCTAAAAGAAGCCAACCCGCCAGCCCAATTTTTTGGGGGGTCAAATTTGGGAAATTAACGTCTGGGCAAAAAAAAAAAAAAAAAAAAAAAAAAAAAAAAGGAAAGAGCCTGTCTCTGCATATTTGAGTAGGAGTACGAGGTATGCTTGGCTGTGAGAGAAGAGACGAAAGAAAGAGTCATGCTCTCGAACCTACTATACGAATATATGTGCTTGGCGGGAGAAAAACAGATGTGAGGGAAGCGCATTGTTACAGAGGGGGTTGTTCAGGCACAATCTACGCAGCATCCATGATGAAACAAATCGTACAAGGTCGATCTCGGGAAATTTGATTGTCAAGATGGAAAGGTCGTAATACATGGTATAATAAAACGCACCACTCCCCTACCCAAACAGAAGGGTGCCAGCAGGACGTGCCCAATCGGATGCCTGGGCAAATTCCTCAGCCTGCAGCCGCGCAGCCGAAGCCGAAGAAGCCCTTGTGCAGAAATAGTGCCTAGACGGCTGTCCTGGCCTGTCGATCAGGGGTGCAGAGTCGTATTGCAGTTGGGGCCTGAGAACAAATGACTTCACGTCATCACCCCGTGGTATTATCTACTCGATCTCACGTCGCGTCGCATGTGACACGTATTGAAAGACAGAGGTACCCTCCTGGAGTCAAAATATATGTGTGGGACGAGGTATTTGTTCAAACATTTCGCGCGCGACATGGGCTCAACAGTGAGAGAGAAAAAAAAAAGAAAGAAAAAAGATAGAAAGAAAGAAAAAAAACTAACAAGAGTGAGCGAGGACAACTGGAGTCGGAGTCAGCAATGAAATTCACCTCTTAATCTTGTTGTGGTTCCGGCCCCGGTCTTTCGCGTCACTAAGATTGCCCTTGCTGTTCCTAATCTTTATGGCGTCTGTCGCGTTTGGTTTGATAGCCCATATGTTCAAGCTCTCTTGCAGATAGGATGGGATACGACTTGCAATCTGTTGGCTGGACCGCCTTAATCCAACCTCTGGCAGCCTCAAAGGAGCCTCGGTGGCGGTCCGCCGCTTGATTATGCTTCGGCTTGAAAACATGGACATCCGGTCTCTGACGAATTGACGACTTTGGTTTCATATGTTGGCTGAGCTTCCTTTCGTCAATTTACGACAGCCTCTCATGTCTAGAGATTGTCCAGAATGTTCGATAACTAATTGCTAACCAGACAGACTTGACTATCGCCTAGTTGCCATCCTCTCTACGGCAATTAGTCTTCGCTCCTGCTGATTTCCACTTCTGCGTCTCCTTGGTTGCGTCTCCCGTGCCAGTCCATCTTCACACTGATTATACTGTACTGACATGGAGCCGGCCTGGAGTCATGCCCATACCGCGGTTTTGATAGCATGGCATGAAAGGTGTCGGATCAGCAGCCACAAAACCAAAGAGGACTAGCCAAACGTTGGTGTGAGAACACAGGATTACTGGTCAGCAAGAAGTGAAAGACTGTGCGTTTGGTGCAAGTTAGTACGTCTTCGGCTATGTCTCAGTGTCCAGACGACACATCGAGGGTCATTATAAGGTTGATCCAAACTATTCATCGGCCACCAGATGTGATAAATCGTCATTACGAATAGTCAGTTCAATAGAGTTGCACAGGTCAGGACACAGCCTTCAAAAAAGTCATTTGATAAGGATTCGTATCGACAATGGAAGAGAAGGTGACAAGGGCAGGCATTGCCGAGGCGATGTAGTACAGTATGAGACGAAGAGATGATGTAACGCAGGTACGTAGATTCCAGTGTGTGTACCCTCTGCAAGGCAGATATTTAAAGTACTTAGCCAAGGATTGATTGAATGAGCCTTCATGCTTGAGGCACGTAAATACGTGAGCTCACGGGCTCAAAAGTGCAGAAAGCCATTAGAAGCAGACAATTTTGTTCAGGCTCAATCTTTCCTCTACCATCCCATTAAAGAGACTTCATGAGGCGCAGCCTACACGAGGCTCGTGGCCTTTTTCAAGTGACGCTTTGATGTTGGTCGGTCAGCCTCAAGCCCAGAGCCACATATGCTTACCTTGGAAACCTTTGGCCATTTCCCCGAGATCTACGTAATCCTGGGCTACTCTGTCCTCAAAATCTGCTCAAGATCATATGTGTCTTATAGTGGTGTCTTCTGACTCCCCTCACCTCAATCGGGGTGTCCCCAGCGTCAACGTAACCTTGTGGCTCAATTACTTGTCCCCCCCCCCCTTCTCCCGTGACCATCACTCGATAGAGACTTGAAGCATGCGGCTTCTTCGCACGTAATCCAGCTCAATTCTCATAGATAGGAGATAATATTTCGGGTTCGGGATCATTGTAGTTCATCTGGTACGTGTTGACGTGTGTTGCATCCATTGCCCAAGACGCAGCAGCGGCTCTGCTTATGGAGCCGTACCCAGATGTAGACTCTCAAGTTTGCCCTGCTCAGATCTGCCGCATTTATTACTGTGTTTTGAGAAGCTGGTTGTGAAGATTGGAAGCTTCTTTTTGGAAGATCTGCCTGGGTCTTGTTGAAACAGGCGGGATAATCAATTTCATTCCGTCTAGCCTGGATTGCCTGAAGCCCAACACAAGTTATGATGTGAACACCAATACACGCTGCGTGCTGAAGTGCAATACTATACAACCCCGAACTGTTGCTGAATTTATAAATGTAGTGTTTTTGAGGAGGTCTAGCGTGGGCCATTTTCTTGAGGAACGGATCCCATGAACTCTGTTCATCAACCTTCCAGCACGTGCAAACACGCTCGATTAGGCACTCAGATTTCGATGAATTTCCCCTATGTCTAGGGCATCAGCAGCAGTATTAGAAAGCAACAAATCGTTATTTGTATATGCGTATATATACAGTAACCAATTCTACAATAAATCATATCCATAATAACAACAACGGCAACAAGGAAAAAAGCAAGAAAATAAAAGGGGGAGGGATCTATCCACATTTATTTACACCAATAGTAGACCGTTCTTTGTGCGTTATCAAGAATTGCCACTAATGCAAGCACTTGAAGCAGTGAGTTGCTTTCAGCGGAAAAGAAATTTTTATCCTACGTGGCGAGCTTCTTTTGTGGGCCCTTTACATCATGGGTGTGCTGGTATCAGAAGAAGACGGACGCTTGTCAACCCCGCGATAACCTCATTACTTTCTTCTTCATCAACGGGGATACACCACAGTATGCCTCCTTGAAATAACCGTTTCTATGTAGCCTTTACCTCCTCCTCCTTCCGGCTATTTACTGCTCCTCTTTGATAGCTCACTGGCAAGGAAAAGAAGAAGAAGAAAAAAAAAGAAGACCATGGGCAACAGTAGCGACTACGAGGCTCGTGCGTCCCAAGATGGCGATGGCACGCCTCTACAACGTTTGACGTCCACTCTCGAGGAAGCTCCTGGGCTTGTACCCCCACTAGGTCTGCCCGGCCTTCCTCTTCGTCGACGAAGCACTGCGTCCAAGCACAGTGTGAGATTCTCAGATGACCCGCGGCGGAACTCCCAGGCCGTTGCTGACGAAGAGGAACTCGAGGGCCTGGCCAGGAGCGCGTCCGCTATCAGCGGAGCTGGCGGTGATGCAGGACACCTCCGCCAGCGACGCGAGTCGCAGGACGGCGTCTTCGAGCTGCCCGTCATCCAGAGGCCTCGTGCGGCAAAGCCAGGGCTCCCAAGCACCATCCGTGAAGTCCCTTCCAACCTGCCCACGCCATCTTCCACCCGGCCCCCATCACCTTCGACGCCAGGGACTCGACTGTTGGAGGCCACCGACTACATGGGCGTGTACACACCAGTTGCCCATAGTTCACCACAGACGCCTCAGAGCGAAGCGGTGCACGAGTTAGGCGTCGGCCATGCCTACCCTGACATCGGCGTCATCGCTTCCTGGCGTGGCGCCCTCGTCCTGCTGTGCACATGCGGTGCCCAGCTGATGGACAATGTCTTCATGACCAGTATTAATATCGCCCTGCCGGCCATCCAGAAGGACTTTGGGGTCAGCAGTTCGGATCTTCAGTGGCTCATCTCCGCCTACACCCTCACGTTTGGCGGGTTCTTGTTGCTGGCCGGCGTGCTGTCGGACAGGTACGGACGGAAGCTGATCTTCTGCTGCGGCATGGCCAAGCTGAGCGTATGGACGATCGCGAACGGCCTCGCCCCCTCCTTCATCTCCATTGCCATCTTCAGGGCCCTGCAGGGCATCGGAGCCGCCATGACCGTCCCCAGCGCCGTCGGGCTGATCAGCAATTATTTTGTGGCCAGGGAACAGACGCTGGCCTTGACAATCTTCGGCTCGGCCGGCGCTGTGGGCTTCTGTATGGGCTTGATGTTTGGTGGATTCTTGACCTCCTCGCTCGGGTGGCGCTACATCTTTTACGTCGCCGTGATCGTCACCGGTTCGCTCGGTGTGCTCGGCTGGTATTGCTTGCCCAAGGACCGGATGGACGGCCACACCCGTCCGAAGCTCGATTTCGTCGGGGCAGGCCTGTCTACCGGAGGCCTGGTCCTCCTCAGCTACGTCCTCTCCAGCGGCGGGGAGTACGGGTGGGGCAAGGCCTTCATCATCGTGCTGCTCCTCCTCAGCGTGGCCATGATTGTGGTGTTCGCCTGGGTCGAAAAGAAAGTGCCCAACCCCATCATGCCCCTCTCGCTGTGGAAACTCGAGAACTTTGCTGCCCTCTGGGTGGGCGGCTTTGTCATGTACGGTGGGTATCAGACAGCCATCTACTACACGACGCTGATCTGCCAGGAGGTCAACGGGCTCAGCGCCGGCGAGACCGCAGTGAGGTTCCTGCCGATGGGTGCCACGGGCTTCATCTGTAGCCTGAGCATGTCACGGGCGTTGGAATGGTTCAACGCCAAGTGGATGCTCGTCACGGGCATGGTCATCTGCGCTCTTGCTCCCATCTCCTCGGCCCTGATGCAGCCGAGCGATGTGAGCTTCTGGAGACATGTCTTTCCGACCACTGTCTTGAGCGTGGCTGGCACCACGATCGTCTACTGCACCATCACCGTGGTCCTGCTGGCATCTGTGCCAGCCAATGTCAAGTCTCTCTGCGGAGGCATGATCAATACTGCCTTCCAGATTGGCAGCGGCGTCGGGCTTGCCCTGTCCAGCGCTGTGGTCCAGGCTGTCGACATCAACAAGGGCCACACTGAGCTTCGGCAGTACGAGACAGGACTGTGGTGTGTGGTCGGTCTCGCTGGCGTGGGCATCTTGGCCAGCATTTTTGGAGTGAAGGACAAGGGGAAGTACGTGGGCGGACCAGTCATGGCACACTAAGAAATGCAACACCACAACAACTTCATAGAGAGCCGTCTTTTAGAATCGGCTAGAATTTGGTATAGAGCGGTCATTAGAATAGATTTCATTTTGTTTCGTATACCCACGCGTCTGTAATTAGGCGAATTCAAAGTTTTGCTAACGTTTTGGATATATGTTTATTTTACATTGGGATTGTGGCAAAGGGGCACTGTTTATACAGGAACATAGTGAAGGATGTCATCGTTACCCTCGTCCTCAGGCATAACAGAGAAAGTACCTTAGCCTGCACCATAAATACTTATATATACATGTATCCTTGCCTCTTTGAAACTCCAAACTTTAGCAAAGAGTCATGACTGTATACGTGTACCAGCCTTTGTTCTTTCTGTCTACACGAATAGGTCTTTCAATCGCTTCCAGATATTTAATCGAAACTTACTTGGATTCCTCTTTATTCCTTTTATTTTTGTGACTGCCAAAATGGCCTCAGTCAGCAGTCTGCAAGGCCAGCTGATCTTTCCTAGTCTTCTTCTGAAGCGCGTATCACCAGTAGCGGCCATCCTCCTACATTATGTTATGCAGACGGGATTATCATAAACACTGAAGATTGTCATGTTAGGATCGAGACGGAAGCATCATGGCATGCATGACACCTCCCTTTGAATGATGTTGGTCTAGTGTCCAAAACTGTCTGCTCCCCCTCTGGTAATTATACCCCCCAAAAAAAAAACCAAAAAAAAAAAACCCACCAAAAAACCACGTCCCCTTCCCCCCTTTTGCCCAACAAATACAACACTCGAGTCAGTGGTCTTAATTATCGCCTCGCTGGCCGTGGCGCAGATGTTAGTTGGTCCCCGTTCTATTGAGCTTTTTGCCTGCCATTTTGTTTTTGATATTTATTTTTTCGGATCCGCCCCCTGAACTCATAAAGCCACCACGAGCAAAACAACATAATTATTTTGATGAAATGTCTAGCTTATCCATGTTCCAGGTTCCTTTTTTTTTTCTGCCCCATAAACTCCACGCAATACACAAAAGAAAAGCAAACAAGGGCAGAATCTGGCCGGAATGCCTTGAGATTTTGTAACCAGATAGATCAGGTGGTCCGTAGGAAAGAAGTAATGTCAAAGAAGGGCACGAGTCATTGCCACAAGACTTTTTGGCTCGCTATCGAATGTTTGCGTTCCGCCAACAGATGATGGTAGTGGCGGTGCTGACTGTGTGACGTCGTCTCCCACGGTGGTCCTCAATGAACATGTGAGCATCACGTGCTCCCCTTGTAAATGAACAGCCCGGAGTATAGTGTCTTGTGGAATGACGTTGTTGTTTTTAGCCAGGAAATTTGATGACCCCATGAACCGTGAATTCGACCCGTTCGACATGACAATATCTTTCTTTGTCCTCTCTCGCAGTGCTCTCCCAGTCGAGTTAGGCGTGGGTGTGAATGAGTCGTGAAGCGTATGCGGTGGTTGCGTGTTCCCGTCTGCCGCAGGGTCTTTTGGATTAAAAGAAGAGAGAGAAAAAAGTGGAGGCTGCGAGACTTGTGTGGTGTGGTAGTCGGTTTTTATGATTGTTCTCATGGATGGCACAACGGGCATCTGCCCGGTTGCACGATGAATCTCTCATGAGGACCCTGGGGACACTTTCTTGACTTATCGCCGTCCATGGATGTACGGGTGAAGTGCAAGCCGGGGTCGTTGCAATGCTCGTAAATGTAGTAATTCTTTGTGACATTGCACATGATGAAGGTGGTGCAGCCCGCTCGGGTAACGGAGGGTGTTGTGTGTGAGTATCGATGGGGAAGAGAAGTGGAGGGGGGAGTAGGTAACGGAGGAGGAGAAAGAAGGACGTAGAAGATAGAGCGGGAGGAGAGGAAAGGTAGATGCCAGTTGTCTGCAATAGGCCGGACAGAATTATACACGTACGTATTATACAAGCGAGAAGTACCCCATCGTCGAGTTGAAGTGTATAGATGCCCAAGATATATGAGGCGGAGATCGGGTCGACATGGGACGGCAAATCAGGCCGGGGCTCTGCTGAGACGGGGTGTCATTACGACAAGTGGTGTCAGATTATAATAGGGCTTGGTGGGTCTTGTAAACGGTATGAAGGAGAAAGAAGGGGGGGTTTTCCTGGGTATGCACCCTGGCTCGTCCGTATATGTCTCCTGATGTCGTTGTACCTTGGCGGAGCGACGGGCCTGAAGGTCGACGAGGCAGGCCGTGGGGACAAGACACATAGAGAGGGTTGGCTTATTGCTACTGCCTTTCACTGTGTAACTACACGCCAGCCCGGCCTAGAGTCTGACGACAAAGGGTACTGCCCCAAAAAGGAGTGGATCTGTCAAAAGAAGAAAAAATTGCGAGTGTGCAAAGCCGCGTGTGAGAAGTGACAGGTGATGAAAGTGTGTGCTGGTGTCATTCCCAAGGGTTGGAAAGGCCGGGGTGACCGATTTGGGCGGATTGGTTATTGAAGCCACCCTGAACCCGGTGGGCGAGACTATGAGGGCCAACCGACCCACAGGAATGCGGCGTGCCTCAGCTGAAATGTACATCATACTAAGATAAAAAGAAGAGAAAAAAGAACGGTGCCGATGGGGGACGGCACGAGCGGATCTGTGGAAGGGTGGTATGTGGGGTGGGAAGAGGAAGGGGGGCATGGAAGGAAGGGAAGAGAAGGGTAGCATGTCAGAGCCTGAAGCTTAGACGAGAGCGTGAGTCGCAGATGCTTTAACAGGCAATGCCTATGAAGGTGGATAGAGTCAATTGGGTATCCCAGTAGCGATCACCGACGAGAACAGGGCAGACCGAGTCGTAGTAAAATTACTCGGCACTTACACAATTTCCTGGCATGCCCTGGGATAGCGACCAAGTTTGTCCAACGTCGGAGGGCAGCGCTAGTGGACCTCTGAACATGGGTCGTGAAGGCCCTGTTGAATGGGATTTGAAACATTACTCGGTAGACCCGTGCAGAGAAACAAATGCCAGGATGGAAGGCCGGAAGCTTAAGTCAGAAGACACGGTCCAGAGCTTGAGACAGGCCCGGCATCCAGGCTTTTGGAAACCCAGCTCAGACGTAGTGAGGTCCAAGCCAGTTACATCCAGGCGCACGTGGTCAACCATACAAGAAGAAAAAGTACGACAGCAATGCAACCCGAAGTCGAGCACAAGGCAAAAATAGACTTCTCAAGAGCAAGTGTGTGCCCTTGTGCGCATATACGTAGTATATATGTATATATATATATATATATATATATATATATGCCATAGGATATGTACGTACGTCGTGGCTCCATCTCTAGTCACACAAACAAACCGAGAGCAGAGCAAGGGACATGGCTTGTGATTGAACCATGACACTCGTTGCAAGGATAGCATTGCCTATTTGGTTCACGGCTCTGGAAGTATCCGTCACAAACGCGTGTCAAGGCGTCGTGAAGCTAAGTAAGTACTTGGGGAGGTAGAAAGTTGGTGAGTGGGGTTTGGATTCAGGTTTGGCGGTAGGACTTTCGGGGCTCGCCGTGCCTACAACAGGAGTGGCAGGACCACCATTGGCGTACCGAGAGCCGGGGCGAACTATAGTGGTCTTTCTTATAGCGGGTGCCGTGTATTTCTCTCCCCCCCCCCCCCTACGTAACGGTCCCACCCACATGCGAGACTGCCTCCCAGAGTAGGGGACTACAAGTCTGCGTACCCGTTGCCTGTGCTCCAACAGAAGCCCAATGGACTAAATTGGCACCAGGATAATTCTTTTCCCCCCCCTTCCCCTTCTTCTTCCCCTCGTCTGTCTTTCTTTCGGATGGACCCTTGGAATTCTGCTTCAACGGTGTGGCTGGATGGATGCCAAGCTAAGTTGTTCGAGGGAGAGATTTAATTAAGTCTTGGACAAGTGGGCTATACTTTTGTATACCAGGTCAAGAGGACCTGACAGCAAAAACATATGTGAGGGGCTGTGGAGGGTCCTGTGGGACTTATCAGTATGTGCTCTCGACAATCTCTAGTAGTTCTCAGGAAGGAAAGGGTCGCTATCTTCTTCAAAAGCCAACAGGTAAACAGATCATGGTACGAAGAAAAGAGACATGCAGGTATGTCGTGAGTACCGTCCCCGGGCAACCTCGGCCTGACAGCCTCCCCCCCGGAAAGCTAATGCACAGATGCGCCACTTAGAGCGGGAGATGATGAGCCTGCAATCAAGCTTCAACGGCTCAGACGCCGATCCCACCGCAATCGATTGGTCTCGGCCTGACATTCTTGAGATATAAATCTGCACACTCTGTTCTCTACCTTGACCAGACCCTTGACCTGCATGGAATGATGGCCACATGTTCATGGATATCACATAATAATTTCCATACGACGTAACCTAGTCGATCTTCTTTCTTCTCATTAAAAATTTTTTTTTTTTTTTTTTTTTTTTTTTTTTTTGGTGCTTGTTATCATCCTTTTTCCAAATCCTTCTAGAATGTGTGTTGGTCCAGGCCTTTATTTTTGCTCTCATACAAAAAAACCCCTCACTCAGTTCTTGCTGGATAGCTTCTGAGGTCAGCAGACCATGATCGACAGGAGACAGAAAATACAGTTAAGCGATCGTCTGAACATGTTGCGCAGAGAAATGTTGTGTGGGTCGATTTTCTTCAATCAGACTTTTTCGGAAACCCTCTTGTTTATTTAGCCCTGATCAGACGTCCCAATTCGGCGTGCGCTGCCGATGAGCCCTGGTCCTACGGCCCCATAATTGTTCCGATGCAGCTTGCTTCCTCTCATCAAGTCTTCAAGTCCTCGTATCGATGGGTTCGCCAGGGCCGTTTTCTTGTTATTTCTTCTTTTTCTTTTCAACAACCCATGCTGATTAGAATGAAGCCTGTCTGGGCTTGTCGCGTCACTTTTCGTTATCTCAATTATCCCATGAGTTCCATGGACAAGTCGGTCTCAATGGTGGGGAGGTGGGGGAGGGGGGAGGGGGGAGGGGGGAGACGCGTTCCACGGCGACTCCATGAGATTTGCCCGAGAAGTGACAGCTTAGATCGTTTTTGGACAACGTCTGCCTGAAGTGCTTAGACTCTTAGGGCCAGCACGGGAGCATGGATGGGGTCGCGATAATTCGAGGGTGTCGCACTGACCTCGCGACATGTGGATAAGTCTACACTTCTGAGACAGGAGGGCATTAGCCTTTTCGCTATCGGCATCATGATATGCATGGTGAGGCAATGCCTCTGACAGGAGTTGGTTGCGATAGCGTCCATGATCTATTATGTACTTGGATCGGTACCTTTTCTTTTCTTACTTTCTATTCTTCCTTGCCTTGCTCCCTTCAAACACGCATTTCACGAGCACAAAAGAAATAAAAATAACAAATATGGAACCTCACCAAACCAGCACATGCTTCGCGAGAGGCCCGATACTACCGTGGTACTTGACCGTCGGCACGCTGCACATCGGGACAGGTGCTTCAGGGTCACGGGCCAAGGCCCTCAGCATCCTCTTCTGAGACGATCTGCTCCGAGAGGTTATTATTTTGGCTTTCGGGGTCGAAACGTTCCTTCTTCGGGCCCCTAGACCGGTAGTTGGAGGAATTGGGCTCCCCCAATGGCCTGTCGTCCCATGTGGGCTCCGGCCAAGGGCTCTTGTATGCAGGGACAGAATGTGCCATCGAGCTCGGCCCCTCCATCCGGGACACCTTGAACATCAGACTAATTTCTCACCTCTCTACCGAGGTCCGGAGCCGACACCCTGACGGACGCTTTACCCGGCCTGGACCTGTTTTCTCCCGAACAGCGTTACAATCACACTTTGGCAAGGGGGAAAGAGAGGGAAAACCACACACAGAGAGAGAATAAAGAAGACAAAAGACGAAACCATGCGCCTTCAGAGCAAGCCCCCCAATTTGTGTTGCTGCTCCTGCGATTTGTTCTTCATCCTTCAATTTTGATCATCCGCGTCAGGCCGCGCGCCCCTCCAACGGACTTGCGCTTGGAACACTGCGCCCGGGCCCTCATTACCCCTGGCCAACAAATCTTCCAGACTCCAGAAAGAAACCTCCACACCCGTAACAAGCCCACGGCCCGTACAAGTATCAAGAGCTCATGGGTGTCACGGGGCATCGTCAGAACGCCTGCCTAGCTATCCGATATAAGTAATGGAGCCGGACCCACTGGTACAGGTACTATACGCAGGGCTGCCCGGAGGGGAAGCGATAATGTCTTGCTATCATTGCGCGGTCTGTCGAGACGGAGTCTCTACTATGGTACATTATAACACATGGAGCGCAAGTATGATTCGGGTATCCAAGAATGGCCAGGACCATCCAGAATCGTGCGCAAAAAAGGATTCATTATTAGATACGGGACATGAAGTGTGGATGGCATTGTTGATGAGCATCTTCTACCCACGCCCCTCCCCCCCCCCTTGCCCCTTTCTCCTAGGCTAAACTGCTCCTGTCTTGCGATCCAAAGAACTGCATCAGCAGGTTTTCTCGGGAAGTGGCTATCACTTCAATACAAAACCTCGCGAGCTTGATCGTGCACGGAAATTGGCAAATCGAGTAGACATGTTAAAAATAGGATCTCACGGGGGGTGCCTTGTGTGAGAGGCAAGGGGTCCTCCTAGTTTTCGTAGTACCATACAATTACGACCTAGATAGTACCCTTCTTAGTTTGCAAAGAGCAAGTTAAATGAGGTCACGGACAATTTTGAGCAATACCTTTTCAATCCGTGTCCTCGTGCATGACTGCTCAATTAATTGTCATGTCTGACAAACACTTGAAACCAGCCGGCATAACACTCATCCACAAGTTCGGCGAGATTTCTCTCTGATTCACATTGTCATGAGCTGTTCAATTTCTGCTGTGCTCAGGATCTCAGCAAGGCCACTAGCATCGGGCTGATACAATTGTATCTGAGTACCACGGTCCCAAGTTGAAGACAGCACAGCCAGAAAATACATGTAAAACGTGGTACAATGCACTAGACCTTGTCAATTCTAGCAGAGACCTGCTGGAAGAACTTGCATCAGCCACTCAAGACTGCATATACTGCTCTACTTCCAAAATGTAATCAATTACTCCCTACTCGGGACATTCCATGTTCCTGTTTCAAATTGAGACCGAAGAAGTGGCAGAACTCACTCACTTTAATCAGTCGTCCAATATTAACCACGAGTCCACAATTTGGCTTACGGAGATACTACAATTTGTAGCTACGGACAGTTCTCGGTATCAAGGGCTTACAAGTTAGGCTTCATAGAAAGTTGTAATTGCACGGTAGACATCTCCTTAGAAGTCTCGAATATATTAACCAATGTATTACCGGGAAATGAGAAAGGTTCTTGTGCCACTATACATCACTCTGTGTCTTGCGAGCTGACAGGTTAAAGTATTGACAAGTCGCACGTTTCAAATCTTATTTGTCTCTTCTGGCAACGCTCTCATTATCACTACACGTTTGCAAGAAGTGTATTTGACAAATACCTCAGTACGACTAATTACTTATTACTCTGTCATATTACCTCAGCGCCTCTTTACTTAGAACATCTCCTCGCATGATCTCTCCTCACCGACCACCTGAGCATGACCTATAGAGCCTCTTCTGTTAGCATGATAGTAATATTGGATCCGTGAAACTTGATCAATCAATACTATGCGCCAAACAAGAGCTTACGTCTGCTTTGTCATGGCGGCCTCGTCAATGCGTTTCTAATTAGATAATCGCCCCCCGGCCAGGATCTTCTCCAGGACATGGCAGGATGACCATCGAAAGTTTAAATCAATAAAGGCCAAGAACCGTATGACGGAAGGTTGAGCCCCGCCCAGCTCAGACTACGAATGGGCCCACCGAGAACGTACCAATGTCCCCACGGCGGGGGGGTTTTGAACTGTAACCTTTACAGGGTCGAGATGAGGGGCCGTGAAATGTATTGGCATCCACAGCTGACAGATTGTGGAAAGACTTTCTTCGTACTGGCTGAAGTGTCATTTGGTCTCGGTTCGATCATCAGCCAATACCCTGCGTATCTTGGTTGCCCTTGTCAAGACCTTCCTGCCCGATCCGCCGCGCCATGCACGCCATGGAGAAGCGGACAGCCGTGATCATCGACGAGCAGATCATGAACCATAGGTTTCCATGATACTTTGGCTTGGTACCAGAGCGAGGCATGAGAAGGTAGGGGTAAAGGAGAGGTGGCATAATCCCACGGCCAATTCAACCCATCATGTCACACGTAAGATTCTGCACTTTCAGGTGAACCTGCTGGCTGCGGTGATAAAGGACATTTTGAGGTAAATTGAATGATCAACGCCACTCAGAAGAGAAATGCCAGAAGTTGCTAGAGGGTGAGCAGCGCCCGACAAAGCTAATACTCTGTACTACACAGCATGAATACCCTGAGAGTGTGATGAAGGAGACACAGAGAATGGTGCTGCCAGCCCAAAACCTATGAGTACTTGACGAGCCGTCGAGGATAATGGAGACCGAAAAGAATGACGGTTCAGGCCGAGCACTGTCTGAATCTCTTCTCAGTGAAGAGGTTTTCAGTTCTATAGATTGCGGCGGTAAGCTGGAAAGGAGCTGTGCATCTTGCCAAATGACTGGCCCTGCGAACACTGCCTCTGAGTGTGAATAACACGCCTCTCCTGGGAAGTTTTCTCAGCCGATGTGCTGAGCACTACGCGATGCTACCTGCTCCTATACCATCAGGCCTAGTGAGGTTGTATTTTAGACGTTGGTTGAAGTTGATTTGATCACTTACATAGTTGCGTGCTGAATGCATGCTCGACTGCAGATCGAAATCGACACAATTACTTCAGTACCGTATGTATTGTACGTAGTAGGAAGGCCCACGCTACTATTATACTGTACTAGTTACGCCACGCCTGCCTGCGGCCCAGGTTCACAGGGCCCCGAATAACTAGCTTACAGAAGGATCTACAACCTTGCAACCCCGCATTCCCCAGTTGACAGGGCCCTTGCCTGCCACTGAAGCACCCCACCAGAGCTCTTCCAGGGTTCCCTAGCCCGCTGCAGCTCCAAGGCGCTGACGTTCTCCATTGTCGATTGATGATCAGTTAAACCTCCTCAATTTTACAACACCATCACCAACCCTCCTCCTCCTTCTCCTCCACACATACCAACCACATCAACCGACGCGATGGCCTCCCAACAGGGCTCTGACGAGACCCAAGCCCTCCAGAACGCCCTCTCGCAAGCCTCGTCCGCCCAAGAATTCAACACCATAGCCGACCAGATCTTGGACTCCTCCAAAGGCATCGTGGTCACGCGCCCCCTCCTCACCAGCTTCATCAATGCCCTCCGCAGCCGCGAGGACTACAATCTGTGGGTCGAAGTGGGCGCTCATACAATAGACATCCTTACAGCCTCGCCGACGGCCTCTTCCTCCTATCTCGAGCAGGCAGCCCTGCTGCGGGAGCTCATCGCCGACGGCCACGAGGCCAACGAAGACTATGGCGCCGCCGCCCGCGTGCTGGCCGAGATCCCCCTCGAATCCTCTCAGAGGCGGGTGTCCACAGAGAACAAGTGCCAGATCTGGATCCGTATTGTGCGGCTGTATCTAGAGGAGGACGACCCGACCCTCGCCGAGACGTATCTGAACAAGCTCAAGGCTATCATCCACAAGGTCGCCGATCCCGAGACCCAGCTCCACTTCCGCCTCTCCGCCGCCCGCATCAACGACTCGAAGCGCCAGTTCCTGTCCGCCAGCCAGGCCTACCACGAGATCAGCTTCCTCCCAGCCGTTGCCGAGGACGATCGGCTGCGCACCCTGGGCGAGGCCATCAAGTGCGCTATCCTCGCCCCTGCAGGTCCGTCGCGGAGTAGGGCTCTGGGACGGCTGTACAAGGACGAGCGGGCTGCCGGCCTGGAGGAGTTTGGCATCCTGGAGAAGATGTTCCTCGACCGCCTGATCGACCCTGCCGAGGTGGACAAGTTCGCGCAGAGCCTGCAGGCGCACCAGCTCGCCACCACGGCGGACGGGTCCACCGTGCTGGCCAGGGCCATGGTGGAGCACAACCTGCTGGCGGTCTCGCGGCTCTACGTCAACATCGACCTCGAGGCGCTTGGGGTGCTGCTGGGCCTAGACGCGGACAAGGCCGAGGTGACTACAGCTAAGATGATCGAGCAGGGGCGGTTGAGGGGCAAGATCGACCAGCTCGATGGGCGCATCGCGTTTGAGGACGAGGGCGAGATGAATGGCGCCAGTGCCATACGGCAGTGGGACAGTAACGTCTTGGGCGTGGCAGAGGAGGTGGAGAACGTGGTGGCCTTCATGCAGCAGGAGATACCTGCTTTTGTTTCCCAGAACCTGATGGTCTGAAAGAACGGAAGAAGACGGGAGCGACCATCAGCTGGTCACCTGGTGTTCTTCTTAGAGCTGATACGATACCACGGCACCCCCGCGCAAGCAAATCACGACATTATGAACAATAGACCTTTGATTACTCCACCATAAAAAGACAGTCCTACTGCCTTCTTGTTCGCATGTTGTCTTGTCTACCTTCTTACTGCCCAACGCCCTCGCCGTGACGGTATCCAAAAGCTAGACTCTCTGCTATAGTACAATACCAGGAACCCACCCAAGTCCTGCAGGACATTGGCACCCATTGACCATTCCCCACCCCCCCTGCACCAGTCGACTTTCTCCTCTTTTTTTTTCTATTCTAGGTCCTTCCGACGAACAACATAGTAACCCTGGTCCAGAAGCGAGTCGTCGCCCTCCTCCTCTTCAAAATTCTTATTATCGTCTCTAAATAGTCTCCTCTTCTTGGGTGCCCTCTCGCCGTTGGACTGCAGCCGGCCGGGCGGCATGATAAGGTTGACCAGGTGAGCGGCAATCTTCTCACCCATCAGGTCATACCCGTCCGGGGTCAGGTGGATCTCGTCGTCCCAGTACCTCTCGCGCTCCTCCTCGCACATGTTCCGATATGGTATCGCGGCATTGAGATCAAAGACGTGGCTGGGCACAGTTAGCACCACCACCATCCTCCACCTTTCCCACCCCCGCAAAGGGCGATGAAATTAAAAAAAAAAACCAAAAAAAGAAAAACCCTCCCATGTCAACCAAGGGTCAGCCAAAGCTTACAAGTTCTCCTGCCTGTGGCCCTTGATCAAATCATTCAGCGCCGCCTTCCTCCTAGCCGCCTTGGTCCCCCCCGCCCCCGCCGCCGTCGAGTCCCCGCCCGCCTCCGGCACAGTACAGGCCAGCACGCGCCCGCCCTTGCTCAGCGGCACAGCCCACACGCTCCGCAGACCCGCAAAGATGTCCTCGGGCGGCATCTGCAGCGCAAGGTCGTTGGTCCCGCCGAGCACGATGGTCCAGTCGTACGGCGTGCCGCCGCCCTTGGTCAGGAACTTGGGCTCGATGCGGGGCAGGAAGCGGCTGCCGGGGAGGCTGACCACGTCGCCTGGCAGGCCGTCGACATGCGCCTCGATGTGCAGGGCGGGAAAGGCGCGCGACAGGACGGCGGCGAGGGCGTGGCTGTAGGGGTGGCTGGGGCTGCCGTCGAGGGGCGGCGGAGAGGAGTGGTAGCCCCAGGTCAGGGAGTCGCCGAAGCAGAGAATGCGGAGGGAGCGCTTCTTGGGCGGCCGTGACGGGGAAGAAGGGATGGAGGAGGACGAGGTTGGGTTCGGTATGGCTGTTGTTGTCGCCATGTTGTTGTTACTGCTGTTGTTGTTGTTGTTGAGGTCGGGCCTGCGGGGTGAGGGTGACGCACGTGGGCTGGGAAGCATGGCTTGGCTGGGTGATCTGGGTGTTGTCGTTGCCATCTTGGCGGTCGGCGTAATTCGCCGCAATGACAGAGAGAGATACAGACAGAACCTCGGGGCTGGGTGCTTGCACGCAAGCTGCCCTCAAGAAAAGAGAGGGGAGGAAGCAGGGGGGAGAGGAGAATATGTGGTCTTCGTTGTAAGGTCTATTGGATTGTATCGTGGTGCAGGTCGAGTTCTTCTTCGTCGGTTCGTCGATAGGCTGGTCTGGATTGGTAAGGCGAGGAGGTTTATTGCATGGTCAATGTGTCCAAGTGTGCATGTAGTTGAGGCGAGGCCAAGACGAGGCCAGGCGACAGCGCCCACATCGGGCACGTCACGGGCGAGGCCTGACTATAGCGGGATAGCGCCCCATGACGCGCTGCTGGTGGGGTCGCAACAGGGGTCCCTGATAAGGCTGACAGCGGACTTGCGCCAACTTCAGACACTCCAAGCGTGCTTCGGGTATGGTAGATCAGGGGATGATTGGGTCAGGTGGAGTTCTCTGAAGTTGAGGGTCTCAAAACGTTGACAGCATATTGACATGTTGAGCCCTGCAAAAGGTCGACTACATGTAGCATTCTATTTCGCGCTCGATGTATTCCATGATCTAGATTTGTGAAAATTAAAGCAAATATCAATTTTTGAGACCTCTTTGATTTGCAGAATATTTAAATACCTGGCTTACAAAAACAAATAAGAATGTATAGAAGAAATCTCATTTTCATTTAGTTTTGACTCATAGCGCAGGATTGAATATGGTGTCCAAGGTCGGCGGGTTTTGTGTCTCGTGAGTCAATCAAGTGGTTCGTAAAGTGTGTTCTTCGAGAAGAGCCCTGATACCATTGCCACTTTCTGTTGGTTTACTATTTCAACTCCTTTGCTGGTTGAACTCTACAGGATTGCTTGTCTACAACCGCAGATGTAACATGGAGGGGTGTTGAAGATCGGGCTACTTTGATTCGATGTAGGTAATCAATTACAGTCAAGGTTCGAGGCCTGCAGATGAGCTTGGCTAGTGCGAACTAGGTCCTACTACAAGTCCAACTTCAGAGCAATTCTGTTCTGATTGTTTTTAAATGATTTGATTGATCTCAATGATCCATCACGCTAAGCTAGAGGCAATTGCATTTTTTTCGCCCTATGTATACAAGTTCGGACGTATATCTCTGATATACACTTGTCGATGCCCGTTTTCCACCTCAAACATAAACCCCTAAACGAGACATGGTTGGAATCCGAATCCTCAAAGCCGCATCATCAACCTGTCGACACTCGTGACTCCAAGCTCTACTCCAGCTTGCTCTGCAGCTTGCTCTGCAGCTGTCTCTCCTTGAAAAGTATATTCAGCGGTGGCTTAACCCACACAAGGAACAACGGCTGTTCGCTGGCCCAATCTTCCTGACCCGGAGCCAGCTCAAAATCAAACCGGTAAAGGATGCGAGCAATAACGAGTCGGAGCTCCGAGTACGCCAGGTTCTTGCCGAGACAGTCGCGGGTCCCGAAGCTGAAGGGCTTGCAGGCGGCACGGTTGTCGTTGGCGAACATGGGATCGTACAGCGGGTGTGAAGCCGGGAGCCAGCGCTCAGGTCGGAAGGTGTCCGGGTCGGCAAAGTTGGCTGGGTTGTGGAAGGTCGCCAGCTGGTAGGTTGTGACGGCGGTCTGGAAGAAAGAGAAAAAAAAGATCAGTCAGGTTGGAGGTATTTCTCTCGAGATGTTGTAGCAAAATGGAAAACAAGTAATTACTTACGCCCTTCGGAATGAATTCGCCATTGAGCTTAGCACCAGGCGAGATACGAGGGGGCAACTCAGCAGCAGGAGGGTACATGCGCAAGTTCTCCTCGATGACGGCTTGCAAATAAGGGAGGCGAGCCACAGACTTCATATCCAGTTCGTCTTCGCTCTGGAAGGCGGAGCGGATCTCGTCGCACAGCCTGTCGTAAATCGGGCGGTACTTTGGCAGCCCCAGGTGCCAGAACATGGCAGACAGGGACGTAGCTGTGGTCTCGCTGCCGGCAATCACCAGGTCAGCCGAGTTCATGATGATCTCCGTCTCGGTGAAGCCTGGATGCCCGTCGCGGTCCGTCTTGAGCATATAAGTCATGAAGTCCTTGCGGCCACCAGGCGCCTCTCCTTGCGCCTTTCGCAGCAGGGCCTTTTCGGATGCCAGGGTTCTCGTTTCGGTGTTCGCAGCAATATCGCTGGCAGCGGACCCAAAGAAGCGGACAAAGGGGCCAATCAATGGGAATGTGTCTATAGCTCGGATCATGGCCGTTCCGCGTATACCCTCGATGATGCTCAGCACCCAGGGATGGTAATCTCCACCCGCAAGGGAATGGAACGAGTCGCTGAACATCAGATCGCCAATGATGTCAAAAGTCGTAAAGTTGAACCACTTGACAAGATCAAACGTTTCCCCAGAGGCGGCCTTCTCGCCGAATCGCTGGCACAGCTTGTCGATATACGGCTTCATAAAGGTCTCCTGTTCCTTCATGCTCGCGTCGCTGAACGCATAGCCGAGCTGGCGACGCCTCCGCCGGTGTTCCTCGTGCGCGCTGCCGATCAATCTGAGCTCGTCCTGCTCGCCGAAAAACCCGCGCTTCTTGGGCCACTCCGGCTGGCCAGGACGGTGCTGGAAGATCTGGGGAAACCCGACGGCCCCGTCCACGGCGAGTCTATTGGGGCCAATGCGCACGATGGGGCCATACTTCTTGTGCAGGTCGACGGCCTCCCGGGCAGTGGTACCGGAGACGGCCTCTTTGTAGACCCAAGGGATGTCGGTGGCTGCCAGGTGTTTGGGCCCGGGATATTTGGCCAGAGGATGGAAGTATACTCTGTAGACGAGGACGAGAATGTACCATAGGAGAGCCTACAAGAAAAGGGATTCGATTAGCTCAACTTACTTCTGAGAAGCACACTGTTATTTTGAAGAAGTAGGGCCTCAATGGAGATGGGAAAGGCTACAAAAAACAAAAAAAAACTTACAGATGCTGCGGCTATGCCGACAAGTTTCAGAGTGGATTTAGCTGCCACATCCTGACTATGGAAGGGCAAGACGATATCTAGCGGCTTGCTCATGATGTTGAAGGCGTGTTACTTATGACGGTTGTGTTATAAAACTTGGAAACGGGTTATTGGTAGTCTTGTATCGACAGATTGGAACCACGACACATTCTGCTCAAGGGCATGATATATATATATATGTGTGTGTGTTAGAGAGAGAGAGAGACCGCAGAGCTATTGAGTAGTATAGCAATTATTCTGGGGATCAGTCCCTACTCGGTAATTCTAGGGCACCGCAGTGTCAACTCTCGACATCGGTGTATACAATCCTCCCGATCCCGGGTAAACTCAACGCTCAGATCAAGGTATGCACATGCGCCACAACGACGGGAGATCAACCGACCGTTTTTTCTTTTTTTAGGTGGCATGTATACAACTCTGATTTCAATAGAAGGTTTCAAAGGCGCGTACACTGCATAATCACTCTCTTGTCCCTTCAGTATCTTGACCTGATTGGTCCTCCCCCTTCTCTTCCCCCCCTCCACTTCCACCGCCACAATTGAGATCAGGGCACTGTACGAAGCTTGAGTGTCCATGATGGTAGTTGTAATCGACGCTGCTACTTAGGTACCCACCACGGGATCTGCAGGATATCATGTCAATTAGGGGTACATGATACTTACCCATGTAAGAGCCTGCAGAATAACCACAGTAACTGGCGGTGTCTTTCACACACGGGTTCTTGAGACAGTCCGACAGTCCAGATATCTATCAACATGTTGTCGTAATGTGACAACGGCATGGTATTACAAGATAGGACGGGAAGTTGTAGAAACTCTCTCCACGAGATTGTTGACGCTCGCTTTTGATGGTTCGGCGTTTGGGGTGCCGGATCATACACCCTGTACTACATATGTTGTGGGGATGAGGGTGGTAAAAATACCTCGGAGTGATGGTCTCATGCCACATTATGCTTGTTGAATGAAAGAAGAACTAATTACTTGGGTCATTTCCTAGCAGTACTAACACTTTGAAAATAGTTCAAGTCGTTTCTCCATATTCTCAAGCATGAGCGCAGTGGATGGCCACAGCATCTTCTCATCTCTTGTTCGTCATGAAGGGGAAAATCAGTCGATATCGAAGCACAGGCTGCCAAGTATTCGAAGAGTCAAGTACCAATATACCCAATTCTCCACGCGTGTACCTTACCGTAGGTTGTCAGACTCAGTTTCCCTGTAAACGAGTATATTTCAAGCCTCCTTTGATAGGATAGGCAAACCCGGCCCCGCAGTGATTCCAACGAGGTTGTGTTTCAAGTGGAGCAACTGTCCTGCACAACCCCTCCTTGCCAGCACGTACGATGAAGACGTTACGTATCATCACTGACTCATTCACACCCCTCCATGTATCCTGTAGGCTATAGGGGCTTGACTGCGGGATTGCTTGACCTCGGGCTCTGTTCGGGTAGGCACACCACCCGGACGCCCGAGATCGTTTCCGCTTCGTGTGAAGCCAGGTTGAGGACAATAGTATAGGCCGAGCTCATGGAGCATGAAAGGAGAGTCGGCGGATTCTGGACATTGTGGTGATCATGATTGTGCTCTGGAGGAGGAATTTGAGCTTTTGTTGGTTGCGTTGAAATAGACGGGAGGAAAGTGGTTTGGTATATTGTTGTTGATTTGTCAGTGGCGGGCTCTGATGCCCAAGTATGATCCAGAGCAAATGTTAAGTGCCACAATATTCGCTAATTGAATAATCAATGTCGAGCTTAGTTCAAGGTGTGGTCAAAATTAGAATTCCAATTTTGATTATTGGTCAATCCTTTGGCAGTATCATCTACGATTTCCTCCTTAACTCTATATCGACTCTTTGCTAGGATATTTACTCCGCAATAGTACTGAAGTGACTCTGATCATGATCCACTACAATACTAGTTCATGTGCGACATGCTGCGCTGTGCCCCTTTAGTGCCGCCGCGCGAGTCTCTGTTACCGCTACCCGAGCTCGCATACTATCCCGGCTTGCCTCGAGAGATCGCACAGTCCCATGTTTTGTTGTTGCCTCAAGCCACACTCTTTTCGATAAGCTGGAGCAGCACCTTTCTTTTCCACGTCCACCATACGCCTCTTGAGATCCGATAATGTCTTTTCGACTGACTCAACGGCCTCGACGAACTTGATGGACTCAAATCGAGATGAAGCTGGAGCCGCTCTCTGTTGCGTTGTAAAGGTATCAGAGGGCCAAGACGGCGACGAAGTTGTTTTGGGGTCTCCCTGCTGGAGGAAGGGCCTGGTCTCGTTTACGGTCTGCGAATGTTCTCAGCACGTGGGATCTCAACGGCGATTTGATACTCGATATTAGTATCTACTCGCCTAGCGACTCAGAACATTGGTTTAGATACAAGAAGTCCACTACGAGCCCTGGAGGGAATGGGACTGCATGCAAAGCCCTATAGATAGAAGTGAGTATCGCTGTGGCAGTGGCCATAGGGGCCTTAGGTGAATGAGGCCTGGGTGGCCACCCTGACTCACTGGCCTGAGCCATTCAATGGAAAGGCAGTGAGTCGCCAGGTACGCTAGCTCAGTTGGAACTAGTGCTAATTGCCTTCTATATAGAAGGCAATTGGCAAGCATGCCTTGAGATAGATTAATTGAAGAATCATCTTCCCTTCTACCATTTGTACAGCCCCTAGAGTGCCTTCTACAATCGCTGCATACCTGCCCAGGTTATTGCTCGCTCTCATTCATATAGGTACTCTATCGCTGATAGCCCGTATCCTTGATCTAGGTTATGCCTTTTCGAGCCTATCCACCATTCTAGCAACATTCTCAAGAGACTGTTGGTATTCGTGAACATTAATCAACAATAACCAGCTATTATGCAGCGATTCATGCTCGGGGAAGACTTGATCGGATGCGACAGTATTCGCAACCCAGCTCCAGCTGTTAGCCGGATGGTCGCGCTCGCCAGCCTCAAGCTTGAACATCTCGCAGCATCCTTTATTGTAGATGCTCGCCATTTCTCCGACATCGAACGCTCTTGGGAGTGGTCAAACCTAGCCTCGCTTATACTTGCTTCCAAATTACTTGCGCCCAACGAGAATTCGATCGAGCCTGGATCTATGCTTCAGGCAGCGGCGACAGCGGCCTTGAAGATGCTACAATTGAAAACAATGGAGATTTGGAACGCAAGAAAGGAGTTGGCGGCGCTCTTCAAATATCAGGCGTTCCGCGATACACAGCAAGCTATAATCATTTGGAGTGGCACATGGGAATTGACCAAGGATTCATCTATAATTTAGGCTTGGGAAGCCGTCGTACATTAGCATGACGGTTGGAGACTCGGCTTGGTTCAGGAACGGTTGGATGAAGCTGCTGTCAGGTCTCATGCTGGCGCAATTCACTACCTAAGGCTCTCAAGCCAGCTCATTCGGCCCATCTCGTTGCAGCAGATCCGGATAGAACAGAAATTCTTGGAGGGCGTGAAGAGCGTATAATACCGAATGAATTATGGATATCAGAAGGAAAAGTGTCCCTGCATAATATTGAGCTCTGGCAGTTCTCCCACCCGCCCAGGCTTTTTGCATCGCACACCTGTTGACGTTTGGTGTAGCCTTGGCTTAGTGTTTGTGCGCTGCACGAGACGTGGGAATTGACAGGGTTGATGAATAGGTGGGTCGAATGCACAGTGTGAGTTATAGAGTGAGATAGAGAGAATCCCAGGGGTGTTTGCCGCTTTTAGAAGCGACAGCACATGAACAACAGGATAGACAGTAGCTTAGCTATTAAGCAGTTTCTCGTGAGATATACCCGCAGGAGACCACCTTCCCCAACACCCAGGGCAACAGCCTGTAGCTTGGTGATGGGCACGCCGACCAGATATCCTGCGTGCGTGCTGCGACGTGTGCAAGGCGGTATTCTAGCGTGAGCCGAGAGAGAGAGAGAGAGAGAGAGAGAGAGAGAGAGAGAGAGAGAGAGAGAGAGAGAGAGAGAGAGAGAGAGAGAGAGAGCAAGAAACTGCGAGTTGAAAAATTATATGTGGCTGTCTCCGACAGTTATGAAGGCGAAGTATACACATTACTCATGAATCCTTTAACGGTTTGTAGACTCGTGATAAGTGCATGGAGAATCAACTTGGTGACCATGATGTCATAAATTGAGCCTGAGTCTTAGGTAACACCGAATTATTAATTCATGGCGAGAGTCCCACTCTTCCCCCTCTCGCATTGCCTACCGTAGAAGAAGACAATTGTCAACTGCGCTAGAAATTGCATCAAAGCTCATACCTGTCAATAATATCCATCCAAAAAGAAAAAAAGAAAAAGAAAAAAAAGATGACTACAACGGCACAGAAGACGCTCTTCCTCGTCGGGCCCGGTCTCATCGGCGGCTCGCTGCTGCTTAAACTAAAGGAGACCCGGCCCGACCTGAAGCTACATGCCCTGACGCGGCGGGACGACCAGGCCGCCTCGCTCAAGGAGCAGGGCATCGAGCCGATCCGGGGCTCCCTCACCGACGCCTCCCTCATCAAAGAGTGGGCAGCCAAGAGCGACATCATCATCCACGCAGCCTCGGCCGACGACGACCAGGGCGCGTTCGCCATCCTGGAGGGCCTCAAGACCCGGCCGAAAGGATCCAAGCGCGCCATCTACATCCAGACAAGCGGCAACGACGAGCTGGTGCGCTCTGCGCAAGGATTGGGGTCCAAAACCATCGAGGAGAAGACGCTGTCGGACCTGCACATGACAGACGAGGAAATCGACGGCCGGATCCAGCCCGACGCCTACCACCGACATGTCGACGGCCCGCTGCGGAAGGAGCTGTTCAACCCCGAGGCAGAGAAGGAGCACAACGTCGTCGGCACCATCATGATGCCTCCCCTCATCTATGGTATCGGCTCGGAGCCCTGGAAGCGGATCTCGATCCAGACGCCCATGGTTGCAACGTATATGATGCAGAACGGCCTCGCGGCGCTGCCAGAGGGACACCCTGCCGCGTGGAACTGCGTGTGGGTGCACGACCTGGTGGAGCAGTACGTCCTGCTCCTGGCGCACCTCGAGAAGCTCGAGCCGGGCCAGCAGACGTCGCACTATGTGTTCCCAGCCGAGAAGACGCCCTTTTCTTGGAAAGAGCACTTTTATGCCGTGGCGAGTGAGCTGAAGAGGCTTGGTCATCCTGCGGCCCAGAAGAATGGCGGGCAGCAGAAGGTGCTGAAGACCAGGGAGGAGTTTATCGAGTTCATTGGCGGGAAGGAAAATGGGTACAGCGAGTGTTTTGGCTACCTGGTGTGGGGGACCGAGAACAGCTACACGAGCCCCGAGTAAGTATTTGTTTCTTATTCCCTCTCTGCTCCTAACTTTGAAGCATCTCATGAATTCGACTGACTTAATGACCCTCAGCCTGACAACCAGCCTCGGCTTCAAGCACAAGGCGAAGGGTGTCGTGGACAGTATTCTCAACGGAAAGGAGTTGGAGGGATTCATTCAGCAGCACATCAAATGAAGGGTCTGACCTATAAATCAGCACGGTGATGGCTTCTGTATCCAATAGTGGTAGACATGTTGTGATTCAAAGCTATCAGTCTGAAGAGCTGGATATAAGAGCACGTTCATGATCAGTGAGATGGGCATTGTCAGTACGTAGCTCTTCAGTTGTCTTCTTACGTTTCACATCTCAACATTGCAATAGCCGCACTGGAACTGAAGTCTATGTAAAATTCTACTCGAGTAAAACACCACTTGTTCATTATTAGAACCCTCCCCACCCTTCTCATGATCCAAAAAGTGATGACATAACCTTGGACACAAGGCCCCCAGACCTCCCCGCCTGAGCCTTCTCATTATGCTCCTTGACATGATCCAGAATGTATGCCGGAACAGCCGCCACCTTGTTCGTCTCAGCAGGCGTAGGCACGCCCAACGTCTCCACATACGGGATGACGCCCGTCCAGACCTTGTTCACAGCTGCCTCGTTCTTCAGATCCTTAGCGTCCTCCTTGACGCCCGAGTCGCGGATCTTGGCACTGGCGCTGTTAATGCGCACTTTCAGAATCCTGGTCGAGGCGATCTCAGCCTCGTCGGGCGGCACGCGGGTGTTGTCGTAGCGGCCCGGGCAGACGACGTCGGTGATGAGCTTCATGGCCCACAGCAGCTCGTCGCGGTTGAGAGGGTTGTCCCTGGTGCCTGGGTCAAGCAGCGTGGCCGTGCCGTGGACGACGGCGGAACGGTAGTCGTAGCTGTGGTTGAAGGGCGTAAGGGCCAGCACGAGGTTGTCGATCTTGGTGGCGGCGATGCACACGGGAAACCCGGCGTCTTCCTCCCGCGTGGCGGGCTCTGATCGCCCGGTCTGGGGTCGGAACATGCGACTGGAAACGTAGCCGTGGATGTATGCAGCGGCCTCACCGTCGCCACCTGGGAATGTGCCTATGCGGGCAATCATGGGAAGGACAACGGGTAGCGGGTTGGATGGGTCTGGGACGAAGGAGACATGGGCGACGGCGGTGCTGTTGAAGATGGAGTGGACCGTCTCGACATCATAATGGCCTTGAGGAGAGTAGAACAAGTGTCAGTGCGACGTTTTCTGGTGTGTTAGGAGTGATTGATTGATTACAAAGTCAATGTAATGACAACCTACCTCTCTCCTTGTGTCTGTTGATTGCGGATTGTGCCGTCTTGAGGGAAACTTGGTGCTGGTCTTCGCTGGCCATGATTGACGTCTATGGTAGTCAAAAGGATATCTCTTTACTCAGTCTCTGATGATGTCTCTGGACTTCTTGTCAAATGGTTCTGGTAAGACGAGAAGGTGCTTGCTATTTATCTTGCTGTTCAAGGAGCCCGCGGACGTAGTCGAGGGATGGGCCAGAGAGAGGGTGAGTCAAATGGCATCTATCTATCCCCTCCCGATGTACTGTATATTTCCCTATTTGGAAAGTACATGCGTGACCGCTAGTGGGTGATAGGAAGGGACTAAATCTCGGCCGAATCCTTCCTCCAGGATGCCTATAAAAGGGCGTGCCTTGGAAAGCCTACAGATTAGCACCGCATCGCGTGTCTGCCAGGGTGCCGGGCGGGTTTGTATAGGTCGGGATGATGAATATTATGGTGTTTGAATACACCTGCTATGCTGCTAGGTAGAGTGTTTAGGAGAGAGAAGAGGCGACGAAATGGTGATCGAATAATAATCAAACGTAATACTACTTCATGTGTAAACCAAGACAAGTAGAAGACTGTCAGTCAGTCAGTCAGCCAGCCAGCCCCTTGTGGGTTATCTTCTGCCGTGCACCGTATGCAGAAACTGCACATGCATCTCCTCTGCCTGCCAGCTCATCTCCGGAGATCTGGGGCAGTAAGTGCTACCTACTAGACGAAATAGGTAAACAATGCCTGCGAGACGCAGCTGCCCGCAATACTTGGAGATTCATGACTCCTTACTTCCGTCACAGCGCATGACACATGGGGCGGAGAGGACGCATTCAGCACTGTGGTAATCCATCAGGTCTCACGACAACGGAATCAAATTTCGCATGTCCCTCAGTCCACAGCAAGTCCAGTCTTTATTGGAGGACTTTCATTCTTAGGTCTAAGGGGGACATTAAAAGTAGGAAGAAAAAAAAAGGAAGGGTTAGCGAAACCACGGTGATCAGGACGAGTTTCTTGAATTCGAGGGACGAAATAATATGGTAGAAATAAGTGAAAAGGTCAGAAATGCGTTGGAAACAAGTCTTGTCTGGCCTGCCGTCCATGTGGCATGCTTGACCTATGTATCAATTGTTTGTTTGATTGTTGAATGTTCTTCGACAACAGAGCGTGGGATGAATGAATGAATCTTGGCTCCGATCATCGCAGCCCCTACCCTGCACGCTAACGATCCGGTCTGTTGATGCAGCGAATGAGGCCCTTTAGTTGGTCATCTCCCCGCCGTCTTTTGCTCCGGGGAAGTGGGGACCAACGTCCTTGGCCTGAGTTTGCTATCATAGTACCTGCCCCTCGGGCCAATGTTGCACCAGGCAGAGAAGACGACTCTGGGCAGAGGAGCAATGTGGAACTTGCTTCCACTTTGGCCATGATTTACTCGAGTCAATGCCTTGATTTCTTCTCTTTTTTTCCTTTTTCTTTCTCAGGCCTGTATTTGATTCCCTCTTTATTTATCCCTTCTGCTATGTGCGCCGTGTGTTTATAGAATTCCAATTGATAGCCATGGCCAAAGAATTCACGGTGGAAGAGGGTAAGTTGCAACCCCCACTACAGGCGAGACAGAATGGAGGGGGATTGCTCCCGCAAGCGAACCAGCTGAGAGACACGGCACAAAACTAACCAATACTCAACCTGCATTACCATAATGATACAGTCGCAAAGCACACCTCCCCCGACAGCTGTTGGGTCATCCTCTACGGCAATGTCTACGACGTGACCGACTTCCTGGCCGAGCACCCTGGCGGCTCCAAGATCATCCTCAAGCTCGCCGGCAAGGACGCCACAGAAGAGTACGACCCTATTCACCCTCCTGGCACCCTTGAGGAGAACCTCAAGCCAGAGGCCAGACTGGGCCGTGTCAACCCAGACAGCCTTGCCAGGGCACAATCAGCCGCCGTCGGCCCTGACAGCAGCGACGATGCCTCCTCCTCCGCCTCCTCGTCGCCTGCGAACACCACGGTCGAGAAATACACCGCTCCACCGCTCGACCACCTCCTTAACCTCGACGAGATAGCCGACGCTGCAAAGAAGCTCGTGTCCGCCAAGTGCCGCGCATACTACGACTCCGCCTCCGACGACCTCTTCTCCAAGATATACAATAACTCCGTCTACCGCTCCGTCCTCCTCCGCCCGCGCGTCTTTGTGGACTGCGTTCAATGTGACACCTCCACCTCGCTCCTGGGCCAATTCGGCGTCCGCACCCCCATCTTCGTCTGCCCTGCCGCCATGGCCCGCCTCGCGCACTCAGACGGCGAAGCCGGCATAGCCAAGGGAGCAGGCTACTTCGGCGCATGCCAGATCATCAGCAACAACGCGAGCATGACTCCCGAGCAGGTCGTCGAAGGCGCCCACGAGGGCCAGGTCTTTGGCTGGCAGCTATACGTGCATAACGACCGGGCTAAGAGCGAGGCCATGCTGGCGCGAATCGTCAAGATGCGCCAGTGGTACAAGTTCATCGTGTTGACCCTCGATGCCCCTGTGCCGGGCAAGAGGGAGATGGACGAGAAGCAAGGGCTTGAGGCTGCAGGCCCACCAGCGCAGAGCGAGGTGGACTACCCTGTAATTGGCGGTGGCGACAAGGAGGACAGCAAGGTTGGCGGTGGTGTGGGACAGGCGCTGTTTGCCGGCACGGCTGCGGACCTGACATGGAAGACAACACTGCCGTGGTTGAAGAAGCATGCCCCGGACATGCCGGTCGTTCTGAAGGGGGTGCAGACACACGAGGATGTCTATCTGGCCGCTCGATATGCGCGGGAAAATCCTGGGACTGTAAAGGCGGTCCTCTTGTCTAACCACGGTGGGCGCGCTCTGGATACGGCCCCGCCTGCGCTACATACCCTGCTCGAGTGCAGAAAGTACTGCCCTGAGGTGTTCAATGATATCGAGATATGGGTGGACGGTGGCATCAAGAGGGGCACTGATGTCGTCAAGGCGCTCTGTCTGGGCGCAAAAGCGGTGGGGATCGGCAGGGCACCGCTCTGGGGACTTGGCGTCGGCGGCTGGAGGGGCGTTTACAGGACATTCGAGAGTAAGATTCCCTCTCATCACAAACAAGTCTTGTCCTATCTCAATATGCTGACGTCCATAAACAGTTCTACAGGCCGAGGTGGAGACATGCATGCGGCTCTTGGGAGCAAGCAAAGTGGAGGATCTGGGCCCACGATTTGTAGGACTTTTCCTTGTCGAGACACCGACATAATGTTGAATTTTACTGACTTGCTGCTAGGTCAATGCTCGAGCACTCGAGAGAGACATCTACGACGGAGAGGCAAATCTCGACAAGCAAGGCTTGTGGGAAAAGGCGGCGCTCATCAGGTCAAAGTTGTGATAGACTTGAAATACAGCAGGGAGATGTTTGAATTTGCAAAACATATTGTTACTAACTATTGTATGTGATGACGGATCACGATCTTGATTGACAAGCATTTGCACTTCGATTCTATTCTGTTAGACATTTCAATAAATCCTTAAGAGAGCTATCGAAGGTCTCATTCAGGTCTTGTTATTCTGGCCTCATCCGTCGCGCCGTTCGTGTTCGTACCCTTAATTGCAGAGCTTAGGCCATGTCCTTTTGGCGGGTCTCTGTATCTCAGCATCCCGCACTATTGATGCCTTTCTACTTCATAAGGTCCGAATACTCTCGACGCTCGGCAGGACTGCAATCTGGGGCCAATTCGGAACGAGGGAAGCATCTTGCCACCCTGATTTACGTTGCACTGATATGTATTCCTAAGAAGTTGTCCTCTGACGACCTGCACAGAGACGATAGAGGAGCACAGCTACCCACAGTCACACTGACTGGTGCCCGCTTTGGCCCACTGCACGTGCTAGCATGCGTTGTGACCCAGCGGCCTCCCCTGGTCAGCTGGCTACCAATAATACTAGCGAGGATGCATAGCAATATCGCATAATGCAAACTCATGCCGTTAGCTGTTGGGGAGAAATCTCCAAACTTCATGGAATATATTCACCCCCGAGCTTTGCTACACGATTACTTCAAACCGACACTGGGGACTCTTGCAAGGACCGAGCTGTCACCGCCATGGCTGTTTCAGACCCATCCACGTTCTGAATCTACTTCATGACAGGCCCTGTCGATCCGTCTCAGAATGCTGGCCTAAACAAGACGTCGTCGTCCCACGAGGTTTTCGTCGATGACTTGTCTTCAATTTATGGACGACTGCCGGATGGACTGACTGGTCGTGAGTTGAATTCTTGTTCCTTGGGAAAAAAAAAAGAAAAAAAAAAAGAAGAAGAAAAAAAAAGAGATGGGGGTATCCACATGTTCTAATTGAATGTAAGGGGGAAATATGGTGGGTATCGATCTACGTCTATGAGTCTATACTCTACTTCTCCCATCTAGACAGCGCTGTAATGAAATGATTGCGAGGGGAGCAACATAAGAAGAGAAAAGAAAGGAAGGAAGAAAAAAAAAAGAGCCATCATCAAAAGGCCTCCGAGCTGGCTTGACTGGCCCCAGGACAAAACAGCTTCTACACCCGCCCTGCTGCCTTCTCACCACTGAGCTTCTGCTTCGGCTTCCAGGCAGCCCAAGCGACAGCAATAACCATCTTGACGGCACCAGCAATCCACAGCGCAGCAGGCATACCGGCCCTGGACCTCTGCAGCCAGGCGCCGAGAATGGCGCCGGCAATCATCAGGACAATAGCCGTCAGGCGGCGGTTCCTCTTGACATTGGCGCCCGCGGGCGCGAACAGCAGGGGATCCGAGAGCAGGTCGCAGTACAGCGAGGTGAGCACGTTGGTGGGGACCTCGTTGAAGCCCAGGACGCGGCTGGTGACGATCTGGCCGCCGAACTGAAACGCCATGAGCGACAGCGGGATCAGCGACATGGCGTTGGTCTCGTAGCTCTTGAGCAGGATCTCGCTGGCGTCGGAGCCGAGGGAGCCGATGGCAAAGGCCGGGACGGAGCCCGCCTGCGCCACGGCGGCGGAGATGAGGATGAGCAGGGACTGGACCAGGAAGGACAGCGCCAGGGTGGACTTGCGCTTGTTGCCGATGCGGCGGGTCTGGCCGAAGCAGAAGCAGCCGGCCCAGAAGGCGGCGATGGAGACCAGCGCCTTGAGCCAGAGGGTGGAGGCGCCGTATGGAAGGTGGGCTGTGCCGAGGGCCAAGAAAATGGTGTTTCCTAGGATTGGGTTTTGTTAGTAGCCAGTCTGGAAAATAATGTGTAACTGTTGGTTGTGGGTTACGAAATGGTCGCCGAATAAGATGAAAAGAAATAATGAAAAAGGGGGGTGGGGGCCGTGTTCTGAGTAATAATAGAAAAAGAAGAAGAAAAAACTCACCCGTCTGCATGCTCACGAAAACATTGCTTGCGTTGAAGGCGACACTGTCGCAAAGACCAGAGACAAAACAACAGGCGATTATGGGCGCATCCGAGTGCGCTGGGTCGATATCATCAAAAACTGTCGAGAAGGCCCCCTTGTTCTGTGGTGACTCTTGTGACGGCGGCGGCGAGACATTGTCTGACGAGGGCCTCTTGCTGAGAACGCCGGGTGTGCTCATGGGCGTCTCTTTTTGTGGTGGCTGTTTCTCTGCCATGCTTGTGTTGTTGGTTTTGGACCCGCGTTGAAATTATTTGGTCTTGGACAAGAAGGTTCGTTCGTGTGTCTCCTCCTTGATCTCGTGGTGTGTGTCTTTTTAAGAAGAACAAAGAAAAAGAAAAAAAAAGAAAAAAAGGAACGATGTCGTCGGCGAAAAAAACCGGGACAAATTCGCCCTCTCTCGCTTGCCGTAGACTCCTTCGGGAGGGCCAGGCCGGGATCCACTCGCTCACCCTGTGTCTAAGAATTTGACGCTGCTGTTGCTGCTGATGCGGCCCACTTTGGTCTCGACTGAGTCTGCCGTCTGACAAAGGAGAGAAAAGAGAGAGAGGGAGAAATTCCTGCCGGTCTCGCAGTGTCTCTTTTCTTTGGTGTGAGAGAGGGTCCCTGGGAATAAGTACTCGCTCAAATGAATGAATGCAAGATAAGGATCTTGCAACTCATTTTGCCATCCCTTATCATCAAGGAAGACGACTTTTCCCCCCTTGACTGTATCACCATGATTGTCTCCTTCGAAGTCTGGGCATGGCACGTCCCAATGGATTCTCTTTCTTTCGGTTTCCTTTTTTGTCTTTTCCCTTTTTCTTCTTGCCCTCGATCAGCCTCATTTCGGATCACATCCGATCCCGTACCATTCTTACGCCGGAGATCCAGCAGGCCCGGAGTTTCTCGACGATTGCCCGATCATTTCCGTGAAGCACGCCATATACCCGGTCCAGTTGGTCTGATTCTTTCCCTTTTCTCCTTCGTCAGCCCACCATGAATTGAATTTCACAATGCCCTCTAAATCCTCTTTCATGTGCTCCTCACTTTTCGTCCCGTTCACAACCGTCATGTAATCACCCAGCCCCCGCACCAACAGGTACATGGCCACCTGCCTGTTCACCCCGACCGCCGAGGCGACCTCCCTGAGCAGCTCCGAGTCCAGTATAAATTCCTTCCTCTTCAGGACCTTGTGCGCCTGGAAGAGAATGCCCTTGTCCACGCAGAACCTCCGCTGCTCAATCTCCCAGTCCGTTTCTGGATGCAGACGGTTCTGCACAAAGGACGGCTTCACCTCCACGGCCTCGTACAGTCGCATGAGGTGCTCACATGAGAGGTTGGCCACGCCCAGCGCGCGGATTCGGTGGGGCACGTAGGAGGACATGACACGCCAGGCCGCGAGGGTGTCTTCCAAGTCTGGGGAAGGGGAGTGTAGAATCAGCGAGTCCAGGTAGACCGATCCGTCGTTGGTACCGTCCAGCTCTTCGCTGTGGCGGAGGTTGTGAAGGGACATCTGGATTGACTTGTGGACTTGCTCCTCGATTGGCGCGCTCAAGTCATAGGGGCAATTCTCCGGATCGTGAGCAGAGGGACGAGTGAATTTAGTCTGAATCTACCAGAGAGTCAGCATCAAGGAACTGATGTAAATAGGAACCAGCTGGATGAGACACATTACTTACCCAGATCTGGCTGCGGTCTTTGATCGTTCCATCAGCAAAGGCCCTGCGGATGGCCTCTCCGACGAGATCTTCTCTGTAGTGTTTGGGCTGGCATGCGGTGTCGAAGGCCGTAAAGCCAGAATGTATAGCCTTTAGCACGCACGAGGCAGTCTCGTCCTTTTTCCAAGCCGTACCATAGATGAAACGTCGGTTCATCTCTGTGTGTGTGCAAAGAAGACGCTCGACAAGTGACCTTGTTAAAGGGGGCTCTGAAAATTTTATATTATCCGCCAGCTTTTAGTTTCTCGAAGTTGGGAAGAAAAGATCCCAGGATATCGAAGGCTTTTATATAAGTATGCCCCGCGTTGGCCAGCTCCACATTGTTCATATGCCGCCGGAAGGCCGGTTTGAGAACGGTCTGGTCCCCCCCCCCCCCCCTTCCTCCTCCTGGCTAGAGGGTGCTGCAGGTGTGCGGCGAGAAAGAAACAGCTTGACAGTCCAGTACAGGGCACGGATCGTCGGCACCAGTAAGATGAAGAACACGAAGACGATGGCAAAGAAAGCCCACTACAATAGTAATTTGTCATGTATTATATTGCGCTGCAGTAAAAAGTAAATCATATTATAATCAAAAACGTCAAGACCTTCTATCATCTTTCCGACTCAAGATAAGGCACTCTATCCTGTACTATGTCGCTGTACTATTCCCAACACTCTATACGGCTTGGAGAGAGGCCTTCACCTCATCATATCGTGAATAGGCGTCCTCCTCAGCGTCGAACCGCAGGATCCATTCTTCCCTCTTCAGGTGAAGCATGCTTGGGTCTTTCCATATGGCGTCCCAGTCTGCCTTGTGCCACATCTCTCGTGTCGACACCCCGGTTGCCTGGATCTTGTGTACCCTCTCATACCGAATCTTCTCGTAGACCTGCATAGCTTCGGTGACTCTTGCCTTGCCCGCGATAGCAAGACATGCCGCGAGGACGACCCCGTCCTCCATGGCCTGACTAGCTCCTTGGATCGAGGTCGGAAGAAAGGGATGCGCGGCATCACCAATCAGGGCAATGCGCTTCTCAGGCGAGATGAAGGTGGGCAGAGGGTCGCGATACACAAGCTTGTAGTCAAACAGGCGATCCGGTGGCGTCGCCTTGACCAGCTCGACCACCTCGGGCGCCCAGCCCTGCAGCACTTTCAAGACATCTTCCACCTTTCCTGGGAACTGCCAGTTCTCCTCGATGCCCGCCTCGTCCTTGTGCGTGCAGACCCAGCTCATCTCCCCGCCGTTCTTGACCGCTGCAGCGATGAAATGGATATCCTGGCCGATCCAGGCATTATGTGTGTCTGCCATCACAAGGTGCTGGGTCACGGCCTTCTTCCTGAGTGTGTTCTCGGTCGGATACCAGGCCCTGTAGATCGCGTAGCCAGAGGGCTGAGGCTTGTCGTCAAACCCAAGAACGATCCTGCGCCCGCGGGACTTGACCCCTTCAGCCGCCAGAACCACATCTGCCACGTGTTTCTCGCCATTTACCACCACGCCGGCTTCCGTCTCGCTCTCAAAGTAGTCTGTAACGTCCTGGCCCAGCCGGATCTCGATGCCTCTTTCCTTGGCGTGCTCGTACAAGATGCGGTGCAATTCGCCCCTGTGCCCGTTCACCCTAGGCCCCCATTCCTTCTCAGCCAGCCAGGACTGGGTGGTAACATATTTTCCCTCCCAGCTGTGGTAGGAAATCTCCTGGCTCTTGTGGATGAGAGGCTGGAACTTCTCCATCACCCCAGGCCATCTGGCAAAGATGCGTGTGGCATTCTGGCCGAAGCTGATGATATCGCCCAGGGGTTTTAGGTCTGCAATTTTCTCAAAAAGAGTTACGTTGTGGCCTTTTCGGTCGCACTCGATCGCGGCAGTCAAGCCTGCGAATCCAGCGCCGACGATGATGACCTTGATGCCTGAATCTGGGAGACGGGGGAACTTGGACATTGTAAAGGAGGGACAAGGAATGCTAAAATAATCGTCTGATTTTGTCTTGCTAATTGATTGGCCGAATTGTGTGTGTTTGCATGCGTGTTGCTTGTATGTGTGTGTGTGTGTGTGTGTGGTGTTGTGTGTATGTGTGTCCGCGTGTCTTAAAAGACCTTGCCAACGCCTTCTGATCCGAACTTCGGAAAATACATATAGAGGGCGAGGATTTCTTGGCTTTACAAGATTGGGATTGGGCCAACATCTAAAACAATTCATTTCTCCGGTCCCAAACGCGGGGAACGAACGGCTAGGGTTTGACCATAACTTAATATACAGAGGAAGAAAGACAGGAACAAAGTTACACCACCCTCTTACCCGTCCGCCCTGTACCAAGTTCCATCTCACTAGTAAACACTCGGCAAACAAGATCTGGTTTCAATTCCTCCTCCTCCACCACCACCCGCTTGACACCCGGCCAAATACCACCCAACCTGCATGAGGAGAGCTACCCCAGCCTCGGACTCTGGGGTTGCCCGTGGGGAAGATCTACCGACAACGCCAGTAGGATGCGTGACCTACTTTTACCCCGCAGCATGGGGAAAATAGGTCCCAAAGCCCAAGCCCCCAACACCTAAACAAGATTGGATTGGAAACCCTGGTGAAAAGATACGGCTCGTCCGATGGGTGGACGAGCTACGTTGGTGTGGGTGTGCCATGGGGGTGAGAGGCCTCGCTACCGAAAAGCCGATTCTCTGTTCACAAACACCCCCTGGAACATGATTATGTAGACGAAGGTTAGTCCTATCCAGCTGGACATGCATGCATTGGCTGCTCCAGGTTCTTATGTACGTGCAGGGGGTCTCTCAAGGTAAAAGAATGCTGGGGTAAGCTCTTGGGTTTGATGTATATAAGAGGGCCTTGCTCTCGCGTAAATCTCGACTTGGATAAAGAAGAAGACAAGATCTACTTACTCATGTCTATGCTGTAATCAGATTTCTCCCTCTCTCTTTCTGTTTCTTATTATTCATCATAATAACAAGTCAGTCACAAACATGCCTTTCGGCATACTTGAGTGCAAAAAAATGGAGGTCGTTCCTGGAACGGGTCCGTTATCCCCCCGTCCCAAGCCGCATATGTTGAATGCGTTATCATTTGGAAATTCTGACTCTTCTTCTTCTTCTCATAGCCTTCATGAGTGATCAGGACGATTTGCCTCCAGAGTACTCAGATATACCTAGAGAACTCCTCAAACACGGCAAGGGCAGATACAAGGACGTGATTCTGGTGCCACAGCCTTCGGACAGCCCTAATGACCCCTTGAACGTGAGTCAAATCCTGAACTCCCTCAAAATTGAAAAATGTTCGCCCTCTCTCAAGATCTAGACTAACGTTCAAACGAATTGGTATTGCACAGTGGCCCCAATGGTGCGTGGATTAGTACACCGAGGTTCTTCCTCTTGTGCCCTACCTACAATTGGCAACTCAGTTATTGACCATTGGACTTTGAATTCAGGCAGAAAGAAGTAATCCTCCTCGTCGTTGGGCTTGCCGCCGCGGTAGTCGGTGCATACGGCCCCATGCTGTCCCCAGGCTTCGTCCAAGTCTCAGCCGACCTAGGCATCACCGTCGAAGTCCTCTCGCAAGCCACCGCCTGGCTTATCCTCACCATCGGCCTCTCCCTCTTCATCACCAACCCACTCGCAAAGATCTTCGGCCGCCGACCAATCTACATCATATCCATCTTCATCATGTTCGCCACGAGCGTGTGGGGCGCGGCTGTCACCAACTACAGCTCATTCCTGGCCAGCCGCATCGTCGCGGGCATCGGCATGGCCCCCTTTGAGATCCTGGTGCAGTGCACCATTGGCGATCTATACTTTGTGCACGAGCGCGCCACCCGCATCGCCGTGTGGAACCTTTTCTTGCTCACGGGCATTGCTGGAGGTGCGCTGATCTCGGGCTACATTATCGAGCTGGACGGGTACAGGTGGACGTTTGGGGTTTGTGCCATCTTCTTTGGAGTTTTGATGTTCGGCGTCGTCTTTCTTGTCCCGGAGACGGCGTACAGGAGAGACTCGGTGGTTCCCATCTTGGTCAAGGATGAGAAGAGTGAGTTGCACGGTGGCATGGTGCACATGGAGCTGGGACATGAGCACGACCTAGTGCACTCTGAGAAGGGCGTCATGCATCATGTCGAGCACAACCAGGCAAGCACAGAGAAGAGGCACACCTTCTGGCAGTCTCTTCGTGTGTTTACTGGGCGGTACACCGACGCTCCGGCCTGGAAGATCTTCTTGCGTCCAGTCGTCATGTGGTTCTACCCAGCTGTTCTCTGGGGATTTCTCATCTATGGTAAGTCCGACATGATTTCTTGTTATAATCTTACTATGGAATGATGTTTACAGACACTCGTGATTTGATTTATCACTAACAAAGACTATCAATAGGAACGACACTCACCTGGATCGTTGTCTTTTCCGTCGTCAATGGTGTCATCTTTGTCGCTCCGCCTTACAACTTCACAGTCAGCCAGACCGGATTGATCAGTCTGTCACCCTTCATCCTCACAATCATAGGCGAGGTCATCTCCGGTCCTCTCAACGACTGGATCTGCGTGCACCTCACCAAGAAAAACAAGGGCATCTACGAGCCCGAGTTCCGCCTCCCGCTCATCATCGTGGCCGTTGTCCTGGGTACCGTTGGCTTCTTTGGGTTCGGAGCCACGATCCACTACCAGACGCACTGGGCTGGGCCTGTGCTTTGTTTCGGCTTTGCCAATATGAGCCTGGTCTTTGCCTCTACTTGCGTGTTTGGGTATATTATCGACAGCTACCGGCAGCACAATGAGGAGGCTTTTGTGGCCATCAACGCGAGGAATCTGTTGACGTTTGGACTGACCTACTTCGTCAATGACTGGTTGGTAGAACAGGGATCTCTGGTCGTGTTCTCCATCCTGGGGGCTCTGTTCTTGTTCGTCTGCTCGCTCACGATACCTTTGTGGTAAGTTTTCCCGTGTGGTACTGGTGAACCGCTTCTCAAACTCAATAATAATCATTGTATTACTATTATCTAACAATTAATGAACAATGTCATAGGATCTTTGGCAAGAAAATCCGAAGCTCCATCAGCCGCACCGGATGGCTGCAGAGGTTCATGAACGACGAGAGTTAATCAAATGGGATGGGGCCTTTTGCAGATTCAAGTCCACACATGGTCTTAACAGGGCTGCCAAAGGGTGATTGAATGCTTAGAAATCATAGAAAATCTTTGGTCCCAGGTATTAGCATTGGCCTGATCATCGGTGATGTATGATTATATGGTGACTACATATACTTGTAAAGTCTAAGAATACATGACTGTTGCATGTAATTCGTGCAAAATATACTACTACTCACGTTTTGGCAAAGTTGGAGATGAAGTACGGACAAAATTTGTGAAGCACTCTCGTAGAATGTTCCAGTGTGACGACAGAATAAAAATATGTACAACGTCTATGCGCTTCGGAATGTCGTGCACTGCACGCGCCATATCAATGTTGAAAGGCATGTCGTAGGAAGAATGCCGATGCATGGCTCTCCGAGGGCCTAGTCTGACAAACTAATCCTCAAACAATCCACTCTTGACCGGTTCAGTGCCATGCTTACAGAGCAGAGATGCGACCCAACCCCGTATATGAAGGAAACTTGGTAGATTGTCCGGACGCCCATAGGCGAGAAGGGAAGCCCAGGCCCTGTGGTCGGTCCAGCAGAATTGCGCCTGGCCCTGGAACTCTATATCGACTTGAGCGCATGGAACGAGACGACGCGAATTGCGCTCTCTCTTGTAGTACTTGTTGAACGGCGGGCCGTATTTGCCATACCAGGGAGAGGAGCTTTAGGGACTCAGGAAAAAGTGAAAGCTACAGGAGTTTTAGGCAAAGACCTGAACTTCCAGCCTATCCAGGACCCGCTGGGAAAGCCTTGTCGGCGTTCAATCGACATGCCACCCTCAAATTTCCAAGCCAAACTGAGCACCAAATTGTTCAAATAAGAGATGGAAGAAAATCATACGCTTAGAAAGAGTGGTTCAAATAATGCCAAAGTAGTCTGGGTTATGGTTCTTCCTAACAAGTCGCAGGTCGCTCGGGTTCAAGTCTGTAGCCGACACCCCGCACACCAGCTGATCACTTTCAGGCAACAAAAGAATCCTGCTGAGGGTCATTTTCAGCCAAGTATTGCATTCGCAGTTTCAAAACTCCATGACTAGATGGGATAATTAATACCCACGAAGAATGTCATCGCCTTTCACAAATCCCTGGGCAGAGCCAGCATGGCTACGGTCCCTGGAATCGCCATACTACAGCGAATCCCACAGGAAACTGCAGGCCTATGCAAGAAAGTACATCGACGACAACATCCTGCCCCACGCCCTCACCTGGGAAGCCCAGGGCGACTGTCCAGACGAAGCCAAGACATCCTGGATCAATTCGGGCCTCGCCTTGGCAGACATCCCGCCGCGTTACAGGCCGCCCGGGTTCCAATCCATCGCTGGCATCCCTGCACACAAGCTGGACGCGTTCCACTTCCTGATCCTGAACGACGAGGCCAACCGCTTCGAGGGCGGCGTGGGTATCGCGCTATCAGGTGGGGCCAATGCCATCGGCCTGCCGCCCATCCTAACACATGGCACAGAGGCGCAGAAGCAGCGCTGGGTGCCTGGTCTCTTCACGCGGGAGACGAGTTTCTGTCTGGGCATCACAGAGCCGACGGGCGGTAGTGATGTGGGCAATATCCGCACGCGAGCAGTCAAGAGCCCAGACAAGCAGACCTACGTTGTGACAGGGACTAAGAAATGGATCACGGGCGCACAGTGGGCGTCGCACATGACCACGGCCGTCCGCACAGGCGGGCCAGGCTACGGCGGGATCTCGCTGCTCGTCATCCCTCTGTCGGCGCCTGGAGTTGAGATCGAGAAGATTCACAACAGCGGTCAGAACGCCGGTGGAGCAAGCTGGGTGCGTATGTCTGAAGTGGTTGTGCCTGTGGAGAACCTGCTCGGAGACGAGAACGCCGGATTCAAGTACATCATGACCAACTTCAACAGGGAGCGGTTCATCATGGCGGTCGGGTGCAACAGGAAGGCCCGCACGTGTCTGAGCACGGCGCTCGAGTACGCCAGCACCCGAGAGACGTTTGGCCAGCCGCTCATCAGCCATCAGATCATCCGACACAAGATCATCAGCATTGCGAGGGAGGTCGAGTCCCACTGGGCCTGGCTCGAGCAGATCGCTCACCATGTGCAGATCCACGGCTGGCAGACGGATACGATTGCGGGCAAGATTGCGCTGGCCAAGGTGTCTGGGGGCAGGATCCTCGAGCTGGCTGCCAGGGAGGCCCAGCAGGTCATGGGCGGTGTGGCCTACCAAAAGCGCGGTCCGGGGGGCGGAGGGGTTGTAGAACAGATTACGAGAGATCTGCGCATGATGGTTGTCGGAGGAGGTTCAGAGGAGATCTTGGAGGATCTGGCCTTCCGACAAGAAGTCAAGGCTGCTTCTCGCAAGAGAGGTGCCCTGTTGTGAGGGTGATACAATAGCAGATTGTTCTGAAGGAGGATGAAAGGGTGAATTTGGTAAAGCCTGGAAACATGAACTCATGGATCTAGCATGAAAACAAATGGAGAATAAGGGGATAAAGCTCCGGGCTCAATTGAGCTAGTATTCATAGATACACATGCTGTGCGAGGTCTCTGTGTAAATGTGGGTGTTCCTCGCTGTTCATTCATCATGATATCACATAGTAAGGGGGTGAACCAAGGGGGAAATGTAAACTGCAAATCGGATTTGAGTACACAAGATCTCCAGCCATACGGATAGAAAGACGTCAGACAGAGCGGCAGAGAGGGAAAGAAGATAGATGCTTTGTAGTTAATGTCATGGCGTTTGGGTTCGGCTCGAGATCCCCTGGATTTATTACTATAGTACATAGGGGGACAAGAGCTATACGAGCCAGAAACCTTCTGAAACGGACTCAAATATGCAAGCTTCCCGAATTGTTGTGTAACTTAGTGAACGGAACCGGCCAGCCGGCCTGGCAGTTGACCTTGTTTCATAGCGGAGGAATGTGCGTGCGATCATGGATCAGTCAATCCCCTACTCCAGGCTATGTCATGGCGTTACTGCCCTACAGCCCGCTGCCCTTTACAAAGCCGCGTTATTACCATCGTAATGCCTGATTTAGTGGCGGAATTTGGTGGTCAAGTGGGTTCATTTGCGTCATGGTCAACAATTGTGGATGCTGTGGCGATACGACGACGATCATTACGTTGGGCTCAGCCGCGTGTAGGGTGCTTATATACATACATAGCAAGTAGGCATGGGAGAAAAATTGTGTCTCATGAAATGATAAATTTCTTCTTCTCAAGCACAACGTCAAACCTCAACCTCTTCCATATGCCAATTCATACCGACACGGTTTTTGTACACCCAAATCAGCCCCAAGCCACTCCCCCGAATTCGTCTCACAAACATCACGACAAAGATATGTCTCAAGAAACATCCAACGGCCCAGAAGATGGTCTGAGAGGCACTGGTGACGCACCTCGACGGGGCACTGTGGTAGGAACAGATCGACCAACTTTCGACCTTATACAAGACCAATCACACACAGAACGCAGCACCGAGCTACCAAACCCAAGGAAGCCGGACGAGGTGCATGTGCAACACGACAGAGACGCAAGACACCGAGATGGGCGCCGGATAGCGCCATCTACCCTGCCTCCAATCCGCCATGCACAGAACTACGACGAAGCGCAACCCGGCCAACCTGGTCCCGATTTCTCCGAAGACAGGCCTGCTTTCAACAGAGGAAAATCTGTAATTGACAACACGGCGCTGGTATCCGCAGGGCCCACACCAGCCTTCGAAGTTTCCAATCCCATGGCATCTGCGTTCGTCAAGGGCACAGGAGGATCCAGACAGAGAGAGTCACATCTACCGGATCTGGATATCAGAGACGCAGATGTGTATGGGTCTGATAAGGAAGCATTTGAGATGGAAGAGCCCAAGGATGAGATCAATGGACAGGACGAGTTTGCACCGACACTATCGCGTCAAGAGACGGAAAAGGGAACTGGCGATTTGGACAGGTTCTAAGGGAGAGGGGAATCTGATAGCGCTATTCTACAACTTCTCGTACAACCTCGCAGCATAGCGTATGAAGTAACGATAAGTCACAATTTATACCCAGAATCAAGGAACCATACCACTTGACAAACGGTACTAAGTTTTCACCATCAACATGCGCATTGAGTTCATGCCAATCTCCAGTGCCTCCAGCGTCGTATTCTCTTTTTTTTTTTTTATGAATGTCATGGCATACATTTCCTATCTGGCATTTGTTATAGCATTAATGAGCCAAGACCCCTTTTCTTCTTTTTTCTCCCCGCTGTCTTTCTCTGTCCTTTGGAGCTTAGCAATCATCAAGGTGCAATTAACTCAACTCTTGAACCTCAGAGCCTCCTTCGGCTTATCAAATTCACTGGTATTACTTCTTGAGACACATCCTTTCACGAAGGTGGGCTGCGGGGCGGTGAGCATCCCAATGACTCAATTACTAGACTATAGAGCAAGCAGCAGAGGCAATAGTCTGCGAGCCGGAGATTCTCAGCCCAATGAATTGAAATGGGGGCGATATGTTCCCCGAGGAAAAGAAATACTGACGTTAAGGCCAAGAGGGGCTGGGGCTAGATCGTAAGGCCTTCTTGCTGACAGATACGCAGCGCTCCGGCGGTGAGCACCGTGTCCATCTCTCCCTCTTTCTCTCTCAGTCATCTCGGATCACCAATACTTTTCGATCGCGTGCTTGAATGCTGACGTGACCAGTGATTAGTCTGTTAGATTACTGAGACATATGATGTTGTCCGTATGAGCCGCAGGAAGCCTCGGCGACACGTAATAAAAATGAGGATCGAAAAATGGCACCCAGCCCTACAGCCTTATAGCCCTACAGCCCTACAGGATCCTGCATACATTAAGAACGTAATATGCTCAATTTTGATGCGTATGGGAGTATGTCTCGTGACCTCTAAGACTGGCTTCCACGATTACAATGACCGTCAGAAGTCCCAAACCAACAAGACACCGTGGGCTGGACAGTGAGGCCGTCGTTGTCCAGCTCACAGGAACGACGCGACAGAACCATTCGCCACCACCATCCAAAGACAGACTCATCAGCAGCACCATCCGTCTCGACACCACACTGGCTGACCTCTACCGCGAAAATGGCATACAAGGCCCCTTCATCGTCACCATGTACTGCGTCTTTGGCCACATGGACCTGCACCCGGCCTTTCCGCGCGAGCTTGTCTACCCGGAAGACGAGGAGCCGGTCCCGTACTCTAACGACGAGAACGAGAGATCGAGGCTCAGGAGAATCATCCTAGGTCTGAAACCTCTGCGCAGGGCTTTCGGGCTAGGGAACATGGACGTGGTCTTTTTCGCCCCCAACATCACCGAAGCCGGGATGCATAAGGCTCTGTCGCAGCTGCCACCTGACCAGCGGCACCATCCGAGAATTATAAATCTCGATGATGGGAGCAATCCCTTCGGTAAGCTCAAGGAGGCCAGCGAGGGTAGGAAGCTGCTCTTCTGGCGGCCGCAGGGCTGGATGGACGACCACGACTGTCTGCTCGACCCACGAGAGATGTTTGATGTCAACTCGAAAAAGTTCCTCGTCACGTCTGGCATCCGCACGCCAAGGTCGGAGAGCATGGACTTGCGATCGGTGCACCTCGACCAGCCATCTTGCTCCCTGAGAACGCGGCCTCTCCCGTTTGTGGTCAAGCTCTGCCGGGCTGGCTGTGGCTTTGGCACATTCATCGTCAAGACCGAGGCGCAGAGAGAAGAAATGGTGGCGTCCATGGTCGTCTATAAAGCTCGGGGCACGACTGAGATATTGGTGTCGCAATATATCGATCTCGTGCGGGATCTGAGTGTTCACTTCGTCGTGGGCGCTCCAGGAACTCGTCATGATCGAAACAACCCGTTGATCATGGGCGTCACAGTTCAGACACTCACCACGAATGGAAAGTGGGTTGGTGGCCACATTGACTACAGCAGACAGGAAGAACTGAAGAGATTAGTATGGGACACTGTACGGGACACCACACAGAGATTGCCGGAGTCTTTTATGGGCTGGGCTGGCGTGGACATCGTGGCAGATAGGGAGGGAAAGCAGTGGGTGGTGGACCTCAACGCACGCTTCACGGGCTCCATGCCGATCTGCCTCATGTCTGGTCACTTTTGGAAGGAAAGGGGCTTGCCTCTGGCTCAGTTCGCTGCAGTCGAGTATGGTGGCTCAGTTGATGATATTTACAACCGACTGCAGCCGCTGATAGAGACTGGCCAGGTGATTGTCACTGCGACGGCAGAGATTGGAAGTGACGACAACATGGCAGATGTTGTCTGGGGAGGCAAGGATGCTGTGAATCTTGAAGAAATCCAAGGTTGGATTAGAGCCAGACTTGCGCAAGCATGATCGAGTTTTCTGCATAGAAATCATAACCCGCAATCCCTCCAATTTACCTAAAATCCACTCATCAATAGCAAATGATGAATTTCAGTCAATTCGGAATGCTCATATGATTTTAACGGTGGGCTTCCTACCATCGTCATAGTACCGTGAGGATAATTGAGGTGCTTATTGAATTTGTTCTCTTCTCTACCTTTTCCTTCTTTTTCCAAAGGGTCATTCATTTCCCCTTCTGTCTCGACTTGTCGTCTTCTGACTAACCAAAGTACTAATTATGTTCGCCACGTATATCTGAGACTGAATATCTAAACATTCATCACTACTTTATCATTTATCAAGCCAATCCAGCAGCCTTCCGCATGCGCGCCCTTTTGGCCACAGACCGTGCAATAATAACTTCCTCATCGAAAATCGAGGTAATGCTCGGATGCCGAGACACTGCACTTGCCCACTTGAAGAACCGCGGCGCCTCCTCTTGGGCCCGTCTGTTCAGACTCGCAGGATAGACCCCATGCTTAGACAAGATCACGGCACGGATGACAAAGGGGCCCGTAATCACCTCGGCCAGCGTCAACTTGTCACTCCCGCCCCAGAAAGGCGCGGCGTCCGCCAGCAGCGGCTCGACCTCGCTGACCAGACCCCGAACGGCGTCGTCGATGACCTTTTCCTCATCCTGCTCTGTCGGCGCCTCGAAGAGCCTGAAGAGCACGGTATGGAACTTGGTCCAGTAGGCGTCGATGAAGAAGGACATGGCGGCACGGCGCAGTGCGCCCTCTGTGGAGGTCGGAGGCGGACAGAGATGGGACGGGTAGATGTCGGCTAGAAACTGGCAGACGATGGTGGACTCGATGATGACCTGGTCGTTGAAAATGAGGACGGGCACGAGGCCGCGGGGATTTAGCTTGAGGAACTCGGCTGGGCGAGGGCCATCCACGTTGATTATGCGCTCCTCAAAGGGAACGCCCAGCTCTGTGAGGGCCACATTGGCTCGATTTGCCCCTAAATGTAGTAATTAGCGCTACGATCCATCTCCTATGTACAAATATGAGTTGATTTATGTAAAGGAGTATTGCGTACATGTACATGTGTGGTTGGTATAAAGAATGAGCTTGTTGTTGTTACTGTTAGAACCCATGGTTGCGTCTTGTCTTGCCTAGGAAAACGAAATTTAGGCTGAGCAGATGTCTATGGTGATGAAGCGGCTGAATGATTTATTGTACCTGCGATACCATCACCTCAAAGTATTCCAACGATAGTATTCTCTCCATCTTTTAAGTAAGCAAGACACGCCACACCATAAACCGGACATCTGTGTGACCATGAGTCAGCATTGGTAGAAGAATCACCTTGTCATCAAATATTGGGTCGTGTCTTGTATTACTGCATATGCACTCGTCCGGCCTCCATACGATCCTCAGCCACCTTGTAAACCCCATAGACGGTGTAGAATAAACGAGAAATAGTTTGCGAGATTACGACAGCGTGTAGTTGATGACTGTAATTTGCCATGGGATCTGAACCTGCGGTGAGAAGGTGATTTCATTGTGGCGCGGTCAGAGAGGAGAGGCAGCACATCGATTAATATTCTCCTACTCCTTGCGTGACTCGAAAACAGGCTTCAGCCTGATGATGAGCTTCCTAAATGATGACGAGACGTGCATGCTGCGGACAAGTCGGTGAACATATGCAACCTCAGCCGAGTATTCCGATAGACCTTCCAAAGACCAACGCTGTGATTTATAAGGTCATAATTAAATCAAGAACCGCCAACATCATAATCCAAAGATCTGCTATGGACTTCCTAATATGACAACAAAACCAATCTAAGCCGGAACCAATGTCCAATTCCCTCCCGGCACCCCCGATGCCTCTCCATCCACAAGAGCAACAGTGTTACCCTCGACATCCTCCAGGCGCCCCGTCACCCCAGGCAAGGACACAGAGCCCACCGTCCCCTCGGGCGTCGACAACCACAAGGCCGTAACCACCTCGGTCCCAGCGTCCGCCTCGACCTGCACCTCTAACCGCCCGACCGGCGCCACATACCCAGCCTCCACGCTCACCAGCCCGCCCAGCCTCGGCGCAACAACCCACTCGGTCCCGCCCGCCGCCGCCAGCCGCAAGCCCGCCGTGTACATGGTCAAGACAGACGTAGGACCCGTCGACCAGCCATGCGCATGCGACACGCGCGCGTCGTTGGTGTAGGCCGCGTAGTGCAGGCTGCCGTCGGACGCATACCCCTCGATGAAGGTGCTGTTGGTCATGCGCGGGTCGTCGAGCATGAACCCCCACTGCAGGCGCGTCAGCTCCAGCGCGGCGGACGCGTTGCCCGCCGCGTGGTGGGCCAGCAGCTCAAAGTAGCCGATGAAGGGCGACACGGTGGCCGGTGTGCCACCTGCCTCGGGGGCCGGGGCGCCGTATGTGCCCCAGCGGGCGCGGAGGGCGGCTGCGACGGCTTTGCTCTGGGCGGCGGACTGGGTGAGGTTGGCGTGGACGGCCCAGGCGTTGCCGTCCTGGGGGGAGAGGGTGGTGGTCTCGTTGTCGTGGTAGAGGGAGGTGGTGTTGTCCCAGAGGAGGGTGTTGGCGGCGGTTTTGATCTTGGCGGCGATGGTGGTCCAGCTTGTTGCGTAGGATGTGGCGTTGAGTATGTTGGCTAGTTGGATGCCTTTGTTGAGGGTGTAGTAGAGAATGGCGTTGGCTTCGATGTTCTGTACTCGAATTAGTCAGTATCGCATTATAATGGTCTAAAAGCTGTAAAGAGGGAGAGGGGAAAGACATGTCAATGAATAATATTGTACTTACATGGCCACCCATACCAATTCTTAGCCAGTCGCCACTTGTGGTCACATTCATAAGGCCGGTATCATCAATATGGCCAATAGAAAACTCCAACCCCAGCGTAAAGTTCTTCCAGACACTTTGAAGATAAGCCAGGTCGTTGGTGTATTCATATAGCAGAGCGATATCGAGCAGGCCGTGCAGGTGGTAAGTGAAGCTGTAGGTACCGCCTACTTCCTCCCAAAACGGAACCCCGGCGTACGGCATGGCCCCTGAGGCGTTCTGCAGTAGCAAGAGGGAGTCGAGGCTGTTTCGGAGAGAGCTCATGTCGTTGGTGCTGACGAATATGCTTGGGCCAGTCACCACGATATCGCCAGGCCCTGTCATTAGTTCCATGAGTCGTTAGCCATCCAGGCTCTGTGTGCATTAACGACTTAGTAGCCAGGGGAGGCGATGATCTTACAGACGAGCCGGTCTCTTTTGGCTCCATCTACCAAGGCGGTGCTCCTATTTGTAATGGTATAGTTGTTATACCAGGTGATGGTCTCGGGTAGCTCGATGACCTCGGTGCTGTTGATGATATGGAGCCATATTAACGAATTACCTTGATGAGGATCGATAGAACATAATTGCGTTGTATATGCTCCTTTGAAGAAGAAGGAGGGGAAGAGAAGAAATCAGTTGATCAGCTATTCAGAATAAAATAAACAAGGATAAAGTTGCAAACAATGGGACAGAGCGTGATTCAAGCCCAGAGAGACTCACCTGCGTACCAGATACGATTCAACAGTTCGTCATTACTGTGAAAGTAGCCGGCATAGGAACGCAAATCCTGCGTCGGGGCGGCAGTGAAATGAACAGCAACGCTCTCCACCTCGATCGCTGCGCTGGAGTGACTGACGACGCTCAGGTATCGAAAGGCACCCCGATCGAACTCTCGAGCGACAGTGTATGTTCCCGGTCCAGCGCCCACATCAAGCCAGAGGGGTGTGTCCAGCCCAGCATCTGCGGTGGCGTCCGAAGCCAGCCCGTTGATCCATAGGCTGGACTCGGTAAAGGTCAGACCAATGACAGCATCACTCGAGGACACCGACCCGACCGTGACGCTGACCACGCCTCCTATGTTCCTCTTGTAGTCGAAGGTGATGGAAGAGTTGCCCCTGAGAACTGCACTCCCGTTCGTGCTGGCGACTAGGGATTGTGCATTCGACACGGTGCCGTTGACTCGATGTATCGCGGCTGGGAGAATCTTTCGTGATTCTGGGGCGAGTATGTATTCGGCGTAAGGAGGAGACGCTGCCGTGACCAGACCTGCCAGGAGGAGAGGAACTAGGAGGACACGTTCAAACATGGCTGCAGTGATGGCGGGGACCCAAGGATCCAATCTCCTTCTCTCTCTCTCTCTCTCTATCTCTCTCTCAGCCCACTATAAACCAGCGCATCGGTGTTGGAGCTCTGATGGCGCCCCCATGTCGTCTTTATACTAGATATATAACTCTAGACTACTATGTAGTGATCTATGAACCACTCTTCAGTTCCCCAGCGTGGGGAACAGGCCACTGCCAAGCTTGCTCTCCACACATTTATGAGAGAGGAGAGCTGCGTTGTCCGCGATGTCTTCAACCCGAGCTGGGACTAGGGGCAAGGGAGTCGGCTCTTGCAGCGGCAGATGTGTAAAGATCGGGTGTTTAATAGTGGGTTTGCCGGCGATATAACTGAGAGGAGCTAGCCAGTCACCCCATACTGAGCTCCCCATGGTGTTGTGGTCACCAGGACTTCGGGGAGAACAAGAAGTGCTCTTGCAGTATTGTCCTTGTCTTGCACATGATTCTATTCACGGTGGCTCGGTGAATTCGAGGCCCCATCTTTTCAAAGATATAACGATATGCATGTGGAGCAAGACCAGCACTGATATCGTTTGTAAATCTAGAAGAACAATTCATATTGGATATGACAAGTAGCAATGTACAAAACATGAGTTGGGGCACAGCAGTTGGAGATGCAACAACCAGGTCGAATGCAAACGCAACATGCAGATGATCTGGGGAAAACCTGGAGAACCCTGTTAGCGAATCCAAAGTACCACACCACAGTAGACAACACGCTCATCTTTACCGAGGTTGTCTCTCCATGATTTTGCTGAATCATCATTAGAGCAGAAAAAGCTTGAAAAAAAAAAAAAAAAGTCAAAGGAGGCAAAGAGGCAAAGAGGCAAAGAGGCAAAGGACCGTATGGCCCACGTCACCCCCCAGAGCTCATTCTTCGGCGCGGGGTATAAACCACCGAGCCGACCGGCTTGAAGACGGCGGATGCTATGGGTGAGTGTGGGCATTATGGATAGTGGGTACTATGAAAGAAAGAAAGACCCCGCAAATCGGTCCGGTCTGCGGGGACTTCATCTTTATCGCTGTGCTATGTACATTGCCATAGTACTACTATCTTGCTTCTCTTTTTTTTTTTTTTGCCTTCCCCTTTCACATTGCCTTTCCCGATGAAGAAGTAACAAAATGAGAGTTATACAAGAGCCAGACCATCTGCAAGGTGCCCAGGTGACTACAGTACTCGCATGCCCTTCCCCAACAGGTTGGGTTGGTTCAGACCATGCCTGCACGAGTTCTCTGTTGGTGAGAAAGGAGGAGACATGGAGCCCGTCCCATTTTTCAAACTCCTTGGAGAGGAAAGATCTTCCTTCAACACAGCTCCCCCACCGTACCCAGTCAAATTAATCAATCCCCATGGGCCAAATGCACCGGTGAGACGAGCAGTGGGATGATTTAAATGCGCGAACACTTGCTCCGCGTAAATAAGTGGGCTTTAGCTAGTCAGAAGTGGGACAACTCGCGACTTTGACAGCCCCGACATGAGGAGGATTCCAACAACATAAGCTGGGAAAAAGAAAGGAGGGCGCTGCATAATCTCAGTAATATTCGTCGATGGCATGCGGCCTTCTGGCGATGCTCGAGTACGTCACCACAGAAGGAGAACAGGAACAGGGCACAGGACAGAATTGGAGAATTTTAGGGGGGGGGGGCGGGTGGTAAGAGGAAGGCGGACCAGGGGCCAGGAACAGATGATGATAGCCAAGCCATCCGCAGCGCGAAAGCTCAGATCCTGCCGAGCCGGGTGCACCCACCCGTCCACGCCGTCCTTGGCTCAAAGGCTTGGTTACCCAGGAAGGGAAGCCGATGTTGAGCCTCAATGGGATGATGGTGTGCGGTCTGATCCGCATCATCCCATTCCTTTTCAAAGCACGATATCAACATCAGAGTAATTGTCGCCATCTCAAGAAGTCGTCAAGAGCTGATGACGGGGAGGCCGACTGAATGAGACACAAGCAATGGAGCGCCATCCAGGCGACTGAAGATAACAGGGGGGCATGTCCATGTCCCATGAACAGAGAAGAGAGCACCTTCTTCAGCCATGGCGTTATATCTGCTACTAACCCTAGTCCTCTTATTATTACTACTGTACTACGATAATCTCGTGCTTACATCTGAGTAAAGATCGAGTATACGCATGATTCACGGCTTCGTCGGACTGACGTCACAAGACGAATTCATGCCAGGGACCTTTCACCTTTTTTTTTTTCTTTCTCTCTCTTACACGTCTTGAACCCTCTTATTCCCGCCTGGCTAGGTCAACAGGGCGAAAACAGGAGCAGCCGGATGCGTGCTCCATAAGGTTGCCAGGCTGCCTTTAGTACCATCACCCAGGCAGATCCTCCCTCCGCCAATTAGCCCGGCCTCAGGACTGAATTTTTTTTCTCTTTCGTATCTACATGTACCATGTACTGCGTACCAAAGAATCACTGTCCAAGCCCTCTCTCACAGGCCTGCTTTTTTCTTCTTCTCATCTTTTCGCGCATCCTAAAGTCGCATCATTGCGTCATGGTGGACCTCAGTGCCTATAGCACGGCCCGATTAGCGCCTTAACATTCCTCAGGCAAGCCATTCACCTTGAGATGTTACCCTGGATACCATTCATACCTTTTTTCATTTGCCTGCTAAGCCTTTTCTGACCATGGCGGCAATGTCACTTTGACATCTGACATCTGAAGAAGGAGCAGTACAGCAGGAGGGAGTAGGCGGCTCTTGCTTTCTCGTCCTCCTGCTTTGGTACTACTTACTGCATAAGCTTTTGGTTGCTTGGACGACTCATCATCGACCAAGCCTGGTCTGTTGGCCAGGCATGAACCGTCGTTTCTCACCTCACCGACTCTACTTCCTTGTCCCGCATTGCTTGTTTCGTAGAATGGGGAAAATGCATTCAGCGTTCCTGCCTCGTCTCGTGTATCGTGGGTCTCTTATTCGTCATCCACCATCCTCCACTTGTTGTCTCCAGTCTTTTTGTTATCGTTTCCATCCTCTCTTCTCTTTTAGTCCCCTTGTGCAAGAACCCACAAAAATCTGTGAGTCTTTTTCCAGATTCGTCTCATAACCGGGTAGGAACGGCTCCAGATGGCCTTCCTCCAAGGAGAGGGGCAGGGGCAAGAGGCTATGGCCAGCCATGGGCCATGGCTTAGACTTTTGGTCCCAGTCACAACCCCATGGGCATCGGATCCGTTGAGAGAGGGAAAAAGCTGGAGAACCGTGGAGAGAGCAGCCCACTGGTACGCCCACTACCAAAGTACCTGCTGGATCGACTGATCTTTTTTGGCCGGCGCAACCTCGACGTTGTTAGCTCCTTCCTCGAGCAAGTACTTATACGCAGTGACGTCCCCTCTTTTTCCTTCTTTTCCCTCCTTCCCTTGTATTGTCTTCTATCATCCCTCCACACCCTCTTCTTGTCCCTGTTCTTACACGACGAGGCCTCGTGTACTGCTACACCTCTCTCCATCAACTCTCCCCCCCCCCTCCCCGGTGTCTCAATCTCTGTCCTTCTAGGATAGCATCTTTTTTTCCCTTCAGCAGTCACCAGGTCGTCCATCGTCTATCTTTGGCAACCCGTCCCATTCCCACCCTTACCACTTTGACAGTCAAGCCAACTTCTTGTTTGATTGTTTGCTCGTCCCAAGATGTCTCCCGCCAAAGACCCTCTTCCTTCGGGAGGTGGGACCACCCCACCGTCCGAATCCGACCATGCTGTTCATGACGACAAGAATGGCTCTCCAGGTGGCAAGCGGGAGCTCACTCTCGAGATGGCTGAGGACGATCTGCCCTTTGCATGGCCCAGCTGGAAGAAGTGGTGGGTCCTCACCGTCATCTTCCTGGTTCAGACGTCCATGAACTTCAACACATCGCTGTACTCGAACGGTCTCGACGGCATCGAGGCGGAGTTTGGCGTGTCCGCTCAGGTGGCCCGGTTGGGTGCCACGCTGTTCTTGATCCTGTACGCCTTTGGATGTGAGCTCTGGGCGCCCTGGTCCGAGGAGTTCGGCCGCAAACCCATCATGCAGGCCTCGCTCTTCCTCGTCAACGTCTGGTGTGTTCTCGTCGCCTTGTCCCCCAACTTCGGCTCGCTCCTAGTGGGACGTTGTCTGGGCGGTCTCTCCTCAGCCGGCGGCAGCGTCACCCTGGGCATGATTGCCGACATGTTTGACGCCGACCACCAGCAATATGCCGTTGCATATATCGTCCTGTCCTCGGTCGGCGGTTCCATCCTTGGTCCTATCGTCGGAGGCTTTGTCCAGTACTTTCTGACCTGGCGCTGGTGCATCTGGATCCAGCTTATCTTTGGCGGTTTCGTCCAGCTGTTGCACCTGCTCACGGTCCCCGAGACCCGTACGACGGTCTGCCTCGACAAGATCGCCAAGAAGCGCAGAAAGGCTGGCGAGGAGGGCATCTACGGCCCCAACGAGATCAATCCAGTCCTTAAGCGCATGGATTTCAAGGAGATCTGCCAGACCTGGTACCGGCCATTCAAGATGTTTGTGACGGAGCCCATCGTCCTGACGCTGTCTCTGCTGTCCGGTTTCTCCGACGCCCTTATTTTCATGCAGATTCAGTCCTTCAGCTTGGTGTACACGCAGTGGAACTTCAACGCCTGGCAACTGGGCCTGGCCTTCATTCCCATCGGAATCGGTTACCTCGTCGCCCACGCGAGTTTTATCCCGGCCATCAGGCGTAACATACGCCAGCGGGAGTCCAAGCCCGGCGACGAGCACGCGCAATATGAGAGCAGGCTGTGGTGGCTGCTTTTCACGGCGCCCTGCCTGCCAATCGGCCTGCTCATCTTTGCCCTGACGTGCAACGGTCCTCCTATCCACTGGATCGGCTCCATGTTTGCTTCTGGTATCATCGGCATTGCCAACTACGCCATCTACATGGCCACCATCGACTACATGGTCTGCGCATATGGGCCCTTCTCAGCGTCCGCCACGGGTGGCAACGGCTTCTCGCGTGATTTCCTCGCTGGTGTCCTCACCAATGCCGCCACGCCTTTCTACACCAACATCCCGGGCCCTCAGAATAAGCCTCTGCAGAACGCGTCCTTCATCCTCTTCGCCATCTCCTTCTGCCTTGTCGGTGCCGTCTATGTCATTTACTGGTTTGGACCCACGCTGCGCAAGAACTCGGCCTTCGCTCAGACGCTTGCCAAGGAGGCTGCGGAGCACCACCGCCGGCCATCTGCCGCCGCAACGGGTGGTGCCGCCGGCCCGACCGAGAAGGAGAAGGAGGAAATCACAGAGACGGCTCCAGTTTATGCCTCTCGCCCGAGACTTGGACCTGGCTCACGGACCAGCTCGTACCAGATTAGCAAGGATATCGCCTCGCGCAACGCAAGCCGCAACGCCAGCCGGGCGCACAGCCGTGCACACAGCTTCGAGGAGTCCAGGGGCCATGGCTCAGAGCCGCACACTCCCGGGGCTCATGGACATCAACATGTGCACCACCGAGACCTCGAGCAGCGGCTACACGGTCTCGGACGCATTGACTCGGAGGTCCAGTAGGAAGGTTCCTCTCCTCGTTGATACGGCTAACGAGAAAGCAATAGCAGCAGCCAATCACAAAAAGTCTGTGATCATGTAAGAGGGTCAAGTCAAATACCCTAGGTGTTGCATTTCGGAGCCCTCCCTTTTTGTCTCTTTATTTTTTTTTTCCTTTCCTTCTGCTTCATTCAGGATCAGCTCGGCACCTCGGGAGTTTTCATAATACCAGAGGAGCCAACATGGTTTAGGGATCGTGATCCTTGGTCTCTTCTCTGTCTGGCTTTTTGCATGGATGGTGGACTGCCAGTCGGGATTTTTATGACGATATGCGTAGACCTGAGTGCATGTTGGTCATTATAGATACCCAATACCACGTTTTTGTTTCTTCTCTGAATCGAGGTGAACTATGATGCCATGACTTAGTGAACCTTGGCTTTGCAGTACGCTTCTAATCCTCTCCTTGTTGACTGTACCGCAAAAGTGGTCACCTGGTTAGCCAATCATCCCATCACCAGGCTGGCCAGCGACCCTCTCCACAGTTGAGTGGTGCATATGGCGCTCTTAACTGCTGGCGGACAAATCTTGCTTGATGGGAAGGAGGGGAACGAAAGGAGGGAGGGAATAGAGACCGACCCTCGTCACCGGAACAATTATTACGCGTCAGAAACCGTACCCCCCAAGCATCCACAGCAGATTTAATATATTGATCGACGGGATGACAGACAGATCAGATCATCCCGATGCATTGATTGTTTGTTGCCAGGGTTGGAGGAGGAGAAATATCCGCAACCGTTCTTTTTCCCTCTTCAGGGCTATCTAATGTCTCACCTGTGAAACGGCGGTGGCGTCATTATAACGGCGTTGATTATTGCTCTTTCATCTCCTTCTCAAGTGCATTCTTACCCAAGAGAAAGGTGGTAAGAGGAGGGCCCAGCTAATCCGGACGCGCACACAAGAGACATACAGCGACACTGCGTTATCTGATAAGAGTAAATGAAACGGCGGAATTCCGAGACACTTTACTGCATGCATACTTGTCACTTTACTGCTGTGCTACATTGTATCCACCAAGCCGGAGCCCACGATACAGAATCAAGAAGGAGGAATACGAACCAACGGAGGCAGATTAAGAGGTTTTTCCATCTTTATCTTGGTCTTGTTCATCCATGTCGGTGTGAAAACGAGACAAGAGAGGATCGCCACAGGGGAAACCAACGCCCTGAGACCGGGTTCGACCCCTCCGGCGATGGCACCTGTCGTTCTTGACCGCGTCAAATCTCGGGCGAAGGACTTAGCTTATCTAAGTAGCCTCTTCAGAAGAGAGATCCGCTTTGTGTGGCTGGTGACCTTCTTGACTCAAAGGAAAAGAGGAAGGAAGAAAGAAAGAAAGAAGAGCTCAGCTCCGACTCAGGCTGTCCACCCCCTCCCTACCTGAATGGAAGCAGTCATGTCAAAGTGCAGACTTGCATACAGACTCGTCATCGTCAAGTTCCATCCCACCACTCACTACTGTGGGCTGTCGGCCGTTACTGTCACATTGGTGGCGACGAGTGGTGGTGCGCCGCATTGCTGCAGGCACCTGCAGCCCGACGTGTGATGGGAAACCCCGCTGAGCTGCATATTTTAACATTGCGGGGGCCGCTCGCTTACCGGTAGTACGTCGATAGTGGTAATGCATGTTCGTGTGAGCTTTTGCCTACTGATGTCGTGCCATAATGCGTGGTACGTTGTGGACTTGCACCCGGTCTCGTTCTGCTGGACGACGATACGGGAAGAGAGTTTATCAGAGTGTGGGTGTTATCTGGGGCTTGTGTGTCTCACGTGGCGTTTGGATGAACGGGTTGTGTGGGTGTGAAAATGCGTTTTGCGTGTGGGAGCACATGTCGCGAATTTTCCTTGGATGGGGGGTATTAATTAACTACCATCCCTCCTCCTTGCTCCTTGCTCCTCCAGCCCCGTCCCCCCCTCATAACTGCTGCGGATTCATCTTCCCAGGGGGGTCGCGGGCGTCGGCGCAAACCGCGGCGGGAAACTTGGCAGCACACACACACAAAGCCAAACACCACCCACCCAGGAAGGAAAGAAAAAAAAAAAAAAAAAAAGGAAAGCAAAATAAAACCAGAACTGGTCACAGGAAGATGGGGAAGGATCCAAGAAGGGAAATTCTACTAAAGTAGAAGCATAAAGCATGACGGGGTTGTTTAATTATCCACCACGTGGAGGAGAGCAAATCGTGGCTTTGTTTTTTCCTTCGCTTTCTCCAATTGGCTCTCGGTCGACTAATTCTACGACAAGGTCACAAGCCCAGCTCCGCGGCTGGTCCCTTCTCAGGTGGCACTGGCATTGGTGGGAAAGAAAAGCCACACCACCACCACCTACTTACTCTTACTAGTACTGTAGGCTTGCATGAGCCCCACGACTAGCGTCCGGCACGTCATGCGGTTTAGGTGCAAGCAAACGGGAAGAAAGAAGGGCAAGTTGATCGTTGATCATTGATGCACGAACCAAATCTTCCCGTCACCTTATGGGGCACATGTCGAAGAGTGGATTGGATCGCTGACGATCACGGAGGCAGGGTGGGCGTTTGCTTCTTTCGATGTTGCTAGCTCTGTGCCTTGCTTTTTTCTTCTTTTTTCTTTGTTCATAACGTTCGCCTAATATAGGAGGATCTGAATGTTGGCAGGAGAGAGAGAGAGAGAAAGACAAGAGGATGACGAATGTGCCCTGCTCTCCTTGCTTAGTTCATCCCATCTTCGTCCTCTCACGAGACCGGTCAAGGTTCGTTGGGAAGGACACCCTCATTTCCAAAAGGCCCGCAGGCTGGACTGGACCTCCGTGGGAATTTCAGGACGGGCGTGGTTTGTTCTGGGCCATTCAATCAATCATGATGTGTCTCTCGCCTCATATTTTATTTTATTTTTGGTGTAAACCATAAAAGCACAGTCCATGCCTCGTCACCATCCCCCTATAGGGCCCCCCCCCCTTTTCTGAGGGGAGGATTATCTAAGTGTTATTTTTCTTTCTCTTCTTTTCTCTTCTCGTCTCCATTCTGTCCGATGCTAGAGGAAAAGTGCCGTCAAGGGCTGTGGGCGTTGGCGTGATTACTTACATATTCAGCCAGGCCAACCCCCAGCTGTGAATACCCACTCTTCCATTTGCTCCTGTATCCACAACCCCACAGCACCGGATGTTTCATGTAGCCCGCAACCTGCATGGTGACCGAGTTGCATCCCCTCCGTTCGGATCCGCCGAGTCGGTCTAGTTTTCCCCTCGTCTCTGCAGTGTACACACACAAACACGCGCCCGCCCGCCCACCCTCCTCCAGGGCTTGTCAGCCGTACTAAAAACTACATAATTACTAGTGTACCATAATGGGACAATGCTTCGGACGCCACAGGTCTGTGTGTCTGAAGGGGATGCACCGTTGGGTTGAAGGACACGGAGTAAGAGGAGAACAAAAAGGCACTCGGTCTAGATACTCAAGACTTTCGGTTGGCAGGCTTCCAGAACCCTCGTCCCGCTAGGCCGTCCCAAATATTCGAGACAAGAGATCAGCACATCGCCTCGTTAAAGGTGCACGGCCTCCCGTCTCAAGCGACAAGAATAAGAAAATAAGAGGACAGGAAAAGGAAAGGATCTCATCAGCATCACGACAGCAGTGAAACAGTAAAAGGATGGCTCCAGGACCACACGTGGGTTCGGAGAAAGACAGGGTGATGGTTTCTGACGTACGTACTATGTATCCATCACTCATTCATTTATTCATTGCAACATCAAGACCGTTTTGGTCGTGTGCATTGCTTCTGCCACCGTGCATGTACTATGGTACCTTCAACCCACCATCCACTCTTCATTCTCTTTCTCCCCTCCTTCTTCCTTTTTTTTTCCCTTTTTTTTTTTTTTCCTTCATCGTCCCCGCTGGGCCACCACCTCGTGCTACCTCCCGCTGCGGGTTCCCGCGTGCCAATATCCAGACAGGGCTCCGGGGTCTCGTTGACGGAGCACTGCCCCGTTCGAGCAAGTCCAACGTGAAATCCAACTTGCAGGCCCTTTCATCTATTCTTTCCTTTTTCTTATTTTCTCGCCCTACGTGTTAGTACGTATTATACTTTCTTCACTCAGCAAGCTCGGTTGTCCTGCTCCGCGCGCTTCCCCCCCCCCTCCTCAAGGATCAGGCCTGGCGCAGCAGAGCTCCATAATATGGTTATACCTCGCCCATGCCCAGCCACATCGTCCTCGTACATCCGTCGACCCGCTGGCCAGACCACTGAGGACAAGCAACAGCTTGTCTTGCTTTAAACTTTCAATTCTCCTATCTTGGCACCTCTCTTCTTTGCTTTTTTCTGATCTGGCTGTTTTTTTTGCTTCTTTCTATATTTTTTCCGGACCTATACAAAACTGTTTATATTTGTACGCCCGGCACGCACGCACGCGCGCACCAATACTACTCTCTTCCTCCCTCCTCCTCCTCCTCCTCCTCCTCCTTCTCCTCCTCTTCTTCTTCCTCTCCCCCACTCCCTCTCCCTACAACTCCGCCCCGCCAGCGACATACGATTTACTCCCCGGCCAGAATGTAGCTTGGGGGACCATTATCGATGGAGTCGATCATGATCTCCCCCCGAGACGACGATGATGTTATTTACTACAACCCGTCCCGGCAGATCTATGCAGGATTATGGACTTTATTTGCCGGGGCCACTGTCTTCCTCTCCCTGAGGCTCTGGTGCAAGCTCACCAGGCGTCATGGGCTCTGGTACGACGATTACATTCTCATATCAGCATATGTGAGTTTTCTTCTCTTTTGATAGTATATGATTCATGAATAAGAAGGAAAACAATATCTTGACGCCTGTTCATCTTCCATGCTCGCTTACTTCTTATATATACTCAACAATGACTAACCTTGCACTCATTTTCCTCTCATTCAGTTATTCCTCATGACCACTGATATCATCATCACTGTCGAATACGCAACCGGCTACAGCCTGGGCAGCTGGAACGACCGCATGCACATCCTCATCAACACCTCGTCGATCGGCACCGTCATCGGCCAGGCGGTGAGCAAGTCGGCCTTTGGAGTGACCCTGCTGCGCATGGTGGAGAAGAAATGGCAGGCGGGTATCCTGTGGTTCTGCATCGTCAGTATGGACAGCATCGCCTTCAGCAAGTGTATCTTCCAGTGGGCCAAGCTGTGCGGCGACGACGATTACCAGCAGTGGTACAGACTGCAGGGCTGGTGTCTGAATGAAGATTTCTCCGATCAGTGGAAAGAAATCGGAAATAGTAAGCCCCGCCAGAATGAAAGAGATGCTGTATTTTGGGGGGGGGGGGGGGGGGGAATATGCCCAATCACTAACATATGCGTGTGTCTTCAGTCTACAACATCCTTATGGACTTTGTCTTTGCCATGTTTCCCTGGTTCATAACATGGCGTCTGAAACTCCAACGAGCAGAAAAGGTTGCCCTCTGCCTGACACTGAGTCTTGGAATTATGTGAGCGCTCTCTCTCTCTCTCTCCACCACCCTCGACCTCTACTGTTTTCCTCCTCTTTCCTTCTATGAAATGTTGTAAGCAAAGCTAATACATGGCGAAAATAGTGTCGCTATTATCACGGCCGTCAGGACTTGGTGGAAGGATACTCCACTCATGCACGTTCACGACACATGGTACATGTGTAAGTCATCGCCGCCGTCCCCTTGTTCCTGTTTCTTCTACAGAAAAAAACCAGGCACAAGATTCCCAGAATGCTAACCCCCTACAACAGGGCGAGACGCCATGTCCGAGATCTGGTACTCTGGCGAGGTAGCCGGCACCATCATCGTCCAGTGCATCCCAGTCCTCCGCCCCTTCGTCAAGGACCTCCACACATCATTGACATCCCGACGACTGGACGCCACAGAGCCCACGACCAAGGGCTCCAACAACTGGCGCGGCAGCACCCTAGTGGAGAAGAAGGGCTTCGCCTCCATGTCCCGGGACGAGGAAAACCAGAAGAGCCCTGGGATCTTCGAGCTGACCGAGATTCCCGAGGAGGTGCAACCGCCCGCGTCGATGGCAAGGTCGGGAGGAGGGTATTATCATCATCAAATGGGTCATCACACCGACGCGTACTGGTCTCCGTCCGAGATTGATCTTCGCATCCAAGCAACACACACGAAACCGCTCAAGAAGGAAAGCTGGCCGCTCTGAGGAGAGGAACAGGGAAGAAAAATATAAAAAGAAGAAAAATGAAGCGCGGTATGCTTCGTCGTGTGTTCTGTTCAAGGTGTCGTCGTCTCCCCCAAAAAAAATTCCAAGTATTTCAAGGCAGGGTCCTTCATACATATATATGACTTCGTTGAACCCTTCGCCCTCCTCAGGCTGGACCGGACACATGTAGGTGGCCTGGTTGCTCTTTGCCTTCTTCTGTCGTTTCCAAAAGAAAATTCAAGGGCGTTTTGTTTCGGCTGGCTGTGCCCAGGGAATATGTTCATCAAATTTGGCAGGTTTACTTTGCAGTAAGGCAAGGCGTATTGCGGAGTAAGGTTCCGGCTGTTCTTCTGCTTATGTTTCTTCTACTCTTCATGTACATTCGGGACTCGACGATACCTTTTCTTAGTCTTTATCATTAAATAAGAGGTGTAACCATTAACGAATGAAAAAGCTTGCTTTTTTAAGGATGAAATGATGTTTAGACTCGTCTAGGCCGACTTAGGATGGCGATTCAAGAGACATAGTCACCGCAGATCACCTCTACATTTATTACCCGGAGCGGGACCAACCTTGTGCCGTAGCCGGCTTGTTGCGAGACAGGAATGACGTTATTGTCATGTCACAAAACTTCTAGAACGAATGGTCTGCGCATTCAAGTCACTCTCCACAGCAACAGTTGACCTTTTGAGCTGTAATTACAAGGCCGAGTATGCTCATCGTTCAGTCAGAGGACCCAGCCTGAAGAACGGAAGAACGGCAATCAAGATTCAATCATGACATCAACAACAACCACAACGACGACGACCGGCCAGTGCCTGTGCGGCAGAGTAAAAGTGAGTATCTTGGCGCAATGACAACGACTCAACGACAGGATCATCCTTTCACCACACCAAGATGCTAATTAACGTGAACAATTACAACCAGGTCACAGTAACGGGAAAACCCCTCTCATCCTTCCCAACCCTCACATGCCACTGCAACAGCTGCAAGAAGCGAAGCGGCGGCGTCGCCTCCTACGCCTTCCTCGTGCCCAAGCAGCATGTGCAGTTCTCCCCGGCCCCAAACGAGGCCCCGACGGACGACAACACTGGCTCTGCCGCCGCCGTCGGGGTTCACAAGGTCTACGTAGACAGGAACACGGGCAGCGGGCAGCCCATGCAGCGGACCATGTGTGGCGCGTGCGGGTCACCCGTGTGCATCATCGAGGCGGCGGATGCGGATGTCAGGTGTCTGCAGTTTGGCCTGTTCGCGGGCAGCGAAGGGGTTGATCTCTCTGCGACTAGACCGGGTCTAGAGTTATTTGCGAGCAGGCGGGTTGCGTGGATCCCTGAGATCGGTGAGGAGGTGAGAGAGGCGGCTTGAGTAGATGGGGTGGATGGGTTGTGGCTAACGAGCATTGTTTGGGCATCCATGTGTTCATGGTCGCGCGTAATTACGTGTAGGTCGTAGCAACTGATTGATAAGCTTTTGCTATATTGTAGTATGCGAGCAGTACTGTATTGCCATGATCTAAACAGAGCAGTCGGCACTTGAGCCGAGGGACTCTCCTGTCTCTTCTTCTCGCATATATCGATTGTTTCTCTATTGCACTCTGTTGATACCATTTTCATACCTCCTTTTAACCCAATATTGGCACCAAGTGGGCAGTCATGTTCGCCCTCAATCTTTACATGATCATCTACATCATTACAGAAGGATGGACGACAATTATAAGACCATCGTGTGCACAAGATACTTTTGCAATTTATCCTTTGGGCTAGATCCAGGATTCTATATGCATATCTTCCTTTTCCCAAAACAAAAGCCCTTTCCTTTGGTCCTAGCATGTTTCAATTGAAGCAAATCTGCAGTCTTTTTTAAGGCACACAACTAAGAAGTGTAGAGTTGGGCATATGCTCATCTTGGGTTGTCCTTGTGGTTCACCAACTTGCAAATTACCTCAACATCCTCCCATAATCACAGCTTTGTTGGTAGGGAAGTCCAGAGAAGGAGAAAGAGAAGAAAATAAGAAATTAAGGAGAGAGCAGGAGAGTATTACGTGAGATCGGTTCTGAACGAGGCATGACAAGGAATCCCTCATCACTGCCAACAAGGGTTGTGTTAATTGATCCATACCATGACATCCTTGGCAGCCAGCAACCCTGAAGCATCCATGCCCAGCTCATCTCTCGACCGCTTCGTGAGCCGCAATGGAATCCTTCAGTAAGACAGGAAAGACAGCACCAGGAACCTCTGCGTTGCCCCTTGTTTGAAAGTTCACGAAGACAGCAGGATATCCATGGACAGGCTGCGATCCTCGCCCAGGTGTCTCTTTCTGTCTCTCTCTCTCTCTCTCTTTCTGTGTGTGTGTGTGTGCGTGTGTACGAATGTCTGTAACAGTGTAAAACCCACCCCACCCACCCAAGTTTCTGAAGAAGACTGCTCGGCCGAGGTTTATCCAATTATCTCCTGACTTTGGGACGGAATGATCCGAATCAGCCTTATCAAATTAGCGCCCTGTTTAATAGTTTCCATTGATATGCAAAGGCTTGTGGGCTGGTTCCGAGACCACCGAGAGCCGTGCCTGGATGTGACCGAGCACATCATCAATCACCATGGTGGCAGCGGGCAGCGGCTCAGGCAGGACGATCCCTTGGAAACGCTCGTATTCTGCAAAGGGGGGTGGTTGTGTGGTTCGGGTCTCCATGAAAGTTCATTACCACGCTACAATCCATGCTAGGACCCGACCCAGACAACTCTCCCTCCTGTTGCGGAGTTGTGGGGCATGCGGATCCCTTCTCGACCACGAGCCAGAACATCCTCCATGACAAAGAGCCTCATGCAGTCTCTCTTGGATGTGCCTTGCTCGCAGCCAAGTTGCGTATAGATGATACAGAACCACTTACTATTATGGCTATGAGATCTGCCAAGTCGCCTTGGCCGATCAAAATGTTCCCAGTTTCGGAGCCTGACAAGAAGGCCCTCCGCCAAATGTCTCGATCAAACTCATTTGTGTGGGCCGTTGACGCGCAGCTGTTCGTAAAATTGATGCTCTATTCTCCGACACAAGATTAAAACTGGCCCAAAAGACGTCCGTATTTGACGCTGCCGGCGCGGAGACTACCAAAGAGTCTCAAGTACCGTCCTCGCCTCGCCTCGCTTCGCCAGTACGCAGAACACGATACCTTTCGTCTCGGCCCACCTCTCGACTAAAGAAGAAATGGAACGGGGACATTCCCTCCACAGCGCGTAAAAACGTTTCCTCGCGTGGCCTCGCTTGAGGCAATTCGTAGCAAACGCGATGGAGATCCCCCACAGGTTATTGGCGGATCAATTTCGGGAGGAGGGTGTTGGGAGGAGACGTGGGCTGGAAACGAAACATCGATCCTATTCTCATCCCTGCGGGCGGCGGGGGAGGTCGCCTTTCTGTGAAACAACAGACTGCTGCCAAGAAACGCCCCTAACAAGGAAGCCCACCCGCTTGCACAGAATAGTGCATAGAAGGAGTTATTGCCTCGAAATTATTTCCGAACCCTTTTTTTTTTCCTTCTCTTCATACTCTTTCGCCAATTTGTTGAACTTTCATGGATTCCTACTGTTTCTCCTTCGGTTACCCAACAGCTCTTGCAGGTTCTTCGCTTGGAGAGGAAGCGGTGAGTACAGACGCTGTAAAGCAATTGGTCTTGGAAAGTGACCAACTCGGTTAGGAATTCAAGTTCATCCTGTATTCTCTTTGATTTCTCCTCCTGAGTTTTGTTAAATGTTTATTTACATAGTGCTTGCTTTCTGTCCGAACCATCATCGGTCCTATTGTTACATAGTAATTCTCCACATCAGGCCAGGCGCGTAGTAGTTTCCACCTGTTTCTTGCATAATCCACAGCGAGAAAGAAAGAAGGAAAGAAACCATGTTCCAACAAAACCCCATTTCGTATGCGTGTGTAGATTAAAGGAGTTGAGGCTACGTCGACATGCGCCGAATTCATATCCATTAGCCGATAGAACTGGGTCCGCTTAACCCCCCCTGCTTCAGATGCAGGAGACCTTGATTAAACCAAAACTGGAGCCCCGGAGACAGGATCCACTTCCGTCCCAAGGAAGGGGATTGAGGCTCTCGGGCGCCTCGTTCGCCCCCGATGCCTTCATATATATAAAGAACTGCCAAGTCGATCTCGTTGCTTGTTTGTATCTTGGCTTTTTCTCTTGTTTATTCAATCCATCCTTCTTTCTTCCTTTTGCACCAAGCTTCGCACGCCAGGTTGCGTCCAATCTTTTGATAAGACCCTCATTTTTCTGTTACACCTTTTTTATCTTTCCCAGAAAAACAGTATTCAAACATTTCAACCCTCTCCTGCATCTCAACTTTTTCAATCCAGCTATTCACAAAACAAAAATGCGTTCTTTTGCGATAGCTTCTGTTGCCGCAGCTGTGCTGCCCGGCGCCCTCGCTCGTCCCAACGGACAGATCTTCCAGCGAGGATGGGGAAAGGAGGCCTTCGGAGGAGGTAACGGAGGTGGTCGTGGTGGATTCGGTGGTGGCTACGGAGGTGGCTGGGGAGGCAAGGCTTCTTCTGCAAGTGAGTTTTCTCTGGCTTTTCTGACGGAGTATCTACCCTTCAAAAGGAAGTTCAACAACAACAAAAAGGTTCAAGGCTGACTTCATGTCTCTTGTAAAGGTGTCTCCAGCTACAGCAACGAGGCCAGCGCAACCTCCAACCCGGCTCCTTCGTACGAGTCTGCCTCTGTCACCTCTGCCTACGTGGCACAGGCCCAGGCCACCAGCGGCGCGGGCTACACAGTGGCCTCTGCCAGCGCCACGGCCACTGGCTCGTCCTCTGGCTCCTCGAGTGGCTCCTCGGGTGGTTCCGGCTCCGGCACTGCCATCAGCTCGCTTGCTGGCGGCTCTGGCGTCGGTGGAACGACCTGCACCGTCACGGACTTTGCTGACGTGACGGCCTCTGCCTCTGCCTGCTCCAACGTCCTGCTGAGCGGCATCACCGTTCCCGCCTCCAGCACCCTCTCGGTCACGGTGCCCAGCAACGGCGCCCTGCTCTTTGCCGGCACCATGACGGTCGAGTACACGCCCGACACCGACTACACACCCATCGTGCTGACGGGCAGCAACGCCAAGGTGGCTGGTCTCGCCGGCGCCGTCATCGACGGCCAGGGCTCCCAGTACTGGGACGGCGAGGGCTCCAACGGCGGCACTGACAAGCCCGACAAGTTCATCAGCCTGGACGACGTCGACGGCTTCACCTTCGAGCAGCTCACCATCCAGAACTGGCCCACCCACTGCTTCTCCCTCAGCGGCTCCGACCTGACCATCAACAACCTCATCCTGGACAACAGCGCCGGCGACGAGCTGGACAGCGACGGTGACGCCCTCGGCCACAACACGGACGGCTTTGACGTCTCCAGCATGACCGGCCTGTACGTGTATGATGTGACTGTCTACAACCAGGACGACTGTGTCGCCGTCAACGATGGTTCCGACATGGTCTTTGAGAACATGTACTGCTCTGGCGGCCACGGTCTCTCCATTGGCAGCATCAAGACCGGCAAGACCGTCTCCAACGTCACCTTCAAGGACTCGAGCGTCGTCAACTCCGAGAACGGTTGCCGTATCAAGACCTACGATGATGCTACCGATGCCTCCGTCAGCGACATCACTTACAGCGGTATCACCCTCAGCGGAATCACTGAGTAAGTTTTCTTCATTAAACAAAGCCCCCATTCTTGTTCAATCACCACTATATCACTAACACCGTTTACCAGCTACGCCATCGATGTCCAGCAGGACTACGAGAACGGCAGCCCCACTGGCGACCCAGGCAGCGATTGCACCGTTAGCGGCATCACCTTCGAGGACATCACCGGTACCACCAGCGGCGACGACTCCTACAACTACTACATCCTCTGCGGTGACGGCAGCTGCACTGACTTCACCTGGACCAACATTGATGTCACTGGTGGTTCCACCTCTTGCTCTCCCAGCGGCGATATTTGCCCGTCTTCTTGAAAAACAGAAAGACTACGAAGAGAAGGATGCGAGAAGGCTTCCTGAAATGTTTCAACTGTACATATATACTACTTTAAAGGTGCTTGCTCGGCGAGACCAATCCAATGTATACGTATTTTACTCTACAACCATTCCTTCCTATTATTTTGTAGCCAAAAGCATAGGTACATAGTCCAAGTGAGATGGGAGAGGGGCCTCAGCCTTGCAGGATTCGCTATATAAAGGTGAATCTTTGTACATTCAAAACAAGTCGCGGGCCCCTTGATGTTCCCACTTTTTCTGTCAGGCTCGCTGGACCAATCCTCCTCTCATCGCTGGCGCCAAGCTTCATCCCATTTGCATGGCGAGCGAGCACAGAAGACGAGCATGGAGCCCCGCCACTCCACCTGCGCAGCTATGTCTTACATTAGCTCAGATCGTAATTAGATGCGGGCTTCGAGTAGCCTATTGTCTTATGCAGGTCAGTTGGTAAGAGAGGGTGAAAGGAGAGAGTCATGTGTGCAAGATACTATTCTTGTTGATGTAGGCCCGCCACGATCAACTGGTGTCATCACAGCGATCTTCTCAATCGCTTAGAAGAGTTTTGTCCTTGAATGTGCAACTTGGCCCATGTCTCGTTATGAGATATTCAGCGTGATGGACGTTTTCTTACCATCTCCGTTCCATATCTTCCAAACACAGACTGAAGTCATGTTTAAGGTTCACATGAGTTACCTTTCTTCAACACGCCTGTTTATGCTGGTTGTTCTATTCTATAGCCATAAACAGCCCTCACTATGATCTATGCTTACGCTGAGAAAGGCGTATGAACAACAAGCAATAACTGGCACATGAAAAGGTAAGCATACTGCTGAGACAGGAAGCCATAAGTTCCGCTGATGCAGTAGAAAGAACTGGAACCATCAGAAACCCTACTAGATCCCTTGGATAGCATTGTCTTGTGTTAGTCTCCCTCTAATCTATATCTCCTCTACTGTATTTGTGACCATGGTCGATTTTCTTCCGCTCAAAAGACCAATTGAGTTTCATATGTATGGCCTAGACCCAATCCTTGCGCAGCCCAGAATGACAGCCCAACATGACGTCCGCGCTACATACACTCTAAGCCACATTTGAAATCTGAGCTTGCGTTTTCTCCTGCCAGTGACAACACATACTTGAAATGACATTGGCCCAGTTCGGTCCCGTGCATCATTTAGTCTAAGTAATCCAGTACCTCTTCAGGGATTGTCAAATGCTCCAAACTTTACCAGATTCCAGACGCAATTCATGATGCAGGGTGCACTGTGATTACATGGCGACACAGGCCAAGCTAGACATGTCAGATTTCACCACCCTCACATCAAGTTTACCAAATGTAATCGCCTCCTGTTCTCCAGTCAGCTTCCTTGTCATGAGTTCCCATCTGGTTCTCCTCCTTTCTCTTCGAACAAGTGGGTCCATTGGCCAACTGGCTTGATTCTGTGGTAAAAAAGTGGTGGGCCCGTTCAAGCTCCTGCGCAGTGGAAGACAACTCTCCTCCTAATGATGAGCAGTTCACGATCTTGCACCTTCAGAACAGTACAGGTGATTTGATATCGGGTCAATCAATTGGCGATAGACTGCATTCTTGTCTACTACGCCCTATACAGAGCCTTCTCTCATGCCTCCCGCCGCATTCTTTCCTCTTTCCCTTCTACCCTTCAGTAGAAAGACAAACAAGCTCAAGATCCGACTTCTTCCCAACATCAGCCAGCAGCAAGAATTTGCCTCCTCAATGTTCACACATGAAGCAGTTGCAAGCATCTGCTTCCATATTCTGACTGCTCATCGTTCCATCGTGCAGCTGTTCAACATCCTTGGCACCGCCCTCATGGGCCTCGTTCTTACCCAGGCTGTCAGTATTGATCTCTCCACAGGCAGACAAAGAAAGGGGGGGCGGGAAGAGAAAGTGATCTTTGGAAGACTAACCAGATCATGTATCAGGCCCCTGCTTGTCATATCTCTTCCTCCTCCTCTGAGATGATCGTCGCTGGTAACAAGACCTACGCAATCGTCCCTATTCAGTGGACCGTTCAGATCAACAACACCGAGAGCCCCTAGTCAGTACCTACTTTGACCCCCTTTTGGCACCCTTATGGACACATATAACCAATCAACCTAACTCCTGAGCCTTGTAGCAACCTTACCATCGAGGGCACCAAGCAGGATGTCTTCCATAGCATCACCAGGGTTGACCCCGACGCCGCAGCCAACATCAACAACACCGTGAATGCCATTACCACTGCCCTCTTCGCCAATCACACTTCTTCCGCCATCCCTGGTATCCACGACGACGCCACGTACACGCCCATCAACCACTTCTGCAACGTTGCCGGCTGGGGTCGTTGCTCTGTCGACCGTCTGTACCAGGGCATCGCCTACCTGGACGGCGTCCCAGGTCAGCCCTCCAACGGTCCAGGACCGGGCACCTGTGGCCGAGTTTCTTGCTCGTACTCCGCCGCTATCTTCTGGTGCAACGATGTGAGTGGATTTCTTTCCCATTTCCCTTTGATCTTACATAGGATGGTTGGTATCTACTAACAACTCCTTCAACCTTGACAGAACATGGAGACCAAGGTCCTAGATAGCTTTGGCAGCATCGGAGATGGCGTCGAACGCATCATTGATGTGTGCTCCGTGGGTAGCAGAGCTCTGGTCGACGGCCAGCAATTCTTTTCTGACGGCTGGAATGCCATTGCTCGATACGATGCCTGCTAGGTGAAATGGGCACCATAGAGGTGCGTATGTGTACATATGTCTGTGGAGATCAGCATAGTGTTCAGAAATCACAATGATCGAGGAGGCGGTTTCATCCAAAAAGACGTACAAACAGTTCACTATACCATTTTTGCTTCTCGACTAACACTTGGATCGAGTACTGTGGGAAAAGACTGATCGATTGATGATGTGAACCACACACGCTTGAATACGTCTTCCGGAGCCAACTGCGGGATGGAGGAGGCAGTCCACGTGTTCGCTCAAGGACTGCCGCCTCAGATAAGTCGTGCATGACCCCTGACCCGATTCTCGAGCAATGCCACGTATGCAACGCACGATGCAAGTATCGGAAGCAAAGTAGAACAAGGTAAGCCTCCCACCAAAGGATATTTGCAGTAAGTATGCCATGTGAGTTCCCTTGCTTTCTATACTGAGTAGAGTGTTCATAGGTGCTCGAGTGGGCGGCACTCCGTCTGAGAGTTTTCTGCACACCTTCTGCTGTGATAGATAGATGGGCCGATAAGTGAGTTGTAGATAGGGATGTCCTCGAACATCCAAGTCCCCAGGCGATGTTTCCATCCTACGAAGCTTTACCAGCGGGAGAAAGAGTGTATCATCTCTTACCGCTCCACGCCACCTCCCTGATAGTGTGCAACAGGAAGAAGAGTATCTTAAGCTCCTTAGGATAAGGCTCGAGATACCTCTGATTTATCGCCAAGGAAGATGTCTGAGCAGACCATTGCTACCGCGCGCGACGATTGTCTCAACCTCTGATGGTCAATATCTTGGTTCACGACATTCAGTACTAGCTGTTGCTGTTTGCATACGAAGTCCCTTCCGCCTGTTCTAGGCCAATTGTTCAGTCATGAAAGAAGAGAAGAAAACGAAAGGGAAGAGATACTTACGAGGTATAGTCAAACCATCTCATCACAAAGCCATCACTTGCCTTGGGAATCGTCGGGACTCGGCTAAACCAGGCAGGTGAAGAGAAATGCATAATTACCGGCCGCCCTACCATTTACACTATGGCACAGCCACTGGAACACCGGCATTGCGCTCACACAATGCTCGCAGCTGTTTTCTCCCCTACCTAAGCTTTTTTTTTTTCCTTTTTTTTTTTTCCTTCCAAAGTTGCTAAGATTTACTCATATATATCCAAACATCGGCCCTGTGGGAAATCGCACAGGAGCTCTCTCCCAAAGATGATCAGTTCAGTTGAGAGTTTTCCCCCTTTTCTGTACCTTTGAGTCACCACCGTGCACCATTTACTCCTCCTCTGTCCACTTCACAACCCTTCACATTCTTCCAAAGATACCCATCTGTCCCTTAGGCGGGAAGGTTCCCTCCTCCCAGGTCCCCCCGAGGTGCGAACCCACCTGCGCACATGGGAGGTGGATCCCCCCGCTCTCCTCTCTCCATGCCACGCTGAGATCTCAGCCAGTGCAGGTGTAGCTGCAGCAACAAGCAGCATGGGTTTCTATACTTCGTTGTTTTCTCTATTCCCTATCTTCTCTATCTCTCGCTGTCTCTCTATCTCTCTCTCTTTTTTTTCTTTCTCTCCCTCCTAGCATATCGCCGTGCTTCGTCATCTTCTCTGTACAAGGACAGAACCTAGCGGGAGGGCAAATAGAACAAGTGTAAAAACAAAAGTGAGGGAATTCGCTTTTTCCCTTCCTTCCCTTTTCTTTTTCTTCTTTTTTCTTTTTTCTTCCTATCATAAATAAAACAGAAAAACCCCAGAAGCTCAAAAGGTCAGCGCTTAGCACCCCACCAATCACGTCTCATGCCCAGTCCCAGTCCCCATCACATTCAACCCCATGCACGACATGGGAAGCCGGGCGCTTAGAACCTTGCCCAAGAACAACGGGAGGGGTGGCAGAGTCGCAGCAGCGAGGCACGTGAAAGGGTGGGGGAGGAGAGAGGGGCGGACATGTTACTACCATAGTACAATGTACACACACACCATTCGAGTTGTTGCGCGCGTGATCCTTGATCCTTGTCCTTGGGTGAGGGTCTTGATTCGATATCTGGTTGGATGTTTTGATGGAGGAGGGGACGGGAAAGACTGAGCAAAAGAGGCTTTCGAGTCTCTTGTCTGAATGAATTTTTTCTTTCTTTTTCCTTCCCTGTTTTTGAAAGGTGGCAATTGTTTGAAGGCTGGGTTTTTCTGGTGCTTTCGCTCTCTTCCTCTTCCTCCTTCATCTGATTGGGGCTTCGGTTCTCTTCGAATGAGCCAGCCCGATCTGTACCGTTTGTACCGATTCACCAAGTAAATCTTCCCAAAGATCACCACATCCTCTAGTCTTAAAAGGTGTCGAATCCACTATCCTCCCTCCACCTTTCGCACCACCTTTCGCACCACCATACCAACCCCCCCCCCCCCCCAAATCTTTCAAGGCCCGTGCCATCTACCGAAGAATGGAATGCATGTACAACCAGAGCTACATCCCTTAGTCTACCTCCACTCATTTGCTATGATAGGTACCAGTGGGGTGGAAAACGGACCCGCCAGCACCAAAGATGCTACTCCAAGCCCCTAAAAAAAAAAAACCGGAAGAGACGAAGGAAGGAAAGAAAGAAGAAAAGGTACAGAAATGCCCAGAAGTCGGTGTAGTCGGTGGCGGGCATTACTGGGCCTGAATATGCAAGGCCTAGTAAGGTCCCCCGGTAAGGCCTGCGAAGATCACCACCCTACATAGTGTGCTTCGCCGTAGGGGGGAGGAAAGAAAGAAAAAAAAAACAAGAGACGCTGCATCTATTTCCTTTCCGTTATGTCTTGGTCTTTTTCTTCTAGTTCTCGATCTTATCATGCACTCTGCCTTACTATCGCTGGTGGTGGGGGGGGGGGGGGCGAAAACGGAGAGAGCTGCAATGCTACGGTGAAAAGACACGTTCGTCCAGGTGGTATTCGCCCCCTTCCAGTCTCGACAGCAAACGAGGTGTGAACTTCGCCTACTACTCAAATCTATCCCCCCGGGTGTTGCTTCGCCGCCTGCGTGCATCTCCCTTGCCGGGCCCAGAAATGGGGATCTCGTACTGCAAGAGACCAGAATGCGCACACTATCTACATGGTATCTGAACATACCCTCATCTCAGTTGCCCACTGGGCCTAGCATCCGCTTTTTGGAGAGACAACCTTACGAGAGAAAAGAAAAAGGGCACCCAGCATAACAACCAACATTATGACTGTACCTGACAGCAAACTAGCTACCACGATACATAAAATCTCGAATATAGGAAAGAGATCTGCCTGGTTAGGTGGCTACGAGCGCTGCTGCTGCTGCTGCTGCTACTACTATTGCAGTACATACTATGTAGTAGCACCACTGCTACAGTACAATGTACCATAGTACATATGACCTACATGTCGACCCACCCTCTCCCTCCCTCCGTCCCTCCCCTCTCTGCTCCAAGGGGAGTGGAAAGGCGGCCCATCCTAAAGGCCAAGTGCGATCCACTGCGGGAAGTGCCTCCTCTGGCGTCGTCCAGTCAAGTGAATTTCGGCGGCCGCCTTTTGCGACCTGGTCACTCCCGCTTTTCCACTCGACCATTGGTCGCCCGCCGTTTTGTTCGTCTTGCCCGAAAGTAGTGAAGTCAGTGGCTGGGGATAGGGGATGGAGAATGAGGATGGGGAACAGCAAACCCGTCACAAGCGGATCCGGAAGTAAATCACAGCAAGTTTGGTAAGGGGGAAAACAAGGAGGGTAATGTGAATTCCATCAGGTGGTACAGAATTGTCAAGACCCAGGAGGAGTTTATACACTGAATAAATATATGATTGCATTCGTTCAAGAACTGCCTGCCTAGCTTGATGGCCATTTGCATAGCAGTTGCATAGACATAAAGCTCATTCCGTTGCAGTAAAGCAAGTTAAAGAAGAACAAGAAAAGGAAAAACAGCAGCCCCAGGTTTGGGCAAAAGTAGGTATCCGCCGATGGTATCTCCCAGCTTCCATACATAATGTGGTCGGAGACGCCGCCTGCAACGCCGGGTGCCCATGTGATTGATTGTGTGTGACAGACATGTCCAAAGCAAGATGGCCGGGGAGGCCTCAGATTTCGTATCCTCCAAAAAAAGTTTCGCCTCGCAACTCCGTATTCCTCCTTTTGGATGGATTTTCTTGGGGGAATGCAAGTCATGAACGATCATCAACGTAAAAGGAGATATTGTGTTGGGATGGTGTAGATAAGAGCCCTTGAGTTGATAGTCGAGGGTGGTGTTAGTTGATGGCTGGGCCAATTCGTTGGCTGACAAAGGAAATAAGGCGTAGAGTGATTGATGGTCTGATGTCGTGTGATGTAAACTCGTGTGTTCTCGCGAGAATGTGGTGCTTCTGATCCTCTGTCCCTCTTGTTTGCTTCCTCCTCTCCTCCTTTTTTTCTCCTTTTTTTTTTTTTTGTTTCATGCATCGTCGTCTCATTCAGCAGATGCATCGTTCAATTTCCTCCGTTTCCCCCTTGGCGCGGGATCCATCCTCGGCGTATACGTGACCGTTCTGGTGACCACCTCTCGAATATGCCTCACACTTGTTCCCTTCTTCTCGCACCGGCCCGCTTGGGCGCCTGCGCTAGTCGGGCCGGCACTGGTAGGGGCCGGGAGTAGAACCTCTGCATGCCTCCTCGCCTTCAGCGCTGCTTCCCAGTCAAAGGGGCTCTTGAGGCTCCGTGCACTCCAGGGTGAGCGCACAGGGCTGTCTACCGCCGGGCTGGGCGGGACACGCAGGCTTGGGAACGTAGCTGGGCCTGTGGCAGGGGCCGAGAGCGGGTATGTGGCGGCTGGTGAAGCCGGATGCCTAGTGGAGATAGGTGCGGGTGAAGGCTTTGACGCCTTGTCTTTGTGGTCGCCATCGGGACAGCTGCAGTCCGTGGCGGTGCTGTCAGTGGTGGTGGCAGAGGTGGGCGCGCTGTCGATCTCTTCCTCTGTGGTGCTGTCTGGAGCGTCTTCCGTCTTGATTGTCTGGACCGTCTCCACGCTGTCTCCAGTCGAGGTTCGCTTCAGGGAGGCCTTGCTCGGCAGGGGAGCCGTGAGCGGAGGGCTCGCCATGGCGGGCGAAGCAGGGTTGATAGTCTTGAGGAAGTCCATGTAAGCCAACGGAGGCGTGATGGGGGTCTTCTCCGTTGGTTTCTCCTCGATCTTTGCCGACAGCATGCTGGGAGTTGGTGGGTAGTCGAACGGTGCTGATGGAAGGCCGGCAGAGGGCAGGCCGGCAGAAAAGAGGCCGACGGCAGACAGCGGTCCCTTGAGCGATGCGGCCGAGTGCGGTGTCCTGACAGACGAGGCAGACCGCAGAGCATCAGTGGGGAAGGTTGCCGTGGTGGGCGTCTTGAGAGACGGCAGCTTGGGTCGTGTGGCAGACATGGTAGGCATGTGGTCCGTTGTGTGGTTTTGGAAATGTTTTGGTGCTAGGAGCGAGGCAAATATATGTGATATGTGACAGCAGCAGGGCACGACCAGTGGTGTTTAGAGCAGACGAGTTGAACCGACGATAGGGGCTGTGTGTGTGTGCGTGTGTGTGTGTGTGTGTGTGTGTGTGTGTGTGTGTGTATGTGTGTATATGAAAGTGCGAATGTAAAGGTGGGTGTGGATGTGCGTGTGTGTGACAGGCGTCAGTCAAAAAATGTTTGAAGAAGAGTAGACCATCAAGTCAAGCGAATGACTCGGGACACGCTGCCCGTTGAGCTGCAACAGTGGACAGACAAGATTCGACTCGCCCTGCAGGAGGGAGACAGAAAGAGTCAAGTCCGGCAGTTGGAGAGGGGAGGAGGGGTAAAGAGGAAGAAAAGAGGGAGGAGGAGAAGTGGGAGGGGAAACGGTGAATGGGTTGACGGCGGGCTGGACGAGGATATATGCAATCCAGGGCCAAAGTAGGCGCAGTAGGGCCACTGACGGCGGCAAAGATGCAGGTTGCAAGTGGGTGAAGGTGGGATGCGACAGGATGTAGGCTGTCAGTCAGGCGGCAAAGGGGTGCTCTGCTCAGAAAACGGATCCACAAACTAAGCTCCTGACAACCTAGCCCTCCGCGTGTGTTTCCGCGACCAGGGAGGGGGAGCAGGTGGACTGGGTCCAAGTCGAACCCGAAGACGCGGATCGAGTGGGACAGGGGGATGTTTCGTTCCCTGCCTGTCTCTCTCTCTCTCTCTTTCTTTCTTGGTGGTTCCGCTGGTCGGATTGGTTTCCCAGCCAGTTGCGGTTGGCGTCTATTTTGCGTTGTGGTAGTGCAAGTTGTTGTGTTGGCGCTTCCCCCAACCGTGTAGGTAATAGAGACCAGGGAGTGAGGGCGTGAGGGAGGAGGTTTGTTGTTTTGCAGTTCTGTCGTATGGAACTGCGGTTCAGCGGCAAGATAGGTCGTCCTCGAGTGTGCCTATGAGGTCGTCTTCCTGGACTCGGAGGAGACACGAAACTGCGTTGCCGCTGGAGATCCGGGGCGAGGAGGCCTGTGATCTGAAGCAGAGGAGGGGAGGGGTAATGAACTTGTGTGTGCAGCGCCAGGAAAAAGATGGACCACAAAGGCAAGAGCACAACTCTTTTTTCTCTTTCGCAGCAGACGAGGTGCTATTGGAGGAGCGGCCGCGCTTGTGCTTGAGAGATGCCTTAGTGCCAGCTCGAGGTACAGCCAGCGAGTCCCGGTCGGTCAGGGTTGCCAGGTGGGTACAACAGCCCTCGGGCAGGAACAGGGCTCTCTCCCCCTCTTCTTTTCCTTCTGTCGAGCTGTGCGTGCGGGGTTGGGTGTGTCCCTTGGAGGAGAGGACGGGAAGGAGCGAGAGAGAGCTTGTGATCCACACAAGCTTTGGAGAGGGAAGGCACCCGGGTTGTTGTTGCTGTGAAAAGACAAGATGGAGGACGAGGACGAGCGAAACGTTGATCCGGTAAGCGCTGGGAAGCTTCCGACTACTGGAAGGTTATTGGAAGAAATGCCAGGGCGTCACCCCGTGCGTGCCCTGTCCTGTTGTCCCTGGTCAGATCTGACTGGCAGATCGTCGGGTGTGATAGGCACTCTGTCTCCCCTCGTAGGGCGAGAATCCCTCAAACCAGGAACGGCAATACTTGGATGGAATACACACACTCCGCAGCCTTGTTCTGATCTTTCGTCCCCCTGGAAATAAATGACAGACGATGAGTTGAATCAATATTTTCAAAGTCGTAAAATGCGAGCCTTGAACAATGACGATGATGCTCGCACCAATATTCGAGGAAAGTACGAATGAACAACTGAGAGGGAACTCGCAAGTGCCTCAAGAAAAAGTCGAGAGAGAATCAACCAGCAGCGATCTGCGAGAGAGATAGGCAAGGGCCCCCCTTGTCAGGTGGAAATGGTCAAACCCCCTGTTCCTCTGTAGCCGCTGGGATGGACACGTCTGGAGCCTGTGTCAGTTATGATTGGGCCGCTGAGGATGCACGCTAGATGGGCCCGGCACACAGCGCGCTTCGCTATTCTTAGCAATGGCTCTGCGAGTGGGTGGGAAGGAGGCAATCTCATTGGATAGAGAGAGGCTTAATCATCCGGATTAACGTCCTCCAACCAGCGTCCCTGGTCTGGATCTTTTGACCTCGAAATTTCTCCAAGACTTGGCTTCGTACTCTCACCAACAGATGATGGCCACAAGGCTTTGGACGCAGTTTTGTGCGACTTGACACAGCCGCCTTGATGGAGAGACAAGAAATAAAGAAGAAGAAAAAAACAAGATTGAAAAGAAACCAAACGTAATTTCAACAAGGATGCCACAAAAAAGGAGAACGACCAGGGATGTTTTTCAACGAGAGAAAAAAACTGGTAGGTGACTCGTACGGTAAAACCGGCAGAGAAAGAACTTGCCACAGTATGCAATACGAGGAAAGCAAGACAACAACAAAGTTTCTCTTTCAGAGGTGGATCGAGGGAACATTGGTTCCTCAGTCAATGCAAGTGAGCATTCCAGAAGATCTTCCCCAGCATATTTGTACGTCGACATTCTTACTATCAACGAGTTTGACGATTCTCTCCCCTCAGTTTACCTAGGCGCCCATCAGGCAAACCACCCCCCCCCCCTCCTCAAAACGCATTTCCTTCTTTTCCTTGATCTGTATCAACAAAGAATATCATAATTTCTATCAATCCCTCAGTTTCGAATTGGACCTAGGAATAGACAGACTCCACATCATCCCAGCCTACTTTCATTCAGAGCGCGCGGATATGAAGCATCGTCAGGACTGGAAATTCCAGCTCTCTCCTCGCTGACTGGCTGGCCACCTCCTGCCTTGACAATATCAAGATCCGGAAATGACGGATTCAGATCTATCTTGTGTGGCTTTCAAGAAACCCCGGGTTCAGATTCCTGGCAGGGCCACTGGAGCGCGCGCCACATGCAGCATCTCGCGCCCCCCCCCCCTTCCTCGCCAGGTCAAATCTGGGCGCCACGAGCCGGACCAGACGATCTGGTTCGAGGACCACCCCCAGGATCTATCTGGCTTTCTCCACCCTTTTCTATGTGTCGCTTCGCTTGGAGTCGAGTAAATCTCCAGGACGATGACCCAAGCCTCTGGTGACGAAGCATATGCCATGCCGCCCATACTCTAGGTTTCGAGTAAAGCAAAAGCTGGGTAGGTATGGGCCGCAATCTCAGGCCGGAAGGTGGCCGTCTGGACGCGCCTCGTGGCTTGTTAGGATTCCAATGCGGCGCGGAGAGTCGACGTCTCAGCTACACTGTGCCGCATATTGTTATGGCGGACAGGGGATTTCCGTCTGTACACACTTTGATGACCCACCACTGCTTGCCAAATCTACTATGTAATATGGTAGTTTTTTAAGTGATCGGCAAGCTTCTCGAACATTTTTCACTCGGCCGGGCCCACAACCGCCGACCCCGTTGAGGCTCGTCCTCACGCCCGCCCCAAAGCGCGTGCATACGCGCCCCACCCAAGAAAGTTCTTTGCCGCCGAGCTCTTTTTTGTCGCGCTGCTTTTTTGCTTGACACGTCAGGCTCGGTGGCTGGTGTTGGCTGCACCGCGGCTGCTGATACTGTGGGGGACGAAGGGAAACTCTTCCCCCCTCCCACCATCGAGAAACGTCGTCGTCGTATCACTCGAGGCCACGTTTTCGGGTGCTGAAAATGACTTGCAGGACTTTCCATGTTATCATCCCCACCAGTCTTGCGCTTGTCCACCATGCCCAATGATGTGGTTTTGTGTTTCTCCATATGGGTGTGTGGTGAACGGAGAGAGCATGACGCTGATTCAGACGTCCAATAGGATGTCTGGCCGGTCCTCCATGACCACTGAGAGAGGAAGTCAGGCCCGTTGCACACACAGAGGACATGTTGCTTCTTAGACTCTATCACTCCTGGAGTCGGACATTGAGAAACTGGCCTTGTGCCGCTGATTGCCTGTGCAGCTAACAAGCAGCGCGAGCCAGAGACCGAGATGATTAGCCCCCAGTCAATTATGCTAGCATACTGCGGAACAAGCTCTTGTACGTTTGGTGGACGAACCTATTGCTCATTCATCTATTACTCTGAGCTACTTATGTAGTAACGAGGATAGACTCAATCCATGTAAGAACTTCCTCGCATTTAAGCCTTGGACTATTGGTCTGTCATAACTTTGTAGTTTGATCCAAGGGAAGTATAACACAGGGTTCGACGCGATTTGAATGCTTTCTCCTTAGCTCAGTGACGACGTCGTCTCGACGCATGAATTAGTCGTGCTCCCTCTTGCTCGTATTTGTACCAATCCAACGTTGATATAAGTGTACTTGAAACGAGCTTCTGTTGTATCTTTCAGAAATCCCTGGTTATCATGATCACGTTCTATCAGACCTTGCAATTGCCCATGACTGTGCCAACCCTCCGTGATAAAGAATGACCGCTTAAAAAGCAGTGTCTGAGAATTCTCCCGACAAAACAGTATCTCCCAATGCTCATTGTATTTCTGCACATGTGATTTCGTCTCGAGCCACGCCAGTGATGGATCAAATGTACCAAGGTTCGGGTACAGGGCTAATTTGTACCAATAAAGCATGTTGTCAATATCCTCTTTCGATTCACGAAGGTGAATAGTGGGTCAACATGCAATGAGACGACGAGATCTCATCCTTGGCCAACGGATTGTACTAAAAATTGGAGCAAACCAGTCCCTGTGTCGAGTTTCCAGGCAATCAACCCGATGCTGGTCTTGTGCATGAATCCGTCCATATCAGGAACCATCTCGTGGTACCATTCGTCTATGCTCAGAACACGTGGCAGAGCACCTCTCGAGGTATTTCTAGCGCAACAACTTCTGATGTCTCCCCTCCAATGGGCTTCTTCGACAGTATTCCCTTTTCAGACGTGATGCCGAGAGCGTGGAAGGATTGCGAGTGGTAGCTCGACATCTTGTCTAGGGTTAGAAGTCTCTATTGCAATCTGATAGGTAACACAAGAATACAGACAGGCCAAAAGAATCCTTTTGGGCCAGTTCAGAAGAGGGCTCGAGCTTCTTAAAAAGACATACTACTTGCAGTCGTTCACTTAAGGTTATTGGCCTTCCTGCTCTCTGAATACCAGCTGCCGGCGGCACCCAGATTCTTTCGGTCAGATCTAGGGTCTTCCATGCAATCTCAAGCTCATCATTGTAAGCAGCAGGTCTCGACGGAGACCGGGGCGTATTTTTTCCACTCATATATACCGAGAATGATTAACGTTCAAGATCATGCAGCGTAGAAACAATGGCAAAATTCGCCCTTGGAAGTAGCCATATAATTTCGTGTTGTATCTTGAGTAATTAATTCAATTATGAAGGGCTTCCCTGTCTGTCGAGCCCCAGCTGGAACACGCTCCTCATCAGTTTCGGGCACCAATGAGCCACCCGCGTATCTTCATTATATGAGGAACCGCGCGCGTCAATGGTGTCCAATACATCTCTCAATAGCATTGCGTCATGTTCCATTTCAAACTGTGGGTAATTTGACGCTCGGATTGTTTCAACTTTTTTTATTTTCGAGTCCTGGTTTTTTTTGGTTTTTTTTTCCCCACCCAACCCCCCGCCCCCAAAACAAAAAAAAAAACCAGAGAGAAAGTTATAGCCGCCGCCTCCGTGTCAACAGAAGGCCACATCCTCATTGTGAACGGGCGGAAAATAGAGCCAAGGTACATCAACAATGACTTCTTGGCGAGTACCATGTTTCACGGGCTTCTGGGCAGCCAACAGCCTGAGCTGATCTCCTCTCATGCCTGGGCTAGTCCTGGGATTCCCACTCTTAGACAATTGGAGGAGACTTCGCATCTGGGCTTAGCTGTGCTCAAACCAGACGCGCCACCGTTTGTATGAGCTGCAGGCACACTGCAGAATGCATGAGCTGCAAGCACGACGTGGCTTGCGCATGGCCTATGGACGCCGTACCATTCTATCACTCAACGCTAGCAAGCAATCGACTTAGTCTTCCCACGGCCCCCAATACTGATACTTTTGCCATGAGCGCTTGGTTCGGGAATGATTTGCCAATCCCGTGCGTGCATAGGAGACACACACTCTCTCTCTCTTAGGCTACAGATCAGCACCTATTTACACAAAGGCTGTGGGGGCCGATCTCGATGCCCAAGCCCGTCTATACACTCGCTGGCAATAGATAGCCTCAAAGGTCAATTCGGCTCGGTCATTTGATAATTGACAAGAGACTTCATGCATGTAATTCACATTTTCGAGCCTAGGGGGGAAAAAGGAATGAGACATGAATCATTTTGATCGAGGCTACGAACAACGATTCTCGCTCGTACGTCGCCGAACATAGAAACGATTGCGCGGTTTCAAGTGCCCAATAGTGCAAACACGCAAAGGCTCACGAGACCAGAACGGCGACATACGATCGATCGCTTGCATGTGCGTACATGTTGATTATGCAGTCAGCAGAAGTTATGTGATTCTCGTGTGCAGCCGCCACAAGGACAAGTGCGTGTCAGCCTCACTTGAGAGAATACAAACACACGCATTTCCCTAGAGAAAAGAGGGGTTGCATTTGCAGTAGCACCCGGGCAGCAGCAGCAACAGCAGCAAGACCAGCCCGTCTTTAGTCTATAGAGACCTCAAAGCTACAGCAGGACATGTCTCACCTTTCCCCTACAGTTTATCAAGTCATCGGTATGATTACAATCACGTTAATTGGATTTGGGGGCGGAAAATAACACAGACGACCTTGAGGTAGCGTCTTATTGAGCTCACCCCAAGCTGCGCAAGCGTGCATACACGGCATGATCATGTTGTGCCAGTGTTTGAAACCAGTCTACAGAAATACACCAACAAGTTCCGAGGCTTATCGTCGTCTGTTGAGGCTTGATTTCCTGTCTAGATATTCCTCGGGCTACTGGCATACTACTTATTGGCCTTTTTAATCAGTAGTCTATTATATCCTATCCGCACCCCCATCTACGTTAGGATTTCAAGGGCCGTTAAGTGATTCTGCGCTGACGAGGCTCAGCAGTGAGTACTGCTCGTATCTCAGGGAGAGCTCGAGTGCCATCCGAGCAGGTGAAACGCAGCTTCACTAGCATGATAGATGGGAAACCGAGGCGGTGAGCCATACCAGCGCTTCATCATGTTCGTATTCAGACCCGAGCATCATGCCGGCCGGTTCATCCACCACGGCTAGGCAGATCAGGTCACCGCGCTTCCTCTAAGACAAGTACAAGTTGAGTTCCGTACTCGGAGCATACCCCATAATAGCTTGCATTAGTTCTCGTTGTCTCAGATTCTTGGGTTTTGGACTACATGATTCATTCTTTCTGTCCATACGGCTAAACAGCGGACATATACTGTAGGACAGCGTTCCTACTTGCCATGTCTCATGATATGTGTCCCATGATCAATCACTTCGTGCATTGAGAAGCTTCTACTCCAGTGTGATATGCCGCTGTTCTATCGCTCCCCATTCATCTCAAGCAGAGTTGTCTTCCTCTGAGCGTTGCTACTAGATGTATTGCAGCGGCCATCTCAAAGAATACTGCCTTGTGTGTACGAAGTACGAGATGGCCACTTGACCGGAGAACTCGGCCAAGTCATTAGAGACATGCTATCTCAATTGACCTTGAGGCAGGACTATAGACCATGTTTGCCGAAACGACGGGCAGAATATACAATGACTACAAGGATGGCATCCCCAAAGCAAGCTGGAAATGATACGCCTATATACAAGAAATTGCCTAACATACAAACCTGTAGAATGTAAAGAGGCCGGTACGAAAGTCATGGCTGGAGCTATACCACTGATACATAAGCTGAAGCGTCTGTGAAAGCTTGATGCCAAGTTTTGGCCTTCAAAGAATGTTGTGCAGCTGATGGGACTTAGCCCATGGTCTGTCTTTCTAGTGTAACACGTCTCGCATCTGGATCATCTTTCTGTACCACAGAATTATAACTGCCGCGTCCGAAACTGCGTCTTTGGTCTGTACCTGTATAATCTCCCTACCAACGGCGGACAATGGAGAGATCCAGATTTTGTTTTTTCTTGTACCTCAGCGTCGACCTATCGCTGCTCGGGTATGTGAATATATTCAAAGATAGTATATGTCAGCCTGTGCGAGCACATGCCCTCGGCTGGGCTTGTTGTCCTCCACTGCCTGCTCATGATCCGAGGGTCTCCCTTGAGCCCTTCTCCCCTATCTGAGTACGGTCGTTCCGCCCGGTGACAACGACCTGAAGTTGGCCTAGCGGTTCCAGATGATAGGCAAGCGCCTCTCGCCAGAACCTCGTCACATCCGTCGGAGCTGAATATGTCGCCACCCATGACCATTCACTGTTGTCAAGCCGTTGTCCTGCAGTCTCTGCAATATAGCTCATGAATCGGCAAAACAAGGAGAAGTGATAAGTCGAGACTTATAAAATGTGCTAAGAGGGTTATTAGTAGCAACCAACCTATTTATCTCTCAGCCAGAGTCCTTTTCCTGGGTGTAGATACCGTGATCCTTCCGGACAGTCTCTTGACCGTTAATTCCACGTCACACGGTTGGAGAAGGAGCATGTAATATGCAACAGTGCCATTTCCTATGGGAGACGATCAGTGAACAATCGGCAGAGAAGAAGTCACCGCAGGTATATCCAGGAGCAGGCGATACCAGAAGACGACGGAAAGAAGAGCCATACCAGCCGCGCGGCAGGGTCTTGGATATCGAAAGTCAAAGCACTACCTATGGAGTCTCAGTTAGCAAAGAACATGCGAGTCAAGTCTTCATGAACAAAGAATGCACAACATGTAGTAATACTTGGCTTACACACGTCACTACAATATGTTTAGAGGCGAATAATCCTGTACGGCCATACCTGACCAAAAATATCCTGTTGAGCCAGGCAACAAACCAGTCTTCAAAGACAAGACAGTATCTGAGTGGGTGCGAATCAACATCCTTTATATCCCCGGATGATGGCCTTTGCAGCGTCACCGAGTCCCCTGATCTCGTGCCAAAAACAGTTGTCCTCTGGAACACAAATTCTCTCAAGTAGACGAAGACGAGGAAGTGCGGTGTGTCTGAGGGTCCCAGCAGAGCCTCGATGCCGGCTTTCTTTCCCATTGGCATTACTGCTCAGGAAAGACTCGGTTCTAACATCCCCGCCTGGAGAAGGAGGGGGGAGGGGGGTGGGAGGGATCTTTTGCATATAGTACGGTGCACTTGATCCGGATAATAGTCAGCAAAGTGAACAAGCAAGAAAATATCATGTATGCTTATCAAACCACTCCGTTATGGAGGAGAGAAAATGAAGACAAGACTCACAAGACTCGAGTTGTTCAATCCTCAAGCCCAGACTGTGTCCACCAACAACAACAAACCAGTTCATCGCCCCTAGCCGCTCTCAAAGGCCAGCAAGAGTGATGCCATGGCCAATAACCTCCCAATAAGAAGTGATCGTAGAATCGGAATGGGCAACGTGATGGGCTGGAACCTCTTCAACGCATGCAATCTCTTCAACATGGAACCAATTAGGTGGCACGGCTCTGGGCAAACCCCAATCGACGGCTTGATTGCAGTTGTGTGTTAGCCAATTCGTTTTCCTGTTCAGCTTTGTAACCGCTCTTTGCCTTTACTCCCGAACTAAGCAAATGGGCTTACCCAGGTAAAGGGACCCCCCTTTTCCAATGCCTCTCGGAGGATGATGGACGGGCCCGATGTATTTCGCGAATGTGTATGCTACGACGAGTGATGCTGAGTCCTATAGAGCCGGCGTTTTGCTGAACCTGAAGACTTCTCATCAGTATCAACACGACTAAACTTCTCTTTCTTTCTTTTCCTTGGGGATTTTTTTTTCTTCGGGGGGGGGGGGGGGAGTGGGTTTTCTACTACTGGATCAGTGATTAAAACCTCGGGTTGAAAGTCCCTCTGTGTATATGGGCAACTATAACCCTAACCCTTTTAAGGGAGACTGTTCGTATTTAGTATGGTTAATTGGCAAGATGGGGTTCAAAAGATACCTCATCTGAAACAACTAAGCTTTCCGAGTATTTCTCAAGTATATTTTTGTCAAGCTTCAATGTCTTGTGTAGAGTATCTCATGTTGAACTTTCGTAGACGTTCACACAAGCCGAATCGAATAAATACTGACCAAGCACATGAACCCCAGCTAATGTAGTAAGTATATGCTGCTCAACTCACAAGCCCTTCAAGAGTAACACAGTCTAAGTGGCCCCAAGAATGTACTCTTCTTGTCGTCTTGTTGCAAGACACAACACACTTGTGTCTAACCTGCTTGTGACCAGCTACCCCCTTCTCGCCCCTCCCTCTCCAAAGGGCGCGCAATAGATACTACTCTCCTTCCGTCCCCTTGGCCCCGGCTCTCCTTGCCCGATCGAGGGGCGAAACAAGAATAGAAGTCCCAAAGTAAGTCACATCTTCTCTTCCCCATACAGCACTTCTCTCGTGTTAAGTCCACACCCGAGCCAAGATGGAAGGGAGAATGACAGCAGGTCTCAGTCCTTACCTCAGTCCTTACCTCCTCCGCCTGCCCTTCCCCAGGATCCGGATAGTCATTTCTGGCACGGAATCACGACCCATTAGCTCGCGGGATTTTATGGCCACCCCTCCCTCCAAAAGAAAGAAAGTTACGACAAAAGACATGGCCCTCTTGGGCCAAAATGATTATAACCCAAGTCAGGTTGGTCATCATCACGTAATTGGTCCCTTCCTAACCCCCTCCTAACCCCATCCCTCCCGAGCGTATTGTCTCGGGGTCCGTTCCCGATGCGGTAGGTCGCGTAGTACAGACAACGGAGGCGACCACGCGAGAACCCGGGAGCTGAGGCCCGAAACGTCCCACATAAGCCGTGCGCCGCAGCCACCGGCATGTGGGTTGGGCCATGCTCTCGTCGACAGGCAAGACATTTTGCTCTGGGGCAAAAACACAGAAGGAAAACCGAGTTGAGTCGGGCTCAAATGCTTGTGTGTGTGTGTGTGTGTGTGTGTGTGTGCGCGACCTAGACAAGGTGACAAAAAGTCTCAGTGGACGACCCGAAGCCAGCAAAAAGGCTCCCGCTGCTTGAGTTGTCGTTGCACGGCATGAAACTACTAGATACCTTTGGCAAGGAAGACTCGAAAATGCTAGCGCCCAAATATGATTGGCAGCACCAATACGGCCTCGTCACGAGGCGGAAATGAGGCGGCGAGTCTGTCGTGGCCCGACTCGCTGCAGTTGTTTTGCATTCGCTAGAGTTTCCGATGCGTTCACTAACACGAGGTCTTTCTCCTCCTCCATCCCGATATTGGCTGGCAAGCGGATGCCTTATCAAAACTTCCTTGGCCTAACCTCATCGCCCATCCACGCCCAACACGACGTTACCAGTCTCAATAAACCAAGTGAATGGCCGGGCTCTTCAAAGGAGACGAGGCTTTCAGGAACACAACAGACGCCAAGCAGGCTAGGCATGTGAGGCACAGCACTGAGATCACAGGGACAGTATGCAGTAGCAAGGTGAGACTAAACGCACTCCCAAACAAACGAAAGTCGCCGTCCCAGAGTATTGCAAGTAATGTGGGTGGTGGTGGTGGTGGTGGTAATAATGATGGAGGTGGTGGCGAGCAGACTCGTCATCCGTTGCCAACTCATCATTCCTACCCAAGTCTGACATCTCACTGGTAATTGGCTGTGTTCTTCATAAGTGTTTGGTGAAGTGAGAGAAACCACGCCAGACGTAGAGTGATTCGCATTATAGTTCTGACACTTGTCCAAGATGAATGAGACGGGACGGAGCGAGATTTCGAGAAAGAGGGGGTGGGGGATAGGGCGTGGTGGTAGGCAGAATGATCGTCTTAAGGAAAAGATGAGAAAAGGTGGCAATTTTCTAAGTGTTCAGTTTGAGGCACACCCCGTCGATAGGCAAAAGTAACCCTCTGCGAATCGTACCAAGGTCATACGTCACTTGACCTTGTCTTCGCCTACGGAAGAAGCGGAAGGCATTATGAGGTTGTCGCGAGACACCAATCTCCGGGAGCTGTGACAATCATGGCAGACATGCATGAAGTCAGCGCCTGCAACCTCAAGGTAAGGACCCGACGACGATGATTGGCGAGCCTCGTCCAGGACTGGGGCGGCCGAGGGTGAAAAGAGGGGGGGGGGGACAGTCCGAGCTCACGACGTGGCTCACAGGCCGTCGCCATCATATCCCCAGTGTCCCCTTACAACCAGTTTGAGTACCAAGAAAGGTGATGGAATTTGTTGTGTGGACCTTAGCCCCTGCTTAGACACGGGCCAGCTTGACAGCGACTGGTCAGACGAGTGTCGTAAAAACGTCCACTCAGCGCTTAAGGCCACACGGTTATTTAAGATTGCAAGGCTGAAAAAATAGATGAACTGCCCAACCTTAGAAGACGTCAGGGACCATCTCGAAATTGTGACGCCGTAATTTTGACAGATTGCTTTGGAAAGCGGGGCGAGGGCTTGTCAAAGGTGCACTTCCCTGGCGCAAGCACGGGGCGTGCACCAGAAAGATACCGACGTCAAATGCACTGTGACTGGCCGGTAGGTTTATCTCTCCCAGGTTGCATCTGCGTGGCACATGGGGTAATGACACTATAACTGATTAAGAAACCGAATGGACGGGGGAAGACAGAGAGGAGAGGGCAAGCTTGGGGGCAGGGAAATGTGTTCCATGTGACCCAAGGTGGCCAGCACGGCACGGCGGCCTGTTTAGGGTTGGGGGCCTCTTGCAAGGGCCTTTGTGTTGATCCCAATCCTCGTTTTCTCCTGCCGAGGATTTCTGCTCCATGTCGTTGCAGCAAAATGCAAGTCACTGCGACAGCATGACAACATTGGGGCCCATCCCAGAGCCGAATTTCTGGCCAACCCACAGCTCGTGCTCCTGTGACCCACGACGTGCAGGTGGAACGAACGCGTCCTGTTGGCCAGAAAATGGCGGATTGTTTTTTCAGCCAGTAAGGAAATCCGGCGCCTCTCGTCCAACCGAGTGAACTCCACAGGGACGTGTGTGATGTTGAGGCCGCAGAGCAAGGCCAGGGGCAGGACGGAGGGCCGGCTGATGATCGATGCGACAAAAGACCCTTTCTTGCAGGTGACACTGCAACTTGCCGAAGGAAATCCGCATAGGATGCAGGGGGTCAAAGATCGGGTGTGTTTGAGTTGAACGTTGCGGCATTGCTTCTTCGACCAGCAAAGCTCGCAGCAGGCGGACATGTGCCACCACGAGTTTAGGTAGGTGTGGTCGGGCCTTAAACTTGATGTTGCCTCTTCTCTCTGCAGAACCCAAACGGTGCGAATGCTCCGGGATATGATAATAGTGCGGCCTCATCAAGAGATACTTGGGGGAGAAGAGCAGAAGGGCGAGCTCAGGTTGCAGTAGTGTGTCCGTGTCGCAATGGCAGGGCGGAAGTGGACTGCCGCTGTTTCGAAACCAGCGATAGCCGCAAGCTGCTCATTCATGCTGCCCTCTGCTTCTTCTGCAGGATGCATATCATGACAGTAATATTGATCCGCCGGTACCCGATACTCTTGTGGGCGATGATGAGACGTGCTTCCCTATTCTGTACAGTAACAAGAGATGATGGCACGAGAACCGGGCTGGTAGCCCGTATCAAAGCTACTGTCAGTCGGAAAACACGTCCGGCCCTCGCTATTTTTCAAAATGACGACGTCGTCGGTGGGAGAGATGGCAGACCGCTCCAGGATGGGGTTGGACGTGGCGCAGAGGAACAAAGAAAAAAGCAAGATCTTTGACGGCTATGGCGTCCGTCCACGTGGGCTCACCGACATTTCCGGGAGGGCAGAGGAGGAAGAAGGAGGATGCAAAAAAAAAAAAAAAAGCTGAAGCTGCGTCACAGTGGCGGGGTTGCGTCGTTCCTCTCTTGTGCGAGTCCCATTGCAGGTCAGATCTGACATTGCAGCAAGCATTCGTCTCTTGTCTGGGCTGGCCTGCATTGGCGCCCATCTGCGTCTGGCAAAGGAGAAAAGGGGGAGAAAAGATGCGGGTGCGGCCTCGGTGAGAAGTAGGCATTTGGTAGGGTTACTGTACACCTCATTATCCGATCGTGTCGAAACACACACAAACATACGGTGCAGCAGCAGAGACCAGACTGGACACCTTGTCCCTGTGCGTGAAGGCAGTGATCGGCGATACAAGGAATGATGACCAAAACGGTGCATTCTGCTAAACAGTACAGTCGCGTCGAGTCGAGCGTGTATGTTATGTGTTTTGTGCTGTGCTGTTGTTGTGTCGGAGCCTGTTTCCACCAAGGAGCTCCAGCGTCTACCGTAGTACTGTAGTATAGTACAGTTAGCTGTACGGTAGAAGACAGGCAGCGGCTTAGGCAGTGACGACGCTATGAGGTACTTGTGGTGCGGTACCGTACCAGGCGTACCTGCACTGATGAGTGCGCACTAACATACAGTGTCCTGTACAGTATAAGTACAGTGACACACCCACAAACAGACGCGCAGAGCTTGGGAAAACAAGCTCATCGGCGCTGCCCAGGTATCGGGCCCAAGGATACACCTCGCTTGGAAGGTTCGTAGTCGGTGAGGGAGGTCGCTGTGTCCTTGAGGTTTTTGATATGGAAAGTGGAAAGGAGCTGCTCACGTGCTGCTGTTGGCTTCGGTAACGTTCTCATGCACAGAGTATATTTCTGTAAACTGGCGAAGTTTACCCTTGACAAAGACGCACGGTGCGAGAAATGAGGTCTTGTTCCAGTGGGGGCACGCGTCACTCTCTGGGTCTACCTTTCAAGCACCGTCTAACCAAGAGAGAGTCTTCTGTAGAAGTTGTTTGCCGTCATGGACAGGGGATCCCTCGTCGTTAGGCTGCTCGACCTGGCTGGGTGACGATCAAGCAACTTTTTTGTTGCCCAACTTCTCCTGGGGTCATCCTCAGCGTTCTGCTGTCCAGCACACGAAATGCTTGTTGAGAGTACACATCTACCATAGTACATAGGTATTTTGTGGACGTATGTGAGTGGGTGTGGGCGTGGGTGGGTGGAGAGAATTAAGCGCATCCTTTCTTAAGGCTCTTTAGCAGAACAATGATGTGATCTATCTAGTATCTAATCGTGGCCTGATTGAGATACTGAAGGGTCCCTGAAGGCTATCGTTTTGGAGGGCCCAGAGTGCTAGGTAAAGAAGGGCCCTAAGTTCTCTCGGCTGGCCTTGCCCACACACGTCTTGGGCAGACCTTGCGGACGTCAGTCAAGCACCCTCTTACTATCGTACTTACGGTAGAAGGGGGGAAAAGGCCGGACCCCCCCTTCCCCAGCGCCAGCCATCCTAGTCGAGAACTTCTAAGAGCTGGGCCTTGGTCACATACTGTGGTACTGTGATTCATCTTGGGTTCACACCCCCGCTCACGCCCACACCACCTCCATGATAGCTGAAAGGCACCGCCTCTGAAGGTGGCCGCGGGTCCATACCTCGACGCATCTATTGCCAGACATTACTACTGAGTTCGGTAGTATACTTGTACATAGTAATATGGAGTACCGTACGCAGGACTGCAGCTCATACTACTGTATACACGGAGTGGAAATCGATGGCAGGAGAGAAAATTTAGTCGGGCAAGGGCAGGGGGAAGCTTCTTAGAGAAGTGGGTCCCGACCCCACCCAAGGCTGCTGATTTGAACCAGTGACATGTCGATAAAGAAGGCAGCACCCGCCCCTTTCTCTCGTCCTCGAATCATCTTGCACCTCTCGATTTTCCCCCTCTCGTCCCTTCCCCCCCATCTTGCCTACTGGCCGCCCGCTCTTCAACTTGTGCTGCTACACCTAGGCCCTGCACTGCACTGCCACCTCTCGTCCTGCCGGCCCCGCCCTCAACAACCTGACCAATTGATACTCATTCCTCAGTTTTTTTTTTTTTTTTTTTTTTTTTTTTTCCCTCACGTTCCAGCAGCACATCAGTCAAACAGCCTTTTTTCCTGCCCGTCCCCTAAGGTGCAACACCAACCCAACCCAGCCCTGCCCAAAGGCCCAAACTACCCAATCATCATCCATCTTTGTGACCGAATCAGATCGCTTCATTCACCATTCTTTTTGGTGCTCAGTGCGTACCGCGTCCTGCATCTCATACAGAACGGACGGTCGCAAATTATCTGATTTGGGATCATTTTGACTGAACTGGGCGCCGTTTATTTCACGGAGCAGGAGCAGGAGCACGAAACTGTTAGAAACAAGAAGGGCAAAGAAAGCAAAAAGACGTGATAGTCAAAAATTGTCAACCAAGTAACCTCCAGCAACATCAAACTCTCTCCATTGTAAGTCGGCCACCTCATCACCAATCATCATTTGCCATTCATAATTATATATATCCAATCATGGACGAACCTCATTTCACCTCATTGTCGTCTCATCGACACATGCACAATCGTTGGGCTCGTGAATAGTGGGCGGGCCACTGAGCTGAATTCAGACTGCCGCAGGTGTCGAGAGCTTCGAAGGCGCTTACCATACACACGCGCACACACAGCACACAGCATCGACCCGACCAACGAGGTCAATCCATCAATCAGCCGTTCTTTGCACCAGCTTTCTTCATCGCCACCGTTATCGGTTGGGTAGAGAGTTTCGTATCCATACTAGCATATCCACCACGACCAGACTGCTATCGCTATCGGATCTGCTGCCTTGTTGGGGCCAATTTCAACTCGACTCTCAACTCAGAAACTCAAAACAGGCAGATACCGAGAACAAACCACCCGGCTCCGCCCTGAGGTCATCTGTTCGCCAATTGGTCCCTTGATCCTCTTCGACAAGGCTTTGCCCTTCAAACTCACCTCACCCACCATTGGCTTCCGTCAGCGCGGGTCGACAGCCTCAAGTTCCAATCACAAGCAAGGATTTGCGCCCACCGAGTCCAGGGTCCAGAAAACCATCACGCCTCAATCAGCATCCCAGCGCCAACTTAAACTAGTATTCTTTCGAACTTGGAGTGCTAACGCAATTTTTCTTCTAAGAGAAAAAGGTAATTCCTATTTTCATCCGCCTGCTCACGTCTATACCCCTCCGAAGGAAAAGAGAGAAAGACAAGAAGAAAAAAGCCTCACGACTTGATTTCCCCCACCCTCCTTGATGTGCTGGCCATGCATGACTGTGGTCTGTCTGTCTGTCTGTCTGTCTGTCTGTCTGTCTGTCTGTCAGGTCAGCAGTGAGTGCCCTCGGCTCCCCGCAGGTTGGGTACTGCTGCGGCGTCAGAGATCCGTGTCAAGCATGTAGGCAGGCTGGTCAGGTCCAAGGGCCTGCATGATGGCTGCTGTTGCATCGCGCTATGCCACAAAGGGTCTCAGCCCCCGGCCACTTGTGATTGTGGTCTCCGATGCACCTACTCAAGAGATACTCGGTCTGCAGAGGAGAGAGACAGCGAGAGACACACAGGCATCCAGCCAGACAGGGCAGGCTTGCACCGGCTTACTCGGTCGGAGGGAGGTCGAAATTGTGAACAGCACAGCCCCTGCCCCCCCCCCCCCCCAAATTCATCCTGCTTCAGCACACAAGTCTAGCCAAGTGGCTTCAATCTCTCGAAACCTGGCAACAGTATGTCCTGGACCTGCTGCACATACATGTCCTCCTGGTCTGGCCACTGGTCACACAATCCGCCACAGCAAAGCAGGTACTGGCAGCACGGCCCTCCTCCGTGTACCTTTTTTTGTGTTGTTTGGTGTGCCTGCGTGTGTGGGCCCCCTTGACACAGCCCACTAGCCTGGGTTGGCCAGCCAGTCACCGCCCCAGCGCATTCAGGAATTAAAAGCGAGTGGGAGCACCTGGCAAATCAGCTAACACCATCTCTGCCCAGGCCTTGCAACACCCTGAAGAGTGTCCTCCATCGACGCGACTACTGAAGACCTATCATCATCGCGAACTTCACTTTCATCCTCTCTATTGGCCCTGGCATCGATCCCGTGATTACTACCGCCTGCGGAGCCTATTCTGCAGCAATCTCGACGTTCCCTCAATCAACTGCGCTGCCTGGGCTTTGTTCCTAGGGGCCTCTCGAACATTGAGCTATATTCGACAGTGGCCAGCTCTGGATCCACCGTATTCAGCCTGTGAGTGAGTGTGTGTGTGTGTGTGATTTTAACCTGGCCCATCCCACCATAACCCAGTCTCCTTTTCCTTATTTACCCTCTTCACACCTCTTCGGCGTGGTCACTCAGTATTCCCGCTTCAGTGCACCACTGCAACCCGAATGGAGCCCACTTTCCTGCTCGTCGTGCAGGCTATGCTCAGTCGTGTACTTTGAATCCCGGGCCGATACGATCTTGTTGCCTCAGCACAAACTCATTCTCTCCCTCAAGCCACCTGTGCGACACCTGTTTTTCACTGTGCAAATCATAGACAAAGGCCCAGTTGCATTTTGGGTCCTGTCTGAAACGAGCAAAGTACCAAAGCTGACGCGGTGTTGTTTTCTTTCTATAGCTCAGGCATTAACAATTTAGAGCCTAAAAAGGTCACCCCCGCGGCACCAGGTCTTCCCGACAGGCCCCTCTCTGATTTATTGTTGACGTGAGATACAACGGTACGTTCCATCGTTAGACCCCTCCTCGCTTCGTTGCCCCTCTTCAGATCTGCCCAGCTTTCGGTGTCATCGCCTGTGCCAGTACACCACACACCCTTTTCCAAACCCCTCACCTATGCACCCAAACGCTCGGGTTTAGTGCCTGGATCGAGCCCTCCCCACGGGTGAATGGTCTGCATGTGCGGCGTGTCGGCGCTTGCGGTTTTTTTTGTTCCCGCATCCCGTATTCTTCCTTTTCTCCCTCTCCACATGCAAGCGTCAGCTTCATCCTACACTGTGCAAAAGTCATTAAGGCCATGCTGCAGTTGGGGTGGTGATCTCCGGTTCGGGGTTCCCTTCAAGGCCCACGTCAAGGGTGTTCATTACAGCCCTTCACATCACACAGCATGCGCACCCGCCTTAACCCTGTTCTTCGCTGCCCTCCTCTCTGTGCTAGCATCCTGCTCCAGGTGTTATGTGGTCGCGGCCGCCCAGGTGAAGCAGCAGGCTGACGGGCAGTGGGTATGGGGGCTGGGTGGGTGTGTGCGCTGGCCAAAGGCCCTGCATGCATGCCCTCCCTCTCAACAGAACCGCAGCGCGGTACTACACCCATGCATACCACACCCCCCCCCCCCACCAAAAGTTCTTGGCCACCAGCTTCTTTATTTTCTTCTCCAAGACCCTCGGACCTGCTGTCGCCTCATCTATGTTAGGGCTTGCGACCTGCCGATCAGAATAGTGTCGGATCGCGGGTTAAGCTGGCTTACATGGTGGGCCTGGCTCGTGCATAGGCTTGTTATGCATGCCAGCGCATCAAGTGGGAGCCCAAGGCACGAAGATGCACCCCTACCACTTACCTCATCTTTGGCCCCCTCGTCCCATCCTCCGAGATCCCGGCCTATATATCTGATGCCCATTTTGATGATGATGATGATGCAGAGGCACTAACGAATACCAGTGGTTGGATAGATCACACGAGTCAACCATCAAGCGTACCATCAGACTTCGGGGTCAGGACCTTCTATAACGAGATATATTTTTTCGAATTTTTACTTGGTGAGCTGTTCTTCCCTAGGAGCTCGTCGCCTCGGCCCGCAAGCAAGTCCATCGTGACAAGCTCTGTTTCCAGTCAGCTGTGGGGGGCTTGCCTGCAGCGGGTCCTTCTCCTCCCAGGTTGATATCGGCCCAAGTGCCATCCTCACGTGGTCTCGGTAATCGAGGTCCTATCTCAGGGTATCCTTGGACTCTGAGCCACTCACCTGTGTTCGCCCTGCGAGTACATCAACTTGCATGTGCCGTGGTGCAGCCAATTGCGCAAGCCTGGCTGCGACTTTGACAACTGCCAGCGCATCCACGCATAGCCCATAGATTGGGTACGCACACTAACCCGACTCACGGGTGGTGCAGTGACGACAGTCCTCCGATTCAGCCTAACGCGCTATACCTGGGGTCCCTGTACGGCACGCATATCGCGAGGGTCCTCTTTTTAACACCCGGCTCCCTCCACTGGATTCACACACACATACCACATACAACAGACGTCAGGCTTATAGTTCGACTCGACTCGACCCGCGATCTGCGTCCTTAACAACAGTGTATAATTTTGTTTCCCCGCGTGTCTGTGGACATATTCTGCGGAGCCAGTCCTCACAGATTCAGGGCCCTGCGATTCACAGCAGAGAGCTATTCAGCAATACCCGGCAAGAAACATGATGGAGTACGCGCAATATCAGCATAACTCGCAGAACTCGCAACCTCACATCACGACGGCGTATCCCACCTCGGCTAGTACCAACACTATCACATCGCCGCAGAGCGCACATATCCAACAATCACCAGTCCTTCCGTCACAGCAGGGAACAACCCCAACTCAGAACCACGCCATGTATCAACAAGGATACGGTATGCCGCAGGGCATGTCGTATGCAGTTCCCGGCATCCAAGCCGCCGCTATGGCCGCAACGGCGGCCGCCTCCGGCTCAGGCTATGCGTACCCGATGTCCTCGGAGACAAATATGCAGCAGACATCCCCTCGGATGGGCGTGAAGGGCGACAAGGCGCGGGACCCGCGGTCACCGCAGCAGATGAACAGCCTGCCCCAGAGGAGGATGAGCCAGGTCACCAGCCCTGGCATCTCAAATCCGCAGACCATCATGAACCACACTGCTGGCCGGAATGCTGTCGCGCCTCCGGTTCCCCCGGTGCAACAGCCCCAGTCGCCTGAGATGCCACAAGGCGGACAGGAGGAGTCACCCCTCTACGTCAATGCCAAGCAGTTCCACCGGATCCTTAAGAGAAGAGTGGCGAGGCAGAGGCTGGAGGAGGCGCTGCGGCTGACCAGTAAGGGCCGAAAGCCATACCTTCATGAGTCTCGCCATAACCACGCCATGCGCCGACCTCGAGGTCCTGGTGGCAGATTCCTGACGGCGGACGAGGTTGCTGAGATTGAGAGAAAGAAGAACGAGAGCGCCGAGGTCAACAACGAGAACGATGAGGATGGTGGCTCTGCAAAGTCGGGGACCAAGAGGAAGTCCGTGGCCAGCTCGGACACGTCCAACAAGAAGGCCAAAACTGACACGGACAGCCTAGGGGATGAAGATGAGGATGAGGAATGATGGAGATGGTCAACAAGATCAGTCCTTCCTACCGCTCGTTGAGCAAAGACACACGCTCTCTCTCCCATTCTCTCCTTTGTTCTCTTCACGATCACGAATGTCACGACCACACGCACAAAGAGAAAAAAAAAATTTTAAAGATTTCGAATACCCACGGTCTCTCCGCATCTACGGCATATGATGTCGGAGATTCCACCCAGGTTCTCGGCGAGGAATTTACCATGGGGTCGGTTTTTCCGGGCTGATTCTCCTTCCCGACTTCAGGCAATATTTGCCGACCACTCTTTTTCAAGGCCAAATCATGAAGATCTGGTCATGTCTGTTTTTTATTTACTTGCCAAGCATGGGCACAGCTCTCTGCAGAAAATTGGTCGGCACTGCGAAGGGTGGATGGATGGATGGATGGATGGATGGATGGATGGATGAATCACGGTGAATAGGGATTGGGGATGGGGTTGTTCGCGGATAGCGGATATGGTAAAGGGGATACGACCTGTTTCAGATGGAATCTTTCCTCTCTTCTTCTTCTTCTTCTTCTTCTTCTTCTTCTTTTTGCCAAAGACTGCATGGATGACATCATCACCTAACGAACCCAGAAACAAGTTGAAGGATACCCCCAAAGTTTGTTGCCTTATATCTTACTTTTCTGTTCCCTCTGCTATACTTTCCGAACTTTTAACATCACTGCGGCGTGCTCTCCTCTCCTTTTTTCTTACTCTACTTCGTGTGTCTACCTTTCTACCTTTTTGATGATGATGTGATGAATCGTTGGCGGGTTATGCTTTACTTCGGAAGATCTGGTCTGGATACCGAGCGATGGAAAGCGAAAGAATGCTGTTCTGATGATTTGCTTTTTTTTTCTTGCCTATTTTTCCTACTTGTATCGCCCGCCCACTCTTCTTCTTTTTCCTCCTCTTCTTCAAGGAACGTGGTCATGATGAAACGCAACCCAAACATAAAGGAACCAAAAAAAAAAAAAAGGTCGAAAACCAAAAAGCCAAAGAAGAAAAAATGTCACCAGACAGACACGCACACACATGCGCGATACTGCACACGCACACAGCAGATAAACCCAACGGGCACACCGTACTCAAAATAACGGGCGCTGGTATCGACCTCATGTGAAAATTCGATACCAGAGACGCACGAAGGAATGTTGTTCATTTTTAGGTATATTTATTTACATAAGAAATTGTCTCAAGACGGAGATTCAAATCTTCTTTTCAGGAGGTAGAGGTCGTGTCGTGTCTCGAAGTTGTAATGTTTCTTCAAGGAATTTACGGAATCAACATCAATCGCCTCTTGAACAGCGCTTCACATTGCTGATCCTTCACCCTTCCTAATAAGTTCTGTATCCTGACCAGCTCCACCAGTGCATAGGGGCAGCACTGAAGTCTCTTGAACACCGTCGTCACTGGAATCCACCAATAGGTTGGTTGTATTGTAAGCCTGTTGGGCTCGTCAGCAGTCAGCTCCTCACTCGTGCCAACCAAAACTTACAAGGATGACCCACCACTGTCCCGCCACTACTTACCTAAGCAAAGCCCCACCAACGCTGAACCTCACCACACCTTTCTTACCTCTTCAATCGCTCATCTCGTCTTTGCTACACACACGCGCGCGCGCAACACACCAGACTCACTTCACCTTCCCAAGAAACGAAAGCAATCCTTCAAAAAACGATACACACTCTCTCTCTTCCCTCTTCTTCTTGGCAATACCGGATCGGGCACGGGATATTCATTCTACGCTCGAGGTTTATTGGCCCATTTGGACTTTGCGTATTCTGCCTCCTCCTCCTTCCTCCTCACAAGGGACCGAGCTACTGTCTCCTTTCCCCTTTCCCATTCGCCGAGGATTCACCACCAGCATCACCATCACCATCAGCAGCAGTAGCAGCAGCAGCAGCAAGCAAGCAAGCAAGCAAGCAAACGAGCGAGCAGATTCGTGGTCGGCAGGATGTTGTTCTTCAGGTGAGTTGGTGCGGAGTCAAAGCATAGGGGACGGAGGATCTTTCCCCCCCCCCCTTGTTTTTTTCCCTCATGGAAGCCCTGTGTGAATCTAGAGCCGTGTCTTTGTTTGTTCTGGCTTTGGTAGATGAGTTTGGGACGGGATGGGGTGAGGAAGTGACTGGGAGGCGGAAGAAGGGCCTAGGGCCAGAGAGTTCTCTCTGCATTGAAAGAACGCTGGTGTTGTGGCAAGAGGAGGGGAAAGGGATCAGAATGCGGATGCTCCGAAGGGGATGAAATGCTGCTGGGGCCCGCGAGTGCGTCTGTCAAGGAAGGGGTGGTTTTAAAAAGGAGAGGAGGAACCGCGGAAGAGAGGGAAATGTGCCTTGAAGTCGGGCATGGTGGCAGCAATCTGGGGGGAAATAACTCTTGACATCCCTCCATCAACTGAAAATCTTGACTAACCCTCTACTCTTTCCTCCTTCGCCCCACCAGCTTTTTCAAAACCCTCATCGACCAAACGGTAACCGTCGAGCTCAAGAACGACATCAAGATCACAGGCACCCTCAAGTCCGTCGACCAGTACCTCAACATCAAGCTCGAGGACATTGCCGTGCAGGAGGAGCTCAAGTACCCGCACCTGAGCGCCGTCAAGAACGTCTTTATCCGGGGGAGCGTCGTGCGGTACGTGCACCTGCCCAGCAGTGCTGTGGATGTTACGCTGCTGGAGGATGCCGCGCGGAGGGGTAAGCCTTGTTTTCTCTCTTTCTCTCTCTCTCCCCCCACAGAGTGACGCGTTTCAGAGTGTTTTTGCTAACCAACCACCCTTACCACAGAGGCTCAGAACCAAGCTTCAAAGGCAAAATGAGCAGCTTAGAGAACAAAAGGCCTTGGAAAGAGCGCGGGCGACATCATCGTGACCTGATCACCCCCCTTACAGGGCGGACCATCTAGAGAAACGTGTCTGTTGGTGATGTAGGGCTCGAGGTATACGGCATTGCCAAATGGTTTTTGTTGACTTTGGGGGAACGGCGAGGTGGTGGGTGCGGGCGAGGGGAAGATTCCGATTGCTAAGGGGCAGCGGGGATAGTGATGAGATCTGAGAGGTTTTTTGGTGGTGCCAGATGATGGTGGCCTACTTGTTACTGAGCATAGGACGACGTAAGCGTACTGGGCCTGCGGACACGAGAAAATACCCAGAGTAGAAGGCAAGAAAAAGGAAGAAAGAAAGAAACAAACCACGCCCAGAAACTGATCTCTTGCAGAACGATTCTGTGAATTTTGCGCTTGGTGCGCTTCGAGTCAAATGTGCATTGATCTCTCGATTGACACGATTTCCAAAGCCTATCATCATGAGGGTGCGAGAGTGCCTTTCCTGGCTATATAATCCAAGAAAGCCTCACTGGCGACCGTAGTCATCACTACCAATGCACTGCACCGCCTCGTCCGTCTTTCCCATCCCACATGGCGACCTTATTCTTCTCTTGGGCACGTCTAGTTTTCTCGCCCTCCTCCTTCTCCTCTTCATCCTCATCCCTGGCCTCCCCATCGGCGCCCTCCAGCGGTACATCGTCCTCCCCCTCCCCACCATCCCCTCCCTCCATAACAATTCTCAACACACCTCCCCTCCGCCGTTCGCTCAGCCACCGATCCGTCCAGCCCTTCATCCTGCGCCTGCTAGGCTCGCTGCCCACATTCACCGTCGGCACAATCTTCTCGATCCGCAGCGCCATGACAAACAGCATCAGCTCCCGGAAGCTGCTGTGCTCGCTGTAGGGCACGCCGAAACACATGGCCTCCCGCGAGCTTCCCTGCTGCGGCACCAGGTCGCGCGGGCCGAAGCGCGTGCGCCACGCCGGCCCGTGGAGGATCTGCGTGGTCGGCACGGAGGTGGGCGGCGTGTTGGCCGTGACCTGGGCTGCGGACCCAGACCTACCGCCGTTGTTGGCCAGGGACGGTCGATAGTTCCAGCCCGAGGGGCGAAACCCGATGACGCGGCCAAAGTGCGGGCGGTAGTGGTCTAAGTACTCGGCGAGCGTCTCGGCGCGGATCTCCATCAGCATCTGCATGTGGACCTGTGCCTCGTGTGGATTGTTGGTCATCAGGCTCGTCAGCTCCGGGTCGCCTAACTGTGAGCAGATCCGGATCTTGGCCGGACTGGCAAAGATCTTAGTCTTGAGGGCAAGGGCGATGACTTTACAGATTCGCTCTTTGCCGATGCTGTAGGTACCACAGACGACGAGGAGGCGGTTGCGGTTGGCCCTGGCTTGTTGGCCCAGGACGCTGAGGGCGTTGGGGGGTGTTGTGGCCGTCGCTTCGGCTTGCGCAGGGGCCGCCGAATCGGAATCTTTGGCGTCGGTGGCCTTGTCGGTGGCCGCGACGAAGAATCGGCTTACGGTATCGTTATTTCCGATGCCTTTACCCTCGCGCCGACGTAGAACGTTGTGCCAGTCGGTCTCGTTCTCTTCCCTGAGCGTCGAGTCCAGCTCAAGGCAGAGCTGGGCACATGCTCGGATCACATCCGTCTGTGGCGGGAACGAGTACCTTGGGTTGAGATACGTTGTGTCGAGGTAGCACACGTCGATCTTCTGCTGCTTCATCTTCCCCAGGGCGTCAACAGTCTCCGGCTTCAGCTGGGGGTGCTCAATGTGGGCAGGACAGGCCCGGAAGTCGCCGCAGTGCAGAATGCGTTGCACCCTGTTCTTCTCCTTGGAATTGGCGTGGGCGTTTGGGCTCAAGACGGACTTCTCGAAAAGAAACAGAGAGCTCCCTGGGCAGTGGTTGGCAGGTATCATGGTCACCGAGACTCCGTCTGTCCCGGGCACAGGGACCTTCTCCTCGAACTCTAGCTCAACGACGTACTTCTCTGCCGTCTTGAGCTGTGACTTGACGAGACTCCCAGTCACCCTGCTGCAATATATTGGCCCGTGGGTCCAGTTCGCCGTCAGACCGATGTAGTGGTCGCTGTGGAAATGGCTGAGGAAATACGCACGACACCCCTTCACGGCGCCATAGCGGAATGCATCCACGCAGATGTGAAAGCCGGGCATGATCTTGTAGAACGGGCAGGTCCTCTGGTACGCTGGCTTGCCTCGAGAGGCATTCTCGGCTGCCGCTGCTGTAGCCCATGCTGCGTCCTCAGCATGGCCCGACATCAATTTCGAGAAGGCAGAAGCAGACCCGCTGCCGGCACCTGGTCCTCCTTCACCGATCGATATCGGGTTTGCCTGGCCCGGGCGAGCGACGGCAGCACGAGCGAAACGCTTGCCTACTTCTGGCATCGAGACGAGAACCTCGTCCTCTTGTTTGATCTCGGGCTTTGATCTCGGTTTTTGCGACTGCGGTGGAGACCCTAGGGGCTTCTTGGAGGGCAGCGGTGTCGGATTGCCATCCAAGCATGAGTTGACATGAACCGTAGCTTCATCTGGTGTGATGCCGACGAGGCTGGCACTGCATATTGGACAGCTCTCAGTCATGCCATCATCCTCCATGAGCGTCTCAAACCCATCATCGCAGCTGTCGACACCGGCCTCTTCGGCCTCAAGCCGGGCCTGTGCCTTCATGAAACGCATTTCACGCAGCTCTTCTCCCTCGAACGAGTCATCGTCCAACTCGTCGTCCAGGTCGTCGAACTCGCCGTAGTCTCCATTCGTCGACATCTCGTGTTTCAGTGGGGGCGGAAGGGTTTCGCAGGCTGGGTCTTCTGGGGCAGGCGCAGGGGTTAGATCTGGCCCCGAGGGCTCCTCATGCGCAGACGTGGTGGGTGTGGTGGTGTTGGTGGTGGTTTTCCATACTGCCTGCTCTTCTTCTGCTGGATGTTTCACGTCCTCATCATCTGCCTTTGGCACGCTGGATCGTATATTTGGCATCGTCTCATGGTCCTCCTCCTCTTCCTCAGAGTCCGACGAGTCGTCCAGGAATGGCCCTTTGAAAGGCTTCTTCTTAGGGAGCGGAGGCTTGGATCGCGGCGTCTCCTCGAGCTGTGGCTTTACTTGTCTTTCTGAGGGTAAAGGCTCTAGACTATTGTTGAACCCATCGCTAGCGTCACTCAACTTCCTCCTCTTGCTCGGCACCTGTGCTTCATTGTACCTCTCTTCTAGCGCCGGGTCGTTGGCCCCATATATATCGTCGTCGTCATCTTCATTTGAACGGGGCTGCTGTACCACTGATGGGGTATCACCATCGATGAACATTGACTCCTCGGGGCGATCGACCTTGTGGAAAAAACTGAGGATGCTCTTATTCGTGACGCTGTCCCGCTTCTTGGGCGTCTTGGACAAGGCAGGTCTGGGCGCGGGGCGCGCCGGCTTGGATGCTCTACTCGTTTTGGCGGGCGCCATCGTGCATAATTTTGTCGTGGTTCCTTTCGGTTGTGGGGTGGGCAGAAGAGGTACCGCATGGAGTGGTTCAAGACAACAAAAATGAAAGGAGAAGCAACTGGTTAGCGGAGCACTCAGGCCAAGAAGGCGGCACACAACTCCTCCCCATGACAAAGATCAAAGCCGAAAAGTCGTGACGTTCGATGGGGTTGACGCGGAACGCTTGGGCCACCTCTTTACGCGAAGTCACGCGGGCGATGCAGTACAGCACTACTGGCGCTAAACTGGCTGCCTATTCATACTAAGCTAACAGTCGAGTACACCGTAAATACAACAGGGCCTGCGAGTGTCCACTATACCCCTAACCCTGCTGTCTGGATATCATGTAGTCAAACCACATACAAGCTGGCCTGAGATATACAATCTCGCACGCACACTCTCTTTGCTTTTGGAGACTTGGACACAAACCGCAGAGTACGAGCTTATGCTCTGTAGGTCTGTAATACACTGTGGTTTATTTCAAAGAGAGAAGCAAAGAAATTACATTATACCTTGTTCAAGACAAAATCAAAAGCAAATACAAATTTGTGTAAGCATGGCGATGTTGCTGACAAGAATTAATTACTTGCAGGTAATTAGGCGACATGTCAAAAACTTGGCTGAAATTTACAATTCATCCTTATGAGGATACCTATATCTGCAGATATGAATGAGGTGCTAGGGGAGAAGTTCAATTGTTTCATTCAAAAGAAGTGGCATCGATCCCAGGGAATGTCGTAGGTAAATTATTTAATTGCCCATGATGCTCCGCTGTGGTGTTTAGGTTTTCTGTCCAGAATCATGGAACAATTCGGATTGCATACCCGACCTACCTTCCAGCATGCAGCAAGAGGTCAGCTCCTCCTCTCCTTTGTGTGAGACCGATATGGTGGAGGGGAGGGCACGGAGAAGAAGGGGGTTCTTGAGTGCATGCATCAGGGTGGTTGGGAGCCACAGCGGGGGGTCGGTGCACATCACCCTCGCTCCAGTAATCACGAACAATTTAGATACATACATGCAGAAAATCAATACTCATGGAAGATGTGACATGGGAAAATATTCAAACCACATCATGAATTGAGTCAGTAAACAATTAGCAGTCCCGAGAAGCATGTTATACGGTAATTATGTGATCCTTTCTGACTCAACACAACCTCAAAGCAAACTCATGAAGCCATTACCTTGTCCAAAGAAGAAGAACAGGAAAATGAACAAGCAGTCACTTGTCATAAATGATAATCTGTATATCAAGGGGTGTTTTCCCCTCTTTGCACCCCTAGCCTCCAGCCACAATCAAGGCTCTTTGGAAGAGTGCACGTGTGTTTGCAAAGGGATGTGTTAGAATCAGATGTTGCAATCCCTTTAGGCAAAGGTATGGTGAGACTCCTATATTCCCCCTTAGCATAACATGCAGTGTATAGAAAAGAACATGAGATGTATTTCTTCAATCATGGTGGAGACAAAGATAAAACCACAATCCCTCCCCCCCCCCCCTCCCAAGACCAATGCCAAAGAATTTCCTTTTCTAAACCAGGTGACCAACCACCCTGAAGTTTACCATCACTTCTGAGAATACTATATAACGGGCCAAAGGTCCTGTAGGAATTACAATTGTGTAGAAAAATGCAAGAAGAGCCCAACACATATGCACACTTATACTTGCACTTATAGTTACACTTTTTCACCCTCTAGTAAAACCTCGTCATCCTTTTCGTTACAAGTTCTAGCGAGTGGACGACCCTGTTGTCCTCTCTGTCTAAATGACAGGATGGCCCCCAGAGCCAGCACCGACGAGAGTTTCTTCCTCTTCCTCCTTCATCTGTTCCTCAACCTTCTCTCCAACATCACCACCCTCACCCACGTTTATGACGCTCCCATCATTACTCTCCCCAACATCACCCTCTCTGGCGTCTACGCAGCCGACTTCAACATAACCATCTACCGCCGCATCCCCTTTGCCGCCTCTACCGCCCCACCCAACCGCTTCAGTCCCCCTCAACCACTTCCCCCCTACACCAATTCCTCCTCTTCCTCCCTTCAAATCTACAATACAAACCAGACCCTCCCCAACTGTCCCCTCCCCGACGGCTCCGGCTCCGAGGACTGCCTCTACCTGGGCATCTACACCCGTCCCTGGAACGCCAACGACACCCTCCGCCCCGTCGTCGTCGTCTTCCACGGCGGCGCCTACATGTACGCAGGCAGCGCACCCAGTCTCAACCAGCTCTCGCCCTTTGGCTACCCAGCCCTCAACGTCAGCTCCACAGACAACAACTTCGTCCTCGTCTACCCCAACTACCGCCTCGGCGCCCTGGGCTTTCTTCCCGGGCAGGCCATGTACGATGACCCGCAAGCCGCCTTGAACCCAGGGCTGCTGGACCAGCGGGCTGCCCTGCAGTGGGTGCAGAGCCACATTGCCAATTTCGGCGGCGATCCGCACAACGTCACCATCTTTGGGCAGTCGGCCGGCGGCGGGTCGGTGATCGCACATGCGCTCGCCGCGAATGAGAAAGGCAGCCGCAGCAGCAGCAGCAGCAGTAGCAGCACTAACAGCACCAGCGGAGGAGGAGGAGGAGGAGGAGGAGAAACTCTATTCAGGAGGGTCGTAGCAAGCAGTCCCTTCTGGCCCCACACCTACGCCTACAACGACCCAGAGGCCGAGGCCGTCTACGATGACTTTGTAACCCTCACAGGCTGCCGCAGAGGCGCCCGTCCCAACTCCGGCAACGGGGCCGAGGTCAGCACGGTGGAGTGCATGCGCAACCTCGACCTGCGCATCCTCACCGCCGCGAGCGCCGCCCTCGAGAACGCGTACATGTACCCCGGCTACGTGTGGGCGCCCGTCCTCGACGGCAGTTTCCTCACCCAGACTCTGACCTCGGCGGTGTCGGCAAGGACTCTGAACGCGGACCTGGTGTTTGCCCTGTTCAACGCCAACGAGGGCGAGAGCTTCGTCGACCCGTCGCTTCTCCTTGATGATAGTTTGGATGGCATTGGCGACGGCGCGGATGGTGGGCTTGGTACCGGACCATTGCCTTACAATGGCACCGCCGCTGGGTTCGACGCCTGGCTTGCGGATCTCCTGCCGCGCCTCAATGCGACCCAGACGACTGCCGTGAAGCAGCTCTACCCGGCCGAGGGGACCACGGACGTTGCGGGCTGGAGCTGGAACACGACCTTTGGGAGGGCGTCGTACCTTTATCGTGATCTGGTGCTGGCCTGTCCCGCGTACTGGATAGCTTCTACAGCCCCTGGGACGGGCTATTTGGCGCAATGGACAGTTCCGCCTGCAAACCATGTCAGTAAATGTTGTTGAGGGGTCTTCTTCTTCTTCTTCTTCTTCTTCTTCTTCTTCTTCTTCTTCTTCTTCTTCTTCTTCTTCTTCTTCTTCTTCTTCTTCTTCTTCTTCTTCGGCTAACCTGCATACCAATCGAATAGGGGAGTGATGAGCCCTACCTTTGTTTAGAACCTGGGTACAGCACCCTTTGTTTGGTATGTACAAGGCCTTCTTTCTTGCTTCTGCATACCTTCTCCTCCCCTCTCTTCAAGCTATGAATTGATGATGGAATGAATATGAACCACAGTGGAATACCATCGACACCTCCGATCCAACCCAGCTCCTGCGCTACTACGGGTACACCGGGGCAATAGCAAGTTTCTTTGAGACTGGCGACCCAAACGCCCACAAGGTGAGAGAACGTGACCAGTCCCCGTTCAAAAGAAGACGACGAACAAAATTAACACTTCCTTGAAATAAAAATAGCTCACAAACGACTCCACACCCGGCGTGCCAGACCTGACGACCGGCCTACAGTTCATAACAGCCCCCGATGGCTTCCGCACCCAGTCCATGCCCATCTTACAGAGCAGGTGTGCGTTTTGGCTGGCGAATGCGAAGAGTATTCCTATTTAAGGGGGTGAAGAAGTGACTTAATCAGCCTCTGGAAGTTACTGTTCTCAATAGTCGTCGCATAATGAATGCATTACAGAAGAGAGAGCCTCAATTTGTTCAGGTATTCATCTGCTCTAAATTTTGATAAAAGCCGCTCGGCCCATTTCCTTTCTAAACCTCCCCCCCGAGGGTGCCCTCCGTCTAAGCGTGTTGGACACTTGTCACAAGATGCAGTACTCATTTGCACGATAAAAATAATCAAGAAAACATCCACAGAAGAAAAGAAAAGAAGAGGAAAAAGTAAATACATAGGTCCACAAGTCTCTTGCTTTCCGACAACATATATCGCTGCGTCTCGATCAAAAAAAGCGTATTCTCCCTCCATCAAACCCAGTTCATAAACTAATATAAACGAAAGGTAAACTCTAACAAAAGGCACGAGTCTCATTCATGCCGGGGGTGCTCTAGAAGTGGTGGCTAGGAGGGCTCGACACCTCCGGCTTGGTCGAGAAGATGGCTGCAAGCGCATCACGGACCTCGAACTCCTCCATCACGGCACCAAAGCTGGGTTGTTGCTTATTAGCTCACTGTCGAAGCCCTGGGAGACAAGGAAAGAGAGGGAGGGAGATAAAAAGGGGGAATTGGAATACGTACCCATAACATCGAACCTTGCTCCGCAGCTCCTCAGACAGCCTCGCGCAGTCCTTCTCGTTCAGCTCTCCCAGCCTAGGATGGCTGAGCACCATACCCCATGCCATGACCGGCGTGATTTCGCCGTCGAGATTCAGCTTCTGGCTCAGGTCAAGCAGCGTCGCCAAGTCGGCTTTGCTAAGCTCCCAAGTCCGCGGCGGGCCACCATCGACATCCATGGCCGTTGATGCCACGGCTGTCGTGGTCGTTGTTGTGTTCGTGTTCGAGCTCGCACCCCCCCTGCTGAAGTTGTGATTGACATTAGGACCGAAGCCGGCATTGTGATTGGGTTGGCCGGCGGCTGCCACATGGTTGCCATGTCTGTGGCCGAAGGGAATGTCGTTCGTTAATTCCGGAAAGGGTTCGGGAGGACAAGATGCCATGAGTGCGTGCCCACAAGGCTCAAGCCCGCCATTGGCGCTGGAACGCTCCAGTAACCAGGGCATGTGATCCATACACGGCCTCTCGAGCCTAGGTTGATTTCAATCCGCAGTCAGCACAGCGTTCCTGTCTGAAATTGTCACCGACTTTTTGGAAAGGCACATCGGTCGATCTCACATTCACTGGATCCTCGCGCCTCTGTACAGTGTAAGGGACGTCAATGGACCAGATCTTGGGGGGGGTTGGGGCAAGGGAAAGGTTAGGTGAGGAGGAGGATTTTCTTTTTCTGCTTTTGTTTTTCTGGTTTTTGTTTTTGTTTTTGTTTTATTGTGGGGGAGGAGTCAGATAGTCTTTCCGGGGGGTTCCGTACTTTAAAACAAAGTCAATGCCCGCCTGATCATAATCTACGCCTGGGTTGCGCTGCGGCCCAGGCGCTTGTGAGATCTGAGAGTGCATGCTGAGGCCAGAGGCCTGGGTGACAGGACTGAGGCCACCAGGCGATAGCCCTGTGCTTAACGCTGACCCCGGCGGCGGGGTGTACGCAGTATGCTGCGTGGAGACGGATGGGAATCCGTAGCTTGTAGAACCTGCTACAGATGCAGGGCTGCGACTGCCAAGGTACGGACCGACAGACGGGTTGCTGATGTTGTCGTCCATCATGGCGGCGGTAGCATGGGGTAGCGTTAGGCCATTATGCTGAAGAAGAACCTTCAGGGAGCGATTTTCCTCGGCCAGGCGTTCTTTGTCCTGGCTGACATTTGAGAAAATCTCCTTGAGGCGGAGCACTTCATCTTCCAAGGCCTTGATGTACAGCTCTTTGCGCTCTCGGTGGGTTCTGGCGTGGCGACTGGTCAGCATCCGGCGCGCGCGCGTCATAGCTACTCCCTAATCCCTATTACTTGGGCGCTGGAGCCAGCCGCTGCGGAGATGTGTGGTGCTTCTTACCTCTGGGCTTGCCTGTTTAATTCCTGCCTCCTTGTCAGAGCAGGCTTGCTATCGGGTTTTGGTCCTCGCCGTTTAGCCGGTTGCCCGTCTCTTGTCAACTTCTTGTCCGAAAGCGACTTGAGGAAGTTCAGGCTGAGGGGACTCGACTTGTCAGTCGGCGACGTTGCAGCAGTGGCCGTAGAGGTTGGCTGCTGCGATCCACCATATGCGATGCCCGTGCCCACTCCTCCAAACTCGTCCTTGATATTCAAGGGGGATACAGAAGACGACGCCATGCTAGCGCCGGGTTGATCGAGTAGCAAGAGTGCTATGCGAGGGTTGGAATGGGATCGATGGGTGAAGAGGTAAAGAGGTGAGGAGGTGGCGAGAAGAAGGGCAACTCGGGTCGTTTCGAGTGGCAGCTACCGAGCGAGGTACGCCGTCAGCCATATACTGTCTTCTTTGTCTGTCCCGGGCCTTTTTGAACGCGACTAGTGAAGAGGGAGGGAGGGGCAGGGGGCAAAGAGCAGAACAAAACGCCATGCTCTTGTTCTTGGCCCTTTCTCAAGCCACACGGAAATGTGGTGGGCAGACAAGGAAGGTCACATTGTGTGTGATCTCATCTGTTCGGCTTTCTTGCGGGGGTGAAGATCAAATAAGGGAGAGCAAAAGGATGCGGCAACTTTTGCCAAACTACTACCACCAGCAGCTGGGGAACAAAGGGAATGAACATACCTATAGAGAGAGGGAGAGAGGGAGAGGGAGAGAGACAGAGACAGAGACGGAATACGCTCTATTGAAACCGCAGGCGATGAATGAATATCGAACTGAGCCACACTCTACGAGATCTCTTGTTTCTTTGACGTGCTGCTTGAAATATCTAAGTCCTGCGAGTTGAATCCGGCGGCTGAGAGGTCGTGGGCGGAGCAGCTGGATCTTGAACTCCTCCGGCGACAGCACTTGTTGGGGTCCCGTAAGGGCGAGAACAGCTACAAGTCAAGCCTAGACCTGACTTGCTAGCCAGTAGTGTCGCAAGATGGCGCGTGGCTAGGCTTGTGATGCCCTGCCGGCCTTAGAATGCCGAATTAAATCGGAGACAATAGGTTGTATAGATCTCAGCAGAGTATGTGGGTCTGTTGGACGTGGTCCTGCCAGTTTTTTTTCCCCCCCCAGAACTTTCAACAAAAGAAAAGTAAGGGCGAGGAACACTGATGATCTTCAGATGTGCACTGTGCCGGCAGTGTCCTTCACAGTGGTGATGGTGGCAAGGGGAAGGAGTCAGGTTGTGTGTTGTGAGTGTTGGCTGTGGTCGTAGGTGGCGTGGTCCCGCCCTTGTGAGTCGCTCAAAGGTCTTAGAATGTGACACGGGTCTAAGAGCGTCCTATTTGGGAGTCGATGAGATGTGACGACAGCTGTTCTAATCCGTGGTAGGAGAGTAAAGAGTACGAGCACCTAGGGGGCTCTGGGTTTTGCTGATGTTGAAGGTTGATTGTAAAGACAGCACATTCGACTCTCTCAAGGGATGTCTGTCCATTCGTCTGCCTGGCTGTCTTCAACTTCGAAGCGTCATTTGAGTCTCTCAAGCGCTGTCTCGTAGATGGTCTCGTGGAGATGCAGATGGCTGACTTTATTGCCCGGCGGAGGAGGTGCAACGTTCGGACCGTGGGGTTAGCAGGGGCCAGGTCCCGTTAAAAAGAGAGGCTTGGCACACAGAGAGAGAGGCACAGAAAGAGAAAAGAGATAGGGCTTGTCAAGGATCCTCGACGCGGCTATATCAATTGATCGACCGTAGTCTGCTGCGGCTGAGCGATTGTTCGTTGTCGGGTGGGTGGATTTCAGGTGTGGAGTTGTGGAATGATCCAAGGGACGTCAGGAAGAGCACCCCTGCCCGAGCTTCCATTCTTCCCCTCCTTCCTCTCAGCACTGCAGCCGCAAGGATTCATCCCGAGCGGCCCGCTGAATAAGCTCTATTGCCCTATTCAGACACAGCGCCGGCAGGGGTCGCTGCAGCCCAATGGTGGGAAGCAGGCTCGCGCGGGCCGTTTTACAGGGCCTACCTCGGGCTCTAGAGGTGCTATAGCCATACAGACATTGATCGCTTGTTCTAGGCCGTTGGGAGGTTCCTTGCCCCAACAAATAATCATCATCCCCTTAAGTACTTATTAGAGCCTTCTATAATTAAGATGAGATTCTGTTCGACGACTATGCTGCTCACCCCACATATTCATGCATCTTCTGTTGTTATGCCTTGATGCCTGGTGCCTAGTGTCAGGCTGATATGAGAGAAAAATCTATTGAACCTTCATCACTCATCATCTCTTGTCAGCAAGACGACCCAGTTACGGCTAGCCGGTAAGACGCTGTCACCGATGACGACGATCAACAATCTCATCAGCCGATATTCCCTGTATGCCCAGCCCCAGTGAGCGAGAGAAAGCGATTTCTTGCCGTTCGAACTGCCGTCGTGTAAGAGGGCCACGCTGAGCCATGTTGCCTCCCCGTCATACACACAGGAACTGGGTGGAATAACTTTGCTTACTGTGGCATTCACTGTGCGAGGGTTCAGGCTTCACCTTTTTTGGGTGTGAATTACTCAGTCCTCAAGACGGTGTGAGCTATCATGTGGAACTCGATCCTGTTCATCCTGTCTTGTCCAGTCGTGAAACTTGAACGCCGGTCCGGAAGTCGTTCCTAGTTGATGAAGAGGCGAAAAGAAAGAAAACTTGTCTGACATTCACATCGTGCAGCACTTCAGTCCATTGCATGAGATTTTTTCGAGAGATCTGCAGTAGGATTTCATCCTCATAATTTAGGGCCAGTCACAAATTGAGTTGATCAATGATTCGAATCAGATACTCAAATAGTCGAAGCACGACAATTGTTTCCTCATACGAAACAAACAACACCACGGCTACTGGTGTTAGAGGACAGGAATCGGGACGATTGGATCGGTGAAATTTAGGGTGGTCTTATTATCTAGAAACAGATTCCGGGGCCGGGTCGAGGGCAATGACGGCATTGACCCTCGGGCAAGGAGAGACAGGCCTTGTGGGACCTCGACCTCGGCCTCACGTCGCAGCTTCCCTGGATTACGTCTCAGCAGCACCACCCTGAAGCACCCCTTCTTTCTCTCTTCTAACTTCTCTTTGGGAGCACGCAGAGCACAAGGAAACATCATTAGAGCCTGGAGCTCTGATTTTTGGTTCATTTCCGATAAAATCGCAGGCAGTAACGGTTGAGGAAGAGAGTTGATCTTGACCCCTTGTGTCAACTCCTCGCACGCTTCAAGACAGTGCCTCGCGCACCAAAGTACAGATCACCAAGCTGCTGCCCTGCTGCCCTGCTGCCCCGTTGAGAAGGAGGAAGAGCGCTCCTCTGGCTAACACAACCCGCTAATGAACCGGCAGCTACTGCTCAGTATCTGTTTTCAAAGCCATCGTGAAAGTTGCGGTTTTGGATCCGAGACTTGAAGGAGAAGGAGAAGAAGAGCAGGAGAAACGAGACGGGACTTCCCAGGCACCTCCGATCTAGCACACTCGTTCTTTACTCAGACGAAAACGACAACAGTGATACTACACGAGGAGGACATCTGCAAAAGGGGCCCCCAGTCCACCATGGCCAGCGTCCTGTCCAAGCTCTACCACCATCTCCGAGGCGTCCTCCTCGTCACCCCCTGGGCCGCCGTCCTCCTCATCCAGGACCTTCTGCTGTCCCTCATCCTCCTCCTCCGTCCCTTGAGCCCCTCCCTCGCCTACCACCTATCCAGCCCCATCGCCTACTCCTGCTGGGCCTGGATCCAGCTCATCTTCGAGCGCATCAACGGTGCTCGTATCGTCATCTCAGGCGACACGTTACCCGAGGGCGAGTCTGCCGTCGTCATCTCCAACCATGTCGGGTGGAGCGACTTCTACATGATCCAGGCATTGGCCATGCGGTGCAAGATGCTGGGTTACTGCCGGTACTTTGCAAAAGCGCAGCTCAAAAAGGTACCTCTGCTGGGCTGGGGGCTGATGGCCATGGGGATGCCTTTGGTCACGAGGAACTGTAAGTGAGCTTTGTTAGTCTCTTCCTTCTCCCTAGCATCGCTGAACCAGCTCCCTCTCACAGGGCAACACGATCGCCGCGAGCTCGACCGCGTCTTCCACGGCATAACCCACGCTCGCTTCCCAACCTGGCTCATCTCGTTCAGCGAGGCCACGCGCTTCACCCCCCAGAAACACAAAGAGTCACAGACATGGTGCACCGCCAACAACCGGCCCCAGCCTCGCCATCTCCTCTACCCTCGCACAAAGGGTTTCGTTGCCACCGTGACCCATATCCGCCAGACCCCGCATGTCCGTGCCGTCTACGATCTGACCATCGCCTACCAGCGGGGCCGGGAGTGGCAGGCGGCCCCAGCGTTTTGGGACACGCTGAGCGTGCCCCGGCTGAGTGAGGGCAGGGCAGGGTATCGGTTTGAGGTGCACGTCAGGCGATGGCCGATGGAGGAGCTGCCAAGGGACGAGGAGGAGCTGGTGAGGTGGATCGAGCAGAGGTGGGTCGAGAAGGGGCAGTGGCTAGAGCAGAAGAGGGTTGCGTGGGCAGCAGAGGAGGAGGAGGAGGCAGAAAGGAAGAAGGGACAGTAGTAAGAGAAGATTCTCGCCGGTATGAAGGGGCTTACTGCTATCACGCACGAGCAAGAAAGACATTGGCAATGGTGGGAACAGGGACATCATGGCTTCCGGGCAAGCCGGAATAATATAGCAGCACGGTCTGGCGTTGACTGGCACCAGCACCAGAAAGTTAGTGCGAAGTATTCACAAAATCTCCCATCATGAGCATCGTGATATTGCCATGTTCGCCTCCATTCATGATGTTCTGATCTTGAAATGGGCCTCGGGATTGTGACACTGCAATCGAACCTCGTCCACGCTCGATCTCGAAGCAGTGACGACAACGTTACATATATGTTGTGCCCTGCGATCCCCTAGATGTAGTAGAGGATGGTCCATGAGCCCCTCCCGGTCAGCTTTGATCGGCATCAGCTTTTCCCTTGGGTGGGTGAGCAGACCAAACCAGCTCCTGCCTGCCCCTACCCTCTCCCCCCTCTGACAATTTCTCATTCCCCTTCAAGAGACCAAGAGACAGTCACCGTGCGTGAATGCCAAATCTGTAATTAGTTACAAGAGAATATAACAAGGAGAAAAGAAAACATCTCCACCTATGACTTTCCAAGTGACACCAACCCAGTACAAGCAAAGGTCACGCCCTTCTCATACCTACAAAACATCGCATGCACACCAAGCCAGTCCGCCTCAATCTACTCTATCATGTATTCTCTCTATCTCTCCCGTCTCTCCTTCTCTCTCTATCTGTCTGTCTATCTAGCTATATCTCTCCTTCCTCCGCGGCCAAGTACCGTCTCACATGCCTCCCAGACTCACTGCGCCGCCCCCCCCCTCTCCCCCCCCCACTCCCATCTCTACCCTCCCCTCTCGTGGGTACCGATGACAACCTCGCGTCGCACAACATACAATGGGCACCTAAAGCGCCCCCTCCCCCCACCCCCCCCCACATACCAGACCCCCAAAGAGAAAAGGATGAGTCCGAGCTCGTAAGACACGATCACACCCACCGAGTTCGGGCAGTGCACTTCTTAGGCTCGCCGTTCAGCCTACGTTCTCTAAGCAGAGTAGATGGAGGCCCGCCGCCGCCTGCCCCCCCTCCTTTCCTGCCCTCCCGGATGGATCATATGACTGGACTGAATTGAACTGAACTGACAGCCACATACAACAAGAAGCAGGACAAAGTCAACATCAGGGGCAGGAACAATACACAGCTCTAGACATGATGGATGGGATGGGTTGGGGGTCTGGCAGGTCGAGCGAAGGCGCTAGAAGAGTGAACATTGTCGATTGTCATGTTCTGTAAAGAGGTATTGACTTGTTCTTCCCCCCATACATCAGAGCAAAGCCTGGCCTGGCCTGTCCAGTCCAGTCAGCCAAGTTTCGTGAGCCGCCTCTTGTCCACAAGAGGCTGACGCTTTCCGTTGGTCTTCGCCCGTCCATTTCCCCCCCCCCTCCCCCTTCACACCTCCTTTGTGTAAGTTGATTATCGAACGCCCGGGCTCCCTCTCATCGTGGCCATGTGATTGGAAACTTCACCGCCCCGACACGAAGGCATGAGGAGGGTGGCATATCTCTCCATACCAACATGAATGCACCAGAGAAAGAAAGAAAGAAGGGAAGAAGAAAAACCTTGTTCAGGGTTGACGTAGGATTGATCAGGCGGGCAGTCAGGCAACGTCCTCATATACTGTCTATTGGGAGAAAAGAGGCGAGGAAAAGGGGGGGGGAGGGACTTTCCCTAGAGAACAATATACCCCCCTCGCAACGCCAACTTTTCGGACGGAGGCTTGATTTGACGAAAAGAAAAAGAGATGGACAGAGAGAGAGAGAGAGAGAGAGAGAGAGAGAGAAACCTTGTCATACCCGTCCTATTTTCAGGACACGGAAACCAAACAACTGTGTTGAGCCATGACTAACGAACGGCGACTGACAAAGCGTTGCACCCCTCGAGGACGATTTCCACAGTAGACATCGTCGCCCACCCCCTCCTATTCCTCGATAAGTACGGCCTTGCCTACACTTAGTAGGCATCCACAGAATACAAGTGTCAAGTTGTGGAACCCGCCTTGGGAGTTCGCATCTTGGCAAGGCTAAGCATGGCGTGGAATGACGAGCTGGGATACCTGCTTGTCTAGAGAGCAGCAGGTGCACGCTGGTCTCGAGAGCATGTAGTGGGCCTATGCTACCAGCCAAGCTTGTGTGTTTGTGCGTGTTTGAGGCGAAAATGTCCTGGTCTCGACAAACGACGAGCCTTGTGGCTGTCCAATAGATCCGGTGGTTTCCCCCCCCCCCCTCTCTTTTCTTTCTCGTTCATTCTCTGTCTCCAATCAAACAGTCTTTGGCTCATACCATGGTGAACATGCGTCATATTCTTAAGAAACAAACCGCCTATCACCTTACTTTACCCCACAGCCTTCATAGGCTTTCATTCCAGGGTGACTGAGTCCAGAGACTGAACGCATCCCAACTGTTCTCCTCACGTTTCAGAACCTAGCTCTTAAAAAAGGTTTCCGTCCTATCGGCACTTTTGTGCTTCTCTGCGTGATATGCACGGCAGGTCTTGGGTCATCTTTCATCTCGCAAGCCTTCAATCACATGCACCGTGACACCCAAAGGAAGAGAGGGAAGGGGGGGTGGGGAAGAAAACTCAATCCAGAAGCATGTCTAAGCCTCTCGTCTCCAGGGATGGAGGGGAGCTTGGGGAACTTGCATTGTCCTCTCTCCATGTTATGTACTATGTAGGTAGTATCGACGAGTCTACCAGAGCAACTCTGCAGTTCGAGTCAGGGCAGTGTAGTAGGTCAGATGCAAACCCACACAGCCTGGAATAAGCTTCCCCGCGATATCGATAGTATCCGCTGGTGGTGTGGGGAGGAATCTAAGCTGCCACGGCATGGTCTCCACCGGGATGTTTTGGCCGGGGGGGGGGGGAGGAAGAGACAGACAGAAGGAATAAGAGTAGGAAAGAAAGGAGAGAGAAGTGGAGCAGACCGAGTGACGGACAGCCAAGCCCAAAACAAGATGGAATTTTGCGATCGGAAGATGTCAGCGAGTCACCTTTCTTGCCGTCCCTGCCTGTCTTGGGCGCCTTCCCTTCGAAGTTCTGCAGCTCTGGTCATCACGAGGGGTGAGGGGGCGGGGGTGTCTCTCCCCTCTTCAAGAGGTGTCGTACGACGCTTTCTCTCTCCCTCGTGTGTCGCTGGGGTTGGAACCAAGGGACCTGGCATATGATGGGTGGGTAGAAGTTGTATTCCTGGCGTCCAATGGTCTTGTGCTTCCCATTCAACTTTCATTGGGCTGTTTTCCTGCAGGATTCGCCATCTTGATGAACTTTATATCAGTATAGATTAGAGTGCAGCTAATTTAGAGTAGGCCGTTGTTGGCGGCAGGAAAGATCTACACTATTGTGTAGCAATAACCACCACCCGTTCTTCTTGTCCGTTTTCTTTTTATACTTCTTGGTTTTTTCTTAAAGAAAAAACATGATGGTGAAACGTGGCGTACGCCCGCCAGAGACACAAATCAGCAGCAGTGATGCCAATGATTATGCTAAACTTGCACGACTCACGGGTTGCTATTGATCGAATTGCGGTGGGAAGAGGTTCTCATGATAGGCCATCTTTATCGCAACTAGCGACAGGAATATCACCCCCAAGACTAGAAGGTCTCGTCAGCGCCGCCCCTTGCGGGCACCGTTACATATCAACAGTGATTGGCATTGGCATGGCCAAGGTGAGCTAGCTTTCACCGTGAACGACCTGAGGCCAATGAGAAAAAAAGGAGGAGAGAAAATAAGTATGGTGAGGGGTAGCAAAGGATAGCACATCTTATGTAGATCCAGGTGGCCGGGGCAGATGAATGGCCGGCGAGTCGGCATGTAAGCCTTTGGAGTAGATCGTGACCGTGGAAATCGATTGCAGTAACCAATTAAGAATGGTCGGGTTCTGCAGGGAGGATTGCGACGAGAGGGCGGCAGTGCACCCAAGGCGTCATCTTCTCAGCGGTGAGCTGGCGTCTAGTGAGAAGAGGTGTGTGTGTGTGTGTGTGTGTGTGTGTGTGTGGGAAAGATGATGATACCTCACATCAAGCGTCAGGCTCAGCGGCCAGCCGCCCGATTCAGTCTTTGGCAACCCCTTTGATCGGCTGTGGAAAGCGAATCTCAATCGTTTCTCTCCTGGTCCCCTGCCTATCTCAACGAACATTGTCCGAGAAAGAGACACCATTGGCTTGATGGTTGTAACATGGCCGCCATTGCCCCCCTGCTGGCGTGAGTTGGAGGCGGGCACGCGACAACGGAGGATCAAGTTCTTGACCATCATCACACCCTCATTCTCTGCCCCCCTCCCTCAATACGCACACACAAAGATAATTCCCATAGCGAAGGAAGCTTTGCTCGCCATGCTTTATACTCTGCAATGACTAGGTTTTAAAAATCATACTTTGGGCGTCTGCTGCTGTGGAACGAACTGAATGAAGCCGGGGGAGGGGGGCGGTAGTTGGAGGCGTTTTCTGGCGCTGCTAATACTGGTTCCGGACGAAGGTGCGAAACGGGAACTCCTGTTGTACTAGAAAGTGGTGTCGCAATTGTTCTACTGACATCGGAAGTGGCCACACGAGTGCATCGTGACATAGTAGATCTTCCAGGCGACGTCGTGCATAGGTGACCTGAACGGCTCCTGTGCATGACGCTCGGAGGAGCCAGCGTGCATAGAGTACCAATGGCGGATGCGACAGTGGGATGCTGTCTTATTTTGGGAGTGATGGAATGAAACGGACTGTGATTGGCCACAAAAAAAACCACTAAGATTCTGGTCGAGGGATGGAGATGCATCATTATTATGCAGAATGGCCCGTGGGTAGGGTGTCGAGGCATGAAAGGCCAAACCCAATTATGCAACCGGTGGGACAGCGTGGTGTGCCGTGGCGCCCGCGGCCGTAGGAGGGGCTCCAAGAGGACGGGCTTAGGCATCGCGAAATCACGGAAGCCCTGGCTGTGTGTGTGTGTGTGTGTGTTTGTCACTGTGGTAAGCCAGACCGCACGTAGCTGGCGCCAGCACGGGCTTGGAGGTCATTTTGGATTCGACTATCAGGTCATTTCGATGCACGTCCATGGGTATTTCCGGTGGCCAGTGGCTCTGAAGTGGTGGTAGCGAGCGCGGCCTTTCGAAGGCGGGGTTGCGGTGATTCAGACGAAGGTTCCCGTAGGCGGAACTTAGTCTGGAAGATTTGGAGGCCAAGGAAAGGCCCAGGTCATGCCAGGAATAGTAAACCTTCAAGGTGGGTTTGGGGTTTGGTGCAGGTGCAAGATGGTGGTGGTCCGGGCGGGCGTGGCTTCTCGGCATGCACTCGTGAGGAAAACACCCGAGAGGGTATCCATAGCTCATAGGCGATCTATAATCCATCCTTCTCTTCCGGATCTCGTGGAAAGTCAGTTCTGATGAACGTGGTGGTGATGATGCAACTCTGCCTCGCAAGCCAGTGCTGGCCCAAGCCCTAGTGTATGACTTGTGAAATGTCTTTTGAGCTTCGATTCTCCAGTCTTTGTAGAGCCTGGACAAACAGGAGGAAAGCAGTAAGAAGGCCACCGCTCATGTTTCGGGTACTGTAAAACTTCATCGAGCAGTGAGTGTAAAGTTGCCAGAGTGCAATGATCGACGCACATTGTGTACCACAGTATGCAACAGAGTGAAGGCTTTCTTTCACCTGCGTGCTCTGTGCGGAATGGCTCAGCTGCCCCCCCCCCCCGTCCCCGGCCCATGCTGACATTTACGACACCCGGATCTGTAAAGCTGGAGGGTGGTGGGCTGCTCAAGTGTGGGATGGCGAGGAGCCCAGCTGGAGGAGGTTGTGCTGCTGGAGAGACGGTGTGACGGGCCAGAACAGGGGTAGACTACAGCAGGGGCGTGCAGGATGGTCACAGTGGTTTGGTTCGGCCTCTCCATCTGGCATGCTCTGCAACCAACATGCAATAATATGGTGAGTTGGACGAGCTGGCCATTATAGTATAGTACACAGGCCGTGCGTAGTAGCCGTGGGCTAGCCTGGGTGGAGGTCTCGCAGGGTGGAGTCTAGCTGCCGCATCCCCCCCAAATGAGAAAGAGATTGATGGTGTTGAGCGTCATCAAGGAGAACGCGAGCCTGCAGGTCGACCAGTACTGCGTGTGTCGAATCGAGATTCGGCCACTCAAGGCCAATGGAACTACCAGACCTATGGATAAGACGGCAGCCCCCTTCCTGGTTCACAAGTAATAGAAGGCCGGTTGCCGCGTTAAAGGAAGCGAGAGAGGACCAGAGAGGACATCGGGTTTCCATTTCGATTTTTTTTTTTTGGAGGGGAATGCACACCGCAGATCTGGTGGATTCTTCAAAGAGAGTCATCAGCCAAAGAGAATTCCGAGCGCCCCTAGGTGGGGGCCCCCCGACATCGTCTCCAAGGTCCGGCAATTGTTGATTGGTGTGTGGTCTTGGATGATGCTGATGCATGCGTATGCGTGCTTCGACTCTAAGGCAGGGCCCCTTCTAAGGTACCGTGTCTCCTGTGCAACCCAAGGTCATGCGGACGTGGTGTCTTTTGTCTCGAGATCAGCCAACAAATGGCTCGAGGAGGGGCTGGTCCGCCCGTCTTGAAGCCAGGCCCGTCCCGAGGCTTGTCGATGGACGTTTGCAGTGTAGTGCGTTGGTGCGTGATCGTGAGACAGTCAGACGGGGGGGTAGTGCTCGGGTGCCGCTGTGCTATGGTAGCTGTAACCCATGTGATTGGCATCTCTGTCTAAGCATTGCAGCAGTGGATCCTCGCTTCCTATTGCAAGACCATGGTCGCTGTTACCATGAAAAGGTCGAGAACGCATACACGAGATTGATCTGGGTGGGCCGGCCTGCCCTGCCCCAGAGTCACTCCTCTTGTCTGGCATCTTTACCAGAGGCAGACAGGCGAGACTGAGCTAGACGTACACAGTAGGAGCCAGACGACAACGACGACGACCACAACTACAGCGCCGATGCAGATTCCCTATTCCGAAATGAGACTGTGCATTGGTCTTCCACTCCAGTGGGCACTGGGCGTCTTCTTCGTTCTTTGTCCCGTCGGCATGGATGAATAATAGCTTGGTGGGCGGGAGTCAGAACTCAACATCAGACACTGATTGTTGACTGGTGCTTTGTGGATAGTGCTAAAAGTGTGTGAGATGATTGGAAGGAGAAAGGGTGACAAATGACGATGAGGCTTGGACGAAGAGTTCTGCACGTTTCAAGTTGAGAGGAGACCGAACCTCGTCGGCGTGCTGAGAAGCAAATAAGTTGTCGCTTCTGCCAGCTGTAGATTTAGTTCGTGATTTCCATCCATTGACGTCACGGGCACAGCAGAGGCAGGAGCGACTATGAGTATAGTAAGTAGTACTATGAAAATGTGCAGGAGCGTATGGTAAGGCGGGTACGGGTAGCCGTGGTACGGGATACCACATCTTGACTCATAAGCGGCACCGGGACAAACCGTACTCAATACCCTACAACCAGAGGCTAACCCAGGTTTTTCTTTATCCAGCCTCTCAACCAACAGGGCTCAGGAGCCGCAAATGCAGGAAGGCGATGATCTCTTGTCAGCGATTGAGTGCGGCAACGGTCATGAGACGAACAATTGAAGACCTACTATATCTCAGAATATCTCAATATAGGATCATGCCATACAGTAGTTGTTGTACAAGCACACCGTACAGTGTAGATCGCCACAAGGGGGTTCTAGGTGATCTTGTCCAGAATCGTGGCATGCGCCGCAGGGGAACTTTGACAAAAGAGACAGGTCCAAAGCCGCCAGAGGTCCTTACGTAGGAAGATGATGTTCCTGCTATCATGTACATACATCATAGTACATATAAGTCCTATCACTTTTGTTTCTCCTATGGGCAGGGGAGGGGCTTAGCCCGTCCCTCTTGGCCTTGCAAAAGAGAACAGAAGACAACAACGGTACAGGGCACATGACTGCCCTCTTCGTGTGTTGTGGAAATTGGACCAAAAGAGGCAGAATAAGAAGAGGGACAAGAAAAAGAGAAACAAGGACAGAGAAACAAACTGTTGGGGGAGGTGTGAGAAGAAAGGGGGGGAGGGATCAAGATCCAAGGTTGTGTGGGTGTCTTGTCTTGCTTGTCTCTCTTTTTCTCTTTTCTATTCCGGCGCCAGCGTCCCCTTGCAGCATCTTACATGCAGTACGTGGAGCTGCCTCAGTTTCGCGTCACTTGCCGCTGATGTGCCCTCCACCTTTTCTCATCACAAGGTCCTCCCTCCTGTCTCTTGCAGTGCCGTGTCATTCAGTGGGGTCGCTCGCTTAGTACATTTAGTACGCAGTAGGATAAACAGGCAGACAGGCACTGGTACTATGGAGCAGGGCCAAGTAGGGTGCAAAATCCACTACATCCAGCTCTGGTCCAGCCTGTGCCGGAATGCATAGTGAGCTGGCCCCACCTGGCAGTACCAAGCCCCCTTAGCGCGTAGCCTACGGTCATGGTGGTGGTGGTCGTGGTGGTGGTGCGACCCCCGAAAGGGCGTTGTTGTTCCCCACTGTCTGTTGCACTAGCAGCACTGAGGCAGTAGTTAGTGGCTAACACACGCCAACCTGTTAGTAACAACAGTTGACCCGTCCCTTTTTCCCCCTGCTGCTTTGATTTATGTGGAACTGACCTGCCAAGAGAGACAGAGGCAGAACTTTCCTTGGTCTGCTACCCAACAGCAAGGTTGGCTCAACCCGGGCCTCGGAAGGTTAGCGTCTGTGCCGCTGTATTTGGTCCACAAGCAAAATTGGGGCCCAGGAAGGAAAGTCCAGTCCCAAGGCACGCTGGCTGGGTCCTCAGATACAATTCGACAAATTGATTTCACGTCCACCTCATTCCTCGTCCACGTCGACGACTGCTCCCACGCGCACAACCCCACGCTGGCACGCACGCACGCAACAAGACCACCTCACCATCCACCTCATACACGGGCTCACACACACTCACTCACCCGTCTGCACGTCTTCTACGCGCCCAAACTTGGACCTGACCTGTCCACCCACCCCCTTCTCCCCTCGTTCGGTCATCATTCCTCTCGCTGGCACTGGCACTGGCACTGGCAGGCCCTTACCTCTCAACAAAGCCGACATCTCGAATCTCCCAGGCGGGCCGATACTCAAGATCAGCTATGTCTCGGGTCGTCTTGAGCTGGTGGATGTAGCCTCGTCCTCCTGCCGCCCTGGCCCCCTCCGCCAGACCACGGAAGATAGTGACGACCCCTTCCTGTCCCTTTCTCTGGCGTGTCGGCTCGTCTGCTCATCAGTCCGGTGCAAGAAACAGCAGGCTTGAGGGCTTCCTCGCCTGGTCTCTCTCTGCTGCCAGAACCTTACAGCTTCGCCGCCCAATTTTTCTCTTGCTTCGAGCTTCAGCAGCCGCCCTCGATCGCGCCGTGACCCTGCCACAACATTTTTACTCCCTTCTCCCAACACGTCTGCTCTTCATGCGCCCAGCCCTCATCGACGCGTCTGCCGCCGTAGGTACCGCTCTCGGAGCCACGCTCTCAGCCACATACACACCAACCGTCACATACTCTTTGCGGCCTGCTGTCCATTGGACGTTGTCGCGCAACCGCAGATGAGCTCGTTCAGGTCGACTTGGTCGTCCACGCTCCATTCCCGATGGATTCAGACCCGACCAAGCTAGCCTCGCCGGCTGTGTTGTCGCTGCGTGCCCAGGCGGCCGGCGTTATGGAAAGGACCCTCAGTCAAGATATCAGGGAAGAGAGGGAAGATCTCAGAGAGGCTGCTGAACAGACTTTAAACGTCATTGTCGACCTCAACCTCAACGGCACCGTCCGCTGGGTCAGCCCCTCCTGGGTCGACGTCATTGGTACCTCTCCCGATGATGTTCAGGGCAAGCCCATCTCGGGTGTCGTGGTCAGCGAGCCCACCTCCATCTTTACCGATGTTGTCGACTCTATGCAAGGGGACGACTCCCGGAGCCAGTTTATCCGTTTCTCCGTCAAGCTTGGTCCCCAGTCCAAGCTCCTTGCCCCTGCTGAGGGCGTGGAGGAGGACTTCCAGAAACTGGAGGGTGAAGCTGTGAATCAGGAGACAAGCTCAGGGCGAGGGTCGGAGGCGCAGCCAGCAACGGAGCCGGAGAAGACCGCGACAGACACAGACACGGAGCCCCAGGTAGTCGATCTCGAGGCACAAGGCATCATGGTCCATGATACTGGCGGGGAGAGTCACGTAAGATTTTTCTTTCTTCTCCCTGGATTTTTAGATCCAATTGTCGTCATGTGCACAGCTAATCCGGGGTTCTGTAGACCATGTGGATGATTCGCCCGTGGATGGCTCCTCGAGAGATCCAGATCGACTTGAACCCGGAGCTCGTCGACTCCCTTGGCTCTGGTGCCGAACTCTTAGCCAGCTACTTGACGCGTCTGGCCGAGGCGGGCAGCGAGGAGTTCCTTGACCAAGCCCCTCCGTCGACTCTCCTCTGTCGGATCTGCGAGCGTCAAATACCCTGTTGGTGGTTTGAGAAGCACACGGACCTCTGTTTACAAGAGCACCAGGCGGAGATGGAGGTTCAGATGGCCCAGGAGGGCTTGGCTGAGCATCGACATGCTATTGTCAAGGTTCTAGATGCTCTCGAGGCTCGAAAGAGCCGCTCCCTTACGGGTGAGCAGATAAGCTTGCCTTTCGCCGAGTACAAAGGCATGGCGATCGGCCCGCCACCATCCAGCTCCTCGTCGCCTGGAACTGCCTCGCCGCCGACTACTGGAGGCCGCTCTCGCGACAGGTCGGCCGGCTTTGGCCACGCGAGAGCGAGGTCATTCGCCATCAGGAGGCCCCAGGCCAGGATTGTCGAGCTCTTGTTGGATCTCTGCGACACAGCCATGGAGATCAGCACACCAGCGATCAAAGATTCTTCGGCGCAGGCTCCGGGCGAGTTTCGTACCCAGTCTCCGCAATCCGAGTCCCGCATAGCGCAGGTCATGCAGTGGCAGTCTCCGAGCACCAACACGCTCGAGCAGGAGCAAGGGCTGGCTCTTCTCTGTGCTGACACGGAGAGGATCGCAAAGTCCAAGGTTGATGCAGTATTCCGCCACAGAAAAGTCATAGAATACGCCGAGCGCATTCGTGTGGAATTTGCCATCAAGGTTCAAGACTGCATTGATGATGCTATGCAACGGGCTGCTCGTATAGCTGCCGGCCGATTAAGCGATTCGACCGAGTCTGAAGAAGATGCCGAAGGGGGTACCGAAGAAGAAGAAGAAGACGACGACAACGAAACCATACCTCCACAAGACAATCTTCCTGATGAAGAAGGGATCTTTCCAGGCTCGTTCGATGGAGAATCATCACTTGCTCTGGCTCTCGAAAAGGCAAATCTGAACGATGATCCGGACAAGCGGCGCTTCTCAGCAGCCATTGGCTCGACAAGGTCCAGTAGCCCAAAAGAATGCCCGACGCCTCGATCACACCATGGTATTGCTACTGTTCTTGGACAGCAGAACAACACAAGGGAGTCGCGACGAGGATCTATGTTGCTCGAGAGTGACACTGCAGAAAGCGAGGGCAGTGTCAGGTCCTCGTCGGTAGCTTCGCGCCCTGCCCCAAGGACCGAGTCGCCAATCTCAGAGTTTGGGGATCTGAGGAGACAGGCAAGCTCTCGGTCTCATAACCGGCGAAGCTGGATCCTGCCTGGTACCATCTCACCGATCAGACAGGAGTCCCCCTCAAGGAGTTCTCAGCAGCAGCAGCAGCAGCAGCAGCAGCAGCCCGCCTCGCCTCTGCGAATCACAAAACCTCGGAATCTTCCTGACGGACTCACCTCACCTGAGCCTTCACCCAAGCTCGCTAACAGCGAGTTCAGTTCTCCAGTCGCAGCTCCTACCCACCACAATAGTCACCATCATCACCATAGCAACAACCACCACCACCACCACCGGAGACAATCTTCGGCAGCCATATCATCGTCTGCCGGCGAAAGCGTCAAGCTTCCACCGTCTCCCCGGCTGAATGGGGTGACGGCACAGCCACTGGCGCGCGCGGTGCCCCCATCGATCAAAGACTTTGAGGTCATCAAACCCATCAGCAAGGGCGCCTTCGGCAGCGTGTACCTCTCCAAGAAAAAGTCGACTGGCGAGTATTTCGCCATCAAGGTCCTGAAGAAGGCAGACATGGTGGCCAAGAATCAAGTCACCAACGTCAAAGCTGAGCGCGCAATTATGATGTGGCAGGGCGAGAGCGACTTCGTTGCGAAGCTGTACTGGACGTTCTCCAGCAAGGACTACCTGTACCTGGTGATGGAGTACCTAAATGGCGGCGACTGCGCGTCGTTGATCAAGGTCCTCGGCGGACTACCTGAGGACTGGGTCCAGAAATACCTGGGCGAGGTTGTCCTTGGCGTCGAACACCTCCACAGCCGAGGTATTGTCCATCGAGACTTGAAGCCCGACAACCTCCTCATTGATCAGAAAGGACACCTCAAACTCACAGACTTTGGTCTTTCGCGTATGGGTCTCGTGGGTCGGCAGAAGCGAGCTCTGCACGCTGGTGCAAGCGAGCCAGCGCCCGACCTGCTCAAGTCGGGCCCTTTTGCCAGAGCACTCTCTGTGGGATCGTCGGCATCACGATCAACCTCGCTCGACGTGCATTTGCCGAACCACCACTCCCCTACGCTGACACCGCAGATGACGCCAACCGATTTTGGTGTCAATCTTGCGCAGCCTTCCTACTTCAGCCTGGGCCCTGCTGCTCAGAACGAGCCACGCCGCATATCCAACGGACAACGTAGCGACAGCGGCGGCAGCGACACGTTGGCACACATGCTGGGTAGCTTCTCGCTCAACGACACCACGCATGGGTCGGCCGCCCAGGCTGTCGCCTCACCCAACGAAGGAAGCGAGGGAGGAAGCCCGTCTCCAGATGTCGCGTCGCTCCGGCATACCAACACTGGCAGCACGCAGGGGAGTTCCGACCCAGGTAAAGGTACCCCTCCTCAGGCCGGCATGCCCCCGCCCAACTGGGCCCTGTTCGACCCTGAAGACACAAGTCGCCGTTTCGTGGGGACTCCAGATTATCTTGCTCCCGAGACCATCCGTGGAGAGCCACAAGACGAGACCAGCGATTGGTGGTCGGTCGGGTGCATTCTGTACGAATTCCTCTATGGGATCCCTCCTTTTCATGCCAGCGAGCCTGAGCAGGTGTTTGAGAACATCCTCGCCCGGAGACTGCATTGGCCATCCGAAGACGAGGTCGAGGTCTCTGCCGAGGCCAAAGATCTTATCAACAAGCTGCTCTGCATCGATCCGCGGGAGAGATTAGGCTCGAATAAGAATGAGAAATTCGCATCTGGAGGTGCCGAGATACGCAATCACCCTTGGTTCGACGGAATGAATTGGGAGAGTCTCCTTCAGGACGAGGCCCAATTCGTACCCCAGCCCGAGAATCCCGAAGATACCGAGTACTTTGATGCTCGTGGAGCCACGCTCCAGGCTTTTGCAGAGGAGATGGAAGATCAGTTGTCGCCCCCCGTGTCAGCACCGGCTACGGAATATGCGGACAGACCGCACGACGCCCTCTCGCGTGTTCGCTCACAGGTACAGGTCAACTCGATCAAGAGGGGGCTCATGCCTCTCCACATACCGCCTCACGTCCGAGATCTCAAGAGCAGGAGGTTAAGCGAGCCAACGGTCAACGATGATTTTGGCAATTTTGCTTACAAAAATTTACCTGTGCTAGACAAGGCCAACAAGGATGTCATACAAAAGTTGCGCGCCGAAGCACACGCCGCCCAAAACAAGTCTTCGACTGCCATCAGCCCCGGCGGGATCAACCAGGTCACGTCACCAGGAGGCGTTGGACTCGAAGGGAGCCCTGTTCTGTCCAACCCGGTCCAAAGAACGCTGTCGAACGCCAAGGCCTCGCAGCGGCCTCAGTCGCCCTCTGGCATTAGCAACTCGCATTCCTCGCCAAGCCGGGTGTCGCAGCCGTCGTCGCCTCTTCTCGTGTCGTTTGTTGCTGGACAAGAGGGAAGACGTAAGGCTTCCAGCACTTCTTCTAATCTGTCACAACAGACAGGCTCTGGTAGCTCACTTCAGCCAGGCAACTTCTTCGATGTGCCACGCGTCCCACCTAGCCTGCAGAAAGCAGCCACGTCGGTGGGGGCATCCCCGGTCAAGGGCCGTGGGTCTGCACCACCGCCTCTGACCCTCGCATCGCCGCAGAGGTCCATAGCCTCACCTCGCCATGGCAGCAGCTCGTCCCCGGCCCGTTCAAGATCGCTCACGGTCGGCTCTCAAGAGGGGAGTCCGGTGGCTGCAGATCTCCTGTCCCATCGGAATCGTCGTAGCCAAGTATTCGACATGTCACCTTCGTCTTCTGACAACGAAGGAGAGAAGGCCAATGCAGCCCTCCTGAGAGTGCAGAGGCGTCGCCAGAGCTCTCGGCGCCTGTCGCAGATATCCTACGACAACCCTGCCTTCCGAGCCCTGGATGTTCTCATCTGTGAAGATCACCCTGTTTCTCGGATGGTCATGGAGAAGCTGCTTGAGAAGCTGCGCTGCCGTACCATCTCTGCCTGCACAGGCCCTGAGGCAGTCAGATACGCCATGAGTGACATCAAGTTTGATATCATCTTCATGGAGTTCAAGCTACCACAGATTATTGGCGCTGATGTGGCAAAGATGATCCGTGAAACCAAGAATGCCAACTCACACACCCCTCTTGTCGCCATCACAGCCTACTTAAAAGAGCTCCAGGCACCCCACTATTTCGACTCCTTGATCGAGAAGCCCATCAGCTCATCTAAGCTGACCGAGGTGCTCACCCACTTTTGTCAATGGAAGCCTGCTTCCCCCAGCCAGAAGAGCTCAATCTCCTTCTCGTCGGCTGCTGCTGGTGGTGCTGGTGCAGCCCCTCACCCAACACCCACCAACCTGAGGCAGGAGAGTCTGAAATACGAGGGAAGCCCCACCAGTGGTACGTCTTCTGCTGGCTTTGCGAATCGTACTGGGAGCAGCTTCCGCGGCTCAAGCCGCGAGGACTCCATCTCCTCTAGCCTCTTTGGCGACTCAGAATCAGTGTCGGCTGATGAGATTTCTGTCGCAATCAGTCGTAATACCACGAACGACTGGAAAGATCAAGGTCTTGGGATCGGCATGCCACCGGCGCAGGAGGAGCATCTACTAAGCAGCGACGCGGTCAAAGGCGTGCTGAGCCCATCTCCAGCCTCCAAGGAGACAGCCAAGGACATGACGCATCTGACGCTCCAGCATAGCGCTCCCGGGCAGGTGGAGCATGACACGACAGCAGTGCCTATCGCAGCCCCTAAACCACGTCGCTCCTTCGAGAAGCTGAGAGCAAAGCGCGAGCTGATGGAAAAAAGGCGACTCGAGGGCAATACTGGCATCGATTCTGCAGATGACGAGGACGACGAACTTGGCCTCGGCATGGCAGGCAAGCCCGTAGGCTTCGGCCCACCTACCGCTGCGGCGGCAACAGCTCAAGCCGCAAAGCAGCATTTCCGGAGACAGTCGGTGCTCCCATCGTCCAAGCTCGGCATCGAGATGATGCGTGCCAACAGTCATGATAGCGTGAATGTGCCTGCTGCTCAAGGCGCGAGCGCGTCCGAGCCCGCTACGCATGCCTTGACCACTCCCAAAGGCTCCGTTGAGCACTCGCCGTTGTCTGGGCCTACCATGCTGGCACCGCCTGACTTGCATGCTGGCGGCTTATCGCTGAGCCCGGCGCCGATCCTCGATGAAGAGGAGGAAGACAAAACAGTCATTGTCCACACCCCACCGAGGATTGAAGCCAGTGGAGAAGGTGGCAGGGCCGACATCGAAGACACACCAAAACCATTCGCCACCACAGAGCAACCAAAGACACGGGTGGAAGCAGAGAATGGGAACGAGGAGCCTACACCGAAGAGGACTGCAGACATCATCATTCACACCACGATGGCAACTCCGACCTCTGAGGCACCTTGACTATTTCCCTGCGGGTTTTGAATATAACCAAAATACTGCATTACTGCGCAAAGAGACGAAGCTTTCTTTTTTTTCCCTTTCTTTTGTAGTTCCTTTCTACTTTGTTTCGTTCTTCTTTCTCTATTCACTCTCCCTTTTTTTTTTTTTTTTTTTTGTCTTCGGTTGCAGAACGGTCACATCATAGGTTAAGCGCGGCGTTCAGTGGACTGTTGAACCCGGCTCTTGAATCAGCAAAGGTCATGCATGGCACATAAACCTTTGCTTATCTCCTTATCCTTCCACAACACCTTTTAACTTTCCAGATACGAAAGTTCTCTGCGCGCCTACAATGAACCACAAGGCCAGTCAGTAAATTCCGAAGTTGGAAAGAAGAAAAAAGGGCGATGACAAGGATGGGATCGGGGCTTTCGTGGGTTGGAGATGGGGGGGAGGATGGAAATTGTTTATGAGCTGCTGCTGATTTGAATCACACGACTTTCAGCACCGGCGTTTGGAAGGGAGGGCGAAAGAACAACAAAGTAAAGGCAGGAAAGAGAGGGACAGACATGTTGATGTTTCTTCTCTGCTAAACCACCAATCAGACATTGGGCATAGGATCGTGTTTTTCCTCCTCTGCTTTCTTCTCTGGATTGCCGCCCGGAATGAGGTTTGGCCCTCTTCTCATTGTGGTTTTATCTTTCCTTCCTTTGTAAAAGAAAAAGAAAAAAGAAAAGGACAAAAAAAAAACATGGCGTTTCAAGGATCTTCACTTTAGGGACCTGGGCTACTGTCAATGTTTTTTATGCTGACTTTGTCTCCTTCTCATCCCTACATGTCTTGGCCTTCTTATTTTTTTTCCCCCCTTCTTCTTGTGAACCACTTGATTATCTTACCTGCTGCTGAGGTGTGGTTGTGTATGGAGATTGGATAGCCAGAGCAAAAGTGAAATGAATCTTTTCGGCTCTGACCATGTACTACATCTTCTCCATTGCTCCCAACCCCCTCCAAACTTCGAAGCGAGATAAAAGAAAAAGAAAAAGAAGTTAAAACACCAATGTTTTGGGAGCATAGCCCTGAGAAATGTGTTTTGCCTCTCTATGGAAGTAGGGAAACCAGAGCACTTGGCAACAGCAAGAATAAAGTAAACGTCTTTTTCAAGATCTTGCAATTGCCCACTCCCCCCCATGTTCAACCTAGTCCATCGTGCAATTGACACTTGTTGTGTTGGGGGTTAGGTTGTGACCATTATCACCGCCTGCCGGTACTGCCATATTCACAGATAAGACATGGGAAAGGGAAAGATATTTCACTCGATTATCAAGTTGATGATTTTCTTTTTTTACTTCTTACTGACATTCTCTCATTTCCCATCTCCACTTTGTAAATTAGTTTTCTATTCTTCATTTTGTCTACCAGTCCCTCTTTCTCTCTATCTTGTCGAGGAAAACCCCGTCTTTACACCAACTCCATCTTCACCCCTCTCTTCCCCGTCGTCTCGTCCTTCTGATCACTAATCCGAACCCTCACCTTCTGGAACAGCTCCAGAGCCACCTCCCGCGACCCCGTAGTGGTAAGTCTGTACGTCTCGGCATCATAGGTAGCCGAAGGTTCGGGCTCAGCCAGGTCGCGCAGGCGGATGACGCTCTCGATGCCGAAACGCGGGACGAGCACCACGAAGCCGTTGCTAAAGATCTTCATGACGAAGCCGTCCTCCTCGGTGACTTTGCCGCGGACAGCCTGGCCGACGTAGTAAGCGATGCTAGCACGGCCGGCGAGCTGCGCGTTGCGGTGCCGCACGTTGATGTTCTTGCACACGGCCTCGAGACGGCCGCGGCTGCGGACCGACGGGGCGACGGGCTCGTACTCGATGGCGGCCGCCAGCTGCCTGTGGGCGACGAGGTCGGCGTACCGACGGATGGGGGAGGTGAAGTGTGTGTAGATCTCGGAGGCGAGACCGTAGTGGCGGAACTCGGGTTCCGACTGCGTGCCGGAGCAAAAGTACTCGGCCGACATCATGCAGCGCGTGGCCATGATACGCACGAGGGTGTTGAAGAAGGGCTCGTTCTGGTCAACGCAGCCGTCCAGGCTGTCGGCAAGGGCGCGGGACGAGTCGACGCGCAGCTCGAGGCCCTTCTTGACCTTGAGCTGGTTGGCGAGCTCGTCGAAGTTGGTCTTGGGCGGCGCGCCGTGGCGCCGGAGGATGGCGGTCTGCGGGAAGGCCTCGTAGATTCTTCGGGCGACAGACACGTTGGCGAGCAGCATGAACTCCTCGACCAGGGACATGGTCTCGAGGTGCTGCTTGGTCTTGATGTCGATTGGGTCCGATGTCTCGGATTCCATCTGTACTTTGACCTCAGGCGAGGACAGGCTCAAAGCGCCAGCGTCCATGCGCTTCTGTTTGAGCTTCTTGGATAGCATGAGCAGCGTCCGTATCCCCCTCGTGAGGTCGTCTTGCTGTGACTCGTCTTCGACCCTGAGCTGGGCCTCCTCGTAGCTAAACGCCTCCCGCGACTTGATGACGGACTTCGTAAACCGCACATTGACGATGTCCGCCTCAAGGTTCATCTCCCAGATGGCCGAGAATGCGTATCGCTCAACGTACGGCTTCAAAGAGCAGAGGTCCGTGCCGAGAAGCATCGGAAGCATGTCGATACGCTTGTCCACCAGGTAAACGGTTGTGCCGCGGATACTCGCCTCCGTGTCCATTGCGTTGTTGGGCTTGACAAAGTGGGACACATCAGCGATATGCACGCCCACCTCGAAATTGCCGTTGGGTAGTGCCCTCGCGTGCAGGGCATCGTCGATGTCCTGACAGCCGATGGGATCAATGCTGCAGATCAGGAGTTCGCGCAGGTCCTCCCTGTCCCTCCACCCCGGATCGTCCATGCTGGCTGGCACTTTCCAGTCGTGTCCCTCCTTAGGCAGACAGTCCAGCACAGTCTTGGGAAATGGTCGGTATTGCACGTCATACTCGAGCAGCAGGGCCTCCGTCTCGGCAGCCTTGGTCTCCATCTCACCCAGGGACCGCACCAGGTGACCCACGGGATGACGGGAGTCCCGGTCCCAGGCGTCCATGGTGACCAGGATCCTCTTCCCCAGAAGCTCGCTGACCTGGCGTGTGCGGAGTCGGATCTTTGGGATCTTCTTGTCCATAGGGATGAGGAAGACGGTATCCTGTCTCCTCCCCTGGGCAGAGGATGAGCTGACCGACGACTGGTCAATGTGGCCGACATATTGGCGCCAGTTGCGCTTGATGACGCCGACGACCTTTGCTGTGGGCTGTAGGTGGCCTTCGCCCGTCTTGCCCTGTGTCCTCTTCACCTCGTCCTGGAGGGCCTTCCTCTCCTTCTCCGAGATGATGAGGTCGTCGTCACCCTCTTCGGCATCTGCGTTCTCGTTCTTGGTGATGGTCTCCTCCTCGACGATTTGAGTCGACGGCTCCTTCCACTGATCCTTGGGCAGGACCTCGATGACCACGACATCGCCGTCCACAGCCCTGTTGATGTTCTCCCTGCCGAGGATGAGGAGCGCCTTAGGAAAGGCCGGCACTCGTATGGACCCCTCAAGGTAGTTATACGGGGAGACGTTGAAGACGCCCTGATGCAGAAGGCCACTCTTGACGCCCGTCATCATCTTGGACATGGACAAGTACTCTGGGTAGAGATGCTCGCCGGGCTTCCTGAGCCTGGTGACCTCGGCGGCCTGCGCCTCGGGAATCATATCCATCAGCTCATCCGCGTTCTCCAGACCACCCACGTACTCTGCAAGCGACGCAGCAGCAATACCCTCGGCCTTGGCCTTTCGGAGGTTGTCCCGGTCATTGCTCAGCATCACGATTGCTGGCAACCTCTTGGCCTTGGGGGCGGTCTGCTGGAGGTGCTCGGCATACCACTTCACAGCGCTGCGCACGGCGCGGTCGTTGCGGTCGTTGACGGTCTCGCCCTGATTCCGCGTGACGTACGTCTCGAGGCGGAACTCATTGAAGAAGACGTAGAAGCGCTTCTCGTCACTCTTGGTGAGCCCGATGAGCCGGTTGTAGAGCGGCAGGGAGCGGCCGCGCAGCTCCTCCAGCACGACCTGCAGCACGATGACGTCGTAAAAGGCCGACGACTGCTCGAAAAGGTCCATGGCAGTCAGGAAGGCGTTGGTATCGGGGACCAGGTAGTGTCCCTTTGGGTACGCCTTTGTGCCTGCTGGCTCCTTGGCGAGCACGAAGGGGGCGACTGTGTATGAAGGCAAGGATGATGAAGTGCCTTTTGTTAGCCACCTGTTGTTGTAGACGGACGCGTTGAAGAGGGGGGTTCACGCAGTTTTTTTTGTCTTACCTCTTCCAGCAGCATCTCGAGGCGCGTTCCTGAGGCAACTCGAGCACAAATTCGACGAGCATGGGATATCTGACCGCAGATACACCTCCCTCACGATCTTCTGAACCTTGCCGCTCTTGGTCGACCGCACATAGACCTTGCTCGAGATGTTGGATGCCAGAGGATCAGATCCTAGCGTCCTCTTGAGACTTGTCATGACTTCTTCTTCTTTATTATTGTGACCACTTTCGCGTTGATGCGAGTTGTTCTGTTGAGCAAGCTCAAAAGTTCGTCTTGCTGGTTTGGCCCGTCGTCTGGCATTGATGAGGTAACTCACTTGAAAATTTCTGCTTAGGTAATCATAACTGGAGTAGTACCTGCCGCCGTTCACTTGCACTCAAAGTACGACGGAAGGAACAACGGAAGGAACCTTTAGCATCAAACCACCTTGAAATTTACATTTGTGCCTTCCCTCACAGATTTTTCTCCTCTTTCTTCTTTGTTATACGCCAAATTGAAGTCATAATCACAGATCAATCACATCACCTGTCGAATTTCCACAACACGATCACTTACAATATCATCCAACACGGTCGCCAAATCACCAACGTAATAGTGTGGTACATACCAAAAGTACGTACCCTCTCCAGCGGCACCATTAGCAACAGGTACAGTACAGGAATCTGTCCTACCCCATGATGAGTTGCCATAGTACACACCGTCCCCAACCAAACACAAGAATACAACGCTCTTACCAGCACAATTACGCACATCACGATCCACACCCCCAGAATAAAATAATAATAATAAAAATTAAAAATTAATAAAAATACGGAAACCACCATATTCAGTGCAGCTAAACCACATCCCAGCTTCCGACTCGCCTAGACCTTCCCCTTTACCCAAGCAACGACACCCGAGCTGTGTGGCCTTCCAAAAAACCACCTCCCACCCATCAGCCCAATAGTAGACAGTCGGTAAGAGAAAGAAAGGAAAGACTAAGCATTGCCTAATCGTTAATACCAAACAAAAACACATCCATCACAACGGGGCTAGCAGACCGGCCGCCACCACTATCACCATCAACACCACCACTACGCTGGCCATCATCATGTCGAAGACCGACATGATATTCTCTAGACGACAATGAGAGATCCCATGACATATCACAAGACCCAGACCATCTGCGCAATACCCACCCCACATTATAAATTTACGAGTAATCCGCTTCATGTGGTTGTCTTTGTCTGTGGGGGGGGGTGTACAGGGGAGGAGGAGGAGGAGGACCAGGAGGAGCAACAAGAATGAATGGGGAAGGAAGGAAGAAGGCAAGGGAAAAAGGGGGCGGGGGGGGGGGGCGATTGGTTTCATTCTTTGCCTGCTGCTGATGGAGGTGAGTGAGCCCATGGGTGAGCAAATGCTGCGCAGACGGGAGCATCGGGCTGTCATCCTCTCGCCTATGGCCTGTGCCATTGGACTTGTCAATGTGTATGTATGTATATGTCTGTATATGTCTGTCTGTGTGTGTATGTGTGTGTGTGTGTGTGTGTGTGTGTGTGTGTGTGTGGGCACGCCTGTAGTGGTGGTGTGCGATGAAGATTGACCCCGGGATACCTCAACCACGTTTCTCATGGATCATGTCGTATGAGCAAAGTACTGTTGCCATTGGGTTCCACAAATCCCATACCACGATCCCAACCCGTGTCCAAAATCTAGCAGTAATAATTATATTACATATACGTGACTTGGGGGAAAGAGAGAAATCCAAGAGAAGAAGGACAAATACTGGGTTGCTCAGCAGTTGTCATACCCCTCAAAAGGGAACACTAGCCCGCTCTGGCTTGCTTCCTGTGTGAGGTCGGGTAACAGCAATCTGCACGGCACGTCCTGCTGCTGCTGCTCCTGCTTGCTGGTCCTGGTGCTGGTGCTGGTCATGGTCGCTTGCACATGTTGTGCGAGTCTGGGTACTGTACCTGCGGTCATGCTCACATCCCCTCCCATCCATCCATCCCATCATCATCGTCCATCCATCCATCCACACACCCCCCTTCCTCTTCCCACCCCACGCACCCACCAGCCAGCCAGCCAGCCAGCCAGTCAGTCAGCCAGTCAGTCAGCCAACCAGCCATCCAACTTCGCCTGGCCATTTCTTATGTACATTAGCATGTATACATAAACCACAACCACAATAGTAGTCCAGGTACTGGGCTTGACCTGGTCGGAAGCCCCTCCCAAGCAGCCCAATTCTTGGAAACCAAGGGGCGGCCTTTCTCCCCCACTCCCCATTCCCCATAGAAGTATTTCAGCGCACATGCCACCGCAAAATTCCCGGAGTCAAACCCGGCGGCACACAGTCAATATTCGACAAGGTGCAAGTTTAAACCCATAGCCCGTTTGGCTTGATTAATTGGACAGCACAGCAGTAATAGTACTGTGGAATTTCCCCTCTCGGCCAGGGCAGCCTAGGGTATGACTGACATGGGGCTGGATCCACCAGATATCATGCCCGTCAGCCCAAGAAAACAGCCCCAAAAGAGGGACTCCACACAGTCCTGAAACCTGACGCGTACGGGGCAGCGGGGTTCGAAAAGGCAGCAGCAACAAGAAGAAAACCACCGTGAGCGCCGGTGGCGAAAAAGAGAAGGTGACAAGCCAAGAAGAAGGAACGGAAAAAGAAAGAAAAAAAGAAGGAAAAAAGTCAAGAGAAAATAGAATAAAAAGAAAAAGAAGCCCTGCAGGTTTTCATGTGGGGGAGGCCAAGTTGGGCATTCCAAGACTTGGATTAGCAATCCGACCACTACTTTTAGCATCACGGCGTTGAACGGTGATAAGATAAGTTCCCGATGGGTAAACCTTTTTGGCTTGGGGTTGGGAAACACAAAACAAGAAAGCTCATGCCGTAGGGGGGGGGGGGATCGACGACGACTACTTGGGTGGGCCCCGCCGCGGCTCGAGGGTACCACAGTAGGCTTCTTCTCCTTCGAGGTGCGGGTAGCAAGGAGAGAGGGAGAGGGAGAAGAGAAAAGGAGGGACGGAAAGGAAAGACAGGGAGGGGGGGGGAAGAGAGGACGAGAGAGCACAGACACAAAGGTCGCGTGGTGAGGAAGGATGATGACAGGATCCACTGCCTGCAAGTTCCGCACGTCTTCCTGGCTGGTCTGAGCGCTTTCCAACGAGAGAACTCCACTGGTAGCTGCTCCACCGACAACGACATTTCGTCTTACTGCGTGACGAGTGATCCTTTCGTACTTTTTAGTTCCCTCGAGTAAACTTCAGCCCGTACTCGCGATCTGTACCGTGTGTACCATACTTTTCATCCTGTACCCTGTAGTCAGTGCCCCACAGTGTAACGTTGGAAAGAGGACCCAGAAAAAAATGATTGAAAATAAACCAAAAAAATATTAAAATAAAACAAAAAGAGGCACTTGACCTCAAAAGCCTTGCCCTAGTCCTTGCAGGGGAAAGAGAGGGAAGAAAGGGGGGGGGAAAAAGCAATGACTCTAACAAGCCATCAGCAGCAGCATCTCGTCGCCCTTGCTGCCGGCATGACCAAAGAACTGCACGCTTGACATCATCGGGGATGTGAGGGTTCCATCACGTCCGAGACAAGGACGGCCGCACCGCTTTTCAGTCAACTCGGTTTGGTTGGTGGGGTGTGTGTCTCTTGGAAGCAATCGGGTTATTAGGAAACCAGAGAAGAGATAGAGAGGAGAAGGGGAAAGAAAAGTCATACCCAGCAGCTCTTTCCCTCTTCCTTCATTCCAGCTTCCCAGAACGGAAACCAGCTCACCAATCTCGACGGCATGAGAAAAGAGCGCTGCTTGCCGCAGGGTGTGCTTGCACACGCCTCGGCGTGCTTCCTTGCAGGGCGCCTGCAGGTCAGCAAGGGTGTGAGGCATCTGACCTCCTTTCGGGCCCTCTTTGTGCGTCAGCGTACAGCGTTGCTGGGATTCAAGGAATCCTTGCGGTGGACACCACTTTTTTTTTCTTCTTTTCCCAGACACACGCCCCCCCCCCCCACCACCCGCATTCGCCTTTTCTCCTCGTGGCCCGATGTGCCTTTCTATTTCTCTCTCCCTTCTCTGTCTGTGCCGGACCACACCCTCCTTTCAGCTGCATGTAAGTGGGTGGTCTGTTTCGCGGTCGCGGATCCCTCGGGGTTGCAGTGCAGATGTGTCGTGTCGGCGTACTATGGTAGATTGCGAGCATATCTGCTCATCCACTCGTTGGATCTTGACTTGAAACCTTTGTCCCGTCTTGCCTCCCGGCCCCACCTTCATCTTCGGTAGAAAAGTGGTCTGAAGAAAGAGGGAAGGGGTGGGAAACCCATCGCAGCCCATGTCGGAAAATCGAGTGTGCTGTAGCCCAGACCCTCTCTCACCAATGGCAAATGACGGAGGTATGAACTCCAGTCGTCCCGACATGGTCTGTTAACAATGATCAATATTATGGCCCAAACCGGAGTCAGCCACTAATTTAGCCCGGTCCACGATATTGGTAAATAGCTAGCTCCGCCTGTCATCTTCTTCCCGTCTCCTGTCGTGGCCTGGACGCACGGCGGCGCGGGAAGACGAACACACCTGATGGGGTGCGACTTCACTAGGAGGAGAGGTCCATCCTGCGGTCCTACGTGACGTCGCACTATCCTCGCACTGCAGCAAAGCAGCAAGACGGGAACAGGAGCTCAGACCACTCGTGCGACGACGACACGGACCTGGGACCTAGCACCTCCGACTAATCGCAACTCAGGAAACTCGCCGGCGTTGCCACGCCATTGTGAACACAGTACGGAGGAGGTACAAGTGTGCGAGCTGGGCGGCGGGCAGATTGAATCAACAGCTGGGCCCGATATCTGCTGGAGCCCCCTGCCCTCCAAAAAGGCACAGAGTTCCTGCTTCTTGCGCAATAGAACCCGTTTCCGAGATCTCACTCTCCAGAAAGGGCCTGGAGCTTGTGGAAACCATCTTTCTTTGGGGGGGGGAGGGGGTGCTTTGTTAAGAGGCGCGGCATCGGGCCTCGTGGCCCGTGGTGTGTGGGCGGATGACTTACAGGATACATACATCGGATCTTGACACAGATGTGCTCCACCACACACGATCTTCAGCGGAAAAGCGTATAGAAGGATCGTGAAGGCCTGCAAGGGAAGGGGTGAATCAAGCTGGGGATCCCCAAGACGCAATGCGGGAAACAAGGGTGGGCTCCCGCTGGAGTGGCCTGCAACGCACACGCAACGAACAGGTCCCCATGCCCTGGCGCTGATTGATGGTGGTGGTGGTGGTGGTGGTGGCAGCAGTGGTTAGTAGTGGTTGGTAGCGGTGATGGTGGTGCCCCGGATCGTCATCGAGTTGGTGTGGTCACCGCCGCGGCCACCACCTTCGCCTCGCCGCTCTGAGGCTCTGCTTCTTGTCCTCTCTCTCAATTCCTCAGGCGATAAAAGCTTGGCAGCGTAGTGACCCTTCTGGACGATTGCGACGGGCCTAGAGTGGCTTGTCGCGGCTCAATCTTTCACTCTTCCGGTTTATAACACCGATAAGGCTCGGCTAGAGAATAACCTGAAAGTGCTCCGAAGCCACACCACGGTGCTGCTTCCGAATCGAGCTTGTACAACGCCTGCCTTCCCGAGAATTCGACGAGAGGTCGAGTCTGCGTTCGGCCCATGATTCGACGATTCGAGATTTGTGAAAGGCGTGAAAGTGCTTGGGACACATCAGCTGGACACGCTCCGCTGCGACGCTGCGAGGAGCCAATCAGGTCTTGTACCCTTGAGGGCCTGGCCAAGAGTCAAACCCCCTGCCGCCAAAGTCGCACACCCGTCTCAACTTTGGGGTACCTACGCGCCCAGGCCTAGTCCTGCACCTTTCCTTCACACCCTCTTCTTACTCATGCCTGAGTCAAAGCTCTTTCATGCTACACAACCTTCGTTACGCACCGCACAAAAGAGAGAAGTGGGGCGGGTGTGAGCAAGGGGTATGGACGGTGCCTCCACCTGCCGCTGCGTTCTATGCCCTCTTCGGCGCCGTTCTGGAACATAGCTCGGGATCTGCACAGTATTTTGCGAGGGACAGAGCTTATTGCACATGCTATCCGCTGACGGATGGTTTCTGTTGGGACGCCTGGTGCGATATGAATACAGGATGAAGACATGAACTTGGGTACTGTGTGTCCCCGAGAATCATCAAGCTGACGCCAAGGCTGTTAAGGCCCGCCATGAACTGCGCTATGCCTGACCAATCGAGAGGGTCAGATTCCATTGGCCTCGTTGAAATGGGTGATATGTCGAGTCTGTTAAGTTGATCTTTGCCGGCCGGCCGGACAGTGCTCCAGATACAGTATATCACCCTTGGGGCCGGCACTGTCGCCCTGCGTTTGTGCTGACTGTCCATGTCGGAGTGGTCTCAGCTTGCAGTGATAGTCTTCGACCAGGCCTCGACCTGGCGCTGATGGCGACGTCACGTCTGCCATCGTCAGCTGTTTTCTCAGCCGGTGCCAGCTCTGTTACCAGGGGTTAATGGCATCTAGTGAGTTGCTCACTGCCTTGGGGAGAGAATTTTCCGTAAAGAAAGCGTCGGCTCGTTCGAGGGTTACGGCTTCAGCTGTGGCGCGTCCTCCTTCCATCCTGGAGGCCGGGGTCATGACCGATCGCCACTAAGGGACAAAAAGTATTTTCTGCCCGTCGATCCGGTCAGCATCATCTACTGTAAGTGACCTGCAAGTGGAGCTTTGACGCCTCTTGTTCGTGGAGATGCCCGAGGGCTATCACAGACTTGTAGCCGAGCCCCCATCTGCTTCCATTGTTCTCAATGCACCAAAAACGTGTTGCACACACGTATACACATTTTATATACATGCAACCTGCTTGGTGAAGAGGCTGCCGGCAAACGTGGTCACGGATGTAACTGTCCATGGCTGCAGTCTGTGGCCACTTAGAGAACGCATGGGTGTCCCGTCCATGAGCCCGTGAACGGACATCTCGTGATGGGGGGTTGCGTGTGTGGGAACTTTGGCGCGGCTGGAACCTGGAAATCAGTACTAGTAGTCCATTATAGTACTCGGTAGCCCCTCTCGATCCGTTTCAGGGATGGGTGTGGCTTGGCTAACACGTCCGTACAATGCAGCCTTGCGAATGTACTGTGGTGAAGAGACTTGTGTGCTACCTACCCCTTCTAGCTAGAGCAAAACTCATCTATCACAGGCTTTGTACTCTTCTTCCTTCTTTTTTTCTTTTTTCTTTTTTGGAAAGGGGAGGGGGATCGGGATCGAGAGGTATCCAGGACGTATGTCCACACGCAGCTGGTGATTGTGCAGAAAGTGTCCTGCTGCCGGCGATGACCGCGGAATATAATGCGGCAGGCCACCAAAAAAAGAAAGAAAAAGAAAGAGAAAAAAAAAGAACAAGAAGAATAAGAAGAAGAAGAAGAGGGGGGAAACTGGTACTTTTTCGGCGCTTTTGTCTGTCTTGACCCTCTGTGCTGGATCTCTAGAGGAGAAATGGTCGCGTCCAAATCGGAGGGAATCAAGCTAGAGGAGGGCAGGCTTGTGGCAACTCCATCGATCCGCCGCGACACGCAGAGACAAAGATGCTAAATGTCATGGAAGTATTGCTGCGATCTGATGCCCCTCCCATGTCTCGCAAGGTAATCTTTTCCCGAGGCGGTCAAAGTTTTTGGGCTGCAGGCATAAAGCGCCAAGCACGGAGTACACGGAGCCTTCAGTAGCATCCGGACCTGAGCGGTATTCTGCTCGCCTGTACTTTTGGTCATGTCTCGTCTGATTACCACCATCTTGCCCTTGACACAAATCTAGAGGAGAGATGGAGCTGCGCCTCTGTGTCAACAAAAATTTTATCTCCGGGGGGGGGGGGGGGATGACGAGTCGTGAACCTGCATCTGGGACCAAGCGAGCTTAAGGCATGTAGAGGATCAGATCCGCCGTTGTATGATGCCCATGCCCTCGCATGCCACGATGGACTCGGTCGGGCGCGAAGTTAAAGTCCGGGCACGCGGGTTATTGCAGGACGTAGCTCGGTGGTGATCCACTACGCCGTGCGCCGTGCCGATGGGGTGATCAGACCCCGGACGGTTTAGAGACAGATGTACTGTGGCCCTGCTAGGGTGTGCATGACGGTGGCTGTAGGCTGAATTACAATGGTCGTACTCGTGGATGAAAAGGTCGGCAGGTCGGGCAGTCAGTCAAGCGGCAGCCCTGTCAAACTGTACTATGATATGCTCAGCACACATGTATAGTGAATGTGACCATGTAATTTTGAGGACCGCAGCTAGGGGCATCCAGGTCCTTGATGCGCATCTCGTAACGCAGATCGATGCGGCCGTCGTCGGTGAAGCCCCATCCAGACCACTGTCATGCACAAATCATCAAGGATCGGGTCGTAGCATGTACCATGATAGTTGTTGGACGCTCGAGAGCAGGCAAAACGTTGTCCGTGCGAGAAACTCGGGTTGTCGGCCAGTGTGATCCCGGTGAGGACTCTGGATCCCATTGGGCCAAGATGTAGCGAACAGCGGCAATGCGGATTGAATCCTTCAGCCCTGTACCATAAGTATTATGGTGGTATCTCTTCCCAGCCCAGGGCTCGCCACTCATGTTGTGCCCCAGGTGGTGGTGGGGAGGTTCCCAGCATTCATCTGACGGTACCCACGGTGGGCAGGGCATGCTGAGACGGCGGCTGCAGCAATAGGGCTCCCACGGCTATCGCGAGAACAGGGCGTGTCCGAGGTCTTGGAACGCAGCATGAGCCAAACAAAGAGAAAGGTGGCATGCATGGTAAGTGTTGACCTGACTTGACTCGACATGACTTGACGCTGAAAATGACCAAGGAGAGATCAAGAGGTGGGTCGAATTTGTTTTTGTGGTGCCTGTTGCCGCCTCGTTTCGTGGAGGGATCCGTCATGCACGGGCGCTTCACGTCGGATGGGAATTGACTTGACTGCATTCGATGGATCTTTGAAACGCCCTCCTGCAGGGCAGGGCAGCATGCAGCAGGAGGTGATGGTGTAGGAGGTACAGGAACACGAGAGGAGAATGGGAGGGAAAGCTCCCTCCTTCTTTTCTTGAGAAGAAAAGATATCATTGGTTGAAAAGGTTAGCACCTGCAATAAGCTCTGCGGCAAGTACGTACCGCCGAATAAGGAAGGCAGTCGTGAAATATGACAGACACTATTGTATAACATTGTGAGAGAGGAGCAGAAGGAGCCATGTACGTACCGAAGTACTCGGGTACCTTGGTACTACAGTACATGCTTACTGCACATAAGAAGAATAGTGCCTCCAGAGCGTCACGAGGTTGCTTCTTTCGGACAAGGGAAGTGACCCGTCACAGGGTGTATTTGCAGCTGGAGATGAACAATCAATGCTCCCAGCCAGGCCACGACTTAACGTTGCGTTGACAGCGGAAGAATGGTGCATGTTGTTACTTTTACTATTATTATTATTGTTATTTTAATTTAAAAAAAAAAAACCCCCCCAAACCAAAATCCTCTTTCTTTTGGTAGCATGATAGATAGGCTCCTTGTGGAAGGGCTCATGCGCGCACGGCCTTGTAGCTGATGATACATGTGCTTGACATCGTCTGCTGCCGTAATATTGAAGGCTACATATACTCTGGTCTATGGAATCACAAGTTGGCGATTCAAGAAGAGCGGTTCAGCAGGAGCCCCATGCAGTGAGGACGCGCATTTGTTGCCCATCATGAACGTCTAAGGTCACTAATCTGCATCGGTCAGCTAAGATTACGTTTTCTTTAAGCTTCGGGCACATACATCCCTCTTGTCGAGAACGAGGACCCGGACACCCAACAGGCTACAGAATGAGTTTATACTTCTTGAATGCAGCCTTCTTGGTAGGTCTGCCTTCCAGAATCTAGCATCATCAGCATTCCTTCCATATGCACAGTCATCCTTTTCCCTTTTTTTCGGTTTTCTTTCTTCTCTTCCTCGGCTGCACCTAGATCTGCCTTCTCAAACACGTGGACTGACTGTACAGAATACATCACCGGCATGCAGGAGGACTTTTATCCCATGTCAGGCAGTCATCTGGTCGGGGTCCGTGGCGAGCTGACGAGATAGACCCTCATCAGTGAGCTAAGCGCGGAATCTAACGCAAAAGGGTAGTATATGGCATTTCCAAAAACAAAAACAAAAAATTATAAAGATTTCGGCGACATGGGGGAGGTGATACCATGACAATCATGAGTCCTTGCGACTTGCATTTGTCGCATGCTCCACTGTCGTTTCTCTTGTCTGCCTGCTGCATGTCCCTCTTAGCTTTAGCACGGCTGGACTTTCGTAGGTTGGATGGTGACTCTTCATTGCTCAAAAAATAAAATTCTGCGTCTTGTCAGATGATGATGATGCTGCTGCTGGAGCTGAAGAGTCAAGAAAAGAAGGAGAAAACCGTCACTTCGTCACTCTCGGATGAAATTCGCACGAACAGGAGGATCAATGGTAGTCCCAGCTCATGCACCGCCTACATAGTACGCTGGCCCCTGCTCATGCACGGGGCAACTATCACAGGACGTATCGCCGCAGTACCGCTGGAATTTCTTTCTCCTTGCAGGATCTGCCCCCCCATGCGGGTGCCGTGCCGTGCAGTACAGTGGACCAGTGGACACCCCTCCTCCTTCAGGCCTCGATCCGCCCACGCCGCCCTGGGGTTGGGGTCCTGTCTAAAAGCTGCAAGACGGGTGGCGCAAGGACCAGGCAAGGGAAGGGGGCCCTCCCAAGCTACAGCACAGGCCACCCGCGTCTGTACGAAAGTACCACAAGTACTTTGCGCCTTCCCGTGGGCGACAGTGAAGCAATCACCTGGCACTATAGGGGTCCTCCTGCCTTCCTACCACTGAGCTCAACGGCCGCCATTGTACCATAGCCATGCCTGGCGCCGCCTCTCCACTGACTCTTATCACCATATCATTGTTACCATCTCCTCCTCCACACATTACACCATCATTATTACTATTAATCATATCTGCTCGTATTCAAACTGAAACGCTCTCAGTCGAGTTGTCTCTTGTTCTTTTTTGGGAACGGGAGGCGGGATGAAAAGGTGAAGAGGACAGAGGAAGGGCAAGTACGAGGCGCGCCAGAGGCAGGCCTGTACAAGCCATATCGCCGAGTTGGTGGCTTTGAATTCCCATCCTACAGATTGCTATTCCCAACCCCTACTTCATCGATGCGATCCGATATACTCCACTCCACCTTCGCGTCGTCCCCTCCCCCCTCCGCTCACACGCATCGGTTTAATACGCTTACCCCCCCCCCTCCTCTTCAGTCCCTCTTCTCTCTCTTTTAGCGATATCCGCTTTTAGTGCAAGGATACTGCTGGTGGTCTTTTCTATTGTCGAACACACACGTAGCGCAGGCTTCTTCTTTTTAGATGGACCCCTTGTCTGTGTCTGGGGTATCAATAGCACCCTTGAAAGCACACGGGCAACCTTCTCTCCCGCACAAGCTCTCAATCTGTTCTTTGAAGGGGCAGAAATAAGATCGATCACTCCAGAAAGTTAAGGGCTACCACTACCTACCACCTGCCGGCACGTCTCGGCAAGCACGGGCACCTGCAAGTTGACGAGGACCCTCATCGGCATTTAGAGCACCAGCACAGACAGCCCTTTCTTTGCGGAAATAGTGGGCGTCTTGCCATCGTCTCAGGTCGACGTGCGCATCCCTCGAGACACGGCAGAGAAGGAGATCCATTTTTTGTCCAGCTCGCTCACGAGGACGAACGGCCCGACACGAGACGGGCCACATGACGAGGCTACCAGAATCAAAAAAGCGGTTCGCCCAAGTCTCCCCCCCTCAAGTCTCTTCCCTGGCCGGCCGCACAGTGTCAAGTCAACCCAGGTGGCCCCATCATTCCAATGACCACCCTCGACAAGTCTCATCGCTAGTGGACTTAGCTACTTGACACGCTACAGTAGCCAGTAGCTAGCTGGGACTTTGGTAGACTTACTGGACTTGTTCTTCTATCCCGGATATTTTGGAGGGAAAGGTCATGGTTGCCAACCCATCCTCCCGGGTTTTGACGCCTCATGCCTGAGATCCTTCTCCTTACGTTGACTCATTGGGATTAGTTCTGGTCTTGGGAGGCGTTGCCCTGATCAGAAGCAAGTTTCTTTTATTAATTGTTTTTTTTTCTTCCTTTTCTTCCGACCGCTAGGGCCAAGAACAAGAGGGGACTGCTCTAGCTCTCTGTCTCTTTTTTTGTGGTTCCCGCCGCGAAGGGCAGTGCCGTGCAGCAGCAGCAGTAGCAGCAGCAGTAGCAGCGCATTGCATTTCTCCCGCTGTTCGCGCTGGAGCTCCCAGGACCCCCCCGTGGCTCTCCACTGACGTTGCGACTTCTTGCCACCGACCAAGCCGGAACAGGCGACGACCCTACATCATCATCCAGCTTGTGGTCGCGTACCGAGAGTACCTAGGACCCAGCACTGAGGGTACTAACCGGGAAGCGAAGCGAACCATCTCTGCTCTTTTTTTGTTTTGCTTTTTCTTTTTTCCCCTTCCCTTTCTTCCACTACCATCAGAAGGGAAGGGGCGCCTGGACAAGGACTGACACACAAGATCCCCGTCCCAGCAAGCAACCACAAAGAAAGGGCTTCGACTGCCCATCATTCCTTTTCTTTACTTATCCTTTTTCCCCCTTCTCACTGCTTCGACACGGCCCTCTATTTTATTTGTTTGTTTAGTATTTCTGGGCAGTGGGATCTGCGCCAACCACACACACACAGGCTTGCTCCGCGTGCGCCCCCTTGCCTTGCCTGCCCTGCCCTGCAACCAGATCGCCGCTTGCCGACGCAGGACGAGCTTCGCCATCTCCTTGCATCGTATCCATCCACCCTCGACCCCTTCCCTCCGACTATATCAAGACACGTCGTTGCGCAGACCCGTTTGGTCTCTGTTCCTCGTTGAAAAGACTCGCAGCTGTGCTCATGTACTCCGCACAGCCCAAAGGCGTTGATAGTGCGACAATCAATCCTGCTGCCCTCGCGTCCTCTGGTAAGTTCGCCTCCGCCCCTTTTTTCTTATAATTCTATATAAAAAATATAAAAAAAAATGTCACACACATGAGCCATCGCGACCCCTCGTCCCGCTGGGCCCGGGCGTGCCCTGTCTGGCCCGCGCTCTGCTGCTGCGCTGCCCTGTCCTGCACCCGCACCACCACCACCTCCTCCCATGGCCACCACCTCCACCACCACCATGGCCGCCGCTCCCACCACCACCACCACCACCACCACTACCTCCACCTCCACCACACCGCGTGCGCGCCCGCCGCACCGCCGCCGCCGCACTGCATCGCACCGCAGCGCACCACAGCACAGCACAGCGCATCGCATCCCACCGCGTCGCATCGCGTCACCAACATCAGCAGCAGCAGCAGAAGCAATCCGGTCCACCCGCGCTCACCACAACACATACATTCTCTACATACATACACACACACACACACACACACACACACACACACACACACACCTTGTCGTCTTTTACACATGGCAACAATCTTCTTGTCATCCTGATTTCCATGATTAAGTGCTGGTGCTGATGATGTACGTTGTTGGGTAGACTCGCTCAGCCAAAACTCCCGAGGCGCCAAGAGGGAGCGATCGCCAGATAAGTCTCAAGCGCCGACATCTGCTGCTACCGCCGCTGCTGTTCCGGCTGGGGATGACGGTATGTTGTGGTCAAGCTTGTGTAGCTATACTTCGGTCGCCATCGACATGTCTCATGTTACATGTTCAGGGCGGTGCGACGCAAAAACAAAACAAAGCAGCGAGGAATCCAGGCTGATGGCGCTGTTGCGCAAGTAGCAGATCAGAACCCACCTTGGAAACGTGTAAAGCCCATGAAATCATCCGTTCCTGGCCCCGTCGCAGAGAGCACTGCTCCGCCGACAGCTCCCATGCAGCCGCCAATCCCGCCGCAGACGCCCCAGTCGCAGAATGCACCTCTTCCGGGGCCGCAGCAGCCGGCGTACACGCCTTCCCAGGCGTCGGCCTCCTCGCCGCCCAAGCCCACGCCAACCAAGTCGACCCTGAAGGCCCTGCCGACCGTCCGCGACCACACCACAGACCAGCTCGGCCCAGGCGGCGACGAATACCTGCCCAGGGAGATCGACGAGAACGGCGAGAAGAAGGTCATGCCCAATGGCGCCCTGACTGGCAACCGGGAGTACCGCTGCAGGACCTTCCTCGTGCCCAACAGAGGGGATAAGCTGTTCATGCTGGCCACCGAGTGCGCCAGGGTTCTCGGCTACCGGGACTCGTACCTGCTCTTCAACAAGAACCGCTCCCTCTTCAAGATCATCGCCAACCAGACCGAGAAGGACGACCTCGTGAGCCAGGAGATCCTTCCCTTCTCCTACCGGTCGAGGCAGATCGCCATTGTCACGGCCCGCAGCATGTTTCGACAGTTTGGCAGCCGCGTCATCGTAAATGGGAGGCGCGTGCGGGATGACTACTGGGAGACCAAAGCTCGCAAGCAGGGCTTTACAGAGGCTGACCTGGCCGGCGAGAAGAGGCCAGGTGCGTCCAAGGCGCGCGAGGCTGCCGCTGCCGCTGAGCAGAGCGCCTCTCTGCTGGGCGGACCACAGGGCGAGATCGTCTACAGCAACACGCCCGGTCAGTTTGGGGGCGCTCCGCACCCCCAGCTCATCCAGCCAGGTATGCTCCAGAGAAGCTTCTGCCTCCTCCTTCTCCTCCCCCTCCTCCTTCTAGCGGGATTACTAGAATGTCCCTGTGTTGACCCCAATCCTCAGACTACCCCGATGCGCGGCGGACCGATTATACCTCGATTCTCAAGACCGGTCCTCGACAGGAGATTACCGGTCCTCCATACCAAGACAGAACCCAGCCGTCGCCCATGCCCGAGATTCACGCGCAGGCGCACCATGCCGCCGAGTTCAACCGCGGGGTCAACCAGCAGCGTGAGATGCGGTCTGAATACATGACAAACATGTGGCGGAGGCCTCACGAACAGCCAACCACCGGAAACATCCCCCAGCAGCAGCAGCAGCAGCAGCAGCAGCAGCAGCAGCAGCAGCCTACCTCGGTTGGGCCGGCTGATGCAAGCATCCCGACGTCTCGCGCGACCCAGTCGCCCCACGCCACGACAAGCGGGTTATCGCAGCAACACACGGGCATGGTTCCCAGCCAGAGCCCCCTGATGATGTCAGCCCCGCCGTACTCGACGCCCCTCCAGGCCCAAAACCCTATCAGCCAGTCGTCCACCATAAGAGGTATGGCTCCCATCTCTACCCAGCAGCGTTCACAGCCAACAGTCTCGTCTGCAGGATCCTCGGGCAGCCTGCCGCAGTCAGGCTATGGCTATCAGCCCCCAAGCCAGATGTGGCCGCCGACGCCGCAGACGCCTCAATATGGGTATACCCACACCCAGCAGCAGTCGCAGCAGTCTCCTCACCCACAGCAGGGCTCGTCGTCCCAGATTCGGCACTCGAGCGCGTCTGGGCCGGTGCAATCTAGCAGCCTGCCCTACTCTGGCATGCCTGGCATGACCCAGACATACCCTGCCCCTGCGCCGTACGAACACCAGACACCACGGCAGTACATGCACCAGGGGTCTTCCTCGTCTCCAGCTGTGACCCAGGCGTGGTCGGGCCAGCAGGGGCAGCCGCAGCCGCAGCAGTGGTGGGCGCAGCAGCCTCAATAGAGTCTGACTGTGAAGTCAAGGTGCAGAACCGTGTACGAATTGACGACAACGACGCATGTCGAGACGCCATCACGTGTCTTATCTCCGCGCAGTCTTCACGATGTGTGTTTTCTTTCGAGATACCCATGGTTCAGGTCAACTATGTTATATTGCAGGTCACACACATGGTCCGCCTTAGTGAGGACAGCGTGATGGGCAGCAGCGGCTGTTGTTTCATGTGCTTGAAGGCTACAAGGCAGCACATTGGGCCGGCGGTTTTGGTTTGATTTTTGTCTTCTTCTACCCATTTACTTTTCATCCTGTTTCTTTCATCCTTTTTTTCTTTCTTCAACGTCTCTTTCCCTTGTATTGTTTTTTGACTTGGGCTGGGGCGGTGCACTTTGTGTGAGAGTGTGTGTGCTTTCTGTCTGGGAACGACTGGACTAGATCCCTTCAGATCTTTTCTCGACCACAAATCCCAAGGCAATCTGCATCATGGAAGGACGGGTATAACCCAAGATCATGTACGCCACGACTCGACGACACCCCTCACTTTGCTCCTCTTTTTGCTCTCACGAGGGACACGAGTTTCATGTAGTGCAGCCGGTTTTCTGCATCGGCTGCAGTCGAGACGTTTTGGGCCTTCTATCAATGACCACACGATGCCGACGATGTCAGACTGGATGGGATAGGATGCATATGCATATGTGTGGAAGCCGCCTGCTCTTTTTTTTCTTTTTCTTTTACTGGGTTTTGGGACTGGAAGACTTGACGTTTCGAGTGGGAGGCATCTATTACCTTATACCCCATCGCAACTTGTCCAGGGCGGTTCAACATTTTTCTTCTATCCCTTTTTTCTGTTATGGCGGGTACAGATGTCTCATGTCTGCTCATCAAGCGGGCTTGTTGTTTCCCCCCCCCCCTTAACCTTCCTCCCCTTCTGCCAATTTGATTATATTTGTTCTTCTTTTAGCCCGGGCTTGATATGGGCCTTGGTTTTGAATATCCTTTTGAAGTTTCTGTGATTGATATCCCCCAGTTTCTTTTGTTTTTAACCATTTTTTTATTTTATTTTTTGCGAGAATACGCAGCATTTATCCTGTACTGGAATGGGGGGTGAGGGGGGTGCGTGTTGGGTACCTAGGAGGGGTGGGTGAATGATTGTCGCAAGTTCTCCTGATTTGGAAATTGAAATCTTTTGTCCCTTCCCCTCTTTTGAAGATGCACAAGCAACATTGAAGCCAGGGTCCGGCTTTGCTTGCTGTTCTCTCTTAGTTCGCTGTTTTGGTGAGCAGCTCAGTGCCGCCACAAACTGACATTGGAGGAGCTCATTTTGCTGTTGTGTTTGTCGGTCCTTTGCTTGACACCTTCTGTGATAAATACACTATTGTTATCCCCTTCGTTCAGTCGCTGCGCTTGCCGTCACTACTTGCGAATTTTTGAATGAAAATGGCACGGGGGCCAAGGGGGGCGGGGGGCTCTTTTGTTCTGCGTATCAGCGAGATTCCTTGATTATATGGATGTATTCCTTGACTTTGTGCTACCTCCAATACTACTGATACGGTGTAATATTAGTGCTGCGTTGTTTGAAAGTGCCAATTTTGCCTTTACGTCTCTATACAGGGCCAAAGAGGGGGGGGGCTTGGGGTGCAGGGGGAGTGTCTCTTATCTCGTCTAAGCTTTTCAGAGGTGGGAAAGACACGTATGGTGCTTGTGCAGACTCGCCTAGTCGAGGAGGTACAACAGAGACGAGCAGGAGGACGGGTTGGTTGGTGTATAAGTAATTTATGATGGGGATCTTTTCTTTTTGTCTCGGGGGGCGGGGGCGCGGAGCGAAGAAGGAACACGAGCACTGATATAGAATGAAATCGAGCGACTTGTACACGCCAACTAATGCGCTACGGAAACCATGCGTTCTCTTTTCTGCCCCGTCCCTCTTTCTCTGACCTTTTGAGCGGACTCGTTCCTATTCATTCTTTGGCTTGGTTGTTCTTGGGTAGGGGAGGGGATTGGGGGAAAGGTCCATTAGGTGCGCTTGGTGGTGTATTGTGGGATAGTTATCTGTTGTCTTTTCTCATGCGGTATATATTTATTCATCCAATTTTTTTTTTCACTCTCCCCCCTTCTTATTTGATACTAGTATCTCCCGTGAAGTACTATGTATATCTGTGGATATATGGTAATCACAGATTTCAGAATTCCCATACATTTAGGTCTTCTACCTTATGGGACTGGCGACTTTTTTTTTTTTTTGCCGTGAGGAGTTGACCAAGCACCAAGACCTAGTATAAAGGTCACATAATTACCCAGTGGGCACAAAGAATGCGGGCCTGGGTGATTGTCTCTGGGACCAACCCAGAACCCTGAGTTGCAGTTGGCTCGTTTTCGTGTTATAGAGTAGGAAATGATCCAGGGTGAGGTAGGAAAATAATGAGTGTAGAGTTTGCCGATAACAGAAAGGAGGCAGACAGTTGTACGGTAGATGAAGACAAAGAAAGTTCAAGGCTTGACAAATACGTCCCAAGGCGTTTGACTGTAGCAGTAGCAATAGTAGTAGCAGTAGATTTAGGGAGGATTATTGGGTTGTCATTCCGTATAGACCCAAGGGAAAATTTCCTCGGTTTCTTTCCTATGAAGGCTGGACAGACAGATGCTGAGGCCGATGGGGATTCTTTCCTCACCTCTATAGCAATTCAGACTGGCCCATTTTTAACGCCAAACGCCCTGAAAACGCGAACAAACACAACTCGTCGTAGTCTTTGAAAAGAGAGAGAGAAAGAGAGAGAATATACTAGCTTTCCCTTCCCTTTCAGGTTTATCAACCCTGCATCTCCACCTCCTTGGTCGCAGGCTCCTCATTTCCCCACAGACCCTCCAGCTTGAACTCTGCCGCCCACTCCGTCACAATCTGCTTCTGATCCGCAGCCGTCTCCACCTCGGGCGCGGCGGTCGAGGCCTTGATGCCGGCGACCGCAGGGGTACCATCAGCAGCACCAGCACCAGCAGCAGGCGCCGCGCCAGTGGCGACGGAGGGCGCGTCCACCCAGCCCTGGATCCGGCCGTCCCTCCAGTCCGTCACGACGGTCATGGCGGCAGCCTGAATATTCGGCACGCCGCCCCTGCCCAGACGGCCGCGCTTACGGGCGACCTGGACCAAGAAGTCGGTGGTGGCGTCGCCACTGTCCGGGTTGGGCAGCAGTGCCGGGAGGTCGTAGACGGCGGTCAGGCGAGCCATGAGGTCGGGCGAGGTGGACAGCCTCTTGAGCAGCAGCTGAACGGCAGGCAGAGGGTCGCCAATGTGCCTGGGGGGGACGGCGTTGAGGAGGACCAGGTGGGCCTTGGCTTCGGTGGGGTTCTTGGGGACAAAGGTGGCGGAGGCGGCGTCCGAGGTGGAGGGGAACACGATGCCGGGGGAGTCCAGGAGGGTCAGCTTGCTATCGATCTTGACGGCGCGGATGGACGTGGTGACGCCGGCCTCGGCGCCGGCGGGGCAGGCGGAACGATGTGCGCCGCCGCGGCCGCTGAGGCGGGAGAGTAGGGCGTTGATGACGGACGACTTGCCGACGTTGGGGTAGCCGATGACACCGACGGAGATGGCGCGCTTGAGGCCGCGGCCAGCGGCGAAGGCCTTGAGGGCGCGGAAGAGGGTGGCGCTCGTGCCCTGGACGGTCAGGTCGCGGTGGTTGAAGGTGTGGGCGTTGGCAGCGGCGTTGGAGGCGCGGAGAGGTAAGGTCGGGAAGTACTTGCGGAGGTGGGCGAGCCAGGCCTTGAGGACGGGCGGCGGGATCAGGTCGATCTTGTTGAGCACGAGGATGAGCCTCTTGCCGTCGGATGCTGCCGCCATGACGGACCTCTCGACGTCTCTCGACCTTGTGCCCTCTGGGTCTCTGGCGTCGAGGACATAGAGGATAACGTCAGCCTGCTCGACGACTTGCTTGAACACCTTGTCGTAGGCCTTGCGCGAGGTCGCATCGCCTCCGACCTGTACCGCACCCGAGGGGGAGGAATCATTGTCGTCGTCATCCGAGTCTTCGTCTTCATCGTCGTCGTCGTCCATGTCCTCGCCGCTCTGCAGGCCTTGTTCGTAGTCTTCGGCGGCCCGTCTCGCGCTCGCCAACAAGGCCGCCATGGGGTTCGATTCGTCGACATCATCGTCGATGTCGTCGTCGTCATCGTCCATCATGTCGTCGTCCAGCTCGACGTCATCGCCCTCAGGATCGTTCATGCCATCATCGGCAGCCTTCTCAACCTGACCTGTCCTCGCGGCCTTGGCGGCTTCCCTTCGCTTTCGTGCCTCCTCTTCCTTTCGCGCCCGCTTCTCCTCAATCTCCTGCAGCAGCCTCTCCTTGTACGGGAACAGGTTGGGAATGCCGGGGTCCTTCTTCAGCTTGGAGCGCCATTCTGGATTCTTCTTGGCGTTCTTTCTATCTTTCCTCTGCTTGGCTGCCGACTTTTTCTCGATCTTGTGGCGTAGGCGAGTGGTGCCCCGCTTCGACTTCGGTTCTGTAATTTGTACGAGCATTTCATCGAATCAGATTTTTTCTTCTTTCTATTTTTTTTGTCAGATAACAGACAGAAAGTTGACATACTCTTTGGTTTGGTAATTGATCCTGCCATTGTGACCTTTTGGATCGCGGGCTTGGGGATGGGGGGGGGGGGGGTGATTGGTTGTTGAGGAGTCGAGGAGAACGTTTGGCTTTGCTAGAATTAACTACATCGACATGCCTACTAGTGCTGGGGTCGTTGATGGAAATTTGCGAAGCCAAAGTGGCAGAATTCAAGACCAGAAAAAAAAGGCGGTCAGCGATAGCGATAGCCATAAGAACCCCTAACCCTGATGAATGCTGTCATCCTCCATGACTTCAGGCTCCAGCTGGCAGCATCTGTAGGCTGTAAGCATATGCTTGGAATCTCTTAAGAAATAATCATAAGATGAACATTGACGACCAGTTACCTTGATGGTCTGTATTGTTTAAAGTATGCTGGATTTTTTTTCGCTCCTATTGTCTCAATAAACAGTGGCTCCCTCCTCTATTACTTGAAATCCAAAGTCTGGCGGACTAGCCAAATCAAGTAGTTCCGACCTCACGCACTTCATTCACCCTGTGTTGCTGCCCTGGCATTTCATTTCTTCTTCTTTTCTTGATATTTAAACCTCATGTGCCTTTGAGTACAACCAGAATCTCAAGAATTGACTTCTCTCTTCTCTGCATAAACAGTCAATGTCTGCATTTGAAAGTGGCTACACCAGTTCGGTGAGCACAAAATAATCATTCCTTCAAAACAGGGTTCTCAGCCTTCAGGCCCTTCATCCTCCTCCTTCTCCGACCTCTCGCCATGGAATTCTCAGCTCCGCCTGTACGGGACTCCTTCCATGGCTTCTTGTTTGATATGGACGGGACGATTATAGACTCTACGTCTGCTATAGAGAAGCACTGGCATACGTGAGTGAACAGAAGTGGGAAGAAAAGAAAGATGACGAATCCCGCGACCCTATCGCCCTGGGCAGCCTGTCCGTTGACCGTCGCCTTCACGAAAGTCATGTAACATTAGCTAACATGAGAAAATGAGGCACAAAGTATTGGAAAGGAGATTGGGGTTGATCCTGAGGTCATTCTGCAGACCTCACATGGGCGGAGAAGTATAGATACTCTGAAAATTCTGGCACCTGAGAAAGCGAATTGGGAATGTAAGTTGTTGACCTACTTGGTCAGTTTGGCATGGACACGGCCATCATCATAGTTATTGATGACGTCGATAAGGCCCTCTCCCATATCTAGATTCCCTCTGCCTTGCTGTACGGCCTGCTGACCTTCTCCACAGACGTCAAGGAGATGGAAGGCCGTCTCCCGAGACTCCACGGCGACGACGCGACCGAGATCCCAGGAGCCCGCAGCCTCCTTGACGAGATAGGTCACCGCAACGTCCCCTGGGCCATTGTCACCAGTGGCACCGAACCCCTCGTCTCCGGCTGGCTCGAGCGTCTACGCCTTCCCGCCCCCGAGCACCTCATCACCGCCGAGTCCGTGAGCAATGGCAAGCCTGATCCGGCGTGCTATCTGCTGGGCAGGGACCGCATCGGCCTCCCCGCCGCTGGCACAGACGGCAGCAGCAGCAGCAGCAGCAATGTGCTGGTCCTCGAGGACTCGCCTGCGGGCATACGCGCGGGCAAGGCGGCGGGCTGCAAGGTCCTTGGCCTGGTGACGAGCCATACGGCCGAGCAAGTGAGAAGCGCCGAGCCGGACTGGATCGTGCGGGATCTGGACTCGGTTAAGGTTCTGGGTTGGGAGGACGGTTTGCTCACGCTCGAGTTTCGGGATGGGCTTGTAGAGGTGGGCAAGGCGGAACGCAATGGTGCGGCTTGAGCAAGGCTACAGCCTTGTCGGTACAAATGAGAAGGGCTAGAGGTTCCTGCTACGCAGAGAGCCGGTCTTACAAAGTGTAGCAAAAGCAAGCGTGTCATCACCTGGATACACAGCATTGACTCCCTCTTGCTGGTAGATGCAGAAAATGTTATGGCCCTTTGAAGCCTTCGCCTTTTTTCTCCTTTCCCTCCATCACCCTTCTTGTGCTGTCTCAGAATATCTTACACAGAGGCGGCTCATCTCCACCGAAATCTATCTTCCGAAGGATAAATCACCGTCCACATCACAAGAGACCTCGCCGAGACATCCACCCTGTGCTACAGAACACCGCAGAGACACCGAAGTAGTTACAAATCCAACACTTCTTTAATCAGACGAGCAGCCACGCCCGCCCGGGAACTAAAGAGAGAGGAAAGGCTACCGACGGCCAGCCCTGATTCGCCAACATCCGAACAAAAGAAGAGAGAAGGAGAAAAGAAGAAAAAGAATTGCCTGCTTGCATACATGCCATCGTTGTACGAGCCACTCGTCGTCATCTTTCATTAACAAAAGGCGACGCCGCCGCGGTCTGGCATGACCGAAAGAGGGTAAAAAAACAACCTTTCGTAAGCCGGCAGCATGGGTACCAAGTAAGCAGCATAGCCGAGAGGCAGCTCGAGCTGGCCGACAGCTGAGCCTGGGGACCGTGGGTGGGAGGGGGGGGGGGTACCAATCCTTTTTTCCCTCTTTTTCCTTCTTTTGCGATTTGATTACACTTCGTCTCAGCTGTCATATTGCTGATGATTTGTCATGGAGGCAGGAAGATGGATGGGACGGCACGATTGTTGGGGGGGGGGGGCGGGGCATCTTGTCGTTTTCGGAGACCTGGTGCTACTTCACACGAGGCTCCGAGGCCGACACCAGCTGCAGCTAGCAGGTGGGGTTTTAGTTTGTCTGTCTTCCTGTGAAACGTCCGTGTCATGTAGTTGAGCTTGTGGGAGCTGATCACAATAATCTCCGGTATAGTGCTGTCTTGGTCTTGGATCATGGGCTTAGGGGGGGCTTGGGCAGGAGATGACAAGGCGTTTACGTTAGGTTTCTTTTCCATCGCTGGGAATCTGGAGAGGGCTTGGTGAGCTCCGGTATACGTTACATTTATTACACTAGTAATCAGCGAAAGCGTGTATCTGAGCCATGGACTTGTCTTGTTATGTCAGGGCTGTGCTGGGCGCAATTATAACGCATAAGTCAACCAACTTGATAACATCCTCCTGCCACGAGATGCTGCCGCAGGTGTCTGAATATTGGCACTTATTCTCACAACGGGCAGGAATAAGTCTTGAGAGAAACTATGGAGTGTTCCAAACCACTGTATGCCGAGGAAGTTAAAGGAGACCTTCCACGATTGCAGAAACCGAGACCTGCAAGATGTGGAAACACAAACTGTTGCTCAGGGAGAGCAAACATGGTCCTGGGGATAGAGCACTTACTGATGTCTTGCAGCCCTATATCTTTCCACCATACGCCAACCAAAGAGACTCCCTTAGGCCTGTCGTTCAAAATACATACAATTGTGTCCGTATTGCGTGACGTACATGTCAAGTTCTCAAGGAAGATGTCTCCCACAGTAGCACAGTTTCACCTACACTTTCACCTAAATACGGCCATCCAGTGCTAAAATGGGTGAATACCAATGTCTACGCCCCCTGTGAATTGGATCTCGTTTGTTCAGAAGAAAAGCTACTGGCGAGGCTCGGGCTGGTCGAACGATAACTCAAAAAGGCAGTCTCCGTGGCTGGATGAGTATACTACCAAACTTCTTTTCAAACCTGCGCAGCCCCAGTCGAAGCTCAAGCTTCTTCTGCTCGAGGAAGATGCTGTTCAGCTTGTTTTTTTAATACGGCTTTTGGCCCTCGTGAGCATGTGTAGATTGAGCATGTGCCTTGACCATTGCCAAATCGCTGTCTTGGCCTGGCACTCGTAGCTCCTGCATCCTCCTCTGAAGGACGATGACAATATCTCGGATCACCTATTATTTATACTGAGTGGTACACTTGGGGCTACCTTTTGAAGAGCTTCTTTTGTCTAGGAAATTTCTCCAGTACAAATACCTTGTCTCGTGTACCTTCTCATCATCGAGCCTGAACTATGGAACGTGATTGATTGAAAGAAGCAAATGGGGTCAAGACCTAGGGCTGGAAGTTGAGCTGAAGGAGAGTAGGACGCAAGCTGGACAAAGGATGGCTTCAATCAATCTCAGCGCGGGCAGCTGGAGTGGCTCGGGGCTTTGGTCTCTGGGGCTGTAAGAAAGAGGGTACGAAGAGGACATCGAACAACCTAGACAGCGGTGGTGAAGAATTGTAAGTGAATCGATACCTATACTATTTGTCCACCGAAGTTATTATACTGATCATTTATCCATAGCTCAATGTACATGAAATGTTATCCGTCTTCCCCAAGTTCAAACGCCAAGAGTCTTTGTCAGACATTCATCTAATCACATCCATTTCTTTCCACCACTGCTATCTGGAACTTTCTCTCATGCTTACACAGTCAGCCGTTTTCAACCAATCTCTTTGGGCTACTTCTAATGTATCTACACAGCTGGATACGCTCTTTGAACACAGAGTGCACCATCAAACAGGGAGTCCCCTCCTCTCCCTCTGTCATCCTATTCAAGAGTCTCGGTGTAGACTGATCTTCTCACAGTGCTCTAAGAGAGTCGAATCAGCCTACCTCAGACCGCTTCCATACGCCTTCTCCCTTCTAGAAGGAGTATGGAATATCCTCAACGACTCTGAAACCTACGGCATGAAACATCGAACAGCTCTCGTTCAGGTCCCAAGGAAGGCAAAGCATCTCTCTCTCTCTCTCTATGTCTTTCTTTTCGTTAGCAGCAAGGAGGCAGAGCCGGCTGGACTTTCATAAGAGCTTACTTAATTAAAAGGTCTCTGTCAGCCAGGAAAGCCTACGAGAAAAAAAACTTCGAGCGAACCTTCTGGGCCCATCCCCCTCATCCTCCTCTTCGCATGATGAGAGAGTAACTTCATCAGTTCCCATTATCTCAGTTCTAATTAATGAGAAATTGAGTCCAAGTCAACTCACTCAACACTACATTCCAGACAAACAGAGACAAAGAACCCCATGCCAAACTCACCAAAGCCTCCCTCCTTGCCGAAAAAGTTGCACATAAGCAGCCAGCCAAACCAGTATCGCACAACTGAACAAACCTCCTTCTTCCCTTGCCTGATTTACTTTTGTGAGCGAGTGTGAGAGGGCACACGACATGCACCGAGTCTTGCAACACACCAAGAGGAATAATCGGCCAAGAGAGGAAGAAGATAAGAGAAGAGGAAAAACACATCAGCAAAGGACCTCCCTTTCCCTTGCATCCGTCTCACTATTATCCATGCATCTTGTGAATTTTGGTAGTTTGTCTGTACTAATCATCTCGTCCTAGCAGAGATAGAAGAAGAGACGGGGAAAGGAGAACGTAAAAAAGGTAAATATCTAAAGGGAAACCAACAAAACTAAATCACTACACAAACCAAAACAATCCCAAAATACCATCATCACAAGAAACCGAACAAAGTCGTCCACGTCTCTTCACCCTTCCTCTCTCCCCCCCCCCCTTCTCTTTTATCTTCCCAGGGTCTTCACAGGACAGACGTCCGAATAAGCTTCTGACTGAAGATCGCCTCCTCAACGAACCCTCTTTTTGTGGCTTATGGAAAAAAAGGGGTCCGAGCTGGGATGAGAGAGAATACACACACACACACACACACGCATTACATGGAGATGAAGGGATTCATTGGAAGGAGAGAAGAAAAAAAGAGAGATGGTAATAGATACACCGCCTGCAGAAAGGTGACAGATCCTGTGCAGAAAAGGTGACAGATCTTCTTTCTCTCCCTCTCTCTCTCTCTGTGAACTTTTTTTTTTTTTAAAAAAACAACGCCGATCATTTTGATCTTTATTCATCCTACGCCCCTCTCCCCCCTCCTCTCCCTCCTGTCTCTATCCACATGTTTAAAACCCCCCCCCCTCCCCCTCTCCAGATATTTCAGCTCATCTAGCCCACAAAGATCTAGCCCCCCTTCCCCACATATGAAGGATCACAAATCATGGAGTTCCAGAGCAAGATAAAAATCCCCCCTCTTCTGTCAAAGTGTGAAGTGGATTAGGGCGAAGGGGGGGAGGGAGTGGGCTGGGTGGGTTGGATCAAGACGATGAAAAGGAAAGTGGGAGCAGCGAATCTCTCTGTGCCCCCAAAGGGCAAGCGAGTTGCTCCGTAGAGGCAAAAGATCGCCACATTGTTCCTCCCAAAAGGACAGAGGGAAAAAAAAATATGTGATCGTCTCGTGCTGCATCATAGTTATCAGCATTTTCAGCATCATCAAAAAGATCCAGAACATAAAAAAACGGAGCGTAGTCTCGGGAAGGGAAGAAGCCGCTGTGGGGGGGGGGGGGGGAATAGTAAAGTGGGCTGCAGGTGGTTGGGGAAAAGAGTGCAGGCCGGAGTAAAAGGACACGAGCCTTCAAAAAGTGAAAACTTTTTTAATTTTTTAACTATGGCAACACACACCATAGGAATAAGGGTATCACCACCCAACTGCCATGTTTACGCCTGTCACGATGGTCGGGAAAGTGGATGATGATGATGATGATGATGATGATGATGGTGATATTATGCTGGATGGCGATGATCACCACTGACACAAGCACAGGGCTTCCGAGGGATGGAGACGCGGGAGCTACCATGATGGCCCGAACGTTGGTGCGTGATCATCCCACCCCTCTTCCCCCCCATGCCTTCAGCTCTTGGCCTTTTTCTCAATTGTCTCTGTTTCTCTCTCACACTTTGCTCACGCGCACAATCAAATCCTCCACGACGTCAACGCTCTTTCAGCCGTCGCTCTCGGACCCTCTACCAGCCGGGCGCCACCCAGACACGTAGGTTCGCCGACCCACAGCGGTGGCGACTTGGCCAGAGCAAGAGAGAGAGTAGAGGGAGGGAGGGCAATCATCGAAACACGTAATACAGTTGGACAGGACAGTCGTTACGTGCTTTTTTCCCTCACATACACAGACACACACAGACACACACACACACACACACACACACACACACACACGCTCTCTCTCGCCGAGGTCTCCCAGCCTCCTGGGTGTGGCTTTATCTTTCGGACCT